GACCTTCGTCCGGAGATACGGCCCTCGCGCTCGTCGTCTGAGGACATCGAGGCACTCAATCCTATTGTATTAGACACAACTGAACCCTACCAGACCACGATCATGCTCAGCCACGCAGACACTCGGCTACCAAGGAACGTTTCCTTCGAGAAAGCCCAGATACCTAGCTACGCTGAGGCCACTGCCATCGAGAACTTGCCGAGGACCAGCCCTCCTGCTGTTTCCTCCCAGCATACGATGTTTGCACATGACAGTTCGCCAGAAGCCACCGGCTCGACTACGTCTGGGAGTTCTGCTGTGGTATTTATGCCCAACCATGAGCTGCGTCCCATCTCATTTCAAGAAATGGCCCAAACGTCATCATGGCTGCCTCGCAGGGCATCCCGCTGCAGTTCAGTCCACCAGCGACGGTGGGACAAACACCAGCGTTTCCAGGTTACTCTGCGACCTTGCCGGAACAGTCAGGGCCGTCCACCTGAACTGCATTCTACGAGTTGTCAGGAAACGTTGCATCATGGACGAGTTCGACCACGGCGACAAAGTCAAGCCCACCCACCAAAAACTTTACCGCCAGCTCCGCGCGCGCACAGGACCCAGTCTCCATCACGACACGGTGAACGACCCAGACGACATAGCCAGTGTCGGCCGCCGGAGCCAATTTCGACAAACTTCCAGCGTGGTCGAGACCGACCACGACGATGTAGCCAACCTCGCCCACCTGAAGCACTGTCAACTGCTGCAGCTAGCCTTACCTACCAGAACATTGTCGTTTGGCCCAACGACAATGCTAGCAGTCATGGCCGAGTGTAATGACGAAAACCGAAACTGGAACTCTCTCTGGCACAGACTCGCATGCTAGGAAGGAAGAGGAGGAAGACGAAGCAGAATAAGAACAGCCGGCCTGCAGCAAAGGCGTTGTGTCTTATTTCTCGTCCTTACAATATATATATATATATATATATATATATATATATTATTTCATCCACTTTTCTTTCCTCTTATTTACATTCCATTGGTTCTAATAACTTCCCCTGTACGTTCCTTGGCATTACTGTCTGTTAGATCTCATTAATATTGTGTCAAAACATGGAAAAACGAGCCCTTAGGTATACACTTCTTTCCCTTATTTAATTTAACGAGGGTCTCGTACTGGCAGACTTGGTGTCATTAGGTTGTATAAAAGGGACTATTATTCAGCTGCCCGCTCGTAATAAGTTCACGTGCTACATGACGCCAAACATGCGCATAAAAGAGTGGTTCACACTTGTCGCTTGGCTTATAGATGGCACTGACTGTCGCTCCTACTTCTAAATTCACATATAAACCCCAAAAAGTGGATGGAGGGAAGGCCGCTGTGGTAGCTCAGTGGTTAGAGCATCGAACGCGTTATTCGAAGATCGTAGGTTCGTTTTCTGCTCACGGCTGGTTATTTTTTCATCCACTTTTCTTTCTTCTTATTTACATTCCATTGGTTCTAATAACTTCCCCTGTACATTCCTTGGCATTACTGTCTGTTAGATCTCATTAATATTGTGTCAAAACACGGAAAAACGAGCCCTTAGGTATACACTTCTTTCCCTTATATATATATATATATATATATATATATATATATATATATATATATATATAGAAGTTCCGTCCCTATCTCCACGGGCGTCACTTCACAATCGTTACGGACCACCATGCCTTATGCTGGCTTTCTACACTGAAGAACTTGTCCGGACGCTTGGGTCGGTGGATACTACGCTTGCAGGAGTACGACTTTGATATAACTTACAAGTCAGGCAGAAAACATCAAGACGCCGATGCTTTATCTCGTTGCCCGCTTCCAACTACCCATATGAGCGTTGGTGAGAACTCAACCACCACATCTACCAAAGTTCATACGCTCGCATCAATAACGCAACCCTTTTCGGATGACGAGCCAACATTTATCTCCCGCCAGCGGTCCGATTCATACTGCAGACGCATCATGGACCACCTTTCGGGAGTTTCTCATCCACCAAACGCGCGACTCCGTCGTCAACTCCTGCACTTTAGGCTGGACAATGGGGTTCTCCACCGCCACGTCTACCACCCTGACGGTCAGCGCTGGGTTCCTGTACTGCCACGCTCTCTCCGACTTCAGGTGCTCGAAGCCTTCCACGACGACTTGACTGCTGGTCATCTTGGTTTTAAAAAACTCTTGACCGCATTCGATGTCGTTATTACTGGCCTGGCCTTTCTTCTAGTGTAGCTCGGTACGTCGGTTCCTGCTACCCATGCCAGCGTCGTAAACTCCCCACGTCGGCACCTGCTGGACCTCTACAGCCACTTCCGTGCCCTTCAATGCCGTTCGAGGTTGTAGGTATTGACCTTTACGGGCCTCTCCCCGTCACATCTGCTGGCAAACGATGGATAGTGACTGCCGTGGACCACCTGACACGCTACGCTGAGACTTCCTCTGTTATTACAGGCTCAGCTGTGGAAGTTGCAGACTTTATTCTTCACGCAATAATATTGCGTCATGGGGCTCCTCGTGTACTGCTTAGTGACCGCGGCAAAGTGTTCCTGTCACAAGTTGTAAATGAAGTACTGCGCGCATCTGGAACTACTCACAAGACAGCTTCAAGCTACCACCCTCAGACAAATGGTCTCACAGAAAGATTTCACCGAACCCTTGCAGACATGATAGCCGTTTACGTCCAACCCGACCACAAAAACTGGGACACTCTTTTACCATTCCTGACATTCGCTTACAACACCGCCGTTCAGCGAACAACTTGCTACTCACCGTTTTACCTCGTGTACGGACGCACCCCGACTACCTTTCTCGACGTCTCCTTCTTTAGCAGCCATGGGAATTCATGTCAGTCTTCTAGCGAAGAATACATTTCCCGCCTGGCCCAGTCTCGCCATCAGGCTCGCATCAATACTGAAGCGAGACAGCACGAGCGGAAGATCATCTATGACGAATCCCACCGCGTTGTGTCTTTCCAACCTGGTGACGAGGTGCTGCTTTTGACACCTATTCGCACTCCTGGTCTCTGTGACAAATTCCAACCACGCTTCATCGGGCCATACATTGTTTTAGAACAGACTTCGCCGGTTAATTATCGTGTGACACCACTCGTCGCCCCAACAGACCGCCGCTACCGCAGCACAGAGATTGTACACGTTTGTCGCATGAAACCTTTCACGCGACGTTCCCCATCACTTTGACTTACGGCGGCCAGGGTGTCCGCTTTCAAGTGGGGGGGAATTAGTGTGGGCATTTGTAACTTACATCGTCCTCATCCCTGCATAATCACAATCACCATCATCCGCTTGTCTCTTTGCCCTCATTGCCACTCTGGTTCATCATCATCGTCATCGTCTGTGTGCTGGCTCTGCCCGTTCGTTTTGCGAGGTCTTTCCTCAAATAAACGCTGTCGCAGCCAAGACTACCAAGACTTCATAATATATATATAGTGTGGGGAAACTGTCGTAGCACATTTAGTATATCTTTTGTTACTAATTTTTTTCATTAAGTTTCATTATCATAAATGGTTTTTTGTGTTCTTTGATGTTCCTGTCTCGCTGATTATTTATGGAGACCATGACTATGGATGAATGACAAGCTGGACCTCCTAAGTTCTACACACTTGAAAGAAAATACAGTTGGTGATGTTAGCGAATGCCGATATAATCTATAGATCCAACAATCAAAGTCAGCCTTTTGAAGTCACTCTCACCCAATGCTCTTTCTTAGAGTAAATAAGGTATTTTGAATATTGTGGAGGTGCTGACACCCCTGTAAAGTTGTTTGCGCTGCATGGCGCATGTGTCTAGCCCAAAAGCCACATTTTGGGTTACAACTACTGGGCGGTAGGTGGCGTTATGTACGTGAGTGGTGAGCACCGCTATTATCATCATCATGGTTGGTAGAGTGGCAGCGCCAACGGTGACCCCTGGCGGAAGGCAAGCCTTGGTGGCTGGCGAGAGTTGAGCGAGTCTCTTGTGCGCGGGGCGGTTGCCGCGAACGGTTGTATCAAGCGTAGGTCCCCGGTGCGTGGCACCGCGGGCTGCGCATCGGGGTCCCTCCTGGTAAGTCAAGCGTTGGCGACGCCGCCTTGAGTGTGTTATTGTGTCTGTCATGTTATTGAGTGTTTGTCGTGTTATTGTGTTTGTCATGGAGTGTATGGTAATATTGTGTAAGGATGTCCTAGCGCATTGATCACGATTCATGTTATTATAATTCGGCGGATGACATCGTTGTTCTAAATTAGTTAAATAAATGTATGTTGTTCTTGGGCTTGGACTGACCGCGTCTGCTGTGTCCGTTCACTCCAAGAGCGTGGTGGTGGCGTGTCGCATGCCAATTCGAGACCCCACAATATCTGAATAAAAAAAATATATTAGTTTCCCTGCAAGAGCAAAACAATAAATTCGATAGAAAAAACTTGTATTATTACATGAAGCCGGGCTGGAAAGTATCTTCTTGAATTACGATTTCTTGTAACGCTACAAAAATGCTGGTGTAAGAGAATACGACCACTTCAGGGATAGAAGTACTTTTGACACAGTTTCTTCGAGCTGAGGCCACAGCTCATAACAGGGTATAATACGAGTCCATGATGCCTGTTGAGATAGTGCATGTGCTGTTAAGTTCACAGTTGCTGCTCGAGCAACCCATCCTCCGCCCCCCTTCCCACCCCGTTCCTGTATGCTCCTTGGAGATGAACAGGGCGTTTCCTCTCTGCTAAAGTAAGCAGTCTATGGCAGGTTTCATATGGGGAGTGAGGTTATTGTATGTGTCCCCCATGCGACGGAGGGGGTCGGCTCCTTTCGTCTCTGCTTCAACCGCCTTCATGGCACTCACTCAAGCGCTTTTACCCAGGGATAAAACATACGATGCGCAGGGGGACAGCATCAATTTGGACTTCACACGCAACATGATGGTGACGTCAAAAACCGTTAGTGAGCGTCCATACAATTGCTACGGCAGTAATGAATATAGAGCGGTGCTGCTTCCTCACGGTGCTTCAGCAGCTTGCTGGCATCCTTTCGACGATTGCAGAACCAGTTGTTCACCATGCCGGCTGTCACGTCTGTGGGAACTGGTTCACCTGAAACACAAAAAACAAAGAAAACAGTTTAATGCACACTTCAATGTCTTCATCACAACCACCCCTGTCTTACCTGTGCAAGGTTATATGAGTGCAAACAGCGTTTACACAGACACACAGGCACAAAAAAGATAATGCAGATGGCCAGTTACAAAAAAGTGCAAATGCAGTCGCAAAAGCCACGTAGGGAATCGAGTTAGGAAGGAACAATGTTGATGCACATGACAATACTATCATGTGCGAAATGTGCCCTAAGACACATCCAAGTCAATTTATCAGCTATAATGCAGGAAAAAAAAATACTATGCCTGTGCTTGTCCATTTACTGCACAGCACTACAGAAACCCCAGAGGCCAAGTTAGTATCGTGGATCGTGAAGAGGGGAAGATGTTTCCACTTCCCACTGGCACATCTCTCTCGAATGAGGATTCAAAGACATTCTTGGTTGGGGGTCTTGATGTAGTCCTAAATGACTAACACGAAAGCTGAGAAAATTCTTAGCCCGACACGAATGAACGCTAGGGAAGTGCCAGTGAGCGAAGAAATCGCACAGGTGATGAGGCGACGACAGCGTCTTCTCCCGAGTGGCACAGGAGTCAGTCCGAGGTTCGGAAGCGTTTTTAGCAATATGCAGTAAACTAATACAATGAACTATTGGTTATTCCTGTATTTTAAGTTATTTGGAATCATGTTAAGCGTATTTTGAACTGGTTTTAGGCAATGTAAGTATTGTTCTAGGCATGTCTTTGCAATTTCATTTCTAGCATGATCATGTGAAAGAGACATGGTTATTGACGAGCCCAGTCCCTGAAGTACAGTGTACAAAAAAAGGGGGAGAGGAGAAGGCAAGAAATGAATGAGAGGCTGATGCCATAGCTTAGCTAGAGAAGGTTATGACATTGAAAGCATTTGACACTAAAGTTACAGCTCAGGAATTGCAAAGGTCATGGTTGAAGCAAGATTTCGACAAGTGGGCTTGTCTTCGTAAAGGCAGTAACTGCTTTTCTTAGCAGTGTTTGTGTGCATGCTTTGCTCACGCTAACACAGTCCTGAGAGGAGGAGAAGAATAAGCTTGCGTAGAGATTCGTCAATGAATTTTCAGTCACCAAGCCCCGCCTCGGTGGTCTAGTGGCTAAGGTACTCGGCTGATGATCCGCAGGTGGCGGGATCGAATTCAGGCTGCGGCGGCTGCATTTCCGATGGAAGCGGAAATGTTGTAGGCCTGTGTGCTCAGATTTGGGTGCACGTTGAGGAACCCCAGGTGGTCGAAATTTCTGGAGCCCTTTACTATGGCGTCTCTCATATTCATATGGTGGTTTTGGGACGTTAAACCCCACATATAAATCAATTTCAGTAACCAAAAACAAGCAAACAAAAAAAAGTTCAGAAAATAGAGAAAGGGATTGAAAAGGTGGGCATAGTAAACGAAGGATGGGTAGAGACAAAGGCACATTCGGCGCTGTAGAGGCAAAAGGAAGGGATGAAATAGATGGGGAAGTATCGCCAATGGGGGAACAAAGAACAGGGCAATGCACAGAAGTGAAATAAAGCCACACAGTGTTTGCAGAAGGTTTAATTTAACCGAGACACTACACCTGTGGTTAGGTATTTTTCTACGCCCGTTCCAGACAAGCTGGATAAATAACTGCGCGTATTGAGAATATAGACACATACACAGAGACATGCTGTAGCCCTCTAGCAACTACGAATATTTGACAGCGCCATCGTGGATACATATCTCCCCGCTGTTTATTGTTTCGGGCAATGTGCGCCCATTGCCAGTGCACAAAGTTATATTGAGTGCAACTAATTTCTCACAAAATGGCGAGCTCCATGCAGATAAGCTGAAGCTATAGAGAGGGCTGGAACGTGACAACAGCCTCTCCTAATGTGTGCATCTCGCTTTCTCGTCGTGATTAGCAATGTATAGTAAATGTTCGATAATTTAGATTTCACAGGTTTAGCAAGAGCACTCCAATTATCCAAATGCCAAATTATTAAAAGTATTGAGAAAACAATAAACAAGAGGCTGCTACATCAGTGCATTTTTCATTTTCTTGACAAATACCTAAATCAAGTACTTATTTTCCATAAAAACAGCACAAAAGCTGAAATTTTTGCATTTCACTTAATTCATGATGCTACTACAGCTCAGGACCCCTTGTCCTAAAAAACGTCCACTAAATCCATCTCTTATTACATACTTCCTCCATCTCTTATTACATACTAATATTACAGAGCTGTTTTCCACTTAGACCCTCCATTTCGAAAAACAATTCCCAGGCTTCTTTCCAATGCAATGACTGACCAATCCTCCTTGTACGTGCAGCGACAAAATCTTGCCCATGAGCAACATTACATATTCCCGAGATTGCAAATTTGTGCCTTGGCCCTACGGTGATGCAGTTTTCGCCATGCAGTTCACATTTTCATTTTCCAGTGCTGTCTTCTGCCATTTTGTAGAACCCGAGACCACCAGGACAAATGGTATTACCAGAATGAAAGCTCTGAGATGAAGAGGTGTCTTGCTACTACAGTGCCAGGGGATGGGTGCTCTTGGCACCACGCTTCCTTCAAGCGCTGCTATGATAAGGGTGCATGTGGGGGAAGCCTTGCTCAATCAATGGCTGCACGCCAATGATGTATCACTGACGTCATGTTACACTGATAAAGTAGGCGTAGTTGTAACGAAGCAGTACAACCAACCTTCTCAGCTAAGAGAAAAAGGTGAAAGAGGCGAGCGAAGAAACGAAACCAGTCAAGCAGGCTGTCCTAAACTCTGTAACTTCATTATTGCAGCACTTATTTGCGAAGTTCCTGCAACAGCATGTTCACATGTACAAGTGCACAGTTATTTCTCCATTAGAAAGTTTGGTCCACGCGGCTGTTCACTGGCCCTTTAAACAATACAGTGTCAACGCTACCCCTGACAGCAGCTGAACCGCCCAACTCAAAACATCCCAGACATTGGCAGCATTGCCGTCAGAAGCCGCTCAATGGAGGGAGAATCAATCAGCGTGCATCTGGAAGTGAATTCGACTCACATAATGCCAATGTCACTGCTGCAGAAATGGCTGCTGCTTGCCTAAGATCTATTAAGTCACTGCCGTGCACTGTGTGGCCTACAAGTTCCCAGCCAATGCTTGTATTTGACTTAGCTTGCTCCCACGATAGCAAAACACTCGTGACATTCTTGAACTGCTACCTGAAAGCCACAATCAAGTTCCTCAGCAGGATTAGCAGGAATGAGTGTATTGGCCAAATATGTTGCCTGAAAGATGCGCAACTTCAAGCTTCGAGCTCATATATTACGCATTAGTGCTTATTGTCAATTTCTATAGGTGGGGCAACAAGTGATAAATGATAAAAAAAGACCTTTTGGTGGCACTGTTACTCGTGCTTCACACTACAAAACTCCGTATCAGATGTGAACGCTATAATCAGGGGTATTTCTTGTTAGTACAGTGAGGGAATCTGCACACTGCTTGTTGAACTGTCCGGTAATCCCTCTGGTCACAATATGTGATGCTGGGTCGGCCAGCACTTTTCGTGCAGTTTGCAACTGTCTCTGACGATGTTTACGCGACGAGAGATGCAACGCCGAAAGTGGTGGCAAGAATGCTACATTTGGTCCGGCCTTGAGACTATGGAGAAGAGAGCAATGCCAGTAACCTGTGGCAGGAAGCGCATGGGATCAAAATCCTGCCCTTGATTTACGTTGGCTATTGGCCAATGGCCCGCTGTTTAACACCAAACAGCGAGTGCCGGCAGCCTTGAAGCTGCCGGCAGAGTGGGCCTCTGTATGAAAAGGAGGTGCCTGACATAATGGGAACTTCATGCTCAGCCGGTGAGTGCTCCTTGCCACGCAACACTGCAAGATTTACCATATGAGATGCTCACAGCATTGCCTGCTTTCTGCTCTGTACGTATTCAAGAGGATGATGACAGAGACGGACAGCGTACCGGAGTTTACGGCACTGAGGTTGCACTCATTGGCGATGGCGTCCCTTTCGTCCGCCTCGGGATAGGGGTTGGCCTCAAATGCCCTCCGCAGTACCTGGAGCTGGGACTCGGTGAAGCGGAAGTGGTGCCTCCGTGGAAACGCCAGGCCTTGAACGCCTGCGGGAAATTAAACGGAGGAGGGCCCAAGAGTGACTACGCTTTATACTGAAGCAACATGCGCAGGCTATCGCATATTAGACACGAGTTAATTCAATGTTTCGTTTACCCTTGCTATATCTGTCGAATGTCTATGATAATAAAGATCTCGCATCCCGAAACCGTGATACAATCATGACGAACGCCCTAGTGAGCTGCTACTGAAATTTCGACCATCTGTGGTTCTGTAACGTGCACCTCAGTCTAAGTACACGAGCCTCTAACTTTTTGTCTCCACTGAAATAAGGCAGAGATTCAATCCTCTGGCCTTGAAGTTGCCAGTACGGCATCATAACCACTACGTCAACGAGGAGGGTACCAGCCAAACGTCAAGAAAACCTCACCAAAAGCCCCAAAATGCTTTGTAAAAAATTCCACCTTCTACCAAAGTTCGCAACTGCTTATGCAGAGCCGAAAATTGATGTTTTTGAAACACTTCTTATTTTTTGGGGACAAAAAAATTCCAACACCTTTAAATGCAGCACCACCTCATGCCTCTGAGCAAATATATAAGCGTGTCAGAAATCTCAATAGCTGTAAACTAAGGGCGTTCTAATAGTGAAATTTCATCTCGAATCAAATTCGATGCGAATAGTGCCGAATATTGTCCAAAAATTTCGAATATCAAATCGAATAACAAGTACAAAAGATTTTATTAAAAATGGAAAAACAGCGCAAAGGAATGAAATCTTTATGTTTTTGAGCACAACGCGGTAAGTGACTGCCACTGACTGACTACAAAGTGTCATGCAGAAACACCAGTTGTTGCCCATAACATTGGTTCGGGCTCTCTCACCATGACGTTACCGTGTTTACAGCTCGTCTGACAAAGGTATTGCTGTGCTTCATAATCCAGGGTCCTTCGGGCCCAAAACTCTCCAGTCCATTCACAGCAGCATTTTAAGTGTGCACAGGAGTCATGGGTGTTTCTGTATGAGTGCTGCAGTGAAGTGATAACTGCACAGCGTGAACAAATTTTTACATGTGATGCCAATCGCCTAGGGTTCCAGGGCCGAAATTGGGACATTTACAGCGCTTTCAGGATAAGTGACCAAACCACGCAAGAAGTCGGTGGCTTCGCTTTGGAAGCTAAGTTGTAAAAGGCTTGACAGTTTTCGAATTTGTTTTTTTTTTTTTAATGTGGAATGACATAATCTTCTTGAAAATGTACATGCACTTGCTTTAGAACCAGGATATTGATGAGAGCTCTAACGAATGACCCACTGTATTGACACTAGTGCTAATTTTAGCCACACCATCCCAAGTTGCACCTATGGCTTTTGACTTGGTATAGATATTCATACTGTCGCATTATTTAAAGCTTGAAGTATTAGCCATTTGGAAGTCGAATCGAACTATTAATTTAGTTATTACTCAATTCAATTTCAAAAATTGAATATTTGCACACACCTTTTAAAAATGTTCACCACCCAATATGTAAGCCTGTCTGCCATGACAATAATTATAAGATGGAACTGCATGGAGCCTCAAGCCAGCACCCATGTGACTTTATACATTTGCTCTAGCATTTTCTAAAAATCAACTTCATTGTGATTCAAGAGTGTTATGCAGTGAAGCACACATAACATAGTATGGTGGTGAAGCACACCAAGAATGGAGGGATACACTTTCCAGTGGCATGTTATCAACAGCCTGACTATGCCCACTCAAAATTCAATTCATTTACTGAAGGAGCACTCTGTTGAAGCTGCTTCTTAGGCCGCACTAACTATCTCAAGCATATATCTTTAGCGTGAGTAAAGGAAAGAAATGCACGTTTTAAGGGCTCGTTTTCTTTGGCAGACACAATATTAATGAGATCTAATAAACAATAATGCCAAGGAAAGTATAAGGCATATTATTAGAAGTAATTGGAATGTAAATGGGAAGAAAGAAAAGTGGACAAAAAGATAACTTGCCTAGCAGAAACCGAACCTGCGACCTTCCAATGACATGTCCGATGCTCTACCGAGTTGGTAGAGCATCTATGGTTTTTTAACCTGCACTGACATTGCACAGTACACGAACCTCTACGATTTCACCTCTGTTGAAATGCGACAGCCATGGTGGGGATCGAACCGGCGACCTTCGAATCAGCAGCTGAGCCCGCTTAACCACTGCTACCACAGCGATGAAGGCTGGAACACTTGAAACTTTAAAGAAGAAAGCGTAAGCTACGGCAAAGCTTTTTCCATTGAAGACGTGCACAACCAAGTACAATTAAGTCTGCATGGCTTGAGGAACAAGTCGCTACAATTTTAGAGGAGCTGATACAGAAATTTCACCGTCAGGTGCTTTATCAGAACCTGGTTACCAAAGATCCACAGTCCATGAGCCCACAGCTTCAATGCATTCAGTCTGTATTGTGTGGTCAAACGGCATGCGAGTCAAGTTATACGAGACTCGTAAAACCGCTCCCGACTCTTCGCTACCATCTTCTCAATTTCCTTCTCTATTATAACATGTGACTTACCCAGAGCCGCTACCTGCGATATATAGCGCCCCAGATTGGATACAGACGTCAGAGTCGAGCAAGCATCCAGTGTGATACAAGAAAGAAATAAAAGCACAGATGAAAACGTAAAAGTAGCATGTTTTGCACAACCAAGCCTTCGTTTACGTTGACAGCTGGGACTACAGTTACCACTTCAACATTTCCCCTCTCCAATAACTAAAACAACACCCACTGTATGCAAAATTTGGATGTGCCAGGCTTCGAGCTGCACTTTTTCAATGCTGGCTTGGGGACTTTCTTGATATTTATGTGGCCCATCATTACTAACGGTAAAAATCATAATTACTCAACCAAAAAATCAAAGCGTGATAAAAAGGTTGTAATCTCATGGTTCCTGAACCTGAGTACGGAATATGAGATATATCGTCTACTTAAAAGAAACAAGTGGGGAGGGTATATACTGTCCCATAAAATTACAAACACGGTTAATCACATGCAAAAGCTGTCGTACACGCTACGAGGCGCTTAACAACAGGTGGGTTTGCGAGAGCTCTGCCATAAAAAAGGAAAAAATCCGATGTCCAAACCACCACGCTGAAAATACTGCGAGGAGTGTCGATAAAATTGATTTAGCGCCGCGGCAAAAGCAGCAGGCGAGAACAGCACCTGCCGGAAGAGCGCTGACGGAAGCGATCGCAAACTGTTGCGCAAGGGTTCTAACCAGCGTTACGACACAGCAGGTCGTAAACGACGCGAATTCCATTAGTTAATCGGTTGAACAACTTCGCGAGATTGCGGCAATCCCGGTAGTACGTACGCTTCACTAGTAAGCATCAGCGGAGCGGGCGATCAATCCGCTCCGCTAATGAAGCGGCAAAAGCGATCACGCATTGCAATGAGCAACATAGTGGTGGCGCGGTTAAAAGAAAAAATAAACTAATTAATAAAGAGTCGCCCACAAAACAATCCATCAGACGCAGTTCGAAGACCGGTGCAATAATACCTTTCGCGAAGGAATCGAAAGTGACGTACACTCGCAATGAAAAGGCTTCCTTCTTTTTTTTTTCTAATCCGTCAGCTGATGAAGCTCTTTCGACACGCTCTAACGCTTTGCAGCCAAAGGCTGCGGCCGCGCGCGCTTTATCGACGCGCGAAAAGTCCCACTCCGTAAAGTGCAACCCCGAATTCAATTCTCGAATCACGCACTTAGATGCTTCTGCTAAGATACAAAGGCGCGCAATATTCCCGATCTTTCGCGGGACGCTAATGCCGACCGGATCAGCTGATTCCGTGTTTAGGATCGACGCACTCTAGCAGCCATGCTGCATTCAAGTGGGGGGTGCTAGCCCAGCGAAGCAAACTTTACCTCGAGGTACAACAGCATTCGGGTGTCCCTGCGACGAGTCGGGAGGTGCAGTCGCCGATCTTTGACAGCCGTCTCCCACCGCAGCGATGGCACAGTCCTGTTGAAAGCCGTTCTGTTGTTGGTGGTTGTGCGACGGCGATTCAGTCGACGAGCCCTCCGAACTAGAGGAGCACTCTTCGTCTTCGTTTCTCGGCGTCGCTTGGGACGGCGGCGTTGGCTGAGGTGCGCTCGCTACGTTCGTCGTTGACGGGGGCGTCGTAATCCCGTTGGGTGCCGTGAATCCACCGCCGTTAGCACCGGCGTAATGCTGTTGTTGAGGAGGCGAACGTCTTTGCTCGGCGCCCCTCCTGATAGTGCGCTCGAGCCGCTCCAACTTGTAGTATATGATGCCGATCTCTTTCATCGTGACACCGGTGTCTTTTAACCGGCGGACCAAGTCGATCTGTTCTACAGTAAACTTTAGCACCATCGTGGTCGTGCCGGAGGTTCGTCTCCGGATATTGGTTATGTGAGGTTGATACAGGCGTTTGGTGAGGCATTCGTGTTAAGGGGGCTGATAGTTAAAGCTCTTTACTAACCGTGCCTGGTTAGGTGAGGTTAACTTAGGTCCGCCGGATCGGCCACTCACGGTCTCGCACGCAGGAATCCCTCGTGCGCAGGGGCATGCCTCGGTAACGCGCCGCCCAAGGCATGTTGCGCAAGGTGCACGTTAACGATAACCACACCAGAACACCTCAACCAACTTAACCAACCAACTAACCCTAACTTAAACTTTCTGCTATGATGATGATGATGATGTGGTCCCTTCGTCCCTTTGCGTGAACCGGTGCGCATCTCGAGCCGTGGCAGCATTACATAAATTAACCTATAAAACAGAAAAGTAATTCTCAGTAAGTATTATTCAGTGAAAAAATTAACAGTGGTCGTTGACCGCGTGCAACTGCTCTATAGCACCACTAGACAGCGGTAGTGGCGCGTTATAGTTTTGTGTAGTTATTTGCGCGCAGCTGGAGTGCTTTCCACTATGCCCTTTTCAATGCCAGGTCACGTTGGCTTGCGTTAGCGGTGAGCAGCCGCGGCACGGCGCTGGCGTTCTAAGCCCCGTAGGCTGTCAGCGCACAGAAATCGATGTTTTCTTTTCGTGTTTCAAGAGTGACATAATTGCGGTTCGTTGAGGTTGTTGGTTACACATTTGTCAATGAGAACTACGGCGTAAAAAGAAGGCGGAGCCTGAGTGAAGAAACTCAGAACGAGACGCTGTCCTCGTTTGTTCGCCAGCGCTCGTACTACTGTGTGTTCCATCGCTAGCGCTATGCAACTTTTAGCGCGGTTTTTTTTATTATTAATTTATTAGGAGGGCCCTTTTACAATTTCGCCGCTGCCTATCGATGGTGTAGCGCAACGACATTGGGTTACTCTTGATTGGGGCAGCAAAGCAGAGCAAGCACATGCGAGGTGGCCCCAAAATGCAGCATGTGCAACTTCGCTTCAGTTATCTTAATTTTTCGGCTGTGCTTCTGCCTGCCGATGATGTAGCGCGACGGCATTGTGTTAGGGCTGGGGGTAGAGTTTATAATTACTCTCCCCGAAATTCAAAATTTTTGCCGTGTGAATGAACCAGCCTCCCCTGACAAAAATTTCTGGCTATGCCCCAGATCACCTGCTATGTGTCACACATGCACAAGGCAAGAAATAAAGACAAAAATAAACCAGCTTTCTTTCGTCCTTCAAAGAACTACCGCAATTATGCGCGTACACCCACGGTGCCACATGATGAGGAGTTCACAAAGACTAGCTGTGGAATATTGTCCACTGCAGGAAGAAATCCTGGCAATCCAACTTGATTCGACTTTCACCTATCTATTTTACCAGCAGTATGTCTAAATCATGGAATCTCAATCGGAATAACTATAAGCTGAGGGTTTTCACCAGGCAGGCCACTTAGTACATATTCTGCTGACCTGCAGCGTGATCAGCTAGTACAGTCGAATTTGGTTATCAGCAAGAACAAATCGCAGTAATGTTCTAGACAAGCATAAATGCCAATACATACTAGAATTCAGACGAGAAAAAATGTTTCCAGGATACTTGGCCAGACACAAGGGTAACAAGTAAAAAAAGTAAAGTCGACACCACGAATGCTACTGGCATCAATTTTACATTATTGGCCTCTGGTGCCCAAAACACATTGTTGCTTCCTATGCTTGGAAAGATGTCACTAATACTGCTTTAAGCAGTCGGGCAGGGAATCGTAGAACTGCATCCATGAAACTTATGCCAATTCGATAAACTTGTGGTAAAACACAACTACAGTATACAGACTCGACGGAACCTGAAGGGGCCAGAAAAATGTGTTCCATTTAATTGGAGTTCCGCTTACCGACAGCCATTCTAGAGTATCATTCTAGAGTATGCCGCTGCAGGCTCATACTAATCCTTCCTTGAGAAGGAGATGCCACTGTCCTCTAAAGTTATATCAGATTGAAATACGAAAGATATATTTTTTTTCACCCTACACGGAGCCAAAATGAAAACCAACAGGAAACAGTAGCAATTTTAAATTCACAGATTAAGGGGAAATTGATATCTAATGTAGTTCTATCGGTAGAGCATCGATCGAATAGTCCAAAGGTTGCAGGTTCAGTGCCTTCCGGCGGCAAGTCGTCTTTACACTCAATTTAACTTTTTGAAATATACCGTATATCATGATTACTACACACAATGTTCTTCATACTTACCTTGGCATCACGTTGTATCTGCTGGTTTTTACGTGGAACACAGATCACTTGTTACAGAAAAGTAGCAACTGCATCTGCGAAGTTCTTGCTGCTCAAAGCTTGCAGAAAACAAGTTTCTGGCCCCGTCTTTTCTCGCTGGCGATTTTGTTTTGAACGATGAGCTACATTTTCAGTGCGATGTGTGAGCTTCGAAACTGCATTTTGGATATGCGAGTGTCAGACAGCGACGCACACGGGCTCTCGCACGACCACAGGGTCGGTTTTCATTTTATTTTTCTGCGGGTCATGGAAAAAATATACGAGCATGTTTGTTTTATAGACACTTTCACACAAACTTTATAGTTCCCACGTCGTCACTATCAGATGTACACTACGTCAGCGGTTTCATTTAGAAGCAAGACGGTTGAGGCAGAAAGTTGGGTTAGTTGGTATTGAGAATGATGAGGCACCTTTACAAGCGTAATGACAAAGGGGACGAGAAGAAGCAGCCCGACACTAGCCTGGTCCTGTATTGCTTATTCTAATCTCTGTCCCCGTTATGCTGTAACAATGCTCTTTTATTTACATGCACTGCTTTTTCATGATACCCTGATGAAAAATGTTAGAAATGTGTCTCATGCTTCTTTATAACACAGATAAAGCAAAGCAAGTGTTTCAAACTTGCTCATCATTTCTCTCTAATCGCGCAATGTAAAGTGAGCACGCAAGCCATGCTGCGAGGCTAGTTAATTTATTTGACAACAAACATACAAGCAATGGAAAAAAAAAGAAATACGCTGAGCCGGTATCATGGTGTTGTTCCACAGGAGAAGCCTTAAGGGTTCTGTTCCTATCTGAGAAATGACTGGTCTTTCAAGTAATAACGCTGGATAAATATGGACTGTGACTTCTTTTCCAGCTGAGCCAGCTCCTGGACGGCTGGGGCCATCTGCGCAGTGTGCGTGGCGTAGTTGCTCCCTGTGAAAAGACAAACAGATAAGTTTAGGTAGGCCAGTACATATTGTAAAAGAGAATGCAGTACAGTCATGCCCAGATGCAGCAAAAGCTGATTCATTCGACACCCATTAATTTAAACATTTAGATAATTCGGACAGGTTTTCTGGCGCCGGCAAGCATATATGTATTTTAATGGCGTCAAAATTTCAATAAATCGTTCACGTTTGGCCGCAACCCAGTTCATTCGGGCGATTCTTGGTGCACGCCGAGTGCAAAACCTGCAAATGTGTGATGCAAATGAACAAAAACGGTGTTTGCAGACGACTAAAATGAAGTGGCGCAGTATATATTGCCACTGCCATTAACGCGAACTGTGGGTAATGTTTCTGGTCAATGTCGGGTTAACACATTCTACCATAGTTAAGACAGGAAGATTTTAAGCCACGGTCACATTGCAAACAGTCATTATTGGCAAAAATTGCGACTTTAATAAAACTGAAAAGTAAGAACGAGATTTACAAATTTCTTAAGAGAATTCAAGCGTGTTGACCTGGACATTTTTAAATTGTTTTCTTGATACTTCTGCTACCTCAGAATTGGGTGAATACAAAAAATTTTGCGTTAAGTCTGGATCAATAATATTTTACTGTACATCAAATATGAAGGGCACAAAAGAGTTCTATATATATAGGTCAATTGATTTACAGTAGACTCGTGATAATTCAAACTCTGATAATTCATACTTTCGGTTAATTCAAACAAAATTCAATGTTTCGGTTGGCCCCCTATTTTTTCAATGCACTTAAAAGCCTCTTGATTCAAACTCCATAATTTGGCCAATTCATAGTTTTGCAGGTCCATACCAGAAAATATCAGCTGCTTTCCCACCACTATTTAAAAATGGTGTGCTTATACCCTAACAGTCTGAAAATAAAAAATAAGCACCTGAGGCCTTCAAGAGAAAAACTTTGCAAGTAAACAAATGTTTGAAACGAAGCACACGCATGGCAAACCGTTATCTTTCTCAACTGGTATAGAGAGCTTTGTGCTGAAGGCACATACCTATAGCTGAGTGATATCTGGGGATTTAACGTCCCAAAACCATCATATGATTATGAGAGACGCCTGTAGTGGAGGGCTCTGGAAATTTCGACCGCCTGGGGTTCTTAACGTGCACCCAAATCTGAGCACACGGGTCTGCAACATTGCACATACCTATGGCAATGAAGCAGTTGGCAATTCACGATTTTTTTTTAAAAGGTCTGATCAGAAATAAATGGACAATAAACTTGTGGACTTTACACCTCTGCTTTCTGTTCACTGTGTGCAGTTGGGGCTTAAAGACACTTTCAAAACCTTTAGATGTCATGAAATCAATGCCTAATCGTAATGTGTGGTGTCACCTCTCCCAGAGTCATCAATCTGGAACTTCTGATAATTCAAAGTTCGGGATAATTCAAACAAAACTCACAGGTCCTCGAGTTTAAGTTAACGAGAGTCAACTGTATAATATTTTATCGTATTGAAAATAGAACGAAGGAAATTTTGCAACTGCTCCATATACACAATGATTCGTTATGCACGGGCTTGACGTCTGCAGGTTTGACTTAGTTTCAAACCTGCAGTTAGTACTGTCAAGTTTGGCCTGGAAATTCGTATGGGCAGACGCCATTGTGAGTAAGCCGGTCTACTGGGGAGGCTCTCAATCCCTTCGGCGCCCAGTCTGCCAGACGCTGTCGAAGATTTGAGCAATTACCCTGACCATGCGGCAAGCAAAGGCGAGTTCCTGACTTTCAAATGCGGACCCTTTCGTCGTCCCTTCCAGCGGCAGCGGTGCCTGATGACCTCGGTGATTTATCTGGCGACGGGGAAGCTGTTGTGACCGGCGCCAGAGCTGACGGGGGAGCGGCGCTCTTTTAATCCTCAATCAAGTAGCCGACCGGCCGGCTGCCTATGCTCGTCAGGCATTGTCCCTGCTGGGCGGAGGATGAGACGTCGTGTCCCCACGACGCCGTAAATTGTTCAAGAGAGGACAACAAAGACAGCATCTTCCTTGGAGGAGACCGTGGCGGCCGCCACAAATCACCCCGCTAATTTAGCGAACCGATTGGCGGACCCTTTGATGTATGCTGTCAGGATCTTGGGACCTCTCGACTGGCGGCACACACATGACGAGGAAGAGCCCTGCTGGCGCCACCTTGCAGTGCAGTGATCACGACTCAATATTGGACGTGCACGTGGACCGCCCATGCTCGTCCCCCTCACCTGTTGTGTGTGTGTGATTGGTGTTCCACTCGGAGAGGAGGAGCCCGACGGGGCTTAAAACGATGCCGCAGAGTGCTGGACGTCGCTCTGAACCATGTAATGGTTCAACCACCACGCTCGTGCTTTGTTAAACCAGTAACCCTTCTTTGCTGTAAATACGTGTAAATAATGCTATAAACCTGTTTGTTTTCGTATCCTCTTCTTGTCAGCGTTCAGTTCCTTCACCCGGCTACACCACGCTACCACAAGAGACCGGGTAGACCCCCATTCGCAACAACTGGTGGCAGCGGTGGGATGCCGCCATCAGCAACTTCCTCCTCCTTCCGACCCATAACAGTACATAATGTGTGCAGTTAGTACATAATCACAAAGTGAAAGGTGCCAGCACATGCGCAAGAGTAGAAACACACAATACAAAAGCTGAACTTGCAATCCAAGCTTCAGTGGCCTTAGCAACAAACTTCAGAAAACCTAAGTTGTAATTATCTACTTGAAATACGAGCGCATAATGTAGACAGAGCCTAAGTCAGACAAGGACAAAAACAAGGTCCTTGAACAAGTCAAGTCCTTTTGTCGAAACACAGGCTTCAAAAAATTTTTTATTGCTCCAAGCTTCCATACCGCAGTCATGGCTGAGCAGTTAAGGCGATATACTGCTCCAAGCTTCCGTATTTCTTTGAACCTTGTGATACAATGTTCGCATCGTAATGTGCTGGAACTGCTCAGTTTGGCATGTGTGCATGCACAACAAGCCTCAGAACAAATGTGCCCATGAAGATACCCCTGAGGCATTGCACTCACCCATTTCCCGGCGCTTCTGGCCATACACAACCTTTCCGTCAAACTCGTCGGCAGGGATCTTAAGGTCGGGTTCCACCTGCTGAATGGTGACGTTCAGGTGGTCTTCAATGTCTGCCAGGTACTGCATGAGTCAAGAAAGAACAACCCGCATAACGCCAAACCTGTAAAATGACTAACTGCTCCTTAAAGAATTGAGCTTGATCAAGTTTCTTGCTTCTTAATAATAATATCACAGAAGCACCTAACAGGTTAAGGTAGTTTTCAAGATCAGCGTTGCATTGGATATCTGAGTGCATAATTGCACAGGTAAGGCTGATAGTGTCTATGCATTTGTAAGCAAACTGCGCAACAGAGGGCACTAGTGTATGTGTGCGTGCTGTGCACTTATGTATTAATTTAAGAAATCTTGTTACACCGTGCCTATACTGCTAGGCCCTACCACGTCCTGGGGTCAATGCTCGCTCAACGTTATTAAAAATATGCAAGGATGTGCAGCCATAGAACAAAGTCTTAACTTTCCTGTGCTTTATAGAGTTCTTTGAAGTGCAGATACTGTAGAGAATGCATGAGAAATTTTTGCCAAAACTGCCAGATATGAGAGTATCAGAGATTTCGTGTACAGCATTGTAAACCTGAATAATATTTATGATGAAAGACATCATGAAGAAAACAATGAAAAGTGCAAAGCCACAACACAAAACATACTGGCACTGAAAACAAACATATAGCTCTGCAAGTGGAGTTTTTGTAACAAACTTTAAGCATAAAAGCTTATAACAAAGGTACAATGAGGGCTGTAGCAACAAAAAACTGAAAATGCAAATAGTAGCATTTTTCTCTTTTTTTTTTAGGCGATAACAGCACAAATAAGATGCCAGAAATACTAAAAAACCCTACCGTGAAACAAAAAGCAGGCCAAATTTTAGAAAAGTGCAGATAATACAGGCATCATGCCTAACCGAAGTGTGCTAAAATGCATTCTAAAATAACAATAATTCGGTTCCACGTTGACTGACCTGCGGCTCATTGTACCAGATGCAGCAGCCGCCGCGGTCCGTCAAGTTCGTGTTGAAGCAGTTGCGGCCCTTGCTCGAACAGTTGGAGTGGTACCACACCTGCGCATCATGTCATGCTGCATCATAAGGATCTAATAAACACAGAAGCATATAATGATACCAACAATACTGGATAAATCGAGTCTTTTAGCAAGCCATTGAAATACGGCACAGTATTGCCATACTGCTCGTACTTCCTTCCCAAGTGTGCTTTTGCCACTCCAAATTCCAGTGATGGCAGCTCAACACCACTATTTTTTATGTTGTTTCAAAAATTGCCACGCAGGTATCACATCTCACTGTTGCCTCTCAGCCAATGCATTGTCAACGAGGCACATGTCATTTGCAGAATGCACTGTCAGTGGAACTAGAACCAGTTTGGGCACAACAAGCCGGAAAGAAGAAGCAGCACAGTAATACTGAACTACACTTATATACTGTATTTCTGTAGCTTGTTAAAAGATGGTAACACCTTGTGACATATACATAACCTATGCATATTTTAAAAGATGAGAGAACTGGATTCTGGAGATGAAAAAGAACTAGGAAATTGTTGAACATACTCACCTTCTCGGGAACAGCTGCAACAAGTGAAATAGCCAAACCCATCCTACAAGGACCGAAAAGAAATAATTAAAAGAATCAAAATAGATGAGGGCCACTAATGCGTACCCATGCCACATGTAATGTCATTTGCAGTAAATATTATTCAAATGGAATGTCATTGGGATTTTATGTTCCTGGTCTACTCAGGTACACAAAATGGCATTTGCGATTGGTGACAGTGTTTGTCAACTGCCAAGAGTGATTTCTGCTTCTTTATTACTCTCCACTGACGAAACTGCAGAATTTGCTTCCATGGCTCCTATGGCTGGCGAGTAGATATCAGATTGCAAAATTCCAACCTTGCACCTACTTTATCAAAACAACACACAAGAATTGAAAAAGATGAAAAAACAGACGAGCGTTTGCAAATGCTTCCGACAGGAGATGTTGGCCTCGGTTCAGTGCCAGGGAACAAGAATATATTTGTACATGCTGCTTCAACTGTCGAACCGCATGTAAAAAATTTATTGAAAAGTTAACAACAGCCAACAATAAGGAACTTAACGTTGATTACACTGGAGGATGTGAACCGTTTTCCAAAAATTTTTCAACTAAGTGTGTATTCAGAATTCTGGCCGTTCCGTTCAATACGCACTATACCTATGTATGTTTCATCATGCCGGTTCAATCATAATAACTAGAAAAGCCCAATTTCGATTCCCCACTCATATTCCCGTCAACTGTATAGCTAATGTCACTGTAAGCCAGCCAACCAAAGTCTCTGTCAACAAAACACGACGACACAGAGATTTTTGCCGAATAATGACTGACCGAGGTTCATAGCATCATACAGTCTCAATTGCAGAACCGTAAAGCCATCACTAGTATTGTTTCCACTTCGATAAGTTGTGCGGCACTGACAGCGCACACGGTAGGCATAGCGAGGACCAAGCCAGCCAAAACACGTCATAAGACACAACTTAACACAACCAGTAAAAACAATTATGCCATTTCCCGCTAAAAGGAACCATGTGTAGATGCAAAGCAGTGGGCACTAACGCTTACACTGGCGGCGACATAGAAGCTCATCGCGGTGTCGCGCCAAAGAGAAACCTGAGGAGGCGGAAAGCATGCCGTGATGGACCTACTGAAACATTCCGATCGCTGCTAACGGGCAGTGAGAGACGGAAGACTCCAATTCGAACAGAGAGACCTGCAGTCTGTTTTTAATTAACGCGCAATGCTGCGAATTTCTGTTGATCAACAACGCACAAGAGAAATCTCCCACCGGCACTACCTTGGAGGTCAAGATCCAGTACCTATATATGTGAGGTGGCCAGTGAACAGTTGTACGTGTGGCGCGAGAAGTCGGTTTTTTCAATGAAGAAACTAGCACACGCTGTCTGCGTCGGCATTGCGAGGCGAGAGAGGCGGAGGGACACGTATGCGCAGTGGCGGTGTAAATGCCGCGAGGAGGAATGCCTAGAGGAAGAGGGGGAAGCGAGCGTAGGTTAGCAGATGCTTTCTGCGTCAGCGTTGCGAGATGAGAGAGGGGGGAGCTAGTGCAAGCAGGTGGTGGGAGATAAGTGGAGAGATTAACAACAGCTGTTAAAGAGAGGGAAGGAGGAGAGTTGCGCATGCATAGTGTGAGTGCGGACGCCCGACGACCACACTGGACATGCCGCCCCTAAAAGATGCTTCGCACCTAAAACACTGGGACACTGCGCCAAGCAAGCGAAGGCCACACATGACGAAGCCCGTATGTACTTGAAAGCGGAACGAAGCAGCATCACTCGCTGTACAGTAGTACACAGTTCAGAGCGCAAAAAACATTGCATTATTTTTTTTTCCTAGGTTCCTATAAATCTATCATTTAAAAGCAAAATAAAGCTATCACTCAGTTTATAACTTCTCTCACTATTACATTTCACAGACGTCACAGGCTAGTGAGTAGAGCGGCCGGTGGGGCCGCATGGTTGTTTACGAGCCTGAGAAAACTGCAATTTCAAACTGGTGAATCAATTATAGACTAGATATGTTGTCAAAATGTTTCGGAATCGGCATGGCTAATCCTTATTGAAGTAGGGCAAATTACAACTGGGCAGCTTCATTTTCATTTCACTACCCCTTCAAGTTATCGATAACGTAATTTGTTGTCTAGGGCCTGTCATTGAGATTACGTGTAGCAGCAACATAAATGGCATTAACATCTAATCCCATTCGCTGATAATGACATTACATTTGCCAAGTGACGAATATTCACCATAACAATTGTTAACATGCACTTTAGCTCAAGAGCTTCTATCAAAGTACATTAAACTCTCAGTACACAAAAACCAGTTGAACGAAACTGCTGCTTAAATATGGAAGTGCTTCTGGCAAGATTGGTTTTATTTTTGTATTCAGAACCCTTGATCATTTTCAGGTAAACGAAACTCCGATTAAATCGAACAAATTTCATTGGTCGCTGCAGATTCCGTTCAATGAGAATCTACTGTATGTGTTATGTACTGTCCACTTGCTATAGACATCTGGCAAGAGCACAAATGCATGAACATTAGAGAACAACATGAGAACAGAGAAATCATTAAAAGACAAAATAGAGCAAAACTCCATGACTGTAGAAGCTAAGACATTGTTGGTTTCAGCCATCAACCAAATGAAAAATTTGCAAAATAGCCAAAACTGATACAAGGAGGAAAAGTCAAGTACCGTGAGTACAGCTTTATAACTGATAGAATTTACGGCAACAGAGCCATAGTGGCGAATCGCCCGCAGCGAATAAAACCAACACTAACCTTTCTGCTCGTCCAACCCTACCGATACGGTGGACAGTAGTTTGACTTCTCGTCTGGCAGGGTAACGTTGATCACTGGAAAAGGCACAAATATCCAGAAATTCTGTGTACCTCCTCCGCTGATTTACATCCCACATGGGCACTTGCAGGTATTACGCTCTTATGTGCACACCGTTGTGAAGACAAAAAGAAAACATTGCAAATGTTGGGAACAGTTTTTTTGCCGCTCACATTCACCAGCATAGAGATATTGTGCCACATATCGAGGGGAGATACAGGTACACTCATTAAAGTGAAGTGAAACAACAAACTGGCCTTCATCGATGAATGACCCTCCGTCAACGTGAAGTAGTAGCGGCATACTACCATATTTGTAGCAGTACTGTGCAAAGTGCAAAACATCAAAATAAACCGCAATTCAAAATGCATAGAGCTCATATAACCACAGCACGTACACATCTTTCCCACTTTTACCGGATAAATATCAAATTATGAGCACAAGCAAATTGAACAGCAACACAGCATAAATACATGGTTACTTTACAAAATCATTGCCTTTCCTTTTCCTCCAATAATGCAAAACAACGAGGCTGAGATATATAAGTCATAAAAGGCCAAGTATTAATGACTTACACCTAGAGACACAAGCACAACTGAATAGAATTCAAACTAACCAGAATAGAAATCAAAGTAACCAAGTTTGCGTGCACTGAAACAAGGCGCACAACATTACTATATATATAGCGTAATTATAGCACTCCATTACTGCACATGTGTTACAATATTTTATCACGGCTCACACTGCGGGCTGTTCCGTTTGATTCTGCTATACTCCATAGTGATTAATCAGGTAATTAAACAATTACAGTTGTTTATTTAGTCAGGTATCTAGACATTTGCAGGCGGGAATTAAAAATGAAGTGCCGGCTTACCGAATGGGACGCCCGTGATGTCGATACCACGAGCGGCAACGTCCGTACAGATAAGGAACTTGACACCGCCCCTCTGTGGTGGATTGTGAGACGACAAGACAAATGAATAAACTAGACAAAGCCCCCAGCACATATTGAGACGAAATTGAGGCTACCACAACACAACGCAGCACAGGGCCGACAAGAGGCACACTAACTAACATTCGCGAACACTTGTTGGCCTGCAGTCTGCTTAATGAATAGCATTGGAAACAATGGTAACTGCCCAAGTACTATGCCCATTACAACAGCTGCGTATATGATGATTAAATTTCTTCAGAAAAAAGGCTGTGCCTCTTTAAAGCAGGACATTTAGAGAATTATTAATTCCTGTAATGCCATGTCACGCCTCACGAAACAGTTATGTGTGAACAAGATACAGCAGTTGTTTTTCTTTTCTTTTTCTCCTTTACACTACAGGATGTGCCAATTTGCCAAAAAAAGAAGAAAAAAAAGAGAGGGGGAGGAGGAGAAGGAACCAAACCACCTTATAGCTCACACTTTTTATTTCGCTCTTAATTTGCTGCAACTGCCAAAGTGTACCAGGCCTGCCACAAAATCAAGCCTTTCATTATCAACGAGCTAACAAAGTAAAACACTTAAGATAGCTAAATTTTCTATATTGTAGATTGGTAGCTTATTAATACTACCGCCCAGCATACTATTTCATCTTTAATGCCTATTTAGCCTTCCTCCCCACCATGTAAACACATTACAGTCGAATCTCGTTAACTTAAACTCAAAGGAACCTTTCAATTTTGTTTGAATTATCAAGAAGTTTTAATTATCAGAAGTTCTCAGACGACTCTGTGTGAGATGACACCACACATTATGATTATCACATTTAAAAATTTTTAAGTGATTTTAAACACTAACTGGACACAATGAACACAAAGCAGAGTAGTAAGGTCCACAAGTTTATTGGCCATTTACTGCTAATCAGGCCTTTTAAACAAACTGTGAATTGCCAACAGCTTCATTTCTATAGTTATGTGCCTTCAGCCCAAAGCTGTCTATACCGTTTGAGAAACATCACGGTTTGCCATGCGTGTGCTTCATTTCAAGCATCTGTTGATTTGCAAAGCCTTTTTCCTTGAAGATCTCGGGTGCTTAATTTTCATCTTTAGACTGCTAGGATTATATAAGCACACAAATTTTTGAATAATAGTGGGAAAGCAGCAGATATTTTTTGGTATGGACCTACACAAAGTATGAATTAACCGAATGATGGAGTTTGAATTAAGAGGCTTTTAAATAGGTTAAAAGAATAAAGGGCCAACCAAAAATTGAATTTTGTTTGAATTAATCAAAAGTATGAATTATCAGAGTTTGAGTTATCAGGAGTCTACTGCACATGAAAAATTTGTAAATGCATCCAGTTTCTCTGCAGTTCATTTTAGGTCATGCAAGTTTTGTAGGCTTGCTATGAGCGGAAATAACATGCCAGCAGGCTTTGCATGTAACAGTCTATCCTCCTTGGCTAACTACAAGGCACACTAGTTGCTTTCGATTAGCTCTGCTAACGTTTTGGATTATTAGTGATGCTGGCGTTTCGGGCAGTTCAGCTCCAAAGAGGAAAATTGTGAAATATTTATTTACTTTGCTGTCCTAACACTGCACATTTCTGGTGACACAGCCACTGTTCATTGTTACACTTCATCAATGAAGCAAATTTGCATGCGTATTCTTGATTGACATTGTGCATTGCTATGTCCAAAAGCCAGTTTTCGAAATAATAATAAAAAAATGTGAAAGGCAAATAAGAACAACCCCACCTTGAATGTTTCCAGATTGGCCTTTCTCTCCTGGGGTTTCCGGTCACCATGGAGGCAAACGCATGAGAACGGGTTGTCCTTGTTTCGGGATCCTATGGAAGAAGCAAAGAAGATAGCACTTGGTCAGTCTTGTTTGACCCATCTGTGCTTGTTACGTACACTAAAACCTCATTATAACAAAGTTACATTTTGCACAAAATCGGCTTCATTATATCCAAAAATTTGTTATAAAGATTTATTCTTACACTCAAACCTGAATATAACCAACCCCGGATTTACCGAATTATCGGTTATAACCGGTGATTCCCGGCTTCACTCCACAGTCGCCGACAGTAGTAGCAGCAGAACAAAAGTAGCGGGAGCCACAGGAGCAACAACAGCCATTGAACCTTTCGTGCTTGGTTCAACTGGGCTCCGCTAGATGGCACGACCTGTCTAGTTTAATAAGGTGACAATTGAACTTTCGAATCACTCAAGCCATTCCCCATAGCAACGTCTGGTGGTTTTTTTCTCCATGAATCAAACAGAAACGAACAAGGAGCATTTTATTACAGCTCTTGATGCATGGAAGGTTCTTTATTTAGTGCAGCTAGTTTACTAGTGATCAATTGTAGGCAGTAAGTCTGATGTCATCCGGATCATTTTACGAATGTCCTACTCCTGGTGCATTTGTTCTCGTGCATTTACATTGATTTCTCAGTAAATAGGGCACTGCTGTTGATAATATTGTCGTTTTAGACATTTTCAATACATTGAGCTTGCTTTCACGCTGACCTAAATTGTTATTTCACTTAAACACTAAGAAAGATGCACAAGAATAAAAAAGACAGTACAAAACACGAGCACGTCTTGTGTACTATGCGTTTTTTTTTTTTTTCATCTTCCTTTCCGTGCGTCGCAAGTGTCACCTATGCACAGCCAACTAGCCTCTCCTCTGGCTCTTGTGCCGGTCAGTATAGTGCTTTACACGGAGTCTCTGGACGCCTAACCTTTGCCGAGATGGTTGAGGTAGTTCTCGAGGTTGTCGCAGTCCAGCTTGGTGCGGCAGAAGATAATGCCCTGGTCCATGTTCTGCTGCTGGATGGCACGCACCGTGTACTCGCCCTTCAGGATCTTCACGGCCTCCGACAGGGTCTCGGGGGTGTTGGCACCGGGTCTGACGTTGTCCCGCTCGTGGACTTGGTCTGTCTGTCAATGTCACAGGCACTACACTCAAACCTCGATATAATGAACCCAGATATACCGTAATTATTCGCGTAATGATCGCACTCGCATAATGATCGCATCCCTAAATTTTGTCTTCTAAATTCGACTTTCTTTTTCCCCGCGTAATGATCGCACCCTGAACTTGCCGCATCGACATGTCATGTGCCAAGTCTAGCTGAACGCGCCCATCATTGTTTCTGTGATCTGAAAGCGGGCATCACTATGCTAATGCCGTAAATTTACCGATTTAAATGAAAGCATTCCTTATTTAGATGTAAGAAACTGTTTTGACGCACATGACGTACTCACAACCTCCATAACTGACGCAAAAAAGAAAAAAAAATGCGGTGGCTTCGCTCCACAAAGTGCTTCGCTCCGTCAGTCGCTATGTTTGTTTTGACATCCCGCACTGTTACAGCGGCGGCTGCCTGTTGGTCGACCTGTGTTCATCCCGCAGCAATGTTTTTTGTTTTGTTTTTTTTTTTTTTCTGTGCTTTGTGATCGTCTGTTGAAGTGCTGTTTCACCATGGGGCGGTATGCGAGCTTTACTGCCGCGTTCAAGCTGAACGTGCTTAACTACGGGCTACAGCACGGCAACCACGCTGCCGGCAGACATTTCGGCATCGACGAAATCGGGATCCGATATTGAAAAAATCAGCGCGACATGCTCATGGCTACTAACAGCACGCGATGGCCTTTCTGCGGACCCAAATTTGGCAAGTTCTCTGACATTGAAAAGGCAGTCCTCGAATACGTGAAGGACATGCGCAAGGACGGTTATGCAGTGTCATTAGACATGATACGGACGCAGGCGTGCACAGTTTCCCGGTGGCTGGGAATAGCCACAAAGGACTTCCACGCCAGTTCCGGCTGGACGACACGCTTCTTGTGGTGGAATGGACTGTCGCTGGCATTTCAAACGCGCTCGACGGAACGGAAGATGACCCTCTGTGGGAGAGTGGAGACACTGCCGGTTCCAACACAGAATCGTGCAGCGACGACACTGGCGCCAGTGATGCTTCGGAGTCTGAATGAACGTTAGGGGGTCAGAGAGGTAAAAAATAACAGGGCAGTGTGCCATGCATACAGCTCCTGCGTCATGGCATGCATTTTATTACAAAAATAAGCCTTAATTACTTTTATCTTTGGTTATGTTCATGATAGCTACCGTAAGAATTCTGATTAGCGACTTTTTTGCGTTTCCATTGCTCAGAATATTTTTTCACGGAAAATTTACCCCGTGTAATGATCGCATCCCGAAGTTGGAGTCAATTTTTTTGAAAAAAAAAAAAAAGTGCGATCATTATGCAAGTATATACGGTAACAAAATATTGCTTATAACGAGGGTACATTAAAAATAGTTTAGCAATAGATATAGTGTTAGAAATATGCATTGATAATAAATTTTCAAGTATGACCAACTCACTTTCGTGTAGGATGCAACGTTGTTACAATAAGGCTTGAGTACACCTCTTTTCTTCTTCTTTTCAAATACTGTCAAACAGAGCCTCATTAATGTATCAGTCAGTGCTTTGCCAACCCTTTATAGCGAAGCTTTCATATTGCACAAAACCTGCCAAATCTCCAAGACTTAACAGAGTACATGACTGTAGGTCGACCCATTCCGTTTAAACCTGAAGTTGGGAGGGGGGGTCTACTTACAATTGAAAATAAAGCTAAGTACCGCCACTTACAGTAGTGACAAATAATAGATCAGGCACACTGTGGCAAATTTACAATACACTCAGACCTTGATATAACGAACCCAGATATAACGAATTATAAGTTATAACAAAGTAAGTGAAAAATGGCTCTGTCATAGGTACAGTGCTACATACATATATGTTTATACTGACTTTTGGGGTGTAACAAAGTATTTTTGTGGAGGTGTGACAATGTTATAATGAGGTTTGCGTGTACTATGTTTGCTTTCCTGTTCTACCCATAGCACATCATTACTTTGAGCACCTGTTGTGAAGACAACTTTTACAAAGCCACTGTCGACCATCAGGACTGCTCCTGCTGATTAAGAGGCCGGCTCCTCAATGAACGATTGACATTTAAGGGAAAATGATGCACATGTCTTTTATGGGAGTGTTGACGGTTGATGGGGAGAGCCGCCGTTGCAATCAGCAGCGGCACTCCCCACAGTGAACAGTGGCGACTTGTTCAGACCAACATGTCCTGGGCATCAATGTTTATGAAGATGACTGGCTTGAGATGACGAGTGAGCACGTGTAGTAGGTCCACTTTCTGGGTAAATAAATTCCCGTTACGAAATGCAACTGCACGTTTTTGTCTTCCTTTATTTTTTATATGCCATTTTGGAGTGGCTGACCTACATTCAAGTTTATCTACAATCGTGTAAATGAGGTAAAATAACAGAGTTTCACTGCATCCACAAATCCGACTCTCAAACTCTGAGACATCTGGCACTATCGCGTCATAGGCACGCTTGCACAGGCATGACGACTAGGATAGGAAGGACGACGTCAAATGTTTTAACGAGGTACGTACCACGACATGTCTTGTCACGTTCATCCAAGAGGTGTCTTTTCTTGGGTCTACCATGCACACCTGGTAAAGACAGAATATTCAGATGCAAATGAAAACACTGGCATTAAGAAACTGCACATAATGTCACAATAATGGAACATCCGAGAAAAAGCTTGGGCAAAGGTAACGAACAAAGCGAACTATGCGAGTAAAATCATGCCAGCTAGCTTGGTCGTTAGTTAAGCATGTTGTTATCACCGCAAAACATGTTAACGAGTGCAAGAACGGGACTAAGAACAGCCAGTGTTTACTACAGCGCGTAAAGGAACACCTCTATTTCAGAAGCCCACCATGTTTTACAGTAATACAGCACACGCACGTCTCGTCCTTGTCACCTCTTGTTCGCATATCTAAATTTGAGTTGCTGTTTACAACTACAATAGCCAACTAAACCACTGGTAGTATCTCCTTGAGAAAGTGCATAGCACAATGCCTCGTTTATACAATTTGTTTACAATGAGTTTCAAGATATGCACAGCTTTTGACATGCTATGCGAAGCATCCTTCTTTATGCTAACATATTCAATGTCCTGCAAGAAAATGTTAACTTACATAATAAAACGTGATCTTCTGCGAGATGGTGCATAGCTTTTAGGAATATCAAAGCACAGAAATAGACATTAAAAATATTTAATTTGATTATTGGCCATAACAACAAATCCACTCGCACCTTATTATAATAAAGCTTCATCTTATGCAAAAATAAGTTTGTTATATCCAAAAAAATGTTATAATGGTTTATTCCTAACACTATATATATTGCATGACTATCTTTCATTTACTTTGTTATAACCGATATTTCGTTATATCCGGGTTTGAGTGTTGTTGCGATGAGTGTTAGCTGGCCTAATGCCCACTGTCCCCAATGGAGAGGGGACTAAATAGTCCTGCCAAAAGTCGTGCAAAAATAAGAGCAGTGCTGGAGCAGTGCATGATAGCTTACATTGGCAAAGCTCATTGAAACTGATTTTCAAACTACTTTAGTGACAGCTCGAGATTGCCAACACATAGATGTAACACATTCTATGTTAAAATTTTGATAAGTGTCACTCACCACATGGTGTACCGTTTCCGGAACACTGTCCTCGCCTTTCAGATCCACCCAGGTTGGAAAGTGCATCAGGCGCTCCTATTAGAATTAAAGAACAATCGGCAAACATGTTGCTTTAATTACAGAACAGGAAGAATTGACTTGCAAGGTGGATGTCATTACCACACTCACACTGAGATGCTGCGTGGGGACAGTGTCTAATAAAGCAGCCCTGTGCCCAGTGACACTTTAGAGCGACTCTTCAAGCATATTAACGACATACATTAGAAAACATATAGGCTGATCATTCCTACGTAGCTGCAAAAACGCAATTTCTGAAAAGAATGCTCCTTGTTACTGGCAAAAATCAGTCCTATGATGATATGGGTTATTTATTGAATCGCTTCTTGCGCAGACAGCTGTTAAAATCTTGCACTAACCATTACATACAACTCACTAGGCGCTTTGCATTCATCGTGGCTTATTGGTTTCAGTGTCATAGACTTGAATACTGTAGTACAAACATTCGAGCATGTCACACGTGGCCATGGGACTTGGCAAATGCACAATCACATGTCCACAGAATCATTTGATGTACACACGTGCTTGTCATACACACACTGAATTACGACAAAAATATCGCAGTGCTATGCGACAACTTATAGCGAGAAAGAAATAAAACCCAAGTACAGGCAATACAACAAGAGCTGTGTCTTTGTGTCACCACGGAAATTGTGCTGCATTCTTCCCTAATCATTTTTCCATCTCTTCCACACTGTAATTAATGAACATGAATTCATGCTGATTTGTCTTGAAACATAGCCGCAGTTCTCGAAGAAGACTTACTGCAAGTTTCTTGACCTCGAAAGAATGGAGGGTTGCCGAACACACCACCATCTGAGAGAATGTAAAAAAAAATGAAAAATTGTAGATCAGACTAGTGAAAGCAGGTTATAGCATACAGATATGTGCGTTGGCTCGCACAAAACGAGCACTCACACCCTCTCAATGAGGAGGTTCATTAGCACCCACTGACAGCACTTATCTGTCTTGCTCAGATTAGCCCAAATTTGAAGTTGCTCAGATTAGTATACATTTGATGTTACCAAACTAGCAAACATTTCATGTTGCCAGTTGGCATACATCTGTTCATAATTCCACTTTGGTTATCAATGTTTTAATTGTAGAGGCTTTGCTAAATGAATAAACCCTTTTAATCAGTGACAATCAGCTGAATAGGGGAAGTCTGTAGATACTATATTCTCAATGCAACATTCTGTAAAGTGCATCTAAATCATAAGCAGTGGAATGATTTTGCAATGAATGATGCCATTGCTGTGGCATCACATCAGATCCTTTTGGAAAGGAAATGGCTGGGCATGCCATGTCATTTCTAGTGAGCGAGCTAGCAGTATGTGAAGAGGTGTACATACCATCGATGTCAAATTAAACACGAACGGTGGCAAACATTCGCAAAAGTATAGTGCATGCGGTCCGGTTATCACTACGGACAGACATGCATGTGTTGCCAAAATGGATGCGCGCCTTTCTATGGTGGTGACTGAAGGGCGTGCCCTATAACATATCAAATGCTTACCTCTGTTCAGGTTTCATTTAGTGCAGATAGTATACATATAGTAAAACGCTGCTTTTAACACCAGTAGTTTCAGTCAAGAAAATGAGAACTGATGCAAATGCAAAGTGTACAGTGCGCTTTTGCAAGCAAAACTTCGCAAGATTACAGATCTCACAGACACAGCAGTGACACATAAGAGGGTTCAGACAGGTGGCTTCATGCAATGATAAATACATATAGGTTTCAGACAGGTGGCTTCATGCAATGATAAATACATATAGGTAAAAATAAGCACAGGACCGAGTTGACTGGCAGAACACGGGAAAGGCCTTTGTCCTGCAGTGGGCATAGTCAGGCTGATGATAATGATATATCAGAATAATTGTAAGGGTTTTACACCCATAAAAACACAATATGATTATGATGGATACCATAGCAGAGCGCTTGGAAAATTCTGACCACCCTGGGCTCTTTGACATGCATCTAAGCACATGGTCCTCCTTCATTTCACGTCCACTGAAATACAGCTACCGCAGCCTAAATATGATCCCACAAGTGACTTCACAGAAACTGAGCAAACACAGCACTGCTTGCCACTGTGATTTAGACTAAGCGATGCCTTTTCTCTTCTATATAACAATCCAAGGTAATTTTTAAAAAAGTTAAAACCAGCTGAAAGATGCTGAAACTTGACCCTCTCACTGTAGTTGCTCAACAATGCAAGGCTCACCTGCAGACGCCTTCCCTCTGCCGTAATCTGCGGTATCTGCCGGTGTATGCGGTTGATCAGGTCGTTGTTGCCTTGGTTCAGCAGGCCATCCTAAAATAAGATCGATGAAACGTTAAGCACACTGTAGGCACAAGTAGCAGCTTTCACTTCAGGCTAATTCATGTAGCAGAAATGTAGGCTTTAGTACGCTCAAGTAGTAGTGACACGAAAAGTTTGTTATTTTTTTCCATGAAATAAAGGGCCAAGCCTTCGAGCGCCCAGAAAATGTTGCTGCACCCTGAAAAAATAATTCGAGCTTGTTTACAAAAGCTGTTAGCAGTTCCTACTGTAACCTGACATCACAACACGGTACGAGCTTCTCCACACATGCTGGAGCAAGATATCAAGACGTTTCGCCAGCCGCTCCGCATCATGACTCGATCGGCGGCACACACACAACCATTTTCGAAGTTTCGGCACCTGAGGTCATCTCGACTAGCGAGACTCCTGTGTGAAGTCACCAGAATCAGTACTGTAGCCTGACGTCAAGCTAGCGTCAGTGTCGGTAGGTGCAGAATTGAAAAGTTGACTTTAATATCGAAATAAAACGTCTGCATTTGCCGAGACTCACACTTGCTCAGAGCTGCCCCTGAGTACAGGACATCTGTGTGGCAGAGTGAACTCGCCTTTAAAAAATGGCGTCAGTACGCCCCTAAGAAAGTTAGACAGTTTCTTCATCACCCTTAAAGCTCCAGGTAAGACGTTGGGTTCCTGCTAACAACACTCTGGGCCATTGTTTATCAATAACCAAGCCACTGCAGCACACCACTTGGGTTTAACCTGGCGTGGCCACGCATGCACCGAGGAGCAGCTGCCACCGAGCCACGGTCACAGACAGAGACAGCAAACACAGCTGCCACACAGTGTTTGCCCAGCACTGTTGCAAGCCGAGTGACAAGAGGTTTGCACTTTTGCCAGAGGTAACACAGTCAGGTTCGCACATTAGTTTCTGGAGCTTGCATGGTCTGTGACAGGCTGTGGTTCGACTCTAGTGCGTCTACGCCAAGGAAAAACATCAGCCCTAAAAGCCACGTTCGGCCCCGAAGATCGACCAGCTCCGCAGTTTCTTAAGCTTTACGCCACTAGTGTATACTTATTTTTATGTTATCGTGGAGAACCATTTTCGCGACGTTGCTGACACTAGCGCCAACAAGTCTACATGAAGGTGATGTCAGAGCAAAAAGGAAGGTTCACGTACCGCTTCGTCAAGCACGAAGAATCGCACCTGAAACAAACAACATCAACTTTATTTCCATATTCATGCAAAGCGCTTGCACAGAAAAAAAAGGAGTGTGAGCGATTATCACACATGGCACAGACAAATTACAGATTACAAAACTGCACAAGCAGTGCCAACATTGGATCGGGAAACAATATGATAATTGTTCTTACATTGTAATAACTTCTTCAGCAAGTTTTTTGCTGCCGAAATACGATTCGGTTTAGGAGATTGTATTTCTCATGTGCTCATATACTTGCGCTGTCATTGGGAGCAGCCAAAGATTCAACAGCACCTAACGACAGCATTGTAACAACCTATGAAAGAAGTACGCATCAGGCATCCATTTGCCATCGCAACACTTACAATAAAAGTGTGATTTGTTTGCGGATAGAGTTCACTTTTCACAGAACTTGACATGATGCTAACAAAACTGCTATATGCAGGAGTGCAATGGCCAAAATAGAATTTGGAGAACAGCAAAATGTTGCTTTTGGAGCCTGAGGCTGCTCGGGTATTTTGGCCCAGCTTGGCACAATTTCAGCAAATTTCATGGTTTTGCCACTGCTCGGTGCAACAATGGAGCATAGTATCAAATAGGTGCACTTGGCAGCAGTTGTTGAACCCCGTATATGCAAAAAATTATAGAGCGTCAAAAATTTCGGGTAGGAGGCTGGAATGTAGATTTAGCACTGATGCAGTTTAACGTACAGCGGCCGTACCTGCGTGAGGCTGAGTTCCCCTGTACTGATGAGATCTTCCAGACGACCAGGTGTTCCGACCACAATATCAACCTGAAGAGATGAGCGAAAATTTTTTTTTATGATATTGATCCAAATGACATGATCAACGAGGCTATAGATGAGACAGAAATCAGGCTATAAGCAGAGTAAAATTTCTTAACTCATATCACTGGGAGAGAACATGGCACCAGAGATCATTAGAACATAGACATCGCAGCTCAGTCAGCATGGAGTTATGATGTATTTCATAGCTAAGGGGGAGGGGGGGGAATTCCTTCATACAACTGAAAATTTTTAGCTATGCCCATGCAATCATGATAATATGTGCACATACTTGACCTATACTCTTGTGGCTGAAATGGCTTTCTGACTTCGAAAATGGATCATATTCAGCAAATTATTACATTGTATATACAGAGACTTTCAAATGGTTCTGTATGAAAAGTTGTACTGCCTTCACACACAAAGGAAACTATTGGGCGCTCAGGAATCCAAATCAACACAGGTGGCCACTGAACGACGAATGACATCACATAATGCTTGAAACAACAACTATACAGAGAATGCTTCAATCTACAGTAAAGTCTACCATTTTCGTGGTAGCTCGATGGTCGCAGGGGCAGAATTCCAGATAACAGACTCTCGCAGCGATCAATGCCATAAGAAAAAGCCTCGGTAAAGAGAATTTCAATGCACGACGTACCCCGTTCCTCAGCGTCTCGATCTGCTCCTTTGCGGCAACCCCTCCGATGACGAGCAGCTCCCTGTGTCACCGAGATAACATCGACAAAGTGATTGACCCCTTGAAGAAGACTCAACAAGAACCAGAAAAGAGTCTCAATGAAAGAGGGAAAAAATAATAATAAAATAAACTAAGAACAACATGCGCCTCATAAAGCCCTATCCACTCCGCTTTTACATTTTCACGGGAAAAAGAAGGAAAATATCAACAACTCGAAGCGATCGATAACAAACTACTTCTTTACCTAACGACTGGATCCTTGAGGTGCTTCTTAAAACTTGTTATGCACTTCAGCGTCTGTTCGGCCAGCTCTCTGGAGGGCTAAAGAAAACGTGAACACAGGGCAATGTTTTATTTTGTCAAGAAAAACATAACAATAACACATAATAAAAAGAAGTTAAAAAAGAGCTTAGAAATATGCCGTAAAAGCCCTCACCTCGATGATTATTGCCTGGGGAGCATTTTTGACACTCTTGGGAGCGCCAACAGAAGTTCCTGAAGTTCGAGACAGGATAACCCAATGAGAATTTGTGACGCTATCCTCATGCAGCACTTAACATGATCACATTGGGAGAAACAGCACTAAATCGATACAGTACTTTTAAAAGACGGAAAAGAACAACTTGCGTTGGAGATCAAAAGCAACACAGAAGCAGTTGCCGTAATGTGTTATAGAAATGCATTATACCTACTTTTTAATCCATTGCGGTAAATTTATATTGCAAAAACAGAACTGGCACAATCGATTAGTATGGCAGATAAAAGGAATGCCTAGTCGAGGTTTCCAAAATAGTTATGATGGGAATGCATAAATGTTAACTTATGAAATTCCACACATTGCATCTGTAAACTAATCTGTTTACGGTCAACGTTGCTGCTAGTGAGCATGAAAGGCATAATAAGCTATTCGAAACACTGCACCAATTTCCAAATACAAGCCACGAAATTTGCAAAATGCAATATGTGAAGTAAAATAGGTGAAGTTTGAAACGTATTGACACGGTGGTAATTACTCCATAGCACATTCTCATTTTCCAGGCAAATAATGCCTTTCTCTGCCAGTAATCCAGCCCAGAGATTATGTTGGTGTCGAATGCAGAAGCAATTCTTCAGATTCTATTGTCTTAAATGTAAACAGCAGCTACACTTCCAGCACTTTGTGTAGCTGCGCTGGGGGTCGGTGAGCCCTCCTACCCATGTCTTGTCCTAGTCTACACACAAATAATGTTTAGCGAAGATAACGCTTGTCACGGGACACTATCTGATGACCCAGCTGCACAGGCCTCCTAGAAGCCCCTTTTAATGCTTTTAAACGTGTGACTTTAATTGACAATCTAGTCACAGTGGCACCAGTTGGCTACTATGAGAGTGATTTTCAGAGTGCCCACTTAATAGTCATTTTTCCAAAGATTGAAGGGGCTAGAATAGCTTCAACAATTTGAAGAATAATTTGAAGACACAGAATAACTTTGGGCCTGTGTTATACACTGTGTGTTAACAGCAAAAAGGAAAATCTGACATAGGCTTTTATGGTCATTGTCTAAACTGCAATATTTGACAAAGGTTCATTACTATACTTAATTTGAGTGCTGCACCCTTTAGTACAAGGCAACATTTGCTACACATGAATGCAGAAGAACATTTAGCACAAAGATTAAATAAAAGTGCAGATAAATGTGAAGGGATCAATAGACAAAGCAGACAGATGACTGCATAAGTCCAAATAAATTAGCCAACAGGTAAAGCCAACGACAATCACAAAAAACAAATCACATATTACTAATCCTCCTTTTAAAATAGTGACTTAGTGACTGCATTGGTGCAAGTGAATTTCATTTATTTTATTTAGAAACAGGGAAATCTGGAAGAAAAATCTTTTCGTCCTGGTTCACAGTATGCATTAAACTATAACAATTTATGATGAACAAAGGGTTCGTTTTTCGTCTACTACACTTCACGATTCCGTACGTTTTGTGATAGAATCTGTCGTTACACCGCTTTAAACAAGAGCTTGAGAACTTCCTAATTGCTTATAAACCATCGTGAGAGCACAACTGAACACGACACACAAGAATAAACAGACGAGGACAGGCACTCTCACGCTGGTTTCAATGTCAAAGCACCAACTCGCTTAACAATCAACTCTTTTGAAGTTTTTTTTCCTGATTTCTCTTCACACTTTTTCTCAACGTTTGAAAACATGTGATTACTGCTCAGTTTCGTTTTATGCATTCATGTTAATTATACTTACCCTATATTCTATGAGCCACAGACATGACCGTTGGACTTTTTAGCTATAGATTTCCTGAATTTTTGTTGTTTTTTTACATATTGTGGGCATTTGTGCCAATCTCTGTTGGGGTGACAATATTTACTCCCAGCAACTGACTTTTTTTGGCTAGCAGAAAGAATATTTCCTCAATTACAGTTACAATCTCTGCCTTGATATCATTACGACATTTCATGAGTGTACGTTTTTGCCAACTGTTGTGTTCCAAGCACCCCTGTGTCACGAGCGAGCCTCCGAACCCGCGAAGGACCGGATGCTGAAACTGCTTCCAGATGTTGACTCCTCCCCTTCCCCCGCTCGGCGCAAACGAGCCACCGTCGTTTCCCCCGGCAGTTCGGCCGCCGCCTCCAACCGAATAGGAATAAACCTGTTTTTAACCGTGCGAGGCTGTCTGAGCTTTTTGGACGACCGCGACCAACACGTACATCTATGGGCCGACGACAACACCGGACATAACAGTGGCGACGAGGAAGTGGATTTGGACCAACGCTACGCAACGATATTGACAAGCTACAAGCTATGGCTACGCACGGGCTCCCAAATCGGCTACCCGAATTCAACGGCTCATCATGGTCATCGTGGTTTGGACACCTGCAATTTTACTTCGAGGCTAACAACATCACTGATGCAGCAATGAAGAGGGCCAACCTGCTAACGCTGTGTGGGGAGCAGACATACGACACAGTCTGTGCCCTGATTCAGCCACGCACTCCAGCAGCTGTTGACTACGACGACATCGTAGCAGCGCTACAAGAGCACTATGACCCAAGGCCATCGGAGGTCTACTGTCGAGCCCGCTTCCAACGGCGAGACCAACTGGAAGGCGAAAAAGTGGCCGAATACGTAGCGGCTCTCAAAAAGCTCGCTGCTGACTGCAATTTCGGGACGTTGACCGCGACAACTGCAGCTACTGCGCAGGAGGGAGGATCGACGGCCACACCTGCTAACACCACTATGCTCCCCTTGGACGTTATGTTGCGTGACCGTTTTGTGTGCGGACTGCGTGACGCAGGCCTACAACAACGCCTGTTCGCGGAGACGGGTCTCACCTTCTCCAAAGCCTACAACATCGCCCAACGAGCGGAGAGCGCCGGTCACCAGCAGAGGGATATTCGACGGAACGTCGAGCCGGTGCATCACACCAGTCAGCAGTCAGGTCATTCCACGTCTAAGGCGAAATCAAGCAGAAAGACACAGCGCTGTTGGCGATGCGACGACATGCACGATCCCCAGGTATGTCGATACAAGACAGCGACCTGCAATTTTTGCCAAAAACTGGGACACATTGAAAAGGCATGCATCTCGAAGCGCAAACAGCTCGGACCGAAGACTTCAGTGCAACGGAACAACAATGTCGATGCACAGGAGGGCCAGACGCAAGATACAAGCCGAACAGCACTAACGTCATTGGCACTATATGACTTAAACGCCGTTGTGAACCTCGGAACGAGACCGAAGATTACAACTGAAATTATGGTACACCAGCGCCCTATCAGGTTTGAGGTGGATTCCGGAGCAGCATGTACGCTCATCAGCGAGGACACTTTTCGCGCTACTTGGCGTGAGAACGCGCCAGCTCTCCAGCAAGACGACACGCAGCTGAGAACGTGGTCCGGACATTCCCTTCCACTGCTGGGCTGTGCCAACGTAGACGTGTACTACAGCGGGCGGACCCATCAGCTCCCCTTGCTAGTCGTCCACGGTTCTGGATCAAGCCTTTTAGGACGAAATTGGTTCACCCCCCTTGGAGTGGTCATTGGCGGAGTTCACCACACACCCAGTTATCCGTCAGTGGAGCAGCTTCAAGATAAGTACAAAGCGGTTTTCTCCGAAGAAATACCAGGGAACAACGGACCTCCAGTCACACTGGAGCTGCGGGAGGATGCGACGCCGAAATTTTTGAAAGCTAGGTCGGTGCCTTTCGCCCTACGAACGTCAGTCGAGAATGAGCTTGACCGACTGCAGGAACAAGGGATCATCGAACCGACGCAACATTCGGAATGGGCTACACCACTCGTTGTCGTCCGAAAGAAGAACGGTACCCTACGCCTCTGCGGAGACTACCGGAGCACTGTCAACCTGGCGACAAAAGCATCTTCCTACCCACTGCCGACACCGGAAGAGGTTTTTAGCATGCTTCGTGGTGGAAAAATCTTCAGCACCTTGGACTTGACACAAGCCTACCAGCAGCTGAAGGTGAGCGAATCAACGTCTGAACTGCTCACGATAAACACTATTAAGGGTCTTTACAAAGTTAAAAGGCTACCATTCGGAATATCTGCAGCGCCAGCAATCTTCCAGAAATTTATGGAGTCTACACTTAGCGGGATCCCTAGGTGTTTGCGTCTACTTGGACGATGTTATTGTCGGTGGCGCCTCCAATGAAGAGCACACAGAACGCTTGGAGCTCATTTTGGAAAGGCTAGCAAATGCTAATTTGCGCATCAGTAAAGAAAAATGTGTTTTTGCGGTGCCTGAAGTGAAGTTTCTTGGACATCAAATTGACGCGCAGGGTATCCATCCCACTGAAGACAAAGTGCGTGCAATCACCGAAGCACGAGCGCCTACTAACAAGCAAGAACTGCAGTCGTTTTTGGGGCTATTGACGTTCTACGACCGGTTCTTAGAACATCGAGCTACAGTGGCCAACGATCTATATCAGCTCCTGCAGAAAGAAGTCCCATGGACTTGGTCGCCACGCCACCAAGAGTCATTTGTTGCCCTTAAGCAACTACTTCGCAAGTCTACTGTTCTGCGACACTACGACGAAAGGAGACCCCTACTGCTAGCCTGTGACGCATCACCATACGAAGTGGGAGCAGTCCTCTCCCAAGTTGACGACCAGGGACGGGAAGCCCCGATCGCTTTTGTTTCGCGCACCCTATCGCAGGCAGAGAGGAATTATTCCCAGCTAGATAAAGAGGGACTTGCCATCGTCTACGCAGCAGATCACTTTCAGCAGTACATTACCGGCAGGAAAGTGACTTTCATAACAGATCACCGGCCCTTATTGGGTATTATGGGTCCCCAGAAGCCAATGCCACAGACATTGTCGCCGCGAATGACACGATGGTGCATCAAGATGTCGGCGTACGATTACGAACTCGTACATCGCACTGGGAAGAAACACCAGAACGCCGACGCACTAAGCCGCCTGCCGCTAGACACCACAATAGATGAACCACCCCCGCCGGGTGATATACTCATGTTCGAGGCGCTGCCGAACCCTCCGCTAACAGCTGACACGGTAGCAGCATCAACGCAGGAGTGCACTGTCTTGAAGGAAGTCTACGCAGCTATACAAGAAGGCAACGTGCAGAAGCTAAAGGGTGAACACTTCAACGCTTACCGCAAGCGAGCTGCGGAGTTGAGCACTCATCGCGGTTGCGTCACCTTGGGATCAAGAGTTGTAATTCCAGCGGCACTTCGCGAACAGGCCATGTCGCTTGTCCACGCAGGTCATCGAGGCATTGTTGCCATGAAAAAGTGCGCCAGAAGTTATATGTGGTGGCCTGGTATCGACCATGATATAGAATTAACAGTTCACGATTGCCAGCCTTGCCAATGCAACCACAGAAGCCCGCCAAGAGCCCCTATTCCTGAATGGGAAAGACCAGACACGCCTTGGCACACCCTGCACATTGATTTTGCTGGACCTATCGAAGGGTGTTCGTTCCTGGTGGTTGTAGACGCATACACCAAGTGGCTGGAGGTAAAACAAATGGCTACAACGACATCGGCAGCAGTTATCGACACTCTGCGGTCGTTGTTTGCAACGTTTGGCCTACCGCGCAAGGTGGTCTCGGACAACGGCACTCCGTTTGTGTCCACGGAGATTCTCAAGTTTTACAGCGACAACGGCGTCTCGTCTGTTACATCAGCTCCTTACCACCCGGCTACGAACGGACAAGCCGAGCGCTACGTGGCTGAGCTAAAGCGCGCCCTTACTAAAGACCAGACTGGGACAATGCAACGCCGCATCGCGCGCTTTCTCTTCAGACAGCACAACACTGTTCAAAGCACTACTGATCAAACGCCAGCGAAATTGATGTTCGGACGAGAAATGAGAACCCAGCTGACAGCAATTGTCCCGGAGCCCTCAGCGAAAGCACCGTCGGAGGAAGAAAAGCTCCCGCATAGCAGGAGAATTGAAAGTGGACAGCGCATATACGCCCGCCAGTTCCACAGAAAGCCCGGCTGGGTTGAAGCGACGGCACTCAAACGCATAGGTTTGCGGTCATGGCTCGTCGACATTGGTGGAAAGGCCACACGCCTGCCACCTTAATCAGCTACGCCGTTCAGGTAATTTGCCAAGGGAACCTCCCATTCAAGCAGCCACCTCGACGGAAGCTTCGTTCCACTTAGCCTGGCATCTCGCACCAGATGAAACGGCGCCGCCGCCCGCCGGCCCTGAACACAAGAGAAACGACACCCAGCGAGCGGAGGCTTCTCTTCCTAGTGCGTCCAGAGCGTCCACGCGCCCACGGCGGCCCCCAGATCGCTTCCAAGCGACAATCTAAGGAGGGAGGAGATGTTGTGTTCCAAGCACCCCTGTGTCACGAGCGAGCCTCCGAACCCGCGAAGGACCGGATGCTGAAACTGCTTCCAGATGTTGACTCCTCCCCTTCCCCCGCTCGGCGCAAATGAGCCACCGTCGTTTCCCCCGGCAGTTCGGCCGCCGCCTCCATCCGAATAGGAATAAACCTGTTTTTAACCGTGCGAGGCTGTCTGAGCTTTTTGGACGACCGCGACCAACGCGTACGTCTATGGGCCGATGACAACACCGGACATAACACCAACCCACTAGTATGCTTATATGAAATCATATCTCAATCAACAGGCATGGTACATCTAATACAGTTCTAAATAGTTCTAAAATACCAAGCTAAAAAATTCACTTCTGAAGTAGAGCATGCAGCGTCACTGACCCGTGACTGTGGACTCGGCGACGCACTCCTTCGGTGCAGCCGAAACTGCCACATAGCCGTCCTGTTAAAACAAAAATTGAAAGAACAAACAGAAAAGCGAAGTTATGAGGGCAGACACTGTTAGACACACTTTAAATGCAACAGCCACCAAAACATGTCCGCACTTACGATAGGTGGATGCTTGAAAGGTGTTGCACCGAAGTTGAACTCCATCTCGGCGTTCTGCAAACAAAAGCAGAGCATGGCAGCAAAATATGCTATTTTATGTGCTGAAATAGCAAGCATAAGGACCATATATGTATTTTTTTTTTCAAAAGATTAATGTCAAGAGTTTCAATGTCTCATTGCTGCCCAAAGTGCACAAGCAAACTATGGTTCAAGAGAACGTACACTCGCCAAGTCAAAAAAGAACACAAAACAACAGAATCGATGTTTCGGTGCCCAATACAAGTGCTTTGTTCACAATGAACGAATGCATGGTGGTCTTTATTATATACCTGTCGAAAGGTGTAATGCACTTGCATATGCCTCGGGTAGTGGACCCCGTGTGTGATTTATCGTGTTAGCAGTAGATTGTTTGCATTCTCCGATTTACCGTGTCAGTAGTAGTAGTAGTGGTATGCATCTTGTGCTTCGGCCTCAGTACACTGAACACTTTGCAAACAGCATGCTTCAGAGAAACAAAAGAGAATAAAGTGAACAACAGGGATACCAACTCCTCCAATGATGACGGCATGATGACTGCGGTTCAAAGACCAATGGATGAGATTTTGCATTCGACAGCCGCAAGATGTGTTAAGAGATGCCACAGTGAACAGCTTTAGGATCTTCTTAGCCGTACGAGGTTTTCTCCAATGAGCGCATTGTGCCGAGTGAATGGATATTTCTGGTTTTGGAAACATAAAACCGTAGCCGAGGCACTTGAGAATCAAGCCTCCAACCTTGGATGCAGCATGCTCTATGCAGAAGTGCCATACCTTGAGCACAACAGCGGGAAACATGGGGCACCGCTTCACGTTTTGTGGTATCTGGAAGGCTTCCTCAAAGACTGTACCTGCGTGTGAAGATTCAGATTGTGTAAAAAAAAAAAAAAAAAACCTTTCATGCGTACCCTACCTGAAGAAGTAAGAAAGAAATTTGGAAACATCGCAGCTCAATGAGGCCTTCAGGCCCTTTTATAAAAACAGCATCACCGGAAAGCTTTTAAAGAGTGGACAAGTTACTACAGGTTATCTAACCTGCATGCTACCACTGGCATTTATGCTTCTTTAGACATGTATGCTAGCCTAAACGCTAGCTCTGTCTTAAGCCGATGACCAAAAGTTATGAAGGTGAGGAAGTATTTAAGGAGTGTGCCTGCTTTGGTCTTCTGAAACAGTCTTTATCTTTATAGTGCCAACTCAAGTTCTGAGAAAAATAAAAGATGGTATTCTATTATTTTTTTTTTATACAAACACTGCGTCGAAAACTTTGTGCCATTAAGTGATTTGAACATGTGCCACATACCTTTCACACTTCTAAAAAGAACATCTTTTACCCGACACTACTAGACTTTTACATGGAATATATGCTAGGAGTGTTTCTATAACTGATATTTCAGTAGTGTATACACAGTAGATATTTTAGGTTATGTCCACCGCACCACCTGAGTGGGCCCACGAAGCAGTGGGAAAAAAAAAGCTTACCTAAAACATAGTGAACAGCATAACAAGTATACAAGATGATATCACAGAAACATTAGTTGTAATTATTTGTAAAATATCAATAGAAACTGAGAGAACATTGCAATTTATTCTCCGCACATACCATTCTTGGAAAACTTGATGCTGCCATTATCCAGGTCAAGGTAGCAGCCAATCACATCGTGCATTCCAAAGGGCTGCAAGAAAGAAACAATGCAAAATTAGTTACACTTTTTTTTTTTAAGCTACAAGTGTTTCTTGTTGTGAGCAAAAGCCCGAAGTTCCCCAGCCTACGTCAGTCCCAGAGCATACACCAAGTTTTTACAACAAGCAAGCAAGAGAAGGACAAGCAAACAATGATGAACTTCACAAAAACTTGCAGAAATGTACTGTAACGCAATACTCACACTGTTCAATGCCATAATGCAAAAAAAAAATGTCAACAAAAACATCATTACAAAATTAAACATGCATCTGAAGCAGTCACTCACCTCCCCATATGAGTCAAACTGCTTTCCAAACGACTTCTTTCCCGTGCCACCAAAGCCAAACCCTTGCTTGTCAGTTCCTAGATAACGAAATGAAATTCACGTACTTTTTTCAACTTTAGTTGTTATATATCAAAAGAACAACAGCCCGAGTGATTTCTAAAGCTGCCAAAAGAGGCACTAATCTATTAAAAAAAATAAATACAACCTATACTCACCAAGATCAAGAGCTGCGGCTTGCGTAGACCACCCGACACGACAGAGACCTTCATCGGTGACCTTCGCTTCGTAGTAGTACTTTCCTGCAATGTAATAATCACTAATTCAATAGATTGATTGATATATCAATCAATCAATAAATGTAGAAGTGACAAGTGTAACTCAGTCAAGCCTTGATCTGTTTGAATTATCGTATAACCTGATCAGCTATAAAAGCTCCTCAGAAATCTCACATAGACATGCAGCACTGAAATTTGCTTACCACATTTTCTCACTTTTAATGTGGACAATAAATACAGTAAATTTGGAGCTAAGCTTGGGCTGCAAATTCTTGAGAATTTTGGTGTACAATACTACACAGAAATTCAAAAAGGTTGCTCCATGGCATATGCAGGAATAATTTTTTGAAAGCCTTTCTGCAGGTTGTCATTGGTGTTGATGGTTATAGGCAAGAAAATACAGTACATCGAGATGTTCCCATTCACTTTAGATATATTGAGCAGACTGCTGTGCAGCACCTTGGCAAGTTCGCTTCAACTAATGGAATCTGCTTTTTGCGTTATTATGAATCTTCATGCCCAATAAATATGTCGCAACAAATATTTTCAAACAAAGTATTGAGTCTGAACACAACTGCTGACCATGGAGCCCCATGTGTTTCTCTAATTACAGACAGCTAGTACAGCAAGTGTTTTATTTGTGCCTCATAATGACATCACGATAGTTATAGTGCGAGAACAGAGTGACAACAAAGAGACAAGAAGGACACAAGCAGTTTGCTTTAATAAACTTCGGTGCACAACTGTTGTGTAACGAGGTGAAGTGATACTAACAATAAAAAAATCTAATTGCCACACAGTGAAGCATACCGCCTAGGTAGGTGCAGCCTACCGTCTCTTGTATCACACCCGACACGGTGGTCTAATGGTTACGGTGTTCGACTGCAGACCTGTAGGTCGTGGGTTCAAATCCCAGATGTGCCGGCAACATTTTGATTGAGTAGAAATGCCATAGGCCCGTGTAATTAGATTTACACACCCGCTGAAACAATGAGTGGTCAAAATATATGGAGCCCTCGACTGCCTCGTAATCATATCATGGTTCTGGGACGCAAGGCTCCAGAAATTATTATTATCTCTTTTATTATAGTACTAATGCCCTGCAAGTATAACAAACTACCTAATGATTCTGGGACTCCTCATATCCAGCTTTGATGGATAGGTTTTGCCAATTAAACCAGCGGAACCATAACTTGCAGCGACAAACACACAAAGAAAACCTGCTTGATGTATATATAACTGCTAAAATGAATAAAAACAGGCAACAAGGAACTGAATTTTTAAAAAAAGTTCTGTTTAAAGGTCATTTATAGAAGGAAGGCATGCCTGACCTCTGTACTGGACTCCCTTGGTGCAACGGCATCCGTGCCAGCCTTTCTGGTCCCTGCTCTGAGTGGTCAGACCGTCGGGGCTGACAGCTGCGAGATATCGACCAGAGAGCTTAAAAAAAAAACTGAGGTTACGCCAATTTCCACACTATGCAGGTAAGCACTTGGCATAAAGACAACAAAACGAAGTTAGAGGAGAAAATATAAAAATTGGGAGAAGCGGTCACTATCCTGGAGGTCAAACGAAGGTGCACCTGTTTCCTGGAAGGAGAGCTTTCATGCTTGATGAGAAATTGGCCTCAAAGGAGTACCGACATGATTTGAAGACATCGAGAAAGGGACATCTTTCATTTCCTTGGTATGCAGTGTCAACACTCTCCACACACCGGAGTCAAGCAACATGTATAAAATATATCATTTTGATCTTTAAGATCTCATTACTGATCATCGGCAAGCCAACTCGTATGCAATGGATATTATCCCAACGAGTGAAGAAAGTTTGTGAGTTTCCGAGCCCCCCGTCTTCCAGAAGCAGCCAGAACCACAGAAATCACTGTCAGGGTCACTGACTGACAATTCACTCATCGTTGTGTATGTGCACCACAAGCAGATGACCGATTTGCCCCTAGTACGTCGCCAGTTTCCGTCTTCTCATGACATCAGACTGCTCTGACATGTCACTGAGAAGCCACCCCCTCGATGTCGAAACCGAAAGGGTCTTTTTAATGGAGCAGTAATGAAAACATCTTCAATGCATTCTCAAGCAATACAACACTTGTTTTAGGTTTCTCGACACCAGTACTTTTATTTTAAACAACAACCCGAAAGCTTTTTAAATTTGTGTCAGTACTCCTTTGATTCAGTCATCTCCTTGCCGAGATGAAATAAACCTTGATTTGATTCGATCAGGCCAATGCCTTTCTAAACATGTTAACTGCTAACCTGCAAGAGGTTAGCAAACAGTAGAGAGAGAATGAATAACCAGGTCAAAGCAATGGGATACATGAATGCGTCAGACAGGTTCGGAACAGATCTTCAAGGTGATGTAACGATCGCGAAAAGATGAAAGAAAGATCACTACGTTTTTTTCGTAACTCCGTGATACGGTATAAGGGGTGATTTCCCACTTTCTGACTCCGCCACACTGTTTTCCCACTCGACTTTGTAGAGGTCAAAGGATGTCGATGGGTATGTGTAAGGACGACTTTAGTGGCCTATGCTAGGTTCATTAGAGTACTCAGCCCAATCCCTGCCATCTCCTTTGCTAGAAAGAAAAACCGACATTCATCCAAGCTACACAAAAACCAGTAGGATGCCTTCCATCCCCTTGAGTGAGCTGATCAACGTTCCAAAATATGCGCTCAACAATGAGAATTGACAATTTGTTTTTGCGTATTCCTTATCATTGCTCAAACTCTATTCTCGAAGACATCGATGGTTTGCGACAGTGCAAGACAACTGAAATCAAAATGGTGAAGATATCTCTCACCGAGCGCAGATCCACGGTCGAAGAAACTCATGGCCCATTTTGTAGCTGCACGAAAAGTTAAGAACCAAAAAAAGAGAGAGAGAGAACCATTAGCAGACCATATATATGCTGTAAACATATCTATGTAAATATATTTACATAAACCATTCCTTCGTGAATGCACTGAAGATAAATGTTCAAACACAAGAACACATCATCAGAAATTTTGACAATTTATCAATCACAAAAAAGGCTGTACAGAGAGAGAGGGGCAGAGTACTCATCCAAAGAAGTGTTTGTATTTACTGAGCAGAGAAACACTGCTTACAGGTACACCTGAATATAAAGTTAATGTAGTCTCCTTTTCGAAGACTTAGATAATGTGTCTGGACAAAACAAGTGGATGGCATTTTGTACTTCCATTTGATTGAGAACAAAAGGCCCGTACAAATCCTAAAACCTCAAGTTCCTTTAACTTTTTTTTTTTACTTTTGCAATTTAGTTTTTGAGCATTTTGTGAGTGCTGTTCTGTTTTTTCCAACTGTACCCTGAATATCCTCAAGGTGACCCAGATGCCACAGTACTATACAATAGTAAGTAGATAGCTATAATATTTTTTTTAGTTGAATAAACACACTAGGTATACTTATTCTGTGAGATTGTTTTTTGCAGTTACTATTTCCATAGAATCTTATTCCACATTAACTAAAATATTTCAACATAATGAATATTTTCCTCGGCGGAGTACTGTAGGCTGTCGGTTTGGTCCCCCATCAGCAGCAACTTGTAGTTCTACATCCACTGTAAGAAAAGTTCCAGTTTAATTTTCTTTTTATTTATAATTTGCAATACTTAAAAAAATGTTTTCATATTACCTGGTATGTGTTTTTACTTAACATGACCTTAGCTATGTTTTCATACAAACTCACTAGGTGACAGGGTTGTATTTAGCACACATTGTTGGGGTTGCTTCGCATTATTTTAGGCTGCCGATAGCGAGCAGAGTGAACGCGAAGTTTTACGTTAAGCTCGATAAAACTGCCAATTGGAACGATGACATGATTTAGCGAAAATATATAGGCAAGGCACTTTGAAGAAGTCGTATTTTTGAATGCCACACAAGGAAAGCTTCATCACGACATCACAGACGTCTAACGGGCTGTGAAAAATGAATCTACAAGCATCAGTTACAGACTTGCCTGCTTGCTTCCAAAATGTCCAGAACATTGGCAATTAAGTATAGATAGCCAGGGAAGTTACTTTGATAAGAGCCAGGATCATTACTTGGTATGTGCCATTTTCTATTTATTAAGACCTTTACTCTGGAATTTTCCTGCAAAGATATTGCCACGCACGCTTCTTATTTTCACTTTATTTTCATTGGGCTTTCGCTTACAAGACTCAGGAGTGCTCAGTGCAAACTGCACCTGATTGTTCAAGAAGGTTCACGATTATTTTAGATCATTCTCTTGAGACTGCGCCCAAGATGCAAAGCGAACACTCAAGATTATTCCAGAGCTTGTGCAACAACCAGTGATAGGGCTGGAATATTCGATGGCACATGTGTAAATGCCGATGCCCTTCGCCTCTTGCCAGTTAATTGGCAGCCGACGCTCTATTCGCTGCTATTAGTGCCAGTGTGTATTGCTGTAATCTGACTTTTCGTTGACCGGCCACAAGTTCGGCCAAATACACAGTTTGGTCTTCGACCTACAGTCTGCTTCTTTCGTCGCCATCACGACCCCGTGACAGTATCTATAGAGGTACTCTTTTTTTTTAATTATAGTTCCTTCTGTTGTATCACGCCAGTACACAGATGTTCCAGTGAAGGATTATTTCACTTTTGGTACTTTTTTGCAGCAAGCACCATGAAACTCACATGCACTGCTTGGTTTGGCTCCTGCGCCGGCTTTCTTGCCTTTTCCAAGCTCGTCGTCCTTTAGTGTCTCCCATACAATTTGCAAGATCGGCAAACAGAAGGCACCGGTCTTGCCGCTACCGGTCTCGGCGGCCTGCAGGACGGAATGTCGTGAAGCCCTCAAAATGCAGAATATGTCGTGGATGGCGGGCTTGCAAGAGCGACACCATTTACACTGGTTTTACTTAAATTTCCCAACAATTTGTCGAGTCAACTTAAAGGCAACGGTATATTGGAGATTGGTTTTGATGAGCCCTGCAAGATTGCGAAAGGGTTCAGAGAATGAGACTGACAACCCCCAAGTTCTAACATAAAGCCACGAGGAAACTCATATAGATCGCTCAGAAAGAATATTCTGTGTCCATGTGCTTCGAGTTGTCGGTAAATTCGCCCACGCGGCTGGCATGTAACCTTGAGTGAAACGATCAGGTGTTACTCTTTCATCATTGTTCCCCTCTTAATTTTTCACTTACTCACATATACACTGCAAAACACATTAAAGCAAAAGAAACAAGCAATAATTTTATTAACAATTTAAAATATACAAGCTTCAAAAAGTAAAAAAAATCTACACAAGCATACTACACCACTAATCGCTAGGCTTTCTCAATATATTTTTGATAGCTGTCATTCCTTTCAACTTTCTTTTTTTTTTTCTGCGTAGTGGGTCTTGGGGCATTCTTATTTCGCTCAAATTATTTAGTTCGTCGGGTAAAATTGTGTAGCCCATGCACGAGAAGGCTCGATGGTATCTTTTAGTCCGCATGAAAGTTTATATATTAGCTTATATGATTTCCCTGAAATAGAGCTTGCCTACATTTAGATATTTATGTTCTCAAGAGAAGCCAATGGCAACCCAACAGTACTTAGTTTGTTATGAGGCATCATTTATATTACACTGTAGACATTACTTATTGCAAACAAAGGAAACAATTACAGAATGACAGACGGACATCATGAAACAAAATAAACTTACAGAGAAGTGATACTATGTTGCGTACTCAGAAAAGTTAAGCAAATGATCACTGACGATAATGGTCTGTGACACGAGTAAATCTAGAGAATACCAGAGGTATGTGCATTTTTATTTTCATATATACATGTGACTTTATAAGAAGAAATAGACACCACAATAGCACCGCAAATTATGGAACAGACTACAGACATTATGGAATAGAGGAATAAGCTTGCGAAACAGTGTTAGTATACTGCATGCTCAAAAACATCAAAGGGCTCCTAAATCACTACCGATATGTTTTTCAGGCATTTAAAGTAAACATACGCATTGTCTTCAGAATGCTGTCACGATCAGCATTGCCACAGGGGGCAGCGCTGCGAGCCATGGACGCCCAAAGATCTTAAGAAATGATCCCTTCTCCTCTCTGGGCCTTTACAGCCTCTCCACTAATGTGGCTGACGTCAGCATGTTGAACCTGTGATGCTGTCAGCAATCGATGCTGCGCTTGGTTGACCACGAACCTATGACTTCCGGTTAGTCTGCAAGCAATTGTCCGCGCTCCATGCTGTCGTTTGCCATGTTGCCCGTGTGAGTGCGCTTGCGATGTGGCTACTGCGGCACAAGGTCCATATTGGCACAATTCCTCATGGCACGGGCCAGCACAGCAATAACAGTGGGTAGCTGAGCAGCACGATGTTGACGATGTCGCAGTAACTAGAAGGGCACAGTCTCTCTTAGAGAGCACGTCAGTGTTGATGTACAGTATCGTCCACTGTTAAAGGGAACAATAATGAGCACCTGTCATATTGAGGGCGGCATAACTACAAGTAAACCTAGAAACATTGTTAACGACACTAGTCTACCAAAAGGAGTCATAACAGTCAACCAGCAGTAGTCTTATGCAAATCTAAGCACCTATGCTTTTGTCAGTGTGTGAAATCTAGACATGGTGCACAAGAAAGTGTTCCCTTTAGCAGTGAACCCGTCTGTACGTCATGTGGGATAGAGGTGTCAAATTTCAATGACCGAGTCCGAGCAAGTTTTTCTGCTCCTTTTGGAGAAAGTGTGTTCCAATGGCAGAGCGAGGGTGTGTGTGAAGTGTTCCAATTAGAAAGTAGGAGTGGATTCAAAGCAAGAGTGACTCCGAAGAGTGGGAAAGGTAGCAGGAAAGGTTGTTCTGCCAAAATCGGCGGAGTGGACCAGAACTCTGCGTGACTTGCTCCCTTTAACATGTTTGGCCACTTGAGGGTGTTGCCACTGTCGAGTGTTTTGGCAGTAATAGCAGATGACATGGGGGGTTGGGCAAATCATGTGGTATTGCTTCCTCTGCTCGATAGCGACAGCTCCGAGTCGGAAAACTGCAGTTCCTCCATGAGTAGTTCATTGAATCTGGTCACTGACATTGAAACTACAACGTACGAGCGTCAATTCAACAGAATTCGGCCTACAGAGTTAGTGGAATGAAATAACCACACGCAAGATATTCTGGGCAACTCGAGGACTTCTGCTTCCTCCTTGCTTCCATGCTTGTTCCTGCGGTGTGGATTGTGTTCCAATCACGGATTCGGAGGCATTGCTCTATGCCAGGGTCCAGTGCTTGCTCAAATAATCCTTTGGCTGCTTCGACTCTGCCATTGGAATTCAACTGAGAGGGGCACTCGGCGAGGAGGCGACCAGCTGACTAACAGAACGTAGCGAAGGAAAAGAGCCAAATGAGCGATCATCGCGTTTCGAATCATCAAATGCACGTAAGTCTGCTATTACGACACTGTTACAAAAATAGTCACGGCTACACGTTCATTGTAGACTTGTGCACAACTGCCACAGCACAACTTAAATTCGACCACGAGGTTGTTTAGGTGTTATCTAAGTGAATTATCTGTAATATGACTCAATCTAGACAACACTTAGAGTATATGCGTTCATGCTTTCATACACACGAATGACCTTATAAGCAGAAATACGACACAGTTACAACAGCACCGCATGTTGGGAATGAACCACACTTCTTTTTACCATGAGAACGTCGCCGCCTCCGAGAATGAGTGGCACAGCTTCAGCTTGCACGTCAGTTGGGAGCCTGAAAGCAAGCACAAGGACTTTATACCTAAAGTATTTTTACCATGCCAACACTGACATGTTTACGAGGCACACTGTGGTGAGGGCTAACGGACTTATCTTGACCATCCGGGGCACTTTATTTGACATGCTGCGAAGCGAACGAGCATTGTTGCATTTCGCCCGAACCGAAATGAGGCCAGAGCGGTTGGGAGTCGAACTCGTGCCTTCGCGTGAGCCACCTCTGTGAACTACAGAAAAAAAATTTTCTGCCAAATTTAGCGGCAGTCTGGCAACAACTACCCTTCCAGTCTGGCAACCACTTATGCAACGCCAAATGGAACCTTGCCTTGACATATATTAAAGAATATTTAAACAAGGAAAACTTAAACCGAACCTCGGACGGAACGTTCCTTGAGGTATGTTAAGATTGGCGAAAACGACTTGCTTTTAGACTAAACCTGTCAATCCAGTTTCGCTTCCGAGACCAAAGGCTTTAGCTCTATACTTTCATTCACGCACGATATAGACAAGAAATCACGATATGACTTAACAAAAATTAACCTGACTAATCGTGGATGAGTAAAACTCTCACGTAAAAGCTGCAGCTTTGACACATTTTCGAAAACGAACCACGGGTCGAATGGTTAAGGTTACAGCAGGGTATCCGGCTATCACGACGAATCAACTTTTCAGCGAATAATAAACGACTAGGGTGATAGAAACTCACGTCCATTCCATGTCGTCCACTGCTCGCGCGATCTCGGGCAGAACGCCCATCTCTGCAAATAAAACAACGCGACGAAACAACCTGTGAGCAAAACATGCCGGCACATACAAGATGATGTCCAGTCTACTACATGCCGCTCCCCAAGTGCAAGCTTGAATGAAACATTTCAAGTACGCCACACGTCTCAGCTGAAAAAAAACTACTCATCTAAAAGAATAATAGGGCCCAAGTGACTGAATGAAATAAATAGAAGTTGGTTTATACGAGAAACGTGTTTCACAAGTCGCAAAACGCCAGCGTGGGTGATCACTACGGCTACCGAAAGCGCAGCTGTCAAACTCGGTGTATCGTTACTTTATAATCTTCAACCACGCATTGAAAGACTCGCAACACGACACTTAATTTGTGTAAATTGCGGTTCGATCTATTACCTTCAAACGCAGTCATGATTGGTGCGAGGCCAAGCTTGTTGCGCTACGAACGCAAAAACGAAAATAACAGCGGCTATGGATTGATTTCGCAGTTTATGCAACACAGCAAGTCGACGCTAGTCATCATTTTATAGACAATGAAAAACTTCTTCTGTGTACCGCTTTTTTCTCAAAAACTGCCGTTATTTCGCTAACATAAAATTTTATTTTTGTTGTATTTTTTATTTCAATGGACTGTGAGTTTCGACGTAGTACTGCGCGCGTGACTAATGACTCGTGTTATTCAAGGTTGCGTAAATTGTAAATCTCAAAGGCCATGTTTATGTGCCCTCAAAGCGTTCAGTGAACGTTACACAGACTGCTGTGCGTGATTCATCAGAAAGGAGAAGTCCGTGGTTTCCGGTCGTCAACACTGTCCACGAGGGCGAGGGTTGCTGTTGTGAATGTTTCCCATTTCGTTTCGCGTTGATAAAATGCCGAGATTCGAGGATCGCTTGCGATAATTCACGTGATTCTTGTTGGCGGGTGTGATGCGCCGCGCCTTGTGGTGCTAGCTGGTTGTTCGTGGCGTCCGAGATCTAAAAAACTGTTGTCCTGGGAGTGCCGATCCGCTGCTGTTGGTTTCGGGCCGTACGTACTCCACAAAATAGTGGGTGGAGGTGAGTGGCCAGCTACTTCGTACTCGTGCGTACTCATTCGCTGTGCGTGTTGCTTTCCTGCCCGTGCTCTCCGACAAGTGCGCAGAGCTCGGCGAATGCGTGTGTTGTTCCCGCGTGTTTCGTTATCGATGAGTGCCTGTGCGGTGTCCAGTCGCTTAACTCAACGCCTGCGACGAAGCCTCTGCAGTCGACGGCGTCGAAGTTGGCTTTAAGCCGAGGATTATCAGTTATCGACGCCCAGTGGATGGGCGCTCCGTCGAAGTTGCATCATATTTATGCAGTTGCACGGTCAAACATCCATCAAGCCGTGTACTGGCACTGCACGACTCTGATCGCGTGCGCTTAGTGACGTAATGCTCTTGCACTGAGCGGCGCTTAGTCGCAGAAATCGTACGTATACTTCAGAGTGTGGACGACCAAAGCATTTTCGAATCATCCGTGAGTGTTGCATCGTATGTTTAGCTCGGATCAAATCGGATCTTATGTGCAGTCTCCGAAGTCCCTTCTAATTAAAGATAAAATATATATATTGCTGACGTAACAGTATAACGCACAGCTGTTGTATACTACATTGAGCCCCCCCCCCTTTCTCTATTTCTTCTAGTTTTTCTTCCAACTTTGAAATTGAAACATTTGTTTACATTTGGCTCATTTAACCTGTGAATTCCGGGTGACGCGATTTTGTTTTGTGTACATTCATTTCACGTTACGAATACATTTCAACTTCCGCAACACCTGCGGAATTTTGCCAGCGTGCGTCTTTTGTGATGAACCATGAACTCTGCGGTCGAAAGGACGCCGCTGACACACGTCGCAACGCGCTAGAAAGACGATAGTTGTAGCGCGAGAACAGAACGACGACAAAGAGACAAGAAGGGCACGAAGGATACTTGTCTCTTTGTCGTCGTTCCGTTCTCGCGCTATAACTATCGTCGTGTCATACCAGGAAGCCCAAGCTGCCTCACTTCTAAGCGCTAGAAAGCTTTCATTTTACTTGCAAACATTCGTGAAGAGACCTTAGTCTTTACCAGTGTTGCAGAATGGGCGTCTCCATTCCATTCCAATCCCGTTCCGGGAAATTGCAAACTGCCTTCATTCTATTCCTTTAAATTCCTCGGAATGAAAAAACTTGGCCCATTCCAACTCCGGGAATGGCCGGACAGGTCAATTTCAACAATTCCTCAACGTAGGGAAGGAACCTTGATGACTTTATCGAGCTAAGAATTGATGTCCCAAAAGATGATGTCATCATATGCATTGATAACTTCAAAAGTAAACGAAACACGTTACCATGGTTGAAGGATAGTAGCTTAGTCACTTATCTCGTGCAGTAAAACCTCACTACTAGTACCGACACAGGCAGTTCTCCTGCTATAGTATAGTATTTTCATGGGCAGCACAATCTAAGAAAACAGAGTTACTAAACAGTCTGGCAACGTATGTATTTGCTTGTTTCGAGCGTACTTTATTGCCTTCGCGGCATCTCATTACTATAGCTAGCAGCTAGTAAAGCTTCAAACTTATGCCGTTACTAAGAAGGAATGCTTGCTTGATCTTTTTTACGACATAACTATGAAGCCACGTACGTTGCCATATTTCTCGTAAACATCACTGTACCTCTTGCAGTAATCCCGACACTCTTAAGAAATATTTTGACTGGCCTTAATTTTGTCAACTTGTAATAAAAATATTATGCTAAGTGATGACACTCATATATACAAATGGAAGGGCAGACGATGATGTGTACAAAATGTCTATTATTTTTCCAACTTCTATGGCTGCTAACCAGTACTCAGTGTGCTATTTCAAAGTAGGAGGATAAGTACCCTTGAAACGACTGCTGCAGTATACAGTACCGGCTACTGCGGTCAAAAAGACTTGTTAGCCGGTAGCAAACGTATCAAGTTAGTCTTGATATGTTTTGTTTGTGCCACTTCACTTATTTCTCTAGTCTTATTATCCTCGTTTCTTGCTATTACTGTTGTTTCGAAAAAGATTGGCCTGCATCCACAATCCCTGCAATTGAGGCCTAAATGGCCACTGATAGCCCTGTTTACATTGTAATGATGCTCTCTGTCGCTCATTAAGGCATCTTCCTGTTTGCCCGATATATTTCCTTCCTAGAGACTAAAGAAATAATTGAAGTGGCACAAATCAAACGCATCAAGACTGTGTTAGCATGCCATCTATAACCCTTTCACAAAAATAATTTGAATCTTTTGAGCGATAGGTGATATGTACAGCATGTGTGTGGCATCTGGCATTGACGCATATCGGTGGGAGGTGGGGCCATCATATGTTATTTCTTCCTATTTTTTCACGGTCCAGGTTTATATGTGCCCACATGTCGAAAAATAAAGTCTGCGCTCGTGTCGTGCCTCCTTCATCTTGTGTGTTTTTGAGCTGTTTTTCCCTCTCTTAAGCATGCACCAACTTGCCCAAGCCGCAACCCTAGAAAGCCATTGCACAATGTGACAATTGGAAGGGCACCGTTGACGTGTTGCAGTCCACGTCTGTTTATCCTTTCTCTGTGTTGCGACCTCGTTTGTTTTGTTTGACTGCAGTGTTATCTCATCGGGGCAGGCCTGAACACTGTGCCCTGAGCAAAGAGGAACGCCACCATGCCGCTGCTGTACTGTGTGGTTGCACGAGGCAGCACAGTGCTGTCTCGGTACGCCAGCTGCGCGGGCAACTTCTCGGAGGTCACCGAACAGATCCTGGGCAAGATCTCGCCGGACGTCCCCAAGCTTACCTACTCCCATGGAAGGTAAATGAAATGCAGCTATCTTGTAGTTAGAAGCCCATTGTTGTTCACTGGCAGGGATATGTCATACCATCTGCACTTGTCCTGTGCAATGCCTCCTCTATTTTGTCAATGCCAGCCAGATGCGCCCAATCTGGCTATTTACCACCCTCTCCTCCAGCCCTTTGTTGCTCTCGCCCATCGCCTAGCCTTCACGTGTGCTTTGCGATCATGGGGAAGAGTCCCTCATCCAGTACCTCAAGATGGGAATAATGTAATTAAGTAATTTTTTTCATCCAATTGCGTACAAATCCTTGAGGCGGCATCTTGCATTCCTCATGATCACAATGTTGACGGTCACGCTGGCTTTGTAAGTGATGCAGCGTATTGAGATAGTGTGTCGCCATTCGTGGTGCTATGCGGGCAAGCAATGGGGATGCGTCACGGTGACGCCGCTGCATAACTAGCGCTGTGAGGTGGCGGCGGCATTGCTTTCCAGCCACAAATAAGGAGGCGTACGATATTTGTGTGGGAAACACTTGTATCGCATCTCCGGGGGGAGGTGCTCGGAAGCACATGTGAAGCAAGCAGCACTACCCATCACGTAGTAGCTTCGCATCGCAACCACTCCCTGAACCAAGGCAGACTGATGGCTCCCATCGAGAAGCGCGCTTTCGCACTGGCATTGAAAAAAAATAAAGGAGGCATTGTCCTCTGCCGTGTGTTCTATGTCCTGTACCGAATTGGTGCTCTACTGGTTAGGTGGGTTTGGTGAAAGTTTTCACTAACGAGTACATTAAGGACAGTGTGAACCTCTTTTGGAAGTAATCATCGAATGGCCTCAGTTTTGGAGTGTACGGCACCGCGAATCAATAGCCACCAAATTTTTTCGAATCCCTCAACGAGCGGAGTTGCAGGAAATTGTCGCAGCCTTCAGGCAGCTTCTACCGTCCCGGCGGCATGCTGCAAGCCACACGGGCAAGGATGCCATGGGAGAAATAAGTTGCATCGGCACCCTGTGGCAAGAAGTGCATCTTGTAGAAATGCCACTCTTAATTCACGCTGGCTTTCGGCAGATTATAATAGCACGTTATGTGCTCTTCAACATCAAACAGCAGGCACCAGCAGCTTTGAAGATGGTGAGGACAGGTTTCTGTATCAAAAGAGAGGAATGGCAGCCTTGAACTCCACTTGTAAACTCTCCCTGCCATGCTGATTTGGCTGAGATATTCATAGCAGTGTCTGGTATGAATGTTCATGGCCTTATCAAATCGAACTGATATATAAACTCTATATCTGTCATGCTTATTTTCCATAGACTTTGACTGTTTTGATAAAGTTCTTAAATTATTATAAAGTGTGCAATGGGCAGTAGTACTGTGTGATGTGTGTTGTGGTCAACCGTTTGGCATAAAAAATTCTCCCTTGAAGAACTGTAAACGAAACTGACAGACTTGAATGCATCTCAATAGATTATCCTCAACAAAATATCTTTGTTGACTTTGACTGTCATGGCGAGGTTCCTAAATTTTTCTCTTTGTTTTTATTTTCAGCTACTTGTTCCACTACATCCTTGAAGATGGCATTACCTACCTCACCATTACTGATGACGTAAGAATTTGTTTTGGAATTATTTCATGCTTATGTTTTGGCTAGTTGTGGCTGCTTGCAAGTTTTTTTGCAGGACAGCTCTCGTGTTTTGCTAGAGAGGTTGGGCGCGTTGAATTCAAGAGGGACATACTCCGTGTTTATATCCTTCAGTTGAGTTTCCCCAAGAGATCAGTGCTATTTGTTTGTGCTTAGCTTTTTTTTTTCTCTCTCTCTGGTTTTTCATTTGCTGTTATTGTATCAACGGCTTGTATTGTGGCTCTGTTAAAGCCAGTCTCTTACTGGCTTCTGCTAAAACTGGTCGATCTGTTGCAGGAATTCGAAAGGGTCAGAGCATTCCAGTTCTTGGCAGACATCCAGGGAAGGTGAGCGAGCAGCAGACTCTTTTCTTGTGGCTTATACTGCTGTTAGTGCGCTAATTGCCGCTGCTATTGCTGTGGATTGGACGGTAGTGGCTATATAATAGGGACGATCTGATCAGGTCTACAAGAATTTGACCTCATTAGCTGGCGGTTCTCTTCCCCATTTGCTCCCAAATTCCAGCCGTTTAAAAAAAAAAACCGTACGAATTTTTATTTCAGTTGATACAAATATGGGAATATAGGGGTGAGAAAATGTGCTTTGAAAATTCATAAGCTCACAATGGTGGGCCGCTGTTACAGTAATTGAACTCGGCCTTTGACGTAATCTCGTTATCAACTACTTGCTGTAAAATAAATGAAAACGCAATGCATTGGATCTTAAGATCTCTCTGTGGCATCTTCAGATGCCGCATTTCTTTGAACGTGAGGCCCATGGCTGCTGCAGCTATCTCAACTCTGTCAATGTGAGAATTGAATCGCAGAATTTCATAAACTCAGGCCTTCATATAATGAACACTAATATAACGAACTATCAGTTATAGCAAAGTAAATGGAGAATAATCGGAGTGGTATGAATGAACAGACAGAGTGGTATGAATGTGCCCTTATAACTATTTTTCTAACATAACGAAGTTATTTTCATGTCTTATGCAATTTTGTTTGAGGTCAAAACGTAATGACAATCACTTTTGCAAGTCGGTGTTTTCAATGAACGGAAGGAAATTTCCCAATTCTGGTACATATTGTATTTCCTTTGGCTGTTATCTGTTGCTTCGCTGATTTCTCTTTCATCGCAGGTTTCAAGCCAGCTATGGTCGTCAAGCTCATTCTGCTCTCGCCTATGCGATGAACAGCGAGTTCTCGCGGGTATTGGCAAACCAAATGGTGAGCTCGAATCGTTGCCCTCGACACAGGATTTGCCACTAATCTCCTCACTTTGTCGTTGTTTCCAGAAACACTATTCGGGCATTGGAAAGGACGCCGACAACATAACCAAAGTTCAGGAAGAAATTGACGAACTCAAGGGCATCATGGTGAAAAACATTGGTGAGTGGGTTCAGTTGTTGTTGCCTTCGATTTCGTGCACAGATTCCTAAAGGAAATGAATTGTTGATCATTGTGTCGACTGGATCCTCTAGATTATGCTTCTAACAAAGGCTAGCTTGCTATGCTAAGGCGAATTCAATGTCTCCTTTACATTTACTGGCTGCTTCATTTTTAGATGAGGCACAGCTTTTCAAAATTGCTTGTAACAAATAGTATAAGTGCAGCGCTTGAACTTCGTAGTTGTATGCAAATTTCACTAACCTCATTTAAAACTACCGCAAAATCCCAAGCAAGTGTTCCTCCTCCTCCTCACCTACGAAAGATAAACCGACAAGATTTGGAGGAATCCCGTGGGCTCAGATTTGTGGATGTCTTGTCGCATGCTGGCCAAACAGTGTTATATGAACTGTGTAAATGTGTATGTGTCGGGACTTTCTCTTTATTGAATCAATCACTATTGTATTTCACCGCATCACAGAAATCTCTGCCATTAAGTTTCATTACTCTTCATTGCTGTAATTTTAATATGTACCCCGAAACGTCAATATAATGAAGCTAGATATAACGAAATATCTGTTATAATGAAGTAAATAAAGAATAGTCTTGCCCTTGATACTCGGTTAAGAATCTACCTTTATAACAAATGTTTGGGTATAATGACTTTATTTTCATGTAAAATGCAACTTCTTTATAATGAGATTTGAGTGTATACCTGTAATGCACATTGGAGAGAGTGTTTTAGCGAGGTCCATTTGCAGCCGTCAAATTTACATCTGGGAATGCACTGCTTCGTTTCTCGGGCACTGTTTGGCCGTACTTAGCTCTTGTGCCATAAAACACTGCAATTCACCATTTTATTTTCTCATGTGCAGATACAGTGACATCCAGAGGAGAAAGGCTCGAACTGTTGGTCAACAAAACGGAAGCCTTATCAAGCACGGTCAGTTATCTTCTGCTTTTAGTTTATCTGCTGTCGTGCTTGGCATTTTATTTCACGTCCTTGTTGTGCTGGTCAAACATTTGTGCACAGGTTATATTGTGCGCTTTCATCTCTTGTGTTTGCAGTCGGTGACTTTCCGAAAGAGCAGCCGCAACCTCGCACGATCCATGATGATCAAGAACATTAAAATAGCCATCATTATTGCGGTCATAGTTCTGGTGAGTACTTCTCTGCATCCTTCAAGAGACTATTATTAGCTAGCTTTAGTACTGCGTATCTAGTGTTCGTAAGTGTCCTGCATGTGAAAAACCGCATTTTGCATAGAGCACATGCACGCAACTTCTGCTCATGCACATTATGGGAAATGCGCGGTTCTTGTGCACATGATACTGTTACAGATGCTATGTACACCATAGGAAAACTTTCTATAAAGGCACTGTCATCACTGACCTCTCTCTTATTACGACAAGGAGCAAAGTTAGCCAGAGAATTTTTCGAAATTAGATAGGCCTGCTGTCTTGTAGATTTGGCATGAGCGTTTCACAATGTGTACTTTGACAAAATCAGGTTTGGTTGATTATTTTCACTGGGAAGCATTGTGTAAGAAGTTGACTGGGATTTTTTTTTTGACTGATTTACGGTCAGCATAAAGACAAAATCATTGTCGGAGCTGAAATTGTGGGGAAAAAAAGCCTTTAGTTATAAAAGGTAATGCACAAAGAACACTGTGTAGATATATATATACAATCAAACCTGCACATATTGAGCCCTCACATATTGTGTATATCGAACAGTTATAACGTCCTCTTCAGTAAGCTTGCGATATATAAAATACTTTAGGCAGCAAGTTACCTGTACAGTAGACTCTCGTTGAACATTTCTGGTACCTAAAGGTACAAGAAAAATTTTCCATTTAACAGAAATTCCACGTACTACGAGATGTACAGTGTTTCATAATTCAAGTATGAAACCAATCGTATTAGAGGCAGCAGTTCTGTTTAAGCAATTTCAGTTTACTAATGAACTCAAACCACCATATAATGAACCCTGATGTAACAAAATATCTCGGAACAAAGTAAATTAAGAATATTCTTGCAGTAGGAGTATATAATTATAATGAATTTTTGGATATAATGAACATATTTTTCTGCAGATACAACTTTGTTATAATCAGGTTTGTGTGAAGGCACTTGACATGGTATTGTTGTGTGATCCTCATCATTTTTTATACATCCGGATCACACTTTAATGAAAACAAACTGTGCATTAGAAGGTTAAGAGCCCAATGTGTAAAGTGTACTACTATGTACAGTGATACTGAAGTGATCGGGAAGCTGTGTTCTATCTATTGGAAGTTCCATTTACCAAGGAACATGTACAGCCGTCAGCTTCTTTAACACGAACGCTCTACAGCGTGTTCTGCAGCAGTTTGATTGACTCTGACACCACGCACGTTTGAGTTCTGTTGCCGAGATGCTAACCATACGCGCCGACATACTATCCAAGCCTACTGAAGTATTATCTCGGCAAAAGCGCCCGGCACTTTGCGGCTGGCATCAATCAAACTAGCCCTGGCCATGCATCGAAGTGTTTGTGTTGAAGGTGCTCACGGCTGTACGTGGGCAGCAATCGGGTACGACAACAACCAAGTTAAACTGTACCGCGAGTGGTTGGAAAGTTGAACTTAATGAGCTTTGTGGATTTACCAGGCCAGACTTACCATCAGAAAAAGGAACTGAAATTTGACATATCCCACATCGTGCTAGCTAAATCAATTGTTCCTGCCTGCAGGTGGTGATCTACATCATTGTTTCGTCAGCGTGCGGCGGTCTAAGCTGGCCGAGTTGTGTCTGAGGGTCGTCCCCTCTCTTGCTACGCATAGCTGCCATCTCTCCACCTGTACGCACTGCTTGTCCAGCATGTGTCCACCTCCAGATGTTATTATTGTTGTTTATATTTGGTTACAAATGTCGTGTGTGGGAAGTAGCGTTAGGCAAACCAATTCGCCAGCCGGCTAACGCCTGCCTGGCCGGGGTTGTTTACGTCGCGGCTTATGGCAAGCAGCGGGCGAAGTACGGTTGTATAGAGTGCTTTTTCTTGTTCTCCCACTACTACCTTGTACGATATTTCTCACACGTGTTTAAAAGCTGATATATGCAGCCTGTATCTATAGGTTAATAAGTCGAACACAATGAATAGTACGTTAGTACACTTTAGCGGGAATGAAAGTTACGTGCTGCACGGTATGTTGGGTTCACGTCTGAATCCCTGCACGAGCCTTTTCTGTCGCTGCATGGAAATATTGTGTAAATTTAATTCTACTTGTGGCAACTTTGTGCAATTTTTCAATAGCTTGTGTGTGTAATGTGCAGTACAGTAAAGCTTTAGTCCAGTTTATACATATTTTTAAATGCTTACACTAGGTACTTTTTTGGATGCTGGAATGAAGTGAATCGCGCTGCCTGCATAAATTGAATGCTTGATTGAAATGCCAGAAATGAAATAGTTCTGCATTGCGTGCATCGTTGTACATAGCGAGATTGAAACAGCGTGTTTTTTTTGTGCTTTATATGTGTTTCAAGAAAGTATTAAATATTAGCACTTTATGAAGAATTCTGAAATTGTGTCAATTTATTGTTTACATTTTAGCTGGTGGATTTCCTGTTCACCTTGCCTCTCTTTTTGCTACGAAAGCTGTTATGCAATCGCAACTGCTTTTTTGGTGCCTTAGATGTCTGCCATCAGTGTACCTAAGCAGTATCGTACGAAAAAAAAAACTGGTGCGGGGTTCGAACCTGGGCTCTCTCTGGGCAGCAGAGTGTTCTACCACAGAGCCATGTCTGTGCTTAAAAGTCCTTCGGACAAGCTTCATGTCTGAAAGTGATGATGTTAACATATGTAATACAGCGTGGTAGAAAAGTAAAATGACAACCAGGCATTGTGGAATGCAAATTGTGTAACCAGGTACCACATAATGCGAGTTGCATAACGAGTGGGTCATTGAATGCTTTCAACCCATTACAACAGGCTTTGCAATAATTATTCATTGTCATCAGCCACTGCATCAACAAAGTGCACATATAATGCTTTGCAAATGCGTAGCAAGTATCTCTCTTCTCTGCAGGATGTAGTGTGCACGTGTCTTGAAGGATTACGGCCACTAGCGTGGGTTCGGTCGCAGCGAGCCGCAGGGCATGCGTTAACCATCACCATGGCGAGAACACAGTATTGCTCAAGGTCGCAACACTTTATTGCCTCTATTCCCTCAAGGATGACCGATAACGACGTCGGTGCTTCCCAACTTGACAAATTGTGACGCATGGCGCAGTGGGTACCTTGCAAGGTAGCCCACAGAGAATTTGCTGCTGGCTTTAGAAATGCCACTCTTCGAGCTTTTGTGCGGCTGCTGCGCTTTCCATGTAGGCCCTGGCTTTTTTTTTTTTTTTACGTGTTGTAATTGATCCTGGCTGCTGTAAAGATGCACGTGCCTTTTCTGTCACTGCTTCAACCTCAAACTTGTGACTTCCTTTGTAGCACAATTTAAAACTAGGGGGCTACATTTTACTGGTAATGCCTGCAGAAAGTTGGAGAGTAAAAATGGACGCCTACCTCGAGTATGATTCTCCAATGACTACTTCACTTATTCTCTGCAGGTTGCTTGAATACGAGTCGTAGCATTGGTTATGGCCACACAAAAATCTCTTCTTTTGGATCTGTTCCCTCTTAGAGCAGAAGAGTTGGCAGTGTGAATAGTATGGGTACTAGGTTCGCTGGCGCGACTGATCCTGTCGATGTGCAACTGGCCTCAAGTGTAAGCCTTCGAGCTGTTCACCGCTGCTTCAGATCAGCTGCTGTGCATGGCCTCCTTTGCTTTGCTATTAGCTGCCTAATTTCTTAATGTATATCCGTGACTGTGTAAAGCCTGTTAACCATTGGTGTCTAGTTATCTCTCTCCATATGATTACATAGCTGTACCTTCAATACACAATAGACAACAATGCGGAAGCCACGTGTGTAGCAAAGTTAGCATCGCTGTTGCAATGCTTCTACATTTTATCCACAAGTGATTTAGGTTCGGCAACCAAGGAACCTAGCACATTTTACCATTGTGTAGCCAACCAAGGAATCTGGCACACGGCAATTGTACATCAAGTCAGGGTCGCCACTAGTATTTTAAAGAAACACTAAAGGCAATTATTAAATCGACGTTGATTGTTGAAATAGCGGTCCAGAAACCTCTTAGTGTTACTTTTGTGCCAAGGAAGGGCCTATTTTTAAATAAAATCACGTTTTAGCGGTCCGCACTGGGCAACGCACTTCAAATTAGCCGCTTCAAGAAGTGGACCGACCGGACCGACTCTCGTCACTGTTTCCGTGCACAACATTGCCTGGCTTTACTGCACTAGTAGCAGCAGACCAAAAGCAGCGGGAGGCACAGCAGCAACAACGTCTATTAATCAATTTCCCGCCATTGGCTTCGAGATTGTGGACGTTTTTTATTTCAACTGCACCCTGCTAGGTGACACCACCTGTCCCGTGTAACCATGCAAAAATTGAATTTTCGAACCGCTCGCGCTATTCCCCATAGTAACATCCAGCGGTTATTTTTTCCATGAATCAAACAGAAACAAACAAGCAACATTTTATTGCGTTTCTTGATGCACGGAAGGTTCTTTATTTAGTGCAGTTAGATCGATTGCTAGTGATTAATTGTAGGCGGTCCGTCTGATGACATCGGGATCATTTTGAAAATGTCCAACTGGGGCGCTTGTGTTTTTGTGCATTTACCTTAATTTCTCGATAAGTAGGGCACTGTTAATAATATTGTCATTTTAGATGTTTTGATACATTGAGCTTTCACTCTGACGTAAATTGCTATTTGACTTTAGTGTCCCTTTAAAGACGATAGCCTTTCTTGGGGACCTTCTACGACAAAATTTTGATTCGTCTGTCTGTACATTTGTATATTTGTCCATGGTAACGATCTCCCTAATAGCACCAAACGATATCTCAAACAGCCAACCTCATCCGCAGCGCCCGCCAATATTGCTCAAGTTTCAGCATTCATACTTGTGCGATAATCAATCAAAAAGCAATTATTGTGCATATCTGAGGCACCATAACAACACATCGATGTTTTGTATGTGTGGCTTTATACTAGAGAAGGCACACAAAAGTAATTCTAAGGAACGTAGCGTTTATCACGCTGCACTGACAGTGCAATGCGATGCTCAAAAAGACAAGTGTTTCCAATGCTTTGCTAAGACGACATGGTGGTGGCACCTGCCTGTCGCTTTGCATTCTACACCTTATCGTCTCCGAGACAGGCGCACATTTTTCTCTGCGGGCGCGCACACCTTCCTTCATTTTCGAAGATAACTGCCAGATGGCGCTCGTGTATACGTGCAGCAAAGGCGCCTCGATGCGCTCGTTCGCCTTCGCTGCACGGATCAAGACTCTCTAATGCAGCGCTTCCAAAATACAATATTTTCTCGCTAAGAACATCAGTTAAACGTTATGTTCACTCTCTCCACACACAAAGTTATCGCCTTTCAACGACATTTGTGGTGGAACATGTACATACGGGGCCAATCTTTTTTTTCTGCGGGGCGTGAGGGGGTAGTGGGTCACTGACGACGATTGTGTTCTTTCAGTGGGGCAGAGAGGCACAGAACTTATGCATTGTGTTTTGACTATGCTTGCTCTTGGGGGGGGGGGGGGGTCAAAGGGGGGCAGATGATGAATTTTGAGGGGCCCACATGTGCCCTGTGCTGGCCCTATGTCAAGTGCAAGTTTTTGTAGTGTGCTCATGCTAACCTGCTGCAACCCACCCCGTCAGAAAAGCACTGTGGCCTCAACTTGCATAGAAATTTATCGTTCACAATTGTTCGACAGGGCTGATGCAGTATACACCATTTTGCAACTTGTGTCATATTCTTCTGTTCAACTTTCCCGAAGATGCTGCCACCTTCGCTTCAATGTCCAAGCACTATTGTGGTACACTGCACAGAACATGGCCTCTTCATTTCACTGAAACTTCCCTAATTTTAATTCTTGTCTCACACTTGTAATACCAATGTTATGGAACTTCATGAATGCTCCAAGTAAAAAAAAAATTGTGTAAATAATTCTGCTGCTTGTGCAATTCTTAAAGGAGCTCAACTTACTGAACCTAACAATGCATTTTCATAGCTTGTGCAATGACTTAATATTTGTCCATCACTATAACAAGCAGCAACAAATGAACTGAATTCACTAATAGGGGTGTCAAAGTATCTCAAAGTTTTAAGCTTTATTCATAACTTACAGCAATCATGGGGCAATACGTTTCAGTTAATGACCTTATGAATAAGCTTCCCATGTTGGTTTAACTACATGGTTCGAACATGCAAAGCACACACGTTCATGTTTTCACATCACGAGTGCCACATGTTGCAAGTATCTGCCCATGACAGAAAATGACTCTAATAATCTCTGCTAGAGCAGTTCTTCAGGCAGATGTCATATGACACTTCCCAACCATATTTTTATCTACAAATACAAGAACTCGTGTGCCTCAGAGTATTGTATTCAAGTAGTCTGTCTGTTACAATGAGACACGTTCCCTCCTTTTAGCAATAAAAATTCAACACCTTTCAAACACTTTGTACAAGTTAGGCAAGCTCGCCACTTGCAACACACAAGAGTTCTCCATGTACTCTGCAGGCAGCCTAAGCGTTTGCTTCGCCGCTGCAAACACAACGTGTTCGGTCACCCACTTCCAGCTGTTCGGGTCGTCATCTCTACTGGTGCTTACCGAAGGTCCCGCATAGAATCGCGCAGTCTCCCTGCAGAATGTCTCGAAACACTCCTGCTCCTTCTCCCACTCGACTTCCGTGGCAAGCCGCAAAGCGTACATTGGCAGTCCTTCCACTGGCGGAGTGTGGTCGTTGAGGACGATGGGAAGGGAAGTGATCTCGCCCGCCTCGTTGATGCCCAAAGAGAAGTAGTCGTCAAGCATCTCAGCCTTCGACGTTAGGAATGTCGACATGTAGCGCGCGAGCTCCTCTTTGGGGCCGTCTGCCTCAGTCCATCCGCACTCTTCGAGTCCAAGGGCCATCATCGCGAGCTCGTAGATTGGGGCAGGCTCGGACAATTGGTACAGGCCGAATCGGCCAAAGTTCTTGAGCATCAGCTGGTAGAAGAGTTCTTGAGACACTTTCCGCTGTGTTGATGAGGTAGAGTTCCGTTTTGTGCTGGACCAGAGAGTAACGTTGGTTGACGCAGCCGACAAAGGTGTGGTTACGAAACAGCTCCCGGAGGCCTGAGTGACTGTTCTTGATTACGGCCTCCCAAAGGTTGATGACGCTCTGTAACTTAACTTGAGGTCGCTCCGCTGCGTCTTCTTCGAAGTCCTCAGATTCGTGAGCAGGCTGGCTTGGCGTGCCTTGCTTTCCAGCCTGCGGCGATGGTTTTTTCAGGAAGACATCCAGCTTCTGCATCTGGGAGTCTGTACGGACCATGTGCCTCTCGTCGACCGAAGTGGACGCTCCACTTCCAGTCTTGTCGGCCTTCTTGTTCGCGGCGGTCGTGGTGGAAGACTTGGAGGACGACGCGATGCGCGGAAGGCATGCTTGCGTCAGGAAGGTCCTCGAGGAGTCGCACGACAGCAGGGCTGAGTCTATGGCCTTCTGGATGCTCTCCAGGATTAACTCCTCGTGCAGGAAGTGAACTTCCTTTTTGGTCGGGTGCACGTTGACGTCCACGTTTGCTGGGTGTATTTCTAGCGACAGGTAGAGCCACGGGTGTGCATTCTTGGGCAGGTACGGCGCGTAGATGGACTCGACGGCCTTGCGGAGTGCGGCGCTCTCGACGAGACGGTGGTTGATGAAGAGCAGCATGGTGCACTTCTTGTAAGAGCAGTTTGCGTTCGAGATGTAGCCCTTCATCTTGAACTTGGCGTGTGCGTCTGCGCACTCGACCGGAAGCAGCTCGCGGCTCACGTTCTTGCCGTAGATGCACTCGATGTTCTGCAGCGTGCTAGCCTCGCTGGTCGTCCTCACGTCGGTCGAGGAGTCGTCCGCCTGCCGGACGGACATGGCGACGCCCGCGTTGTGCACCGCGTACCGACTCACGACGTCCACTATGCGACGGTACTCCTCGCTGGGACTCTTGAAGGCGTTCCTTCGCGCGGGGGACGTTGTAGAAGAGGTCTTCCACGACGATCAGCGTGCCTCTGTTGCCGGCGCAGGGCTTGGCGGGGCCCGTGGGCCTGCCGTTCAGGTAGGACAACTTGTAGGCGCACGTCGAGCCCTCCGTCTTGGTGGTGATGGAGACCCGGGCGACGTAGCTGATGCTGGCCAGGGCTTCACCCCGGAAGCCGTACGTGGCGATGGATCCCAGGTCCTCGAATTTGACCAGCTTGCTGGTTGTGAAGCGCTCGCAAACGATGTCGAGGTCTTCCTTGCGAATGCCGCATCCGTTGTCCATGATCTGCAACAGTTTGAGGCCGCCGCTCTTGGCCGCCACTTGGATGCTCGTGGACTTTGCGTCGATGCTGTTTTCGAGCATTTCCTTGAGCGCGTTCACAGGTCGCTGGACCACCTCGCCGGCGGCGATGCGATTCGTGACCGTTTCGTCGAGACGACGAATTTTGCCCGGTTCCAACGGAGCCGTCGTGTCCATTTCGTCCGGCTCTTGAAAACACGCAGGACGGCAATCGGGACAACAAAAACACGCGAGTTGATTTCAAGTTTTCAAAGCTCCACGTTTTCCATTCAACGCGCAAGTACGTGGCACACTTCTAGACATCTTATAACCTTTTAAAAAGCGCCTCTCAATATGTATCGTCCACGTACCAGTGAAAATATGCCGCGTTTTATCACTTTTTATACTTGGACAGCCGACAGCATGGCCTACAGCGCAAGCAGCCGATGCGCGCCATTTTCGCGGGCTATCGTAGCGCTCCTCGGCGGCGTTCAGTAGCATGTTGTACTTGAAAAAAATTTGAACAAGCTGCATAAACTACAATTTTCGCTCATATGTGACCACTATTATTTATTCATTTTGTCTAAAATAAACAGTGTCTAAAATTGCTTTCTAATAACGACTGCTTCTTGCGGTAGTTGGGAATCTCAAAAGCTTCTTCTGTGTGTCACACGAAACATTTTATACGTCATGCTTGCATTAATAAAAATAACTCACATTTAGACGTCTACACGTCTAAAAGTCTGGCCACGTATACAAGATGGCGGCGTCCACGCGTTAAACAATCGTCGCATTCAAGATATTCGATTATATTATTTAGGCTCGCAAAACATCGCCGACTCCTCAGGAGAGTCTCATAGGCGGGTCGTGCGCCCTAGCGCGGTCCCCGATCGTCGTTTGAAACGCGAGACTGTGCTCACCACAGCCGCAGCGCACGTTTGCGGAAACGATGCCCGAAATTTGTCCCAGTGGTTTCGTGGAGGACATCGAGGACGTGGTACGATCGGCCGAGGATGTCTTCTTGCCAAAGACGCGTAGCGAGGTCGTTCCTCGCGTCAGGAGGCATAAAGATGCTCCTGATGCATGCGGCGACAGTTTCTTGCCAGGTGAGATGCTTACTCGCTTGCAGTCGTCGCCTTGGCGCAGCAGATGTGCCGGTGGCATGCGCTTCGTGTTGATCGTGATAGGGGCTGATCTGGATCGAATTTGACGAACTTGATAGGATCATTTATGTACGCTGCAGAAGGGAACCAATCGCAGCTTAAAAATTTGATCCCGATCGGGATCGATCGCAGTCACCAGTCATCCTGTAACACCGGTGTTAGATGCTCCTTCGTTAATGACCTTTATCAGCACAGTGGTAGGATAAGGTACATTGAATCCACGAGTGAAGTAGAAACGTTGACTTCCGACTGGCCTATGGAACAACGCACGTTAGATATCAATCGTCATGAAGGCCAAAAGTAACAAAGTACTAAAGGGGACCTGCAACACTTTTTCAATTAACCACCAAATGGATTTATACGTTACGAATTGACCGCTGCAAAAAAAAAAAAAATGGAATTCGTCCGATACGAGCGGAGTTACAGAAGGTTGTCGCCTGCTGTAATTGCTTTCTCTCTTTCTCTCGCCCCGACGAGCGTGCTCAAAGCTGAGGTGGAAGTGGTGGCACAATAAGTTACGTCACGCGCGCGTCATGATCTTGAGTATTTGTTGATGCAGAGCGTCTTATGGTCGAGGTCAATCCGGTGTGCGGCGTGACCACCCTTACAGAGCATGCGCGATCCTCTCTCTCCTCTAGGCCATGACCTACTACACTCCTGACCTGTTCAGATAGCGGGGTTCCTATGGGAGCGCGTGTCCCCGCTCTCGTTCAATCGCTCGCCGTAGGTGGCGCTACCTATAACCTGTTCGTCTGCTACTTTACGGCTGTTTGGACGGCGCTAGAGTAAGAACGGCTGCATTCCGTGATGAACAGCCGGCATATATGTGACTATTTTTTCACTTAGATGACTGGTCAAGTAAGCTGTTCAGTGTGACGAAAAATTTATTGCACACTGGTGGACAAATGCGAGAATCCGTAGACTTACATAGTGTAGGACAGCATATGTGATGTTGCGTCCATTTAATTGCAAAGAATTTGTGAATGACTTTTGAAATATTTGTTTCAAAATTATTTTTCATTAGTGCATAATAATTACGCAATATGAGTGCTCTGTTGGCCGAAATATGACCACGAACACTCAAGCTGACGTCAGCGAACAGGTGCTGACTAGCGCCACAGTGCTCCTAAGTTACGGCCCTAGCGGCAGAAGGTATGAACTAGAACGTGGGCGCTGGAAGAGGTGCTCTCTGGGCAGGTCAGGAGTGTAGTAGGTCATGCTCTAGGCATCCCTCCCAACGGCGTTTACACCCCCATTGCGCATGCGCGTCTCCTCCCGCTCTCCTCTCTTGCGCTGCCCCCCTCTCTCGCCTCGCGACGACGACGCAGGCAGCGTCTGCTAGCCCACGTTCGCTCCCAGCTCTCTTTCTCCTCGGCATCCCTACCAACGGAGTTTACACCACCATTGCGCATGGGCGTCCTTTCCCCTTCTCACTACTCTCCTCCCTCTTTAACCTCGGAACGCCGGTGCAGGCAGAATCTGCTAACGAGTTTCTTTATTGAGAAAACAAACCGGCTGCTCGCACTGCAGAACCGTTCACTAGCCACCCCGTGTATATAGGCACTGAGTCTTGACCTCCGGTGTATTGCCGGTGGGAAATTTCTTCTGTGCGTTGTTGAACAATATAAATTCGCAACGTGCGCATTAGCTGAAAGTTGAATGCAGGTCTCTGTGTCCTACAGGAGTCTTCTGTCTCTCATTGCCCATTAGCAGCGATTTGCATGTTCCCATAGGAAGCACTGGTTCATCACAGTGTGTCGTGCGCCTCCCCAGGTTCCTCTCCTGAGCAATGCTGCGATGAGTGCCAGTGCAAGCGTTAACGCCCACTGCTTCGCATCCACACATGGTTCCCTTTGACCGGTGATAGTGTAATTTTTTCCTTTTTTTTACGTGAACACGCGGCTTGCTTTCAGTGTGATCGTGAGCTGGTACGTGGCAACTTTTTACAGCGGCCTCAATAACTGCGAAGATCACAATGCTCTCAAATCAGCCAATGGCCGTAAATTTGGTGTATGGTGTGATCACTCGAGTATATAGCATCATTCGTAAAAAGAAGAGGGAAAAATTCAGCTGACTTTGAAAATTAAATGTAAATTCTAGGGTGCGTGCTGCATTATGATGTTTGGCTCGCGTGTTCTCAGGACCCTCGACTATTGATCGGCGGTGTTTTCTGACCATGCTGGACAAGTGTAGCTGGGCCCTTCTAAACTGCTTCGAAATCGAAAGCAGGAAACTGATTTGGACATGTGTCTAAGATTGTTCGTGACGCGCCAGCCATCAGGAACACTAGGGAAATTGAGAAAGCTGAATAACCCATGCTTTGTGCAGATCAAGCCGGAGATAAGCAACACAAATATAAAAGTTATCACATGCAACAAAGTAAATCTGAAAATGTTTTTGTCAGTGTAAGCATACGTGGAATAAATCTAAAAACGTTTTGCCAATATCAGCATATTGTAAGTAAACCTAAAAACATTTTTGCCCAATATCAGCATATGTAAAGTAAGTCTGAAAAGATTTTTTTACCAATATAAGCATGTGTGACCCAAATCTGAAAGTGTTTTTGCCAATATCGGCATATGTAAACTAAATCTGAAATACTTTTGCCTATATATCAGCATATGTTGAGAAGATGTACTCACATCTTCTGAAGTAAATAAAAAACAATTATTATATTTGCACGTATGCTGTGATAGAGCTGGTGCATCATGTAAGAAACCCATACATAATGAGCTGCCATATACATAGCAGTGAATATGAAAGTGTTTGTCACCAATATAGGCATTTTTCAAATACCTACTTATCAGGAATATTGAGTGTAAAGAAGGTATCTTCATTTCGAAAGAGGCTTGGTTATAGTGACACCTTACTGCACCTTCTCTTTCACATTCAGGCACCCACAAGATTCACGTGAAAACCTGGGGCTGTGCCCACAACAGCTCCGACAGCGAGTACATGGCTGGTCAGCTAGCTGCCAAAGGATACACAATCGTCGGTGAGGACATTGCATGGCAACCAATAATCATGGCGGGAATAAGTGGCAGTTTCTGAAAAGTGTCTCCATATCTTTGTGAAAAACCTTATTATATTTATTTACTTGAAACACCTTAATTTTCTCACAAGAGACTTTAGGTAAAGCAGGGGTCAAATTTGAGACTTCCTAGGCAGTTTGTGCCACACTATTCGCAATAGTTCAGTGCGTTAAACTCTATGCATAATACAATAAAGTGTTCAGTAGACATTGGAAGAACAAAAAGATGTTAACACATCAATTAATATATGGTACAGTTACAATGTGGGAGTCCAGCAACACAGATATAGTAAATTTATTCAGTGTAAAGAAAATCGATTTATGTATCGAGAATTCTACATGAGGCACACCACAGAGCAGCACTCTGGATTAATTTGGACCCGTATTGGCATTAAATGTCACTATAGCCTTTGCTTCAAGATTGCTGCTTTCTCTCCATTGGTACTCTCATGAAGCGCGATGTTTTTCTGCTTAGGTTATCACTGGGCTTGTTTTCAATTTAGAAGCAAGTTGTCAGACAGCAGCAACGACGGCTTCAGAATTCAATTCCACCCTTGGCCGTTGCCACAGACGATGCCAGAAGTGCGGACCTGTGGCTGCTCAACAGCTGCACGGTGAAGAACCCCGCCGAGGACCACTTCCGGGGTGCCATCGAGGCGGCCCTGCAGCAGGGCAAGAAGGTGGTGGTAGCGGGATGCGTCTCCCAGGCGGCGCCCAACGTGGGATACCTCCGCGGCCTAAGCATCGTCGGCGTGCAGCAGACTGACCGCGTCGTTGAGGTGGTTGAGGAAACCCTCAAAGGTGCTCGCGCCTTTCTGCACCTTGTCTGTTTTTTCTCAAGCCGGCTCCAACATAGCAGTCGTAGTGATAATCGCAGTCACTATCATCAGTGTCATAATTCTGGAATTATCTTCCAGTTGATGTCCTTTTTGATAGTAACCCTAACAACATGATTATTTTGTTGTTTAACTTTCAAGCTCCATTATTTTCATGAATGTTGTGTTTTGATTTTCTTAAGTCTGCTTTAATCTGTCATTGTATTTGATGTCAATTTTCACTAACATACTTTATTAATAACTTTGTTGTATTTTTCTTGGTTGTTTGGAACATTGTAACTTTGTTCCTCACAAGTTACATATGATTTCATTGTAACCCCTCTTACCCAATGTCATTGGGCCTTGGAGGTACATTTAAATAAATAAATGACATGCCAGGCTAAGCGTGTCCCCATAGACACTTTACTACCTCATATGGCATCCCCGCGAGCACCAGTTCTGTCATCTTATCACTCATAGTTGTAGACTGAACCCTACTTGTATCTTTCTGTTAGGAACATAATGCCATGCTGCTTAAAAAAAAAGGAGCTTTGATTGTTCAGATTTTTTTTAATGCTTGCCGTCACTATCAAAGGTTTACCCTTCACGGAAAGCTACAACCATCTTTGTTTGCCTCTTTTAAATATTTGCAGACATTTTGTTTTTCTGCTGCAGCAAAGAAACAGCTGCATTTTCACCATCAGAGTGATGGAAGCTAAAAAGAATTCTTTACAAATTTATTTTAAGAAAATGCAGTGCACAGTGCATTTGATAAAGTGAGGCAGTGCCAAAGCAGTACGCTTGTATTGAATTCCTATGCTGTTATAAAAGTGATCAGCCAACAACAGCATTATTAGTCAAGAGCAACTGCTAATAAGTGCTAACCTGTGCTGGGCTGGGCTGCTATCTAGTGAGCAAGCATGGTTGGCTTCAGACAAACACCACACTTCTTTAACAAACCAGTTATTGTTCTAGAGTATATTTCATCTTGGTTGCAGTTTATGTGACTGTTTTTCTGTCCTACTAAACATTGCTAGAGATTTTTTTTTTTTCAAAGTTGACCTAAAAACTGTTTCCTGAAACCCAGTTTACTTCCATGAAATTCCTTGCATTTATAACTGGCATTCCCCACAAGTTTCGCACGCCCTATTGAACCTGCGAATCATCAACAGTTGCACGATGGCGTATTACTTGTAGGGACTGCACATATTACACACATATGCCTGAGAGTAACTATTTCAGCAGCTGAATGAGGCACAGTCAAACAAACATGTTTTCGACAGGCAACTCCGTTCGGCTCCTGGGTTCCAAGAAGGAAGGCCGACGGAAAGCCGGCGGGGCCCCACTGACCTTGCCGAAGATTCGACGCAACCCGCTTATCGAGATTATTGCCATCAATACAGGGTACTCTTGCATATCATATAGACTGACTTACCGTACTAACTTGCCACAATCATCGCTAATTGACACTTACCAAAGTTTCATTCTTCGTATTTACTAGATTGATGAGAGGACATTTTCTAGGAGAAATTTCTAAAATGTGACGCATGCATTAGAGTAAAGTTTGGAAAAAAACTGCAATAAATTTTCAAGTCCCAGATCATAATGTGAAATCTCAAAGTTAAGGCTGTGGTAGCTAGAAGCTCCTATGAAAATCCTTGTACATCACTTATCACTATCACTCTAATGTATAGTGCAGTAACTACAGAGTTTCAAAGCTTTTCTTCCTCCACGAGAGAACGAAAATGCTATTTCAATCGCTTACTTTGTAAATATAATAAGGAGACAATCAAGTATGATGATTGCATTTTTAAAGTATATAAATAATATAAATTGGGCTGGGGAGTTTTGTATGGTGTCAGAATTGTATGCATAAAGCACTTTGAATAAAGTAGACGCTAAACCACTATTAAAAAAAAGAAGAGACGAAGGTAGTGTACCAATTAGTTCAGCGACAAGTTCCACTAAGTGAGTGCAGTGCTATTAAAATCAATGTTGAAATAGACAACATGTTAAAGTTAGTAATGTAAAACATGCTTTCAAACCTCCTTGAACTAATGAAGCATGAACAAGTTTAGGTTTAACTAAAAGTTTCTATGCGATTTTTTTTCTTCTTCACGCGACTTCGATGCTATTTTTGCTCCGTGATATCGCACTCGTGCTGCTTGAGCGCCCCCTCAGTGTGCATTTTTGGAACTACGTTACTGCATTCCTTCCGCTGTGGTCTTGTTTTTTTGTAATATGACACTGCATGTGCGAGCCCGGCACCATTGCCACTCTTGCACACAAATATTTCACGTGAGACGGCAGCGATGAAATGAACGAGACAGTATTAAGTTCCGCATTGTTTTCAGCTGCCTCAATCGATGCACCTATTGCAAGACGAAGCACGCCCGCGGTGACTTGGGCAGCTACTCAATCGACGAACTGGTGGCACGAGCAAAGCAGGCATTCGAAGGTAAATCTGCTTGAATAGATGCACACTGTGCCGATACAGATGTAGAGATCTACTACATAAACAGCAAAGCCAAATATCTGTTGCATCATAGAGAACATATTTTTTAATTTGAAATGGGTGCTATGTAGTTTGGAAGACCAATCCAATGTCTTACACTTGTATTCTTTTGTTTTAACGACGGAGCTGTTGAGCATTTCATTATGACAGTTTGCATCGCTAGAAAATTATCATCATCAGGAACGAGTATTGGCCACGAAAAGTGTGCAATCCAAGATAAATTCACAATAAGGTTAGTGAGGCCAAGCACAAGAAGACAATTATTTCCGACGAAATGATTGTAATTAAGCCTAACAAAGCATAAATGTCTTATTGGTGAAAATTAAGGTTGTATTAGTAGCACTAATTAAGTTGCATTTGATTGAAGCAAACCCACCTGACACACTTAAAACCGAGCGATCCACCGCATAGAGCTGTGAAAAGCGTGCTTGATTCTGTACAGTTACAACCAGTGGTTTCAGGCGCTTTGTCTGATGGGGGTGTCGGAGGGTGCGTTCCGGAATTCCACGTGGCCTAATTATGCTAATTAAGTTAAGCATGGCCGAGAATGGTATCTCTCAATCGAGTATAATTCAATCTAGATCGTCCAAACTTATTAAGACTACTTAAAAGTGTACTGACACAAAAATTTTGGCCTCTCGTTTTTTGCTGCAGTGTGTTCCTGGGGGCCTGTTAGTGATAACACGACACATCGTTTTCATCAGCACGTGACAGACAATTAATTACAGGCTCGTTGTTACCAACCAGTGTCAGTTTCAGTTTCAAAAATGATAAGCCACCGGGTGCAACTATCACCGCCAAGCAGGTGCCATGCTCGACCATGTTTGCACACAGAAATGCGACGCACTTCTGTGCGGTTTGCATCAAAAAGCTTTTTGAACAGGCAACGAGACAACAATGTCATCGAACACAAATCTTTCAATTCGTGCTCCGTGTCCACGGACTCACGAGCAGCTGCCGAGTAATAGTTTGCTGGAGCAAACGCGGCCAAAGAAAAATGGTGGTTGTGGTGGAGTTCATCGACGCTACAAAGACAAGGACGACGAAGTTGTTATAGAGACGCGAAAGCATGTGCTCATAAGCTGGATTGGTCTCGCATGTTAGATGTTATGCTGCACGTGGCGCGTGGACGGGGAAAAAAGCAACAGAACAGGCCAAGTTTGCAAAGCGAGGAAGCAAGGAGCGCGAGAAGTGAGGACGCGTTGGCCTGGTCGAGCATGAACGTCCGGAAGGTCAACATCTGTCTGGAGAACCTGATTGGGCACCAACGTCCGAGGGACTTCTAAAACGACAAATCTCCTGTTCCTGCCACCTAGCAGTCACGACGCAGAAGGACAGGACAGGAGCTTCTCTGCCGCGTCGTGTCAAATGGGTCTGTGAAGGACAATGCCACCACCACTTCACCCCCTCATTAACTGTGAGCGTTCCACGGTTTGAACTCTTTTGTAGAGACATTTTGAGCTTTCAGCTTATCCAGTGTATCATGTATCTTGCTAGTTTTTGTGTTGAAATATATGTTTGTGTGCAGTGCAATGGCATCCTCTTCATTGCGGCCCTAACAAGTGTCTCTCACACGACTCTTATAGCTTGCTCCCCGAATCTTATTTCATTACAGTGGCTATGACACCTTCATGACTTGCTTTAGTGTGGTCACATCAGAGATGCAGGGGTCCAAAATGTCCACTTTGAGGGTGTCAATAGCGGGATGAAGTCAATCGCACACGCAAACTTCAAAATTAATTTAAAATACCATCCAAAATATTCGCTGTAAATATTTGGCAGATGATGTATGCATCTTCACGAGAATCAATCTCTGCACGCTATCTTGGCCTCAAAATCTTGTGTCAGTACCCCTTTCATTTAAGCAATGCAAGTCAAATTCACAATGAGGCTTATGAAGGCAAAGCCAGGATGGTCCTAACTACTATTTAGACAAGAGGAGTCAAGACTGAGATTTAATTAGCCCAGCTGAGATACTTGAGTTCCATATCATCAGTTATTATAATTAATCCTGATTTATTTTGAGTCAAGCTTGAAGGCCACCAGCTCTGCTGTCTTTCTCAGGCTGCCCACATTTCTTTTTTTTTAACAATTGAAGTTCCAGTACTTCCAAACACCAAAAAAAAAAAAAAGAGTACTAAATGGTAGGGATGTGCCAATAGTAAAATATGATCTTAAATTCGAATTGAATATGCCAAATAGTGGAGACAAAAATAATGAATATTGAATCTAATATCGAATTCATAAGATATAGTGAAACTTGATAGAAAGAATGAAGAAATAAAATCTGCTCATCTTCTCGGACACTTAACGTGGCAGGGGATGCATGGTGCTGAATGTTCCGAGTGACTGCTGCCCAAGGACTACAAACTGCCATCCAGAAAGACAAGCTGTCCTACATGACCTGGCTTAGGGCTCTCTCGCTGGGTTTTTACAGCAGTTCCTGCAGTTCAAAACATAAGTTATAACTTCTAAGGGTCATCAAAGGATAATTCTTTGAAATGTTGACAACTGTTGGGATGCCTTTGGTATGAGCGGCTCATTGATGTATTCTTCAACCCCTGGACAAGTTCGGAGCTCAGTGTGGTGGTTATTTTTTTTTTTTATTCTAGCGGTACGACGGTCTCCTAGTATGTTCCCTGGCCTTCTTTTATGGAGCCATGACATGCGGAATGGCGCGACTTCTTTTACAATAAACTTGCGCTCACTTTTGAAGCAGAATGTCGGTGAAAAATTTAACAAAACAGCCACTGTAACGATGTTACAGAAACCCCACCTGTAAAAAGTTGAACCATTGGTTTTTGTAGCGTTGAAATCTTTCTTTTTGTCGAATAATTCAAAACTTCGAATACTGGCTATTCGAAGGTCGAATTGATTTATTCGGTTATGTATTATTCAATTGGAATTTTGAAGTCGAATATAAGAACACCCCCACTCTACATTCGAAACGCTTTAAATAATTTCTTGAACTACACTATACTTTCAATGTTGATACTAAGGCACAACTGATTGGTGTCATTGTTCAATCTCACAGAAGGCGTGCGCGAGATCTGGCTGACCTCAGAAGACACGGGAGCGTACGGTCGAGACATTGGGGTCACACTACCTGACCTGCTGCGGGAGATGGTGCAGGTCATACCCGAGGGCTGCATGCTACGACTCGGCATGACAAACCCACCCTACATTCTTGACCACTTGGAGGTGAGCATGGAAGTGGAGGTGTTTCTTTCTATCTGCCAAGCTTCTTTCTCAATTGAATTGAAGTTTATTTGTCCTCAATTCTTGCAGGAGCAGACTAGAGGCCATAGAGCCTGACAAGGGACCTCTGTTACAAATTACAGTTATGCATGTATAGTGCCACTGAACGGGACAATACAACATATCTTACTAGAACGTGTTGTTGGGCTAGCTGGTGCGTACTGAAGAAATATTGAGGACATAACCGAAATACACAAAAAAAGAAGAAAGGGGACAGGATAGGGCGTCCTATCCTGTCCTATCCTCTTAGTATTTTTAGAGCTATTAGAGTTGCATTCTTAATATTTATTCAGTAGGATAATATACGGCAAGTATACTTCCTTTTGTTACACAATAACTCAACGGCATTTATCTTTGTCCTAGTGCCGAGCTGGCGTTCTTAGTAAGTGTGGGTATATTCAATGCGATACCACAATGAATGTGAGGTAAAGCGATTTGAAATGATTCATGGTTTCCACTGACATTGGCAATGATTTGTTTAGAAGTGCCCTAAAAATAACCAATAGAAATGGCTGACAGACAAAGCAGTTACTACGACTTCTTCAGCAACTAACCTATCTCCTCCACTATTCATGCAGTATAATTGTGCTACCTGCAAGTTATTGATTTAGAAAGACAAGTTTGATAAGAGTGTTAACTAGAAGAGCAACTCGTCATAGCTAACAGCTGCTGCATCCGCTGGGGATATACGCCGCTATGCAATTTGAGCAAATTGTGTGTTTTCTCGACAGGACATGGCCGAGATCTTGAACAATCCCCGTGTGTACTCCTTCCTTCACGTCCCCGTGCAATCTGGGAGCGACCCTGTGCTGACCGAAATGCGAAGAGAATACACCGTCGCACAGTTCCGCAGTGTGGTGGACCACCTACGGAAAGCGTAGGTATTGTTCGAGCCTGCTTGAGGTGTTTCCGATATTTTTTGACCGCTTGCGGATTGCTTTCGCGTCGTCTTATTGGAGTACGGGTGAAGCGAAATGCATGCTTTTCTCGAGTGCTTTTGTAAGTCATGTCGTGCCTAACCTCGTTGCTGCACAATGATGGCAACTTGTGCTCAGTGTCGCAATAGCCTATTGATGGCAATGTCAGCTTGTTTTGGCGTTCTGGCTTCAGTATCAAACTGAGACGTTTTTCAAGAGTTCTGCAACCTTTAGAGTTACTTAAACGCATTGAGAAATGTGAGAACTCATTTTTTTTTTAATGCATGAACAAAATTTAGGCTTGCACCCTTAAAAATTGCAGTCATAAATCTGTTGCAACCAGAACTTGTGCTAATGAAAAAACTAAATATATATTTTGTGGTTAGTTACATAGCCAGAACATTTTTATTGTTTAATGGTTTTAATATCTTCTATTTCTTTTTTTATTTCCTTGAAACTGTTAAGCGATATTTGCAACTTCGCATTTAGTTTTCATGCATGTCCCACGCTCCCTCTCGTTTCTGTTCTCAGTGTTCCAGGAATCACAATTGCTACAGACATCATATGCGGATTTCCCACGGAAACCGAAGAAGTGAGTTTCCATGTATATTTCATGCTAAAAATGCAGAGAACGTGTTTTGGAAACAGCGTAGCTCGTTTCTTTTTTCTTCTCTTTTCTTATTACTAGAGACTTGGTTGTCCACTTTTTGCCCCTGTATATCAGCTTTAGTTTGTCCAAGCGGATGACAATAAAACGAGTACTGACAACGAAATTAGCCAGTTTAAGCGAATCGGGAGCCTGAAATGAATTATGGCATATCACATGCGAAGGCCACACTACGACTGTGAGGCACATAGTAGTGTGGGACTCCAGATAAGCTGGCCTTACTTTTTCCAACGCAAACAAAAAAACGTCACACAAGTGATATTTCTTTGTCTGCGAGAGAAAAAGAAAAGACAGATGAGAAATAAATAGAATAAGAAGATAGAGGAAATTAGAGAGAGCGATGAATAGATGAAAAAGTGGCGAAATAAAAAATAAAAATAATAAATAAAATAGAGGAATGGAGAATGAATAGAGAAAGAAAAATAGCTAGCGAGAGAACAAAACAAGTAAACAGCACAAAAGACATTCATGAAACAGAAGAAAAGAGAAAGAAAGTAGAAGAACTGCCAGACCTGCGCAGGAATGTGCACCACAGTTCAGGGAAAGCCGGAAGAACGGCCTTTCTAGGGCATTTCTTTAACGCTTCTTGGAGAAACTATTAGTACCAGTACACTTGCATGGCACCCACTACGCTATAAATCATTGTAAAATGTAGAGGTGTGCTCTGTTCCACTAGTATTCGTTATTCTTTAGAGAAGCGTCATTACACTCTACACACCTGTAAGGCATTATGTGCACTATGCTGGTGTTGCGGCTGACGACAATGAGAATGATGTCTGAACCTCTTTGTAATGCCTTAGAAGCACTTCAACAACCCACTCATTATACAATGCGCACTGCGTGACATCCAGGTTGTTACGTTACACTTTCGGAAACGCTCTATCACACATGTTGACGCAATTCCTTAACAGCCGTGAAACCTGCGTAGGGTCATTTCGCGATGGAGTTTCAAGCACCGGTTTGGCTCCGAGGTAGACAACTGGACTGCCACGCCGTGCACCTGGATTCACATTGTATTTTATCCTGGGTATTTTTTTTTATTGATTTCGTTTCGTTTTCTTATTTCGCGCGATGACAGTTACAGGTACTGGAGGCAGTGACGAAGAAGGGTGCCAGGATCGGCCCTTGTGATCTCAATTAAATCCAAAAAATACCACCCAACTACACATTTCGTACTAGTACAGAGCTGCTGTATTTTTTTTTTTTTTACATTTCTTTTTCATCTGAATGCAACATGTGGGAATCGAACCTGTGTCCCCATGTTCATCTATGCAATGCAGTGTTTGCTAAGCTACCAAGACTGGTGCCAATAAGGAACTGCCATTGGCCTTTCCTCTTTTTGTGGGTGTTCCATAAATTACTGATGCAACATTTTCGACATTGCATTTTTTTTCTGGCTTAGAAATACTAGCACGTCTGTGCTCCCTTAGTCTGTATTGACGCACGTGGTTCTCACGCAGGACTTCGAGGAAACGATGCAGCTGGTTCGAGACTACGAGTTCCCTTCGCTCTTCATCAACCAGTTTTATCCGAGGCCCGGCACCCCTGCGGCCAGCATGAAACGAATTCCTACGCACATAGTGAGTTGATCACGACACTGATGACGAATTTGCATCTGCACTGCTACATTGTTCATGTACCACACACACATACACACACACATGTGCACATGCACACACATAAACACACGCCAATTTGTATGTCTTGCTTTCATACATTATTAATCTAGGATAATTAGTTAAACTTCATATCGTACTTTAATATAACAAAATATTTCACTTTTTACATCCAGAGAAAATTATGTATATTGAACCTCAATATAACCATGTTTATCCATGATTTCATTGTAACAAGGTTTCAGTGCGGCTATAGAGGAAGATTGATCTGATGAATATAACCTTCTGCTGGGGCTTTTTTACCACCGCTCTTTTGGTTTTACAGCGTGCAATGGTTTTTGACATCGCACATTTATCCTACCAAGTGGAAAGTCAGAGGTTCAGTTCAGTGAACATGATAGTAGCATCATGCTACTCTGGGCAGCATCCGAGGTTTCGATGACAAGCCATGATGGGAGAACAGCTGCTTCAGGTTTTCTTATCCAACATTACCACAGTGCATTGACTTGGAATTCGTTTTGGGTTCACTTGCTGATGTTCATCATCATCATCAGCCTGACTACGTCCACTGCAGGACGAAGGCCTCTCCCATGTTCCTGCCAGTCAACTCGTTCCTGTGCTTGCTGCTACCAATTTATACCCGCAAACCTCTTAATCTCATCTGCCCACCTAACTTTCTGTCACCCCCCTAACCCGCTTGCCTTCTCTGGGAATCCAGTTAGTTACCCTTAATGACCAGCGGTTATCCTGTCTGATGTTCAACCACTATTAAAAGCACTTTGCCGGCACAGAATCAAGCCGCGGTCGCCGGATTTCACATTCAAGAAAACCGATTTCAGCGGCGAAGTGGCTTGGGGTCTGCGCTTGTCGGCGTCTAATGTCGTCACGATATGCCATGTAGTCGTGGCCTGTCATAAACAGTTATGCGCCACATAAATTGGACGAGTTCCACCACTTGCCATCCGCCCACTAAATATGAAAACAACGATTTGCCCATCAAGTAGCCAAAGAAGTTAGGGAAGCCGAAACACCCTTCCGTTCAGGCTGCTGAGAACTCAAAAACTGAGCACGTTGGGAAGAAGCCACAGCAGCATTACCTCAAGGTAAGCCGCATTCGGACACAGTTTCACATGACGTGAGTGGAGCGGAAACGCCCTTTTTCACATGAAGCCTCCTTCCCAGTTTATTTTTTTTCCTGTATTGTGAAATTCAATTTCTTGTACTGCCGTATCATTCAAACATTCTTCTGGCAGTTCCCATGTCAGTAAAAGATCTTGGCAGCTCTGCCGTGCTTAGGTGATCAAATTTAAATTTAACGAAGTTTTTGTGCAACTAAGTAAATTGCCGATTTTATACACCCAATTGCCTCACATATACCGACTCGCTTAATAACCTGAAAGCAAAAAAATTGCGCATAACCCGCACGGCTATTTTTTAAGCATATATTTTTGTTTTTTTTTCGGTGAGAGTTATATGCGAGAAAATATGGCACTGCGTGACAAAGAATCTTAAATGCATTATGATCGCACTAGTACGCGTTGATTGTCGATGCGTGTCTGCATGTTCTCGTGACTTCTTGCAGGTTAAGGAAAGAACGAAGCGGTTGTCTGAGCTGTTCCAGTCGTATGTACCGTACAACCATCGTGTCGGCGAACGACATACAGTCCTCGTGACCGACAAAGCCCACGACCAGAAGCACCTGGTTGGTCACAACAAGTTTTACGAGCAGGTGAGCCATTCTACTTATGCACCTTCACTCAAACCTCGATATAATGAAACTGAACATAAGGAAATATCGGTTATAACAAAGTAAATGAAAAACTAGTCTCAATATAGATATAGAGTTAGGAATAAAGGCTTATAATGAATTTTCAGATATAGAAAACCTATTTCAGTGTAAGATGCAACCTTATTATAATGAGGTTTGAGTGTAGTAATGTTTAGAAATACATAGGTGGTGTGATTTTGTTAAGTGTTCAAAAGACCTTGGGGTGCATCTCTTCAGGCACTCAGGTGAACATTTGCGCAAACAAAGAGTAATGGAAATAAGGGTAACTAAAACAGGCGTGTATAATAGTACTGCGTGTTCTTTTAGCAGTTGCAATCACAGCAACAATTGATAATATGCGCAGTGTGTGCTATTGAAAAATGTGGTGTGCTTAGGGCTCTTTGCACGAACATCTTTTTTTTAATTGTGTCTCCACGTGAGTGTGGCTGCTTTTTTGGGAAACACGCAACCATGGTACAGCATTCATTCTGTAACCATGTTTACAGAAACATGAGTGACCGTCGTTACGGAGGAACCATGAAACCAAGTTCATAACCACAGTTCCAAGCAAATAAGTGACCAAAGTTGTGGAACCATGGTTACAGAAACGCAACTGACCATATGTATGAATCTCCAACTACGGTGGCATAAACTGGTAAACTGCATTTCTGCAGTCCAAGCACGTTCGAGAGTCCTTATAACATATCAACTTCAAAGTTTGTTTAAATACAACTAAGGAGGCCAAGCTGTTCGCAAGTTATCGTTTCTTATCTGACGTAAGTATGTCTTGAGAAAGTGTGAACACAGACATAGAAAGAAATGGCTGGTTCTTATATTGTCTGTCACATACGAAGCTCAATATAGTGCTAAGTGCGTTTAGCCACCGATACGAGGGTATTCTCCTGGAAGAAAAAGCTATCGCTTGCAGCGAGATGAAGGGTCTTGTATCTTCGATTCGCGAAACCAAAGGAATGTGGGCTACCCTGCCTCCGCAGATTTTGCTACCCATGGAAGACCAGTACATGGGGCAGTTGGTGGACGTCGAAATCACCAGCGGCGGAAAGCATTTTATGCACTGCAACGTCGTCGGTATCAACACGGCACTTGACCGAATGCTTCCCAAGCCACTTCCCAAAGGTCAGGTCTCGGGCATCAAGTCGAGTCAAGACACCATCCAGAGCCAGCGAGTGCAGCAATCATACGTCATGTGCTCGGGACACTGCTTACTGGTGGCCGTGACAGCTGTCTTAGTAGCTGTGGCTGGCGTCGTGATAGCATACACACAAGGGCTTGTTTTGAAATAAAAACAAGAGTACATGATTGTTTGTGATAGTGTTATCAGTTGTTGGATTGTGCTGAAGAAGGGTTGACATGCTAAATTATCATAAGGCTTTTTTGTTTGTTTTCTTAAATTAGGTTCCATACTAACACTCAGCTTCTCTGAAGCACCACAAGTATTCAATTTGAGCACACTTTAGTAGGCCAGTTCAAAATGTGCACCACAGTGCCGCAGGTCTGTGAAGGTAAAGGTGAAGCAGATAACCATGCACTCCACCCACATACTTACCGGTGGGACCGCCACCAGCTGTAACAGTCACGCCAGATGCGGCGGTGTAACTGTCATAGCATGCGACATGCTATTGCATGCTCATGCTAGTACTTGAGATGCTAGTATGTGCATGTAACATGCTTTTACAGATTACTCAAACATGCACCAGACATCCCTAATAGTGATCAAAGGTCGTACTAAGAGCCAGATGCCAAATGAGCCCCTTCAATTGCATGCTTCTCTAAAGAATGCAGTCGACCACAGTCCACCCTTTGTGCCGTTCAGTGCTAAATGGACTGCAGTGGCGTGGTCATGGCATTTGTGCATGCGTATTCTCAAGATGTAAATGCTCCAAAGGTCATGTTTATCAAGTCGACTCTGACAGAGAGGCAGACGGAGAAGTGATTCTAAATATTTTGGACCACTTTGGTACGATTGTAAGACACACCATAGCGAGGGACTTTTCACGAATTATGAACATCTTTGGCATCTAAGCACATAGGGTTGCTAGCATTTCGCTCCCATCGACAGTCTGATAGGATCAGAACTCCTTTAGGTTTAGATGCCGAGATCGGACACTGTGAGCTTAGATGTGGACACTCTGCCTCCAAAGGCAGACTGTCGGTAAACTCTGAAGCTGGAAGTTGAACTGACGTCCTTTATAAGCCTAGCAACCACAGTGGGTAGCTGGCAGGGATGACCCTCTCATGAGAGTTTGTATCCAATAGCAGTAGAAGTATAGAACGAACATTTTAATAACCATATTATACACGTGTTCCTTTATATTAACACAAACATACCATACCATCATGTGAAAATGCTTTGCATAACACGCACATTTGCCAAGTCACAACTACGAAATAGCTAAGGTAGAAATTGTGCTGTATAAGCAGGACACTGCCAAACAGCGCGGAAGACAATATGCAACCGTTAAATTTGGCGTCACCCTGGGCACAAACTCAAGCAGCATTATCCGAACACATAAAATCTTAGAACTAGCGCTCTGCTCTGACTTCAGCTCCACAGTAAATCAAACCTACAGATGAAAAAAAGAGAGGGACCAAAGGCCTTCTGAAAGACCAAAGACTTTCAGAGACTAAAAGTCATTGCCGTTAAAAAATGCCATCTACTCGAATTCTCGCCGAAGACCCTCGAAGAACTGGATCTCTTCCACCGTCAGCATTTGGTGTTCGATGCACCACGCGAGAAGGCCAGTAAAGTCTCGTCTTACGCGTGCTATATCCGCGGCTATCTCGTCGTTTTCGGCCTCCAGAGCCTCGATGTGCGCGCGGATCGTTTCTTTCTGTTCTTCCAGGTATCCGCGCTGCTCGACTCGACGTGTCCTATGTTGTAAAAAAAGAAGCACAATACGATACTTGCAAGGCATTCCGAAAGATGTGTCCCGAAATCCACAATATTTAGGAAAAATCTGACATTTGCTTGCAGCCTTCCTGACTATTTTTTTCTGGAAAAGCAGCTATCTTAAGCGTACTGACACATACTTGCTGCCAAGATAGCCAGCAGGATCACTTCCCATGAACGTGTGTCCGTCATCTATGAAATTTCAACAGCGGATATAACTTTGGAGGTAATTTCTATGAACTATGTAGTTTTCATGTGCAATTTTGCGCTATGTGCCGCACCTCGCGACACTGGCATCACATAATGTGACCTCATGGTGACGCCCACTTTTGGAAATATCACCACTGAGACTGAGCTTGGAGATGGTGCAGCTAGTATGACGACTTCCTAGTCTTCACTGCTTTATTAAAGAACAGCAAGAAGTCCTCTGGGCTCTTATTAAGGCTGTATTAGGACAGCATCAGCCCCGATGTGGACTCTGCAGACTTCTGCGTCAAAAATCAAAATAAGCCAAAAAGGTCAGAAATGGTACAGTGTCTCGCCATTCATCAGGCTATCGCAGTATCAGAGAGGTCACCGTAGCAGTCTTTCAGGGAGCCTTTGTAAGGTGGGAACGACTTTGTACCCACTGTATCGGCACTCAAAGGGTACACTTTCAAGAATATAAATATATGCACCCATCGGATAAAAAAACATTCTTCTTACTTGGCCCAGTCTCATTACTTTACAAACAGACTCTGCATACACACTCAAACCTCGATATAACAAACCTGGATAAAATGTAATATCAGCCGTAATGAAGTAAATAAAAATAGTCATGCAATAGCAATAGTGTAAATACATCTTTGTAACGGAAACGAATTTTCGGATAAAGTGAACTTATTTTCGTGTAAGATGCAACTTCGTTATAACAAGGCATGAGTGTTTAGGTGCGACTATCACGTCATACCAAGACAGCTCAGTTCGCACTTAGCATACCTGCAGATTGCCGCGTAGCCCCGGTTCTTGAGCATGCGTCGCAGGTGCTTGAGGGCACGTGTCTGCTGGCCATCAAGGTGGGCCGTGCGCACCCGAATGTTCAGCTGCCGCACCGACATGCTGACGAGCTCGCTTCTCGTCAGCCCCAGGGCTTGGCAAATGGCAAACGCATCACCCAAGGGCGTGCAGCCTTCATTGTTCCGAGCCTGTCAATATTACGAAATTACAAATGTCAAAAGGGTACAGGCCCGAACTTTCAAAAGTGTGTTTACTCTTCGGTGCGAATCTCCTGGATACGGAGATGCGAGCCCTGCGCAAGTGTGAAGGTCATTAAATGCCGACATTTTACTTTAACATTGGAGTCTGTTTTTGCGTGGCCCACCTACTGACATCAACACTGGCGTGACGCCAAACCACAGCATTAAATCTGGTGATGCACCAGTATATATGTCTAGTTGCGATGGCATCGGGCACTAGAACATTCGAAATGGCCGCTTGTACGTCATCAAGAACATTCAAAATGGCCACTTGTAAATCGACAACGGAGCCAGGAACGAAGCCCAGCCCAGAAATTTCACAATATCAAGCACGAGCACGTAACATGCAGTTTGTACCGAGTTGAGACGTCAGGGTACAGTATGAACCGAAACAAGCTTTTAAAAACACGTTGTTATTACTTTTTCAAGGTGCACTAATACAGTTTTCTTCAAGGCTTGGCCTTCCAGTTAAAAAAAAAATTGTGTCGGTACGGCTAAGTGGAATGGTGCCCTATTTGATTCAGTATTCACATCAAAGGTCGATGATATATTTTCAATGGTGTAAAGGCCAGCTCCGTACAAATTGCGGCATCAGGTATAATAAGAGCGTTAATAGCAACCAATGATTTACGATAATGGGATGTAATGACTAAAAACAGGATATATAGAAGTCTAAAAGATATATTCAGTAGAGAATAAAGACAGCGACATGTGGAGTGGTCTACAACTGTTGATTGAATAGGAAGTGATTGTGCTACTCAAATGTCAGAATAAGTAAATCACACGAATGACTCCACTGAAGCCAAAAACCGGGAAGCAAATGCTTTCTAATGCAACTGCTACAGCAGCAGTCCCTGTTGAGAGGCCATGCCACAGATGGCCTGGGAATAGAATATAAAACTTGTGACATCTTTGACACTATTCACATCTAAATGCAAACAATGAATCTATTACTTATAAATTCAAACTGTTTGTAAAGAGTTCATGGATATTTCAAAATGTTAACTGCACTTAAATAAACACTAAACTAGTGCAGAAGTATCATAAATTTTACCCTTGCAGTTGCAGATAGTACGGAAATGCAAGCGCTTACCCTGCACGACACCTTATGTTGCTGAGAGAGCCACACTATATCCAGGCCATAAAAGATTATTCAAACTAGATGGAGTTTTTCTGTGCATGTGAAGAATCCCCTTATTTATTCCTGATGCTACATTTGGGCTTATGGTACTAAAATTTTCTTGTAAAAAAAAATTGCGATTGTAATATCTATGCACGTAATTTTATGTCAATTGGAAAAACAGCTGTTTTACATTAGAAAACTATTCATTGATTTGATTCATTCTGCTTTTGGCACTGTTCCTTAAGAGAATTTGTTGATGGGCTTGTGAGTTCACAATAGCAAACTGCAGAGCTTAAGTTATAATTGTTCGTCTGTGTCCCAGACCTAATTTGCACTCTGCATTTAAGACTAGGAATGTTCCATTCAGATTTCGATAGCTTCAAAAATCTATAGTTAGCACATTCCTACCTGCGAACCATTTTGCAAGCCTTGACCTGCTCCAATAGGTTGCTGTCGCTCTTGACAACTATCCCAGCCTGTTTCAGCATGAGATGCGGTGGCACTGGAACCAAACTGCTCGACGTTGATGCCTGCAGTGACAGTCACATACTGTTGAAGATGCAGTATCTAGGTTGACGAATTGTCTTCATTCTATTGTGCCGAACAGTTCAGATGCAGGACAAATGAAAACTGTCACCGACTGCCCTCTTGTTCGGTTACGTGCGCTTCTGCTGGAACTGTAACCCCTACGTCGCTCAATGAACTTGACAAATGCACAGCTAGTTCATTGGAAAAGTTTAGCAATGGCGAATGTGTCCACAAATTTTTCATTTGCGGACACAATTGCCAACCTCAACGAAATGCTGCGTATTCAGTGAACCCACTTGTCCTACCAGCAAGTAATTGCTTTTAAGGAGAAAGATAAAAAAACTGAGAAGTCCCCAAGGCATCTTTTATAGGCGGAGAGTTCTCTTACTGCTCACCAAATTGCTTTCCCTCCGCCCATCCTTCACTTCCAGGCCACTCAAGACTTCTCGCTCGTTGCACCAACTTGTTCGATTGCATTAATTCAATTTTCTTCTTTTATTAATGACCCTACCCATGGAATCTTGGTGAATCAGCCAAGGATGTACATATACCTCAGCAATGATGCATTAACTAAACCAACATGCTTACTCGAGCGCAACCCCTACTTGCATTTTGTATCGTTGTAGTTGTGTCTAGCATTCGCGTAGCGTATTCCGACGCAAGTTTATAGCATTTAACTGCGTACATACGTACGCCTCTGTAGCGCTTGCGCGTTTTTCGTTCGATAAACTGATGTTTGACAACAGCGGATAAACGCGGAATTGCTTTAGAAGCCAATTAAAGCATATGGTGACCGTTTGGTCGGCCGGAACTATAGCGTGAAAATGGGGGAGGAATAATTATAGGCCGGCCACAGGGTCTCGAGGTCATGGTGCTTGACGGCTGATCGAAAGGTCTCACGATCGAATCCCGGCTGCGGCGCCCGCATCGAAATGCTAGCAGCGCGCGTATGTACTTCGATTTATGCGCACGCTAAAGAACCCCAGATGTTCGAAATTTCCAGCGTCCTCAGCTAAGGCGATTCTCTTAATCTTGTCATGGTTTAGGGACGCAAAACCCCAACATTTATCGGAGTGGTAGAATTCTAAGAAGCTGTCCGCAGGAGAAGACAGCAGTGCAGCGTGACTAAATATCAACGACAGTCGTGGGTTCAAGAGCGCGTCCATGCACTTTGAGCTTCAGGAGCAACCTGTGCTCAGTACTCGGCAACTCAGCTGCTTTACTACCCGTTTCAGCGGGAAAATAAAAAAAAAAATTCACTTAGGTGGCACGCTACCAAAAAAAAAAAAAAAAAACCAAGGCCGGCATTACGAAACCTTGACTACTCACCGCTTGTGGAATTCATGGCACTTGTCTTTCAACCACGGTGAAAGTAAACAAATAAGAGAAAGGACGAGCGGGCGCTTTGCCTGTTTCGCTGACGTCTAGTCTCCGTACAATTAACGTGCGACTGGCGCTGTTTGAGACTGGTTGAGAGGGTTGTGACCATTTGTGACCACATGGAACAAGACGACCGCACCGCATTACGCCGCACTTTCGCAGCCACTATTCGGTAGAAAAGTTTACTAACCGCAACTCGAGAAAAACTCCGAATATACTGCGAGCAATAGCGTACGCAATTTACTGCGTGTTTAAGGTGCGTGTAATATGGCAAAAGTTACGGTTTTGTATTTGGTTCGGTCACACTTGAGTGTTTATTGTTTCCGTTTCTTTGATAATAGATAAGGTTTGCTAAAGCAATGCGTCCTAGAAAAACTGTGCCTGGAACGTCACTTTTTTTTTCAATTAAGTGCTTTTTGCCAGCGCAAAATCTCGGAGGCCATGCCTTTTGCTTCGTGTTGCGACCGTACGCCGCGTGTGACCGCTTGCCTCCGTACCGCTCAGTCCACGGCGGAAGGAAAGGTAGCTTTCCTTCCTCTGTGGCTCAGTCACGTGACATTACCATACCGCTCTGTCACGTGACATCACAGCTGCTCGGAGGCAACTATGAGAGCATTGCTGCGTTCGCAAGAGGCGGCCGCCAAAAGCGTTCGTCTCCGTACCGGAGGGGAGGGTAAAATCCGAGGGTACGGCGGCACGATATATATATATATATATATATATATATATATATATATATATATATATATATATATATTATATATATATATATATATATATATATATATATATATATATATATATATATATATATATATATATAAATGACCTTCACTTGAGCGAACTTCAATTGACCGAACAAAAACTTCTCTAAAGTGAAGCTTAGCTCAACTGAAACAGTTACGGTGCAACTTGTTATCGCTAGTAAAAGAAAGCATTAGTTGAAATTTAATTTGAAGCCTTTTATTCGCAACGCTGTTAATTCGAATGAGTTATTCTAATTTAACATGCTTTAAATAATTTAGTTTGTGCACTTAGGACTGCAGTGGCCATGAATTGAGTCATTGTCGTAGCTCTCATAAACCTTCTCCTGCTGGGCTGGGCTTGCTGCGCAACAAAGAACTTCACTTTTTTCAAGTGCATCAGGGCGGAAATTTTTGGTGCTACCCACGGAGGAAGCTTTTCTTCCTTCATGGTGCCATGTCTACAAGGATCACTTCTTCCTCCGACTCTTCATCCTTAGGTAGGACGCTCGCTAAATCACTTCTGCAAATAGAGTGTCGCACATGTCTCAACGCGAGGTCACTGGGAACAGATAGTTTCTGAAAACACAAAGCGCAGTCTGTATAGACGTGCTCAGGGGAGCTCTTCTTTAGTAACCTAGGCGAGGGGTGGGGGGGGGGGGGCGCTAAGTCTGCCCCATACTGACTTAATAATTGGGGGGGGGGGGGTGCTGCGCAGCGTTGAACCTTCGCACCCCCCCGAAGGGAAACCCCTCCGCGTCAATGGCTATCTGTCTTCCAGATAATTTCTGATCAATATGACGTGAGATACATATTTGATCATGTCTCAAAATACGTTCTTAGAACTGAAATTCGCTCTTAGCGAATTTCGTTAAACCAAAAAGCGCGAGGATATATCCCATGGCGCTTCGGCGGGGGACATAAAAAAAAATTTGTACAATCGGGCAGTTGAACGTTCGTTGCCTTTGTTGGCTTTGCTCAACAATATCGTTCTGTCACAGCGCTAAAGCAATCGAAAAATGACTGCGCCGTGTTTAAGTATATAGATCACAGTGAGAGCATCATAGGTATCAAACCATTATTCATAATTAAGGCATCATAAGGCATGATAGTACAAAGCTACCGTATCCCTGAAGGGCTCAAGACTGTGCAATCGACGCTTTGCTTTTTATAATATTTAGAAGAAGAACTGGTGTTGCTAGTGAGGCTAACGTACTTAATAATCAAGGTGAAGGGCACCTGAAAGTTCTCCCGAACGAACAAATTGAAACGGTTGCCACCGCAACATCGCCGCGTTTGTGGTCTATGTTTTATGAACCCATATGACAGCTATACTTCCGTTTTGTTGTGATCTGGAAGTGTATTTTTTGCAGCAATCTGGCGTCATGAAAGTTTACCACGTCGTGAAAACATCTTCCCCTTTCACGTGTGGCGCATGTCCGCATTCCGCGTCCTCTTCCGATATGCGCCACACGTGATGAGGCAAAAGCTTTCGGAGCTGTGCATATTTGATTTCGTAGATACGCTGTAAAGATAGTTTGCATACTTCGGCACAATATTGTCACGCAACAAAAGTTATCTATCATTTGCATATTACCATGCATGCTTTAATATACCGACACACTTTGTACTTCAAGGTCGCAATAAGCGACAGATACTACCAGTGTGAAGTTGTACTTTTGATAAGCGACAAGCCTGCAGTATTCAAGGAAGAAAACGTAAGGAACGCAATCGATTGTACTGCTTTAGTAGCGCGTTAAGAAGCCGAGATGTTGTCCAAATTCCCAAAGCTCTCCACCTGGGCGTATAATGTACTATCGCGATTTTATCGTGTAACCGATCGCCCATGTTGAGGAAAACACAAGGGACATTATATGTGGCTTTATTTACTGTATACCATAATTAATCTCACTTATTTTGAGAAAAAAAAAGTTAAGCGGACGATCCCGGCCGCGGCAGTCACATTTCGATGGAAGCGAAATGATATTGTGTTTTGGGAAGCACACCTACAGGCAGTCGAATTTCCAGAGCCCTCCACTGTGGCGCCTGTCATATCCATATGGCGGTTTTGGGACGTGAAACCCCGTATATCAGTGTTATATAAAAATAGTCCTTTCCTTAGGTATATACGAAACCTTCACCTTCGAATTCAAATGTTGCGTTTTTCGAAGGTTGTGGTCTTCGATCCCACCGACGGCAAAGGGGATTTTTCGTCCGCTTGACTTTCTTTCAATTTAAGCGAGAATCATCATTACATCATATAGTTAATACAGTCAAGAAAAACACATACTACGTCCCCTGCAGGGGCGTTGGCAGAATTTTTTTTTTCGGGCGTGGGGAAGCAACTTTTTTTATATTGTCGTTTTTCTCTCTGTATGCCAAAGCTAAAAAATATTGTGGGGGGGGGGGGGGGGGTCCGGTGTGCCACCCCCTGACTACGTCACCAGTCCCCTGTTCCTGGCTTAATTGTCGGTAGGTTTCGTAATGAAAACATTGTTGATTTAATATAGAATAAAGACAACGAGTCATGTTGCATTTCTGTGGGGTGCAGCGACTCTGGGTAATGCAGTAGCAGGAACATTTTACGCGGTTCAGAAAATGAGAGGTAAGCACTATTTCTAACACAATGGGCACGAAGCTCCTTGAACCAATCTGAAATATTGAATATGGCTGGTAACTCATGTTTTTTCGTCTTCCGTATACGAGGTATGTTCGAATTATGCGAAGCATTTCTTGATGAACCAGGAGAAAACTTCGACGGTATCCACCTACGTAGCCACCTCCGATTCGATGCTCTCATCACCATATCATGCACGGCACAATGTATGACGAACATCATTACGAAAAGTCACAGCATGGAAATCACCCGTATGGGATTTATGTCGTAAGAAATGACGTAGATATGTCTTGTCATTATAGAGCTTTAAACATACCATAATGTGCAGCTTATGATGTTTATGTACGACAGACATGACATGCATGACACGTATAACGTGCTAACGTGGTGATGAAAAATTTGTACTGCATGGTAAAAAAAGAGGGGGGGGGGGGGGGAGTCGTGAAATAAGCGGCATACATGAAAAAGTGTTATTGCAGCCTTTTTTTTTTCGTATTTTTGTCAGCTGGATTATGCTTGGCATAATTAGCACTGCTGGTTCGTTTACCGGACGATGCGAAACAGCGAATGCATTCGAAAAGGTTGCGCCCGAATTCACTGCGCGTTGACGCGAAAAAGCGCCATGAAAGTCGAAACCGGAAGGGCAAGAATGCAGCTTACTGAGAGGGCGCCACAAGACTTCTGTGCGCCGTTTGCAAAAAGAGCGCGAGGTGTAAGTTTCGTTGTTTTCAATTACCCCGTTGTTCTCTACCGTATGGGTTTCAGTGAGGAAAAACACTTTCGAATGACGCCTAACCAGAGTGAGAATGGTTCTGTCTTGGTCTTAATTGTTAATGTCGAATGCATACCGTCATTGCGGCTTTGCCGGCGATGCCGACAAGTGCTGAACTTCGAGAAAATCTCGCCGCTCGCCTTCGACAGTGGTTCGTGTGGTTTCGTCCTTAAGAAACTAGCCGGGCTGTCTTGCTTATTCGTCTCGCGCACAGGGTGGTGAGGCCAATGGAGCCAACGTTACTAGACCATATGAGGTTGAATGGAGCTGCCATGGACACGAAGTCGTACCAGCAAAAAGTGACTTGGATGTCCCCCACCCGCTCGTGTGGATTTGGCGGAAAAACTGGTAGGTGCGAATCGTTTGGTTGTATAGATGCACGCCCAAGGAGCATGGTTGCGCATAGGCGTACTGTTTCGTTTCAAAGCTACGCGGAAAGGTCACTCATCGCCTAACTTAGCCCGCCGGCACCAGCGTATTGGGTGCGAGGTCCATCCACCGCTGTGCCACCGTCTGTGTGGCGCGGTATGGTAGATCACGTGGACACAGCGCTCTCTCTCATAGGCTGTTTCGGAGGCACCACAGAACACCTACCATGTTTTGAACTGCCAATACTACCATGTTTTGAACTGAAGCGAGCTGGATACGAAAGTTTAAAACATGTTTTTTATAGCATTTTAAGCATTTTATAGTCGTACATATTAGCAAATCCGGCGTCGGTGGTGTCGTCGACACCACCACTGCGCATGCTCGCTTCTCGCACCGACTGTTTCGTGCCAGCAGTGTTCGATTTCCGCAGGATATGTGTGTGTGTGTGTGTGTGTGTGTGTGTGTGTGTGTGTGTGTGTGTGTGTGTGTGTGTGTGTGTGTGTGTGTGTGTGTGTGTGTTTGTGTGTGTGTGTGTTTCACCAAGCATGAAGGCTTGGTGAAAAAAAAATCGCAGCATATCCACGGAATGAATGATGATGAGTGGGGCGAAGCGTACGTCAATCCGTCCGTCCGTGCGTCAGTACATCTTTGGCCTATGGATGTCGGTGAGCCCTTCAAAGCCGCTCGCCCGATGCTTTCAGATCACGAGTGATGCGCATAAATAAATTGCAGAAAAAATGGCAGTATCGGTTTTTAAGCCTCTTATTTGTATTTTCTTTATTTTGCAAAATGACTATACGGCTAAAGAGAAAACGGGCAGACCTTTGCCAAAATGAAACCACGAGCTGATAGAAACCTCGCAACAAGCTTTTAGGTTGTACCTTGGGGTTTTGTATGGGAGAGCCCTTTGTGTACAAGGCTACAAGCGACGGTTACTTGTAAAGGCTACGAAGGTGACCACCCGTCCCGCGACTCGCGAGACTGTCTCGCAGCGAGTGCTCTTTTCCGGAGTCCGGCGAGAGATACGAAAATCGTCAAAGATAACACGCATATCCGCACTTTAACTATTCGGCAGCACCTTATGATCAGCTGCACCCCCCCCCCCCCGCCTCTGTTTGAGAATACGTTATGCAAGAGCTTCCAAGTTTACGACTTCAATAAATAAAACAAATAGTGTCGAGTACTTTCCAAGCTTTGTGTCAGCAACGTGTGGAAACGAAGCCACTGATCTTTTGCAGCTGTTTGAGGTGGAAGTACGTTGGTGTCGGCTGTAAAGTTGGCGGGTATGCGCCACAGAAAGCTGGTTCTGACAAGAATATCACAGCCATATGCAGGATAATATAGTAAGGGGATAGGAAAGGGGAGTGAATGGGAGGATGAGAAGTGATTTGAATGTGAGAAGGAATGAAAGGAAGAGGGTGGTAAAACATGGCATAGCTTTGTGTGGTATAGTTTAGCAAGTGGATTGGGAAAGGTAATTGAGGATGCCGTGAAAAGAAGAAGGCCACAATCTTCACTGTTTCCTCAGTCATCCCAATTTTTAAAATGTGTTTTACGTTGGAGCATATTTCAGAGATGTATAAGAAACTTGTTTAGACATATATGTATTGCCCCCCCCCCCCCACACCCATTCAGGGGCTCTCCCTATAGCGCAGAAAACTTCGCTGACACCACGCCTGGTGTTCATGCAATTCCAGCGGTTAAAGCTGAACATAAATGTCGAGCACAAAAAAAAAAAACAACAAGGCACACGAAACAAGTAGACAGGATATACAGGATTCTTGTGCCTTGTTTTTTTTTTTTTTGCACCAACTTGACCATCAACGCATTTTATTAGGTTGAGCCCGAGTCACAGTTGACCCATTTCTACTAGATGCCCATGGGATTCCCAACCCAGGGATAGTTCCTGGGGCACCGTGAACAGGTCCTCATGTAGCGGTCGCCTCCCAGTGACGTGTTCTTGTAGGTACAGGTCTTGGGCTTGGTACAGGTGCTCTGCTGCGCAGTGGGACACGCTTGCCGGGCGTAGGTTGTCAGTGGCAGCGGGTTTTGCATGTAGCGCAGCATTTCGGTGATGGTCACGAGGTAGACGTCGTCCTTCGTGAGCAGCCAGTCGACGAACTGCAGGTAGCCCTGCTTGCGGCCGGGGTGGCGCAAGTAGGCTTCGTGAAGGAACAGAGGGAATGGTGCACGGCTGCGGTTGTAGTAATCTTCAAAGTTGGACCTGTGCGGAGATAAGAGGGCACGCATGATGCACATCTGTTCAGTTATCATAGTCGCGTAGTCTCCCAAGACTGTGTACACTCAGTGAGAAACTGGTGTACTATTTTGAAAAAAACAAACAAAAGGTCGAATTCAGCCATCTTGTATTTGTCATCTAAGAAAAAAGAAATAGGCTTATTTGAAGGGTTATAGAAGTTTCATTAGTACACTAGAGGGAAATCTGGCGTTAGGGTCTATGGGAAACATACGACGTTTCAGCCAGTATGTAGTAGTAGTAAGTGGTTCTTGAAGAAAAGAAAAAAAGGAGCTAATTTCTGTCTGCCTAGTGGGCGACGCGGCTAAGGTCCTTGCAGGGTATGGGTAGTGGGATAAAAAGGATAGTAAAAAGAGAAAGATAAGGAAGACAGAGCGCTCCCCGCACACGAGTGAAGAAAGAGGAGAGGAAAGATAGGAAATATGGGGGACACGGTCGGAGGAGTCCGAGGACGGGGCACCGATCGGTGAGAGCAACATGGCGTCAGCAGATCGCGGCGGAGAGCTACGTTGGCGTCGGAGATCACGGATGACACAACCTTTCAGCACGGAATCCACCAAGCGAATTCCCTAGCCAGATGGGAATGATGGGTAGTACATGGACTTGCATGAACTTCCAATCTTCCGGCTTCGTGCGGTCTGCAGCCGCTTTGTCACGGCTTCACCAATTCGACCCTCTCAGGCTGGCCAACTCGTCAGCTCACAACATTCTCTGCGAGACATTATTTTATCCAAAAAAAAAGAGCGTAAACGTGACAATAAACCAAGCCAAAACTGAGTTCGACGCCGCTAGCACGAAGTCTATAGGCAAACACATGGACGTACACTATCCATAATTCCCGTGGCGCGAAACAATCGCAGCGGCGCAGTTCCTTCGAGTAAATATTGTGTAAAGAGGTTTATTGGGCGAAACAAACGGGCAGGTGGAAGATTCGAGATAGCGACAGGACGAGGAAGATGGAGGAGCTCGAGCGCCGATCTCGTGGTGCCTTACTTTGCGATGATGCTTGTTGTTCCCTTTTGTTGTCATCATTCCTTCATTGTAATTGCCCCCGTTGAGAAAGATGAAGTCATCCTGGCGATCTAACAGGTGGAAACGAGCGGGTCGAAGTACGGCTTCAAGCGGTCCACATGAACAATATCGTGTCCACGCCGACGATGGTCACCGAGTGGCGTAAACGGTTCAATGGCGTAATTGACGGGCGATATGGACCATGGTAATTTGAAAGTAGCTTGGTAGACAAACCAGGTGCACAGGGTGGTACATACAGCCATACAAGGGTACCAGGGGAGAACTCTGCGGCAGGAGGGTGGTCGTCATCGCGGGCCTTTTTCTGGCGTTGCTGGTCAGCCGTAGTAAACTGCTTCGCTAGTTGGCGGCATTCTTCGGCGTGACGGGCGGCTTCAGACACGGTCGTGCACTATACATCTGGTGCGTATAGCAGCAAAGTGTCAATTGTGTGCGATGGATGACGTCCGTATAGAAGGTAGAATGGAGAAAAGCCGGTGGTGACTTGGGTATAGCGGTGTTGTACGCGTAGGTCGCAAACGGAAGAACCAGGTCCCAGTTGGTTTGGTCAGATGCCACATGCGTCGCGAGCATGTCACCCAGGGTCTGATTAAACCACTCAGTCAGGCCATTCGTCTGAGGGTGGTAAGCAGTACTCATCCGGTGTACAATATGGCACTGACGGAGAAGTGCTTGGATTACGTCGGATAGAAATACACGGCCCCGGTCACTGAGGAGCTCGCGAGGAGGGCCGTGACGCAACACAAACCGATGGAGGATGAAAGATGCGACGTCCTGAGCGGTCACCGTAGGAAGAGCAGCAGTTTCGGCGTAGCGTGTCAGGTGATCTACAGCAACGATAGCCCACCGGTTACCTGCTGTGGTCAATGGCAGTGGTCCATAATGGTCGATTCCGATGCGATCGAATGGGCGGTCAGGGCACGCAAGCGGCTGTAGTGGAGCTGCTCCTGCATTCGGTGCACGCTGTTTTCGTCGCTGACACTCGTGGCAGCCGCGAATAAACTGTCGAACAAAAGTAAACATCCCACGCCAGTAGTACCGCTTCCTTAAACGTTCGTAGGTCTTGAAGAAACCGGCGTGAGCGCATTGCGGGTCGGAGTGCAATTATGCACAGATTGTAGAGCGCAGCTTTCGGGGAATAACTAGCAGCCACTTCCTGCCGTCTGGTGAGTAATTGCGCCGGTACAAGAGGCCACCTCGAATGGTGAAGTGCGAAGCCTAGCGTCGCATTGCTCGAGTGGTGGGAAGTGTCGGTACCCCAGATAAGACGTCCAGAAGCGAAGTTATCCATGGATCGTCGCGCTGTGCAGAGGTCATTGTGTCGATGTCAAGAGCGGACAGCGCGTGTTCTATAGAAAATATAGAGGCAACCTCAGCGGACAGTGGTGATCGTGAGAGCGCATCAACATCGGTATGTTGGCGACCGGAACGGTACACGACGCGGATGCCATACTCTTGAAGTCGCAGAGCCCAACGAGCAAGATGACCTGATGGATCCTTCAGCGACGACAACCAACATAAGGCATGATGGTCTGTAACTACAGCAAAGGTGCGGCCATATAAGTATGGGCGAAATTTCACAATCGCCCAAAGTATGGCTAAGCACTCTTTTTCGGTAACACTGTAGTTTACCTCAGCCTTGTTGAGCGTTCTGCTGGAGTAGGCGACGACATACTCAGGGGATCCAGGCTCGCGTTGAGCGAGAACTGCACCGAGACCGACACCGCTGGCGTCTGTATGGATTTCAGTTGCAGCTGTGGGATCGTAGTGGCGCAATGTAGGCGGTGATGTTAGGAGACGGCGAAGTGTGGTAAATGCGTGATCCCATTCGGAAGACCATGATGAGATGTCGTTGGCACTGCTTAAAAGTTTAGTCAAAGGGGCAATTATGGAGGCAAAGTTGCGCACAAACCGACGAAAGTAGGAGCACAATCCTACGAAGCTGCGTAACTGTTTTACAGTCGTCGGTTTGGGGAATTCAGTGACAGCGCTTAGTTTAGCCGGGTCGTGAAGAATGCCATCTTTTGATACGACAAAACCGAGAATGGTGAGCGTCCGAGCAGCGAAGGGGCATTTTTTGAGATTCAGTTGGAGCTGCGCATTCTTCAGACACGGGAGGACATGTTTCAGGCGTACAAGATGTGTTGCAAAATCGGGTGCAAAGACGACGATATCGTCGAGGTAGCAGATGCATATGTTCCATTTCAAACCCCGCAGAATCGAGTCCATCATGCGCTCGAATGCGGCCGGCGCATTGCAGAGGCCGAAGGTCATGACATTGAACTCATATAGCCCGTCCGGTGTCACGAAGGCTGTTTTTGGACGATCACCATCTGCTAAGGGCACCTGCCAATACCCCGAATGCAAATCTAACGACGAAAAAAAACTTGGCACCTTGTAAGCAATCAAGGGCGTCATCAATCCTGGGCAAAGGGTGCACGTCTTTGCGAGGGATCTTATTTAAGCGCCTGTAATCAACGCAGAAGCGAATTGTACCATCCTTCTTCTTAACGATAACGACAGGCGATGCCCATGGACTTTGGGAAGGTCGGATAACGTCGCGCTTGAGCATATCGTCAACCTGTTCGGTGATAACCTGACGTTCCGTGGCGGAAACACGGTATGGTCGCTGTCGTACTGGCGCGTTGGAACCTGTGTCGATGCAGTGAAAAAAACTGGGTGTTCGGCCAAGGGTAGGTTGAGCAACGTCAAAGGATTCACGAAACTGGTAGAGCAGCTGAAGGAGCTCAGAGCGTTCAGCTGGCGATAGTCCGTCGGCAATCGATGAATCGAAAAGCTCACAAGGTGGTATATTGGAAGGGTTGAGGGCACTGATGGCGTCGCAGTCACCGGAACAATCTGGCGGCATGGTAAAAATTTGTTCTTTATCAATGGCATGCACGTGCCCAAGAGATTCACCTTGAAACAGTTCGACGGGATACGGAAGGGGATTGATGAGGCAAAGAGTACTGTTTCCTTCAGAAATAGAGAGGGTTCAATAAGCCAGAAGAAGTGATCTTCGACTAAGGAAGAGGCTTGATGGCTCAAAGAATGCAGCTTCGTTCCTAATACCGTCACAGAACACGGGGAGCAACACGGCTGCTGTCGGAGAAATTTCAGTGCCTTCTTTGACGACGAGTTTGTGTACGGCGGGCTGAATGCGGCTGGTTGGTTGGTCGTAAAACGGAAAAAGTTCAAGCTCCGATCTTGCACAATCAATAATGGCATGGTTACGCGACAACAAAATCCCATCCGAGTATGATATCGTGTGAGCATGACGGAAGGACAACAAACTCAACAGTGTAGTGGTCCTTCGCGATCATCAGTCGGACAGTACAGGCGGCTACAGGCTGAACCGGGTCCCCATTCGCTGTTTGCAAGGGCATCATATTAAGAGGCGTCGTCACTTTTCGGAGCTTGCGGCAAAGTTTAGCGTCTATCACGGAAACGGCAGCCCCGGTATTTACTAGAGCATACGCTGGAGTACCTTCCACAAAAACTTCGACAATATTCGACGGCAATGTGCGAGGACTTGAGCATTTCGACAGCGCAGTTCTTGCCTCCTGAACTGCGGCGGTTAGTTTCCCTCGTGTTCAGGAGCTGGCCGACGACGCATGGGTGACAGGGAGCGACGACGGGGTGAAGGTGAGCGACCAGACATAGTACGTGGACATTCCCGTGAAGACGAGCTTGACTGAGGGCCAGAATTTTCCAGACGATATAGAGGAAGGTCCATGAAGCTGTTCTGTGTCCGGGAGTCGGTGTATCCCGGCACGAGACGACGGCAGTAACGGGCGATATGGCCAGGACCGCCGCATGCAAAACAGATGGGCCGGTTATCGCGCGTTCTCCAAGTATTGGCGACGAGGGGAGCAGCCCATGCGGCAGACGGGTGAGTTGAGGCTGTGGTGGCAATGAGAGGAACCCAGGCGGTGGACGGCTGAGTTGGGGCTGAGGTATACGGCAGTCCCTGGAACAACGGGGTGTGGTGTGGCTGCCGTCGCTTTAGTGCCTCAGCGTAAGTAAGAGGCGCGGTAACGGGGGGGCTGCTGCAAGGGCACCGGCATAGCCTCGGAAATCTGCTTCTGGACCACATGTCGGAGCATGGGAGCCAATGGTGGTGGGTGTCGCAGTGGCTGTTGCTGCGAGGGCTCCTGGCGTTGAGCAAAAGGCAGCAGAGGAAGCTGCCGAGTCACTTCCTCTCGCACGAAGTCTTTCATTTGTGCGAGAAGGTTTGTCTGGTCAGACATAACGTCCAGTGCGGTCACTGGTTGGATTGTCTGGAATGAGCGTCGCGTCTGAGCTCGTTGCCTCCGCAATTCATCATAGCTTTGGCACAAAGTCACTACTTCTGCCACAGTGCTATAGGAGACTTCGCGAGAAGCATCCGGAAAACGTCACCGTCAACGCCCTTCATAATGTGCTGTATCTTCGCACTCTCGCTCATGGAAGCATCGACGCGCCGGCAGAGATCGATCACATTTTCTATATATGATGTGAAAGTTTCACCTGGCTCCGGTGCCCGTGTGTGCAGACGTTGTTCGGCGCGTAGCTTCCGTAAGGCAGGACGACCATAAACGGCACATATCACCTCCTTGAAGGCGGACCAATTCGCGTACTCGGTTTCGTGGTTCGTATACCACAGCTTGGCCACGTCGGTGAGGTAAAAATTGACAGTGCCCAACTTAGCAGCGTCATCCCACCTGTTGGGTCCACTGACTTTATTGTATGACGACAGCCAGTCCTCGACGTCCTGGTCTTCGGTGCCCGCAAAGATTGGGGGTCTCGCTGATGAACCGGGCCGGGGCAACTAGCGGCCGCGAGAGGTATTGTTTGTTGGGTAGCGTCAGGGTGCCGACGGCAGGGTGCGGGATCGGAGTTCCAGGTTGTAGGCGATGTGGTTACCCAGCATCTCCACCAAATGTAAAGAGGTTTATTGGGCGAACCAAACGGGCAGGCGGAATATTCGAGATAGCGACAGGACGATGAAGATGGAGGAGCTCGAGCGCCGATCTCGTGGTGCCTTACTTTGCGATGATGCTTGTTGTTCCCTTTTGTTGTCATCATTCCTTCATTGTAATTGTAACAAACTCTATGGGAGGAGCAGCGCTGCACATCGCTCACCTTCCTGGAGGGGTATGCACGTGTCATCTGCAAGAATCACTGTAGCCTCGGTGTCGCCATTTTGGAGGTCCGCGCGCTTACCGCACGCGCGAAATCACCGCTGCGCGCGCTATTTCCGAGTTCTGTACGGCAACTTGGACGCCTTGAGAGCTCCGGATCACCTCATAATCGATTAATCATATGAATGGACCTTCAAGGCGTGGCGATAGTATAGCCCCTTGCAAATCAAGACTCACTGCGTACCACCTATACGCTGATTTCTTTCAACACCCATTCACCAACGCCTCGTAAGGAGAACGCGTTGCGTTCACTTATCCGCTTAATAATCGACGCGCTTCCACGTCTTGAGGCTAGGTTTACCTGAGGTACTCGAAGGTATCGTCAGCGGTGAGCGGCTGTGGCAGGCAGGCATCCGCCATGGCGCACGGGTAGTCCTGGCCCTGGCGCTCTTTGAAGAGCACGTTCATGGGCACCACCCAGAGACCCGCGTACGTATCTGTGGGGCACGGCCACACCATGCAGTTACGTCGGAAGCCGTAGTCCATGGTGTACGGGTAGACGGGGTTCTCGTGGTCACGCTCTCGCCGGTGCACCAGGGTGCAGTCGTACCTGCGGGAAGGTTCACAATTTTTACGCGCGCTGGTCGGTTCACCGATGCGAATGATATACACACCCCAACCCATCAATGGTTTCGTCTCTGTGGGCAAGGAAAAAAAAAATGCGTGTGCAAAAACCGAGCAGTCTACAGATTAAAGCTCAGTATTCCTTCCACTCAAGAAGGCCAGAAAGGAACTGCATGTTAGATGATGCGCCTGTTACAGGCTGCTTGACGTCAATAACCATAAATAATGTAAACTAAAGCGCAGCTAGTTTTTTTGACAGCACAGTTTTTAGTACTAATATACGTGACGTCACTACATTCATACACACGAAGTGGTCTGCCTTGTAAGGCATTGCGTTTACGTTGTGACGGATCAATTGGGAGGCCACGTATAGTGAGGACTCCGGCAGAGCAAAGTGTTTACGAGGCGGGGTGTCGAGAACAGAGACTACAGCACGAACAACATCGTCGTGCTCGTGTCGCGGATGAACATCGTATCAAAGACACTGAGCGTGAGTGACGAAGGCACAGTGATGTCAACCGGTGACAGCATTTAAGGTGTTTTTTTTTCTTACATGTGAAACGAAGGGGTGGGGGAATCATAGTGGGAAAAGTATATAGGAGAGAGCATCGCGTGACAGTCTTAATTGAAGCCCAAAAATGATGCGAATTTTCATAGCTGCCAATTAACTCAAAAATAAGGTCCTATAGTGGTAGAAATTCACAAAAAAATGCTAATGTTATCCAGATTTTAACACACCTACTTAACACTCTCGCCGAAATAGCAGAAAATTTGGCGAGGGTGCTAGGAATTTCGTGAAGAGCACGGATCACGAGAAGGGAGCTTCGTGGCAGAAGGTTGGCTTGTGGAGGCTAGAAGCCATCGCTCGTCGATTTTATATTTCACGAGTCCAGTTAAAAGGAAATGAATGAGGAGCACGACGGGAACTGTGCCGTGAGGAAGTAGCGACTTCAGAGGAGGTTGGCTTGTGGACACTATATATAGGCGGGCTCCCTCACCTCTTTGCCTCGGCGGTGCTAAATGCACAAGCAATGCTGCGCTGCCGCTGATGAATTGGTGATTTGTGGGTGGCATGCATCGGCTTCTCTATAGCGCGAATGCCGATCGATTTCGTTCAAACTGAAACATTCACTATACGGAAATTCGTTTGACTGAAAGATTTTCGCATAGAGTGCGTAGGAAAAAATCGCCAGGGATTTCCCTAAAGGTTCGTTATTCTGAAATAATAGCTAAACCGACGATCGTACTAGTGACAGGAGGAGGAGGAGGAAGGGAAGAAATGAAAGGCAGGGAGGTCAACCAGACGCACGTCCGGTTTGCTACCCTGCACTGGGGGAAAGAATGAGTGGATTAAAGGAGAAGAGAGAGAGAAGTGAAGGGCAACGTGTGTGTAGATGTGACCTTGTGCATTGCACGCTTATAAGCGGTCGCGTATAGTCCGGTTGTCTTTAGAAAACACCAGTGAGAGTTCGCTGTATACATATACACGCTCACCTGGTCTATAGACCAGCTGAACATACGCGTCGCGGTGTCTGATGCTGCAGTGATTCGCGCGAATACACTTGGTTGGCACCACGGCGACTATACAGTTTTTTTTTGCTGTATTATCCTTTAAAAGAAAGGCGTGGTTTCCCACCGGAAGTGTTTTTGTAGCATGCGGAAGCCCTCGTCCCCACCGGTGTACAGGAATGGCCCCCTGACGCCGGTCACGTTGGAAGCCGGCACGTTGGCGAATGTCTCCATCATCTCCTTTTGAGCCGCCACCTCCCGCTCCCATTGGGTGGTGTTGATGGTCTGCCAGTAGGCCGAGTCGGTCCGGTGGCTGTGCATCGGATAATAGGGAGAAAAAAGACTATAGATTCAGGTATCAATCAATCAATCAATCAATCAATCAATCAACCAATCAATCAACTTTATTATAGGATGTAAGGTTAATTCCAAGGCAGAGTATATACAAACGAGGGTCCAGAAATTGGAGTCCACAACGGGACACTCGGTTAAGGTTACATATAAATCATACAGTGATTAACAACAGTTTAAGCAATATGACGGATGTTATAGCAGTTAGCTTAATATAGGGGTTGACAACTTGCGGCTCCGACACGACGTCGAACTGCAAATGTCAAACTTTCTCTTATCACTGCCTGTTTGATGATCGACATGGCAGTATTGACCGAAATTGGGATTTCCGATTGTAACCTGTATGTTTGACAGCAACCTCGTGATATATATGTGCTGAAAGAAAAATAGAAAGCATCACTTCTAAACCAGTTCTGTAAATTGTTGCCAATTTGATAAATTCTCTTTTGTTTTTGCTTTTAATGTAGCCTTCTCACGCCCGTAGCTATGGTTTTTTTTTTTGAGGGTGGAGGGGGGATCTGTTGAAATCCTTGAAAAATCGTTACGTTCATTATATATTCTTGGTAAAATACCTCCCTCCATCGGAATTAGTTTTTTTTTCCGACCATCTGACTTAACTGAATAAATAAAAAAAGCTAATGATACCAATAAATGAACAATGTAGGTAATAAATACAAAGTACAGACACAAACCAAGAGCAACCCAAGAAAAATGCTGACCAAGGAGTTAAAAAGAATTCTTGAACGATATCAGAGAACGTTTAGATTCATTAGGGATGAGGGTAAATGATTCCATAATGTGATTGCATTGATGAATGACCATGGCTTGCCATTATCAGCAGAAATTTTAGAACGCAACAAAGCTGTTTTAGCAGCAAACGTGGCGATGTTGGCATTTATGAAGAAATATAGCTTGGAAGTCCCCCAAAACTGGAAATATGGCGTTCTGCGAAGTAGCATCATCAGCAAAGGATGTCACGCGAACTGCTACAACTATGGCCTCCATTTTCAGGTAGCGGAAGCAGATGACATGTGTGGTGTCTCGTTTCTGGACACCGTTAAAAGAAGATTATATATATAGCACAACACAGTTTATGCCCAAAAACGAAAAGTAGAGCATCGACTGACCAGGTGATGACCGCACTAGAGAGTGCGCGCCGGGAGCAGAGACAGTGTGGTGTCTCGTTTACTGGACACCGTTACAAGAAGAATTCTTATGCTATAGCACAAACCACAGTTTATGCCCAAAACCGAAAAGTAGAGCATCGACTGACCAGGTGATGACCGCACTAGAGAGTGCGCGGCCGGTATTTGACGTCAATCACTATTAGTGGAGGTATCAACCACAACCACCGCCCAAGAATAAATGAGGAGGTTTGAGCTAGTAAATGACAAGTCCAACATAGATCTCGCATTATCTCGGATAAATGTAGCTACATCAGAATCCTGAGATGTGTAGCCATTTTCACTAATCCAGTTTCACATAATTTTACCTGATGCGTCTGTACGGAATCCTCATGTTACATGATGTGAATTAAAAATCCACCATTTAGCAGGTCTGCAGAAACTCCGGATGTTCAGAATGCTTTCCTTGTTTACGCCAGTTGAAAAGTTGCTGTTCACAAAAGTACGTGGCTCACAGCTTGGAAGTGCAAGTTCCACTACTGGAACCTCGTAATCACATGATACTGCGCGGAAAACAACGTACGCTCTATGACAAAAAAATTGACGTTAAGTCAGCGACACAAGGCAGTCCCCAAGTCGTCGTCTTCTTCTTCATTGCATATCTTTTGATGGCGGTCCGTAGTGATATTATTGCCATGAATGCAACAATGAAACAATTGAAGGCCACTTTCTAAATTCCAAGGTGTGTTCGGTGAAAGCCTGTGGCCACTCGAGTGACAACCTGTCATGTCTTTCTTTTGCGGCTGTTGTGCCATCACGTGATTGCTGAGAGAGTGGAAGGGGAGATGCCACAGTAGACACCGTTCCAGGGCTCGGACAGACGGACGGATGCGATTATGAGACTTTTCCCCTTAAAATGGCGCGATCATATGTTTCTCTCAAGGGCCTGCCCCTGGTCACCTCCTTTTCGTGGTTAAAGGTGGCATGGAAAGAGTTTCTAGAACGAAACTTACATCAGGTATCCTCGGCCGCCATTATCGTCGAAACATGTGCATGACCATGGCCCTGCACTTCAAGCAACTTAACGGGACAGGTTTCATTGACCTCGGGTGCATCGAGGTGAAAAGAGACAAGAAGGGCACGAAGGACACGAGTGCGTGTCCTTCTCGTCTCTTTTGTCGTCATTCTGTTCTCGCACTATAACTATCGTCATGTCATACCAACTAGTCCAAGCTGCCACGCATCCGATGCATCGCGTCCGTTGCTCGCAAAGCCGACAGCCGAAGAGACTTAACTACGAACCTTTCAATCCCCCCCCCTCCCCAACGGTCGCATGCCTATGCCCTTCACTCACCTTATCGAGTGCAAGGCGATTTCGTTGCCCCAAGAGTACAGCTGGTTGACGGCCTCGTAGTCAGTGTACTCGTGCGACACGAAGAAAGTGGCCGCAATGCGGCAGTTGTTCTTGTTCTTTCGAGTTCCATTGAGCAGCTCGCGGTAGAAGGCCATGTTGCCCACGTTGACGGCATCGTCGAACGTCAACGTCACAAACTGCGGAACCTGGCTTGGTCGCAGGCCGGCCGGCGGCTGGTCGGACTCGCACGAGCAATTCGGGCGCAGGCAGACCCTTTCGTCGCAGCTGCCATTGACGACCACTGCTGCGATACGGAAAATGGTGGAAGGCTCGCTTTTGGCTATGACGCAGGCTATAGTCGGTAACAACTTAGGAACAAGTAAAAAAAAAAGTCACAGCTTTGCCGCAAAGCGAAGCAATAAACGCGATGGTAACAAATTGGAAGATTGATTGATTGATATGTGGGGTTTAACGTCCCAAAACCACCATATGATTATGAGAGACGCCGTATAGGGAAGGACTCCGGAAATTTCGACCACCTGGGGTTCTTTAATGTGCACCCAAGTCTGAGCACACGGGCCTACAGCATTTTCGCCTCCATCGAAAATGCAGCCGCCGCAACAAATTTGAAGGTCACGCGCAAAATAGCAATCAGATCGAAACGTGCACCGCGTTTCTCACGCACAAATGACGAACGAAACGTACTCAAAGGTACAGAATAACGCAAATAAGCGTCTCAGTTGTTAATTCGCTGTGTCTGAAAAGCGCGCCCTTTTCGCAAACGGAGACTGTGCAACGATTGCAGTGATCATTGTGCGCCCGATAACTCGATAACTACAACAGAATCGTTCTGGTGAAAGCCCAAGGGCAGCCAAGACGCACGATTGTCGTCCTCGCGAGAAAGGCACGTGCGTTAGCGTGCACCCTGCTCCCTTTCCACGGGGCAAAGTACGCGTGCGAGATGAGAGCACGCGCCGCCGCGTCATGACGATGTGGCGACGCGCGCTCATCGCGCCATCGATCTTGCTGATAATGCTGAAAACGCGATAGTTCCCCCCGAGATGCCCGCCACCAGTGGTAAGTGGTAGATACCAATAGCTTGCCGTTCGAAGTTTGAAGGAGGTGCTCTTTCGAGGCTCAGTGGCTAAGGACTCACGCTTCAGAGGTTCCACGTTCGATTCCGCTTGCCGCAGGCTTTTTCTAAATTATTTTTTTTTCTTTTTCGCGTTTTTATATACATAGATAAGTATACATATACAGTGAGTGACGGCGACGCTGATGCTGGCGCCAAAATCAAGCCGAGAATGTCCATATAATATTTATCGCAACAAAAAATGCGAAGCTTGTGCTCAGTCGCGCAAGGCCGGGGCACGCACAGCAGAGCTGTCCAGCACTCGGCCGGCACTAGCTTGACAATATATAAACACACGTGCATTCACACGCCGGTGGTGCACGAAGTGTTCACGTGGTCACATTATAAATCGCGAGTATTGGCTAGGCGTCGATCGGGCTCGGTTAGATATCTCTTAGCAATCAGCAAAAGTATAGTCAGTTGCAACGATAGAAGTTAGCCGCATTTGCTCCTGAAAGGTGGGTGCACACAGGGCCGCACCAGTGGACTTGTATGTGCTCCTGACCGACGTCATGAGCTGGACGGCCGTTGACCCCTCCTGCTGAGAAACATAATACCAAAGGCAAGAGTGGGGCTATTTCTTTAGTCACCGAGGTGATCCGCTGCCGCGCTTCGGTCGTCTGGGCGTGGCCTCCCCTGAGCTATGTCCAACTATAGTTGTCATCTCACTTATCTCACCCTCACCCTCTTTCACCCCTCACTATACTGCAGTATACATGGCTATCCTATGCTTTACCCTCTCGCTTCCTCCTAACCGTCACTTCCTTGTTCCCTATACACCCTTGATATTCTATACTATACGTGACTATGCTATGCTTTCTTTCTCCTTTTTACGTCCTTTTCTATATTTGCCTGCTTCTCTGTCCTTCCAGTGAGGGAAGGGCTGCTCCAATTGTTCCAAACTGCTCGAAAAGAGGAATGCTGCTCCTTGCTGCTCCAAAGTGCAATATTTGCTAGTAACTGCTCCAAACCTGCTCCGAAAAGATGTTGGCAAACTAAAAGCAATGAGCTTGAACCATGAGACCATCCCGTGAGCCTAAGCGAAACCAAAAGCAAGTTGTGTACACTACCATCCTAGTAGGCTACTTACTCAATGGCATAAATCCAGAAAAAATCTCAAGGGGTGACACATATCAGGCCATGGTGTCCAATTCGTATTTTTAGTATGGGTTGCATTTTTATTTATATAAGAATAAATTACGCTTTCAAATAAAAATTAAAAAAAACGAGCATGGGATCCGAGCTCGAGCAATTACATTGTTCCATTCAGGCCCTTTTTTTTCTTTTTGTTTTTTCGATTTTCATAGTTCACACAACTGAGGAGCATTTAATTTAACACAGGTACGCAGTAAAAGATAAAAAGGCATTTTAAAAAGTTGATCGCGCTATACTTAACTGTTAAGTCAATTATATAACGTGCCAAAGATAATTCTATTACGTGCCAAAGATAAATCTAAAATGGGACACTTGTAAGGGGTGTCCTCCCCAAAAGTCCAAACTCTCTTGACCTCCCCTCCCAACCGCCCATGATGTACGCAAACAATACTGCTTGTATACAAGCTGCATACTAGCATACGGCATGTTTATAGTAAATATAAATATTTATTAGACGCCTAAGTGACGTTCTAGACTTCAGGAGTCGTTAGAAACATGCATCTGCTCCGAAAACACCAATAGCAAACCTAAGCTATAGCATTTTTTTCTGCTCCGAAGACACTTAAGGCTGCTCCAAAGCACCATTTTTTCTGCTCCAGAATCTGCTCCGAAAAGCAAAATGTCGCTTCCATCACTGTCCATTCTGACTTTCATTTTTTCTTTCTTTCCCTATCTTTCTCTCGTTCTCTCGCTATGTAGATGGTTCCGATGAGTGCTTATACCGCTACGATGTCTATATCCGATAAGGATAAACACCTCACCAATGCTTATCGGCTATCTAGGCTCGGTAGGGTATACTTGGAACAGGCCGTCACCTGATGTATTCGCTCTAGAAATGGTTGCGAATTTCTTATTGCTATGTGTTAGTCATTGTGTCACGATGTGAACTGAATGAGGTTAGTGATCTATCTGTATTGAATTGCTTTCAAGTTTCAGGTTCATGCTGATTGGTATGTAGGGTTCAACGTCCCAAAACCACCATATGATTATATATGAGAGACGCCGTAGTGGAGGGCTCCAGAAACTTTGACCACCTGGGGTTCTATAACGTGTACCCAAATCTGAACATACCACGAAAGAAAGAGAAGAAAAAAAAAAAGCAGTGCCTGGATAAACCGGGTTGTTATGATGACCGTCTTCGGACCGTGGTTACTGGGTTCGACTCGCGCCTCGGCAAGAAATTTAATTTCTCTTTATTTCTTCTCCTTCTCATCGCCCCTACTTCTCTCCTTCCTCCTCTCCATTTCGCCGAGCAGAGTATTCACCGAACGCTCGCTCCCCGCCTCCTTGCTGGAGCCATTCCTGCCTACATGTCGCATCGGAATATCAACTTTTTCTTCTTTGCGACACTATGAGAACGCTGGGAATATTCAGAGAGCACGGCGAGAGACAATTCATCTATCTGAATAGGGTACCGAGCCACATATTGCTATGCCGTAAAAACGAAAGGGCAAAAAAAAAATTAATGTGTTCACATTAACGACGGGCTCACACCAGGGCTGATGTGAGCCCGGCTGACTTCTTGCTCTTTTCAAATCTCAAGAGAAGCCAGACGGGCCACCGTTGCGATGGTACGTGTTACCACCACCCAACGGGTTGTCACAGTCTCATAGGGAGGACACGTACCTCTTTATTCAAAGATCCTTTACAGAGCAGAAATTAGCTTTGCAACCGGTGTGTCGGCGCCCAAGGAAACTATTTCGTAAAACTTAAAACACTATCCCCCGTATTCTAGAACGTCCCTTCACTCAACGCTTCACCTTCACTTGAAAAAGCCGATGAAAGCGCCCTCTCTAGGCACGGTAAGCCACTGCATTTCAGCGATAATGTGGTGCGATTCTCGAGCAGCGCAGCGTCATTTTCAGCCGAGCAGCGGCGCAGTGCTTCACTCTGTCAAGTGAAGGGTGAAAGTCGAGTCGAGGAGAGTTTGTGAATACTGGGTTATGTACCGATGGGATCAATGAAATATTGTTACGATTTCCGGTCTCATTAATCCACAGACAAAACCTGTACTTACTTGGCTGCTAAAGAGAGCATTCGTTACCTGCGGTCGTCGACCTAGCATTCGGCGAGGTCACGCTGAAGATCGAGGCGCTCGCTGCATCGGCACCGGCGAGCCATCCGCTGGCTACCAACAACAGCAGGGCGCACGGAACTATAAACCCCTTTGGAAGCGTGGGATGCATCGCGTCCGCTGCTCGCGAAGCCGACAGCCGCTCAGACCTGACGGCGAAACCCGACCCCTCTCTAGCCTTTCAAACTTGCCTGAAAGAACGGGAACTCGGACTGGGAGTACAACCACTCGAAACGTTGGCCGCAGCTGATAAGGAATTTCCAGTGACAATGGCTTTATCGGATGTACACAGCTTTGACATCCTGCTGTTGCCCCTTTTGCTTTGACCCGCGTGCAATACTTCGGGCGACCTGATATCGTTTGCTCGATAAGATCGATATTTGCAAAGCGCCTTATAATTGCGTGTTTCTTGAAGCACATGGCTGCAACTATGCAACGGTAAGGGTATAAATCGTTCGCCCGCTTTCCAGTTAGCTCAACCTAAATTTCCCAGCCATTTTTAATCTTCATTCATAATCTCAACGCCTCTTATAAAGTATTGCCCTGAGTGCGCAGGATTGCCTAGTTTGGAAGAAATCTGGGGCCGCCAGTTGAACGCGATAGTGATGTCCGCGCGCGCGCACACACACATACACGCTAAATAGCTTTCACAATCGCCAATTAAGTTACATTCGATTCTCGGTAGAGAAGGTGCGCTGCAAAAAAAAAAAAAAAAAACTAAAGTGCAAACGCCTTATGGCTCCTATCTTTATTGCGCTTAATTACCTCGAATTTTTGGCTCATGGTCAGCGCTACTTTTCCGCTCACAACCAAAGACGCCGACGCTGGCAATTCTGCGAAACGAGCTAACAAAGCTACGACGTGTAAGGTCCCTAGATGAAACAAGGTAGCGTCACTCATTGTTCTCAAGCCGTCCTCCTCACTCTCTCGATTACTCCTCTTTTTCTCTGCCATCCAAGGTCTGTGATAGGTGAATTCGTTGCACGCGACGGTATTAGTGGATGGTGGTGATATTTATTATAAAGCAAAAGGTTCAAAACGAGTGCGCATGTGCATATGGTTCCAGTTGGATTCTTGCCGCGACGAAAGACGAGGTCGTATCCTAAGGTCCCTAAACTAGAGACCTTATCGTAGGGACTTATCGTAGACTAGGGACCTTATCGCAGCGCCGCCTGCCTTTTGTCCCCTGCTTTAATTCCTGGAATAAAGGCGAGAAAAAAAAAGTAAGCACCTATCAGCATGCATCATTGGGGCCCCGGCGCCAATGTTGCATGCTCGTTTCGCTGAAATTGCGGCGTCGGTGTAGGCGGTTGCGAGCGAGGAATCGTCTTATGCGTGACCGAAAAATTGAGAACGACGCAAATAAAATAAATTTAAATGATAAAAAATAATGGAGCAGAGTGGGGACCGAACTAGGGTTGTTTGGGCCCGACAGGGCATCGAACACGGGTCGTTTGTGAGGCAAGCGTATGTTCTACCGTGGCCTCCGCGATTTGCTGCCGGCGGCGCGCCGCCGGCAGCCGATCGCGCAGGCCACGGTTCTACTATAGTGTACTAGAATATGGGGTCATATTCTAGTACACTATAGTTCTACCACACAGCCACGCCTCTGCTTGTGAGAACAGTGAAAATAACTTTTTTTTCTGCTCGGAAATTCAGTGAAAGTAGCTTTCGTGCTTCACAAACACACACTCCCTGTATACATGCTTCACATTGCAACATGAAATATTGCAGTAATAATGCATGGTACAAGCGTCCATTGCCAACGGGCGTCAGAATACGTGATTATCATTAGTTGGAAGCTGGTACGGAAAAGCCATACACGCTACTGCGCCCATTCCCTCAAGACCATAGCAAATTCGAAAAAAAAAAGGTTTCGTGCATTAAATGATAGAAATACGCACTAGGAACAGGATGTCGCTATGGCGTTCAACTCCTAAATGCGAAGCTTTAGGGTCCCCTAATCCTGTTAATAACTCTATGGCGCGGACAGCTGCTTGCAGACTGACCGGAAGTCGTAGCCTCTTGCTCAATCATTCGCAGCATATTTGGTATATTTGCCCCGCCGCGGTGGTCTAGTGCCTAAGATACTCAGCTGCTGACCCGCAGGTCGCGGGATCGAATCCCGACTGCGGTGGCTGCATCTCCGATGAATGCGGAAATGTTGTAGGCCCGTGTGGTCAGATTTGGGTGCACGTTAAAGAACCCCCAGGTGGTCTAAATTTCCGGAGCCCTCCACTACGGCGTCTCTCATAATCATATTGTCACGAGGTTGTGATACACGCAGCACTTGAGAGGAAGCACGCAGGAGTCAGGGCGGTGTCAGGCGAACTGTTTATTGGGCGAACTTGTGCCCAGCAAAACAGGGCCAAACACAACTCACAGCAACAGCGGCGTGAACAGTCGTCGGCCGGCGAAAAAAAAAAAAAAAGACCCCCAGTGGCGCACTGCGCCGGCTTTTTATACACGCGTCGTAACGCGTTCCAGAGTGGCATACAAGATAAACGCGGCCTGCGTTGCGCTTAACAGAAAGTGATAGCGTCTTCCTTCGTAAACCAAAAGAACAGCACGTGTCAGTCTTTTATACACGCGTCATAACGCGTTCCAGAGTGCCATACAAGATAAACGCGGCCTGCGTTGCGCTTAACAGAAAGTGATAGCGTCTTCCTTCGTAAACCAAAAGAACAGCACGTGTCAGTCTTTTATACACGCGTCGTAACGCGTTCCAGAGTGGCATACAAGATAAACGCGGCCTGCGTTGCGCTTAACAGAAAGTGATAGCGTCTTCCTTCGTAAACCAAAAGAACAGCACGTGTCAGTCTTTTATACACGCGTCATAACGCGTTCCAGAGTGCCATACAAGATAAACGCGGCCTGCGTTGCGCTTAACAGAAAGTGATAGCGTCTTCCTTCGTAAACCAAAAGAACAGCACGTGTCAGTCTTTTATACACGCGTCGTAACGCGTTCCAGAGTGGCATACAAGATAAACGCGGCCTGCGTTGCGCTTAACAGAAAGTGATAGCGTCTTCCTTCGTAAACCAAAAGAACAGCACGTGTCAGTCTTTTATACACGCGTCATAACGCGTTCCAGAGTGGCATACAAGATAAACGCGGCCTGCGTTGCGCTTAACAGAAAGTGATAGCGTCTTCCTTCGCAAACGAAAAGAACCGCACGTGTCAGTTTTTTATACACGCGTCGTAACGCGTTCCAGAGTGGCATACAAGATAAACGCGGCCTGCGTTGCGCTTAACAGAAAGTGATAGCGTCTTCCTTCGTAAACCAAAAGAACCGCACGTGTCACTACCCCCCTCTGAAAAAGCATCGTCCCGATGCTAAAGACAGAACATAAGAGAGAGTACATGCAATAAATTACATTAACAATGCGTCACAGCTAATCAGCGCGCGTAATAAGGTTTAAGTCGCACCACGTGTACGACTTCGGGTCGTGCACGGCGTCGTTGGGATGACGCGGCCTGCGTTGCGCTTAACAGAAAGTGATAGCGTCTTCCTTCATAAACCAAAAGAACCGCACGTGTCAATATCGTGGTTTTGGGACGTTAAACCCCACAAATCAATCAATCATATTTAGCACATTTGGCTCGGCGCGTCAGAGAAGTGGCACAGCCACGGCGCAAGAATAAGGGGGCACGGCGCGTCACGCGGAGACCCGAAAGGCACGGAAAGAACGAGGGATGTAAGGTCCCTAGATGGAAACTTGTTTCATCTAGGGACCTTAGAGGGATGCTGCTTGTAGCGCCGCCACGCGTGGAATCGTTGATCGCGACGCCATTTCGCACACGATGCGCTCGTTTATTTAAAATGTTTGAAACAAAAATGTCGGAGGTGGTTTACGGGCCCTTTAAAGGGGGCCCTCAACACTTTTTCAGCACAGTCTGAATACGCTGCCGATCGGTAGTCGAGGCACGCGAAACACGTCTGTCAAATATTATAGCGCATCACGCGGCCTGGAATTTACATTAAATTATCAGAGTCGGCTAAAATATCGCTTTCTCTTCTCTCGACAAACGACACCACAAAGTCTAAAATCACCGCGTCACAGGCCAAGTATCAGCCATTGGCTAATTTGAGCATGACGCGCTAGATCGTTTCTGAGGCTGCCGCGGGAGGTCGCCACTTGTCCACGCGGGCGATCGCACTGAAAAGCTGCGCATTCGAACAAAAGAAAAAAAAAGGAGCTGAAGGTCACGTGGTGCGCGTGACGTATTTTCTTCCCCCTTGCTTAGTTTACAGCGCTTCCGTCGGGACAAGAGAAGAGAGAATGCAATTGCAGCGTGGGGTAAATATTTGTAATTCCGTTCGTACTGGAGGGATTCTGAAAATTCTTGCGGCGGCGAATTCATGAAGCAATAAGCGCCTTTGCTGAATTCATTCCCCGGTTAGTTGTAAAAGTGTTGCAGGGCTCCTTTAAGAGAGAGTGCAGCAGTTAACTAGCTGGACTTACTACAGACACCCATTTCCCAAGGCTTGCTTCACAAATTCCGAAATATTCATTGCGCCTTCACGTTGAAGACAATCTGCCAAGACCTGTTTTATGTCTCAATGGAATCATCAAGAATATTTGACCTATTACAGCTACCATATTTCGCTCACATACTACCCGTACTATTTACACTGGGTATGGTTAATGTTGGCCTAATAATGGTAAATGGTGTGTGCTGCATAACATGGGCACTCTGCTGTTGTAACACAACTTTTACAGTCTACAGGAGGTTGTATGCAGAATGTTTTTTTTTTATTCCGGGGTGGGGGAGGGGCGCTAATGGTCATTTTGCACTATGTATGCATGGTGAAAAAAAAAAGTCGGTGTGGAGGTCACGGGCCCAGGGTGCCGCTCCTGACCTAGTCTTCTCTCCCCTCTCTCTTTCGTACTTGATTTCTTAAAACTCTAGATGAAGCATGCCTACAGACTCTACACCTTGTATGGGCTGTCGACGACATAAGTGCCCGAGATTGTCAAAATATCGCTCCGTTGGTTCAGTTGGTACAGCGGGGCAGGCCTGAGCGCATCCCACAGCTGCCCTAAAAACTGCCACGGAGGGAAGTCTCAAAACCAAGTGTTATCGGATGCGCCATTATGTACGAGTATATAGACTGTTGCGATAGCCTTACGATAAGCACTGTTTGCGCAAGATTGGACCTATTAAATCAAGCTAAAACATGTTACATCTGTGCACGCCTGTACTGCAATAGAACTACATACAGTCACGCCCAACATCAAATGTGCTGCGTGTGTTCAAAGCGGCGCCAACACTGCGCAGTGGCACCAGCATAAAAAACAATTAGTGACATAGGCACAGTTTGCTAAACTAAGTTCACATTTGTCAGTGCTCGAGTATATGTATTCGGCCCTTTCAACCGTGGCCACCATGTTGCAACTGAGCACCAGTGTCCATGCTGTGTTTAGGTTAACTAAATCGTGCAAATGCTCATCATCAACTGTGTCGTTGCTGGCTTCACCCTATTCCAGAGTTCCACTTAAAAGAATGCAGACATATGATGCCTTTCATATAATGCAGCGTGTGAAATTCTTTTGCTTGAAGTAGAAGTCTTTGGACATCGAAATTCAAGAAGTACTCATAAGCCACGATGAAAACGAGTTGACTTGTCGAGCCCGAAGCCAATTGTGTTGTTGATCTTGAAGAGGCACACGCATTACGATGTCAAAATGTGCACATTTGGTGTGGCACGCTCAGTCAGGTAACCATATAGAGTTATAAAACGAGCAAAAGCAAGTTCAATGAGTGCAACGCGACATCGCTCGAAATACTGACACGATTTTGAGGCACCCCAAAAAGGACATCTTTCATTTCCATGATGAGCACTATCAAGGCCAGGCTGTACTCAGTGGAACCAGACAACACGTATAAACTATTTTACATTGACTTCAAAGTTTTCGTCACCCAGACCCATTGCGATAGACATTATCATGACAAGTAAATACAGTTCACTGGGTTTGCGAAGCCTGTGTCCTGCATGCAGCGTAAATTGCAGAAATTGCTGTTGAACTCAGTGGGCGACATTTCACTCACAGTTGTCTATGGGAACTGCATGCGACTGACAGGAAAGGACAGAGCTGGTGCTTTCATTTAGCGAGTTTCAGTCTTTCCGTGACGTCAGGCCTTGTGTCGACACGTCACCGCAAAGTTGCTCCATCGATAGTGAGACCGAAAGTGCTTTCTGTGGCGGTGGTGTTATGGATATTCATTACATTCCCAAGCATCAGAGAGCTTTAGAACAGCGCAACGCAAAGCTTTGCATTAGCGTTGTGCATGCGTCGAATGCTTACATCGTGAGGGCTCCCGCTGAGTGATGAACGCTAACGCTGTGCCCGCAAGCTTTGCGTATGGTATTCTAAGATGTCAAGACACTGATTTTAGAGTTTCTGACACCAGTGTTCTTAATTTGAGCAACAAAACAAGAACATTTAAATTTCGTGTGATTATTCCTTTACTTATCCACATATTACGAGTTTATTTTTGCAATATGCCGAAAACATCTTGAAGTAAAACTGATATATTAACAGCAGATATATTCAAATATAATGAAGAAACATTATTCTGTGAAGTGTCACAATGGTAATATTACACTTCAAAAAGAAAACGGCCAATAAAAGCAGCATATTCTTTATTGTACACAAGGTATCACGACCAATGAATGCAAATGGAGGTATGGCTACACTGTTTTGGCAGACAAGGAAAGATTGACATCACCAGAGTGAAACAAAGAACAGTAGAACAAAACAAATAAGCTCCAGTAAGCCATGTCTGCTCCCGTTACTTAAAAAAAAAAATAGAACGATAAAATATAGAACCCAGAAAGATTGGTCGCAAGTAACCCGGCGTCGCAGGTTATACATGCATAAGTAGCTTGAGCTCGTGCTTTTCCATAATTATCGTTAAACACTTCAAAGCCTACTGCAACAAACTTTCACTTTGACTAAACACTAAACTGGTTACTAGTACATTCTGTAAGTGTAATCCTGCGGAAACATTTAACAATTCAGCAAATATGGTTGACACAACGCAGGTCCAAAGCCTTGGAGATATTCAGAGATTATTTACAGCATCACATTGGTTTTCAATGTTACAGGTTCTGCATTATATCCGGCAAACAGCCAGAGGCACATTTATTTTTCAGTAATGCAGATATGCATTTTTTTTGCGACCTTTTCATAACTTTCCCACATGTACTTCGACCGTAAAATTTTGCAAGTCATACAGTATTTATGGTGTAAATTTTCGTTGCAGCAGGCTTTTAAACATAAGACAAGCAAAAATAAGGACAATAGAAAAAATTGTAATTTATGTACACTTATATAAGATTTCATCGCAAAAGATAAATATAAATACGACACATTCGGTAGCCTGCGAGACAAACACAAAGGTGTTCTTTTTTGGGTCACGTCGACAACGCACGTTCAAGCCAGAGCACTTTCGAGAACTGGTGCGTTGATAATGATATCACACTTAAAGAACATTCGCACGCTCCGTTGTTGCAGTCTCATTCGTTGCAAATGCTTCCGCATAGTCCCGGCACCAAAATCCACGCTACGTCTACGTCTTGGTTATCGTGTGTGCCTTGGCTAGCTGACACATGTAGTGAAATCTCTCGTGAGAGCTTGCTATTTTCCAAAATCGACCACTGCTGCGAGGCAAATCGTACCTCTAAGTTACACGCATCATAGGTGAAAAACGCTGTGGTGCAGTCGATGCATTCGTTAGACACACAGCTGCACGCTTGTTATGTGCGGCATGTTCCACCAGCGACACGGATTCACTCGGTGAAATGTACCGGATGTTGAATAACTAGGCCAGACAGGCTTTTTTGGGTAAGCCAGTGGACCGACTATGCTTGAAAGTCGCGCAAGGTGGCATTTCGCAGTACGCTTTAATGTCCATTACGTACGGAGCAGATTTCACATTGCGTAGCATCAATTCCGGTCAGAAATTCGAATTACCTTATATTCAGCAGCACAGTGCGTGCTAATGATGTAGAATGGGCAATTAAATTGCCAGGCATTATTACTACGTTCAGTCACGATAGTTTTGAATTAAGCGCATCACGAAATGCCTTTACCGCGCGAATGTTAAGCATAGGCGAGCCAACAGTTGTCTGTGGAAGAGTAGCTTTCATTTATACAACATTCGGTACAGCCAAGCAGCAACGTTATCAGAAGACATCAAGTACCGAGACAATAATCACAGTCTAACAAAAGAAAAAGTACAGCACCAACAATCACTTTGCGTAAAAAAAATTGGTACATTACCAAATGGATACCTTTCATCATGTTTGCAAGGGCTAGAGTTGTATACAAGCAAAAGTGCTGAAATATATATGTATATTTATATATATATATATAAAGGCAATAGACCTATGGTGATGACAGAATATGTTACCAGACAACGTCTGTGTGTTCCACCGTCTACAAGTAAACGTGAGGTGTGTAGTAGTAAACGGAATCGGGCAGGACGTAAGCTGTTATTAGGACTTGACAACACTTAAACGAACAAAGCTACTGTGATACTAGAAAATGGCAGTAAAGTTGCCGGAATTGTAAAAAAATAATGGCCTATGAAAATACGGCACATGCGTGCGCTCCTTTTTTGCATGGCCACATTTACTTTGCAAACAGGGAAAAGAAGTGGCCTAAATGCCACACAGCTCTAGAGGACCCTAGACGGTCCTCGGCAGTAAACTCATTATGTTCTACGAAGTATTGGGAAAGGAGAATATGTTGAGGTGATACGGTGGCAAGTGTCTAAGGGGAAAATACCACAAACTGAGTCCTAACGAAGTTGTGTGCTTGCAGTTCCAATGCATGTTTGCAGCTGCTAGTGTGAAGGAGAATCATAACATCAGATCCTCTATGCACGAAAGTTACTTAAAGGCCAACTTCGGCGATTTTTCGAGGTCAATGGATCTCAATTAAATTCGCTGGGTACGTTCCCTTGCACATTTCATAATTTATGCCAAATTACAGGCCTGAAAAATGCACCGATTCATTGCAAATGAATATTAAAGATTGCCTCGAAAAGCTCACTTCGTTTTTCAGTATTATTGGCAGCACTGTCTGTGTGACGTCATGTTTGGCATGTCAACGGGAGTGACACAGCCGATGGCATGGCTATTTCGGCTGCTACAGCATTTATTGTGCTGGGCACGAGGCGACGGTGGTGGTGTTTGGCACGGGTATAGCACGGAAAAGCTTTCTTTTTTCCTTCGTAGAGTTAGGCCGGCGCTTCGCATGTCTGGCTTTCACAGTTTTTATACTCTGCGCCGGTGGGACCAGTATCTGGCCTCCGGTTCTTACCAAATAGTACGTCATACACAGTCAGGGCACCCGGTTGGGTTTCGGTATTGCACCTTCTTGCTTATTAAAAATTATTTTAAAATTTATTGAGCATTTCAGCTATTGGGCTCTTGACAAGAGTGTCTTAGGAACTTAGAAACACCATTACCTGAACATGGTCGAAAAATTGCCAGAGTTGGCCTTTAACGGGCCAGTCAATAGGCTCATACTTTTTTACACCCCCTCAAGGAAGCTCGGCAATTCGTAGAGTAGACCGCGGCGATCACGTTTCCCAAATATTACAACACTGCGCGTAAGCTTCATTTCGAAAAACAATTCTTGCGCTCCTTTCCTACGCCTGCAATCCTTCTTCCACGTGCAGTGACACAAAGTTGTCGGTCGGCCACTTGATGCTGTATGCAGCGCATCAATTGGTGTAAACCAGTCTCAAGCATTGGCTAAGCTGCGCGAAAATTTGAAACCAGCAGAAACCGATGTTCTAGTCCCTGCAACTCCCTTAATATAGCATGTATTCACAAAATTTTTGCGGCAGCATGTCCACAAAGCAAAGGCGCGCATATTTCTCTTCATAACAGTTTTTGGACCTCAAGGTTGTTTACTGGCCCTTTGATAAAGCATGTTTTTATGATAAAAATTGCCTAAACTACTAATTTTAAACAACAAGTGTTTGTTAACATATGTTTTGTTCTAGACATATACATGATGCCTCGCATGCGGGAAACATAGTCACTCGGCTTATAATGCGCAGACTTTAACATCTTTTTTCACCGAGCTGCTTGTACAATGTCCCAGTTGCTTGTTCACCAATAGTGCATTGGTCATTCACTGACATCACGTTTGAGGATGAATTTGAGTAGCTGAGTGTTGAAGTCAACCATGCATTGGGGAAATCGACAAGCAACGTTGTGTCATGCACTGGAAAAGGGGCAGTTAACCGAATGAAGACTACCCTACAGACGTTAAAACTAAATATGTGCTTTAGTTCATAGTTGCGCATATTTTCTGTTCACAAAACAATTAAACTGATTTTTTTCAACCCTCCTTCGTGTTCGTACTATAATTAAAATATTTTCGAAAATAGAAAAATTTGTTAATTTGCCACGTGTTTCGAGCTTCTTAGCGAAAGTCGTGCTGCTTGTTTTGGGGTTCTTTTGTGGCGATAATTTGCTAGTTAGTGCAATAGCGCCTGACAACTCTGGCTGGAAATCAACCAGGATCAATGTCTGTAAGCATTGCTAAATGCATTGTAAAATTTTTTTTCTATTCGTTTTTGTGAGCTGCCTGTCTATGAAACAAAAGTATAGAAGCTCTGTATCACTGTTTAGAAAGAAAAGGAAAACGGTATGCCCGTCCTCGACCTCCACTTAGCTAAATTATTGTAGCTTCACGTTCCCTAGATAGTGAATTGAGCAATACAATGACACGACGTCCTATTGCCATTACGGTCTCAGCTGAGCAAACGGGAATCATCAACCATTCTTTCTCAAATGCACAGGCTTGACTCAGTGATATGCATGTAGATACTGTCCCAGACAGCAACCGGACAATTCAAAATGTCAACAAGAAAAGCTGATCAGTTTAAATGTAAGAAAGGCGAAGCTGTTTTAAACCCCTTATTGAGGAGCTCCAGTCAGTGACATTGTTAAAGAGTGGCTATCAGGCATGAGCAGAAGTGTTAATTTGTACGTCACATGGTCAAAAAGCAATTGTTGATATGTTATAAAATAAGGGAAACTTAACAAACACCTTTAAAGGACCCCTGACAGCAAAAGTTTTGTTTGCGAGTTTGTTATAGTAATTTGTAGCTTTGTGTCTGGGAATGCTGAAATTACTGTATAATGTATGTGCTCTAACGTATCATATAATTAATGCTTGCGGCACTAATTCAGAACCACTTTGTGTGAATTCGGGACACCTGCTTAAATACTATAAGAAACTAGCGCCCCACAGCGGAGCAGCACTTGCGACTTCATGTGCTCAACTTCGGTGACGCTGAAGCACGCCGTTTCGAAATAGGGGGACCTGCTGTGGTGAAGAATGAAACGATGTGGGTGCCTTGAGCGTGTCCCTTTCAGAAAAAAAGACAAGCATTCCTGCTTAAACCTCCTCGAGAGCAGAGCGACAACAGAGCCAGAGGGGTGACGAACAATAGTCCTCGCGGGGTGCCAGTCTGGGTATTGTGCGCGCCCCACAAATGTTCTTGACTTCTGCAACGTCACAAAGGGATCCCCTGTCTATCTGAAACCACAGAAAATGATTGTACTGGAATACTCGAGGGAGCACGCACCCTCACTTCAAATCCAAATTAAAATACCTTCTAGGCAATGCTCGCCACTCATAATCGGTCAGAGGTGGCCCCGCATGCAGGACTATCAAACACAAGCATCTCGAGTTTCCGAATTTGGTGTCAGGGGTCCTATAAGGTAGTGATTAGCATCACAGCTCATCAACAGCTAGTCGAATATTATTTTGTTCTTCGCACATGTTTGTTTTGGGCCACAAACTCTGCATAGGAGGAGACACTGATTGGCGACTTGTCACATGCATATGGTCACATCACTACTGTCACATGTGACATGAGCGTGAAGCGAGGTCGGAGACCACAAGGCTGGCACAATGGACAGAAGTTTCAATCTGCAGCACACACTTCCATCTATCATTGTGCAATTGTCACTCATGACAAATGCATTGCTGCCAGACGACACATTTGCCACATGAGACTCTCGCATTGACACACGATATCCAGCAATTTATAGTATCAGCCTACTCAAGGAATTATGCACCAAGCTGTTCCACTACTGTCACATGTCACAAGGCTTGCTCAATGAACATAGGCACCAGTCTGACACGACAGACATCACGTGACTGCCGTCACACCAAAACTGCCACATGTGACAGACCTACTGTCGCATGACAGCTACCACATGTGATAAGACCTAAGACTGTAAGGCCTGTTCAGTGAAGCTAAGATTAAGTACTGCGTTAAGGTGTGTGACACGGGCAGCAAGCTTTTTCAAACTCATTAGGACACTAGAGGATTAAGTACTCTGCTTCAGTGAATGGTGTGCGGATGACTTGCTCACAAAATAATTACATGGGCTGCATTTCTACTCTAACCCACAAAAACACAAAACTCCAAAGCACGAAAGAATGTGAGGCTGCACGTAGCATGCAACGTAAATGTCGCAAAAAACCAAGAGAACAATGCAACAAATCTTCACTGCACAATCATAACCCTCATCGAAATAACCTTCATTCTATTGTACAAATGTCTAAAGTAAAGATCTACAAAAGAACACTCCAGCTCATATGCAAAAACATAATAAAGTTACATGAAAAGTATTGCATTTCTTGGAACAGGAACCAAGTTTTGTTGAAAGTGAGAAGCGCCACAAACACACACACAAAAAAATTGTGACACGCAACACAACCAGGAGAGATGGACAGATCCTCTTGCTAAGCCTGTTACAGCTGGAGCAAGATTGGAAAGAGGGCAAATGTGCACCACTGAAGAAAGATGCAGATGGTCGAAGACTCACGAGAGAAGGAAAAAAAAAGGCGACGATGACAATTGGGACAGCTGTAGAGACTTTACTGTGATGTCAAGAAGTTCTTTGGGCACTTCAGAAATCTCACACAGTGTGAAAGCATTCGAGAAAGGACTGCTAATAGAACAGCCTCTAGGCTTGGGTGAACCAATGCGAAGAACCTGTACTGAAATGCACCATTGCACACAAAGGGACGATGCAGAATTAGCAATGCCCCAAGTGCAGCATCTTTACACTCGCAAAAAAAAAAAAAAAATGTTGCGACAGTAACATCGTCTTCTACGAATTGGAAGTCGACCAGTATACCTGTCATAAATGTGTCTGCGAAACGCAACCACTTCATATGAAGTACAATTTGAGCAGTCAGCCCACACCCTCTACCTCCAGAAGCTATTCAGACGTCTAGGCCATATGCCTACCGCAAGTCAGACATTTGTTTCACATTCCAAGAAGAGGAGGGCAATAGATACGATCCGAGGGCTAACGCGGAATAACAAGCTCAGACGGGTCTCGGAAAGCCAAGCCATCTTGGAAGACGGGCATAGCAGGACAGTTGGGAAAACAGACCGTCTCTGTAAGTGCTGCCTCATTAAAACAATGAATCAACTCCAGCTCACCCAATTAGCAACCTTGTTGAGTGGGATCTCAACTTCAATTCCAACAGCAGTCCACAGAGGCTGTCAACTTAATACTGGAAGCGAATTACGTCTTTACTAAATAACAAGGGACAGCACAATGTTTACAGTAACCACACGCACACAAGACTGACACTATTATCCAAGAGATGATATGCATGTAGAATATTCAAGTGAGCTTACGTCACGCGTTAAATGTTCATAATGTGAGCTTTTTCATCAGCTCTGAAGGAAGAAGGGGCACTGGCAGTCTTTGGGAGAGATTCTCTTTTTTAAACACCTGCGCAGCACTGTGGATAGATTAATTTTTATACTAGAGTACCCTATAGGCAAAAACATATTTTAATAACGTTAGCGGCAGCTTTGTGCAGCAGTCCGTTCACTGCTTGATTTCATTAGGTTTTATACTTATGACACACGAAGGCGTTGCTCAAGTGAAACGTAGTCAGCAGGTTAATCAAAACATTTTGCTTTCCTGAGCAAATGAGAGAAAGGCGGTCCTGCTTCTACGTTAATTTAAAGGCAGCCAAGATAGTGCGTCCAGTGCATAACCAGAGCATCGGTTGTGCATAATAGCTAGTCTAGAAACCCGGTTTGTTCGCTAAGCCGTCAACCACAGACAACTAAGTTGAAAATACAAACGATGACTTTAGCAGGATAAAAACCTTCCAGTTTTTGTTTATAACGAGCAAGCAAAACTTTGTTGTTCCCTGCATATGAGCCTGCCTTTACAAAACCAATAAGGTGGGAAGACCACGAAACTTTGCGGTAATTCGTCGTATGCGACATTACCATTGTCTGTATCACTCATGCATTCCCGTTTAGCAGCATAACACGACGTACCCTCGTGATATGAGGTACACAGACCGCACGGCCGACAGAAGCCAAAACTGAAACAATGTAAACTAATACGTTCACTGGCATTGTTGACACAGGCCAACCTTGCACAAATACAACACACAGCAGGTGCGCTTGTCTTCTGCAAGCTCCATGTTACAATCGCATGTAGAAACCGAGGCTGAACCGATGGAAAATGCGTGCAGTGATCTTTATCTGGCTGATGTGTTAACTAAATCAGCCGATAGAGTGAATAAAGGCCACCGATGATACACAACAGTTTCTGTTGCCTCACTGTACAACAGAGTTAAGCCAAGGCAGAACCAAGTTAACGCAAGTACATGCATTGACCGTTGACTGGTTGATATGCAGCCGATCAAGCACGCAACAGCCATAGACTGCTTCTGTTGTCTTCAACCCGCTTCACCTTCGTGTTGAGCCGATGGGAGCCAATGCACCGCAGTTTGACTTGCGTTCTTGCCGCGTGCGTCTCTGAGGCCACACTTATACTGATGGTGCACCGACCTTCGAAACCCGTGCGACGGACGTCTCTCGCACAACAACAGCACCTTTCACTCGCTGCCAATTCAGAATTCCTCGGCGTCCCTGTAGCTGGGCTCAGTGGAAACAAAGTAGTCATCGAAGAAGCCGAAGAGGAACTCGAACGTTGGCCGCTTCTCGGGGTCGGCCTCCCAGCAGTTGAGCATGATGTTGTAAACAGAGTCCGGGCATTCGCAGTTGGTCGGCTTGGGCATCCGGTAACCCCGGTCCACGTACTCGATCACCTGACGGTTGGGCATTGCTGCAACGCAGAGGAAAGCCACATAAAATCACATTGGCAGTAAGGAACATGGCAGTACATTACTAGCTAAACACCATTTCATACATAAGGTGCAACACTGTGGAAGCTAACGAGACTTCTATCAGTAATTGCTTTTGCATCATGCAGTACAGTAGACTCTTAGTGAACGAAAATCTGTTAAACGGTTCGGCTGCTTGAATGATTGATTGATATGTGGGGTTCAATGTCCCCAAACCACTATATGAGAGATGCCGTAGTGGAGGACTCCGGAAATTTTGACCACCTGGGGTCCTTTTATGTGCACCCAAATCTGAGCACACAGGCCTACAGCATCTTTGCCTCCATCGAAAATTCAGTCGCCGCAGCTGGATTCGGTCCAGCAACCAGCGGGTCAGCAGCCGAGTACCTTAGCCACTAGACCACCACAGTGGGACCTGCTGCTTAAATGAAACAGCTGCCTCCAGTACAACTGGTTTTATACTAGCATTCTCAACCTTATTCATATCTCGGTAAAGAGAACTCAGGAGGTTAAACAGAACACATTTTCCTTGTCTGTTCAAGCTCCGTTTAATGAGAGTGAGTTTGGCACCCATAATGAAAGCAACTTTGGCCCCCATAATGTGATTTTTTTGTCACTTTTATACAGTTAAAAATAAGGATGCTTTGTGACTTAGAAAATAAAAAATGAACCCCATTATTTACATTGAAACATGCATATTGCTAGGCTCGGACTGTGTGCATGGTCGCCAACAAAGGGGACAACGAGCTGTCTTCAACCAAGCTCAAAGCTGAACCAGCCAAAGCAGCAGCTGCGGTTTTAAGTACAGTAAAAGCTCGTTAATTCGAACCTGGCTCACTTGAAGTTGCAGTTAACTTGAACTGGTGCCCTGGTTCTGGCACAGTCCTGTGTATTTTTAAGGAGAAAAGCTCTCGATAATTCTAATGCGTCGGCATCAACAACAGTTAAGAAATGGTGTCAGTAGGGACTGTTCGGATTTGCAGCTTTACCAGTTAGCATTCAAAATAAATTACCGATATCATTTAATGAACATTGACTAGCAAAGCCAAGAGGAACAGATGTGACACCTCGCTTTGACGTTAAGATTTATTGAAATGCACAAGTAGGCAGAGTGATGTTCGCTTTAGGATTCCTCACTTATGTGTGATAGACTGATCACTTATCACCTTCCATGCGCATTGGCCCCAGCGAGAATGGATGCAACATTTTGATGTCACATCTGCAAAATGCACCACACGACAGATCTTGAAATAGGGTGTAGTGAATGCCATGAAAAAGTGACTACCATCACAAATATACCGTACTTACTCGATTCTACCGCGCCCTCGATTGTAACGCGCACCCGGTTTCCACGGCGAAAAAAAAAAGTTAAGACATCGATTGCAACGCGCACCCATTTTTCTCGTTGGCCCGCACGATCACACCACTCGAAAAAACGACTCCTTTCGGGAGCGTCTTTCATTTAAATATGAGGTACGGGGGAAGTTGTGCCCATCTGACGTGTAACACAGCATTGCCGTCACTGTAGTTTCACTGTGGACCGATGTCAGCACGCGAACTTGCTTCGCCCCCTTCTCGACGGTTGTGGTGCCAGGCATGTCGAAGTAAAGAGGCGTCTGATCGGCATTCCCGATTTGCCCAAGCAGATAGCCGTTGTTGTGCCGCAAGTTTAGGACGAATCTCTGAAAACTGTGAAGCTTTTCATCGTACTCCTACGGAAACTTTTCCCATATGCCCGTTCGCCTTCGGAGGGAAAAGCCTTTCCTCTTCATAAAGTTGGTTAGCCAGCACCTGCTCACTCTAAACTGGCTCCGCATTAGACCTTTTTCTAAGGCTAACTGCATAGCCCGCACTTGGAGCAGTTCTGTCATCACGGGCCGCTGTGCCACTCGCTGCTCAAGCACATACTCGCCGAGCAGCTCTTCAATTTGCGGAAACCGACTCTGCTGTGGTCCACTGAAGCCTTTGCGTGAAGCTTTGCTGTCGACAATCTTCAGCTTTTGTTTCCGCCAGTACCGCACGCACGTTTAGGCCCGATTTCCGTCCGTTTCTGCACACGCGATGACTTTCCTTTTAAAAGCGGCATCGTGGTGCACTCGAGTTTTTGCAGTCGGCCCTTCCATGCCGTCGATGCTAATGCACTACAATATGACAAACTCCTCAACACACGTTCGAAGTGCCGCACATGGGAAACACATAGGCAGAAATGGCCGATGCGCCATGCCGACGCACGTAGGGAGCGGCCATTTCGGAAATGCCGATGGCAATAGAATGACCGTATTCATTTTTTTTTTTCGTACTCAATTCTAACGCGCATGCAATTTATGAACTCGCTTAACCGGAAAAAAGGTGCGCGTTAGATTCGAGTAATTACGGTATACCCCACTTCAATAATGTTCTCCATACCATACCATACATACGAATATATATCCTTACACTTAAACCTCGATACAACGAACCAGGACATAAAGAAATATTAGTTACAACGAAGTAAATTAAGAATACTCTTGCAACAGATACAGTGTTACAAATATACCTATATAATTAACCTAATCTGGTGTAATATGCAACTTCGTTATAATGAAGTTCTGAGTGTATCGCTGTTGCGAGAGGCAAGCAAAACAAGACTGGACTTACCCGGATAAGGTATCTGCCCGTGGGTGATGAGTTCGTAAAGCAAGATGCCGTAGGACCACACGTCGGACTTTATGGAAAACTTGCCGTACAGGGCTGCCTCGGGGGCTGTCCACTTGATGGGGAACTTGGCACCTGTACGCACGTGGATGCTCATCCTTCGTTAGGAGCCAGAGGATTGCTCAGCTAACATTTTGGATTACGTTTAGCTTTTACATTAACATTTGGGGGTTTACGGTTATGATTAAGGTTCGGGGTGACCTTTAAATGCGATAACCACGAGTGTTGTTAAATGAAATGATTACGAATTCCTCCAGCTGCCATCATGTTCACTTGCCCACCCTTTGCTTGAAGAACTAGCCAACGAAACACCCACAAGGCAATAACACACATTTTTTGACTGACGACTGTAACCTCTCTGCTCTCTTAATTTCTGGAGAGAAGTTGAGGTGGAATTGAAGCATGTACATATATAGCTGCCTATTTAGGCATGGGAGCACACCAAGTAAGTCATACCATATTTACTCGCATAATCCTCGCACTTGTTTTCGTGGGAAACCGATGCAAAGTTGGGGGGTGCGAGAATTACACGTGGAAAACTTTCCACGAAAACGTACAGAGCGAAAAAGAAACCGAAGTGGCCGCAGGTTGGAATTCTCAGGCCAGAACAATAAAAGCACAGGTACAACACAAGGCAAGATTTATTTGAGACACAAAAGGTGCAATCAAATAGTCTAGAATTAGAACACCGTACGCAAAGCTTGTGGGTGTAGCGGTAGCGTTCGTCGCTCAACAGGAGTCCGCAAAAGGTAAGTGAAGGACGTCAGTACTGGGCTGACGGCCATTTAACAGAATCGTCCGCAGTTGCCTTCTGAAGAAATAAAGTTAACCATCAATTCCAGTCTTAGGTACACGGAAGGCCCAACACGTCTTGGTGGCTTTCAGCTGCCGTCACCAGTAGCGAACACAAAACTCGTCTACTCCGCAGGCCTACCGGCGGCCCTGTTGTCATTGTTTAGTGCATGTTCGATCACTTTCAACTTGAAAGCAGCCGTGTAGCTTCAGTATCGCCCCATAACATGACAAGATTACCGACACAACATACAAATCACGCGCAACGCACACTTGCCACTTTGGCTTGGATTGGATTAGATTGAATTTCGGTGCAATAATAGTACGCTCTATGCTTAGGAGATGGCGCCAGACGGCGAACGCTATCATCATCAGTGGCTGGAACGAGCAGACGACATTATTGCGGCAATTTTCGGGGGTGCGATAATTACCCGAGGAAAAAAAAGACATTGTATTTTTGTCAGGTGATATTGGTGGTGCGAGAATTATGCGAGTGCGGAGATTAGGCGAGTAAATACGGTAGTTTACGATCTAAATTTGAAGTTTACATGCACCATTTCGTCAGTATATTACGAGTCTAGAATAAGTTGGGGGTGGGGGGTGCTGTTAGAAGTTCTTGACTGGGGGCTGCTTTGCCCCACCCCTTGTGGACCAGTTGGGGGAGGGTGTGTGCTCCCCCCACTCCCTTCAGTTAACTTGCAGCAGTTATCCTTGGTAATAAACCAACCTCAACAAAAAAAGAAAAGTAAGGCAAATTGCGTAACTCTAAAAGTAACAATACCGAACGTATCCAAGAAAGTCAATGGCACATAACCACCGATGCAAAGACAAAACTGAACGCAATTACACAGCATTGCGTCTTCAGAAAACGTACGATAACATAGGTGGCAAGGCCACGGGCCAGCACCCACCTTGCCTTGCGGTGTACTCGGAGTCTTCGATGATCCTGGCCAGTCCAAAGTCCGCGACCTTGACCACGTTGTTCTCACCAACAAGAATGTTACGTGCAGCCAAGTCACGGTGGATTAACTGTTTGCTCTCCAGGTAGGCCATGCCGCTCGCAATCTGCACACATACACACACACAGCGAATGCTTGCTACAGAGACAGAGACAAAAAATAACTTGTTCTTTTCTTGGGACTTGCAAGTTACATCGTTGAATTCTTTCACAGATAATCATGCATTGATTAATAGGCTGCTTCAAGAAGAAGTGATCATGTTAGCTGCACACACAATATGTTAACCACACTTCAAATATCTTAACTTGTAAAACAAGTGAATCACTGTACGACCAATTACTAGTGAAGTTAGACATTCCAGCTATTCAGCAGTTTGCTGAAAGCACCACACTAGCCAAAATGTCATCTCTAAAATGGAATCGTCACTTAAACAGAACTTCCTCTAATTTTGTACTTGGCTCCTGCACCCTTGTACATTGTTTCTTCACTAACTAAGCTAGTGTCAAAGAAGAAAACATACTATCAAAGTTTTTTTTTTTTTCTGTGACATTTATACATTAATTCTGTCTGCCTGGGATCCTTTCCCCAAGCACATAAAACCATATTTCAGCAAAAAAAAGTTGAACTTACTCTAACTCACTCCCGCAATATAGTTTGTGCTTAGAGATTGCTCGGACTCAGACCCACCATACTTTCCTTTATCCAGACTCACTCAGACTCAAACTCAGGAAACTTTTACTCAGTGAGAGTCACACTGACGGCTTGATCCGAGCCTGAATCTGAGTCAACACAAGAGTACCCTAATATGTAACTAGCATTTTTTATCACAGTGTCAACGCTCTTCAACACCAATATTTCACCTAAAAGTTTTGCCAAGCTATGCCTAAACATAAGTACAGTCGACTCCCGGTAATTCGAAGTCGCTTAATTGGAAGTTTCGGTTAATTAGAAATGAGCAAGTGGTCCCATCAGTTTTGCATGCAATTGTATAGAAAGAAATGCTCGATAATTCGAAGTTAAAAACCCATAATATTGGTTAATTAGAAGTTTTTTCAATCGACAGTCTCGTCGCGACCGTAATTTTACAGTAAAATGGGGAACTTTTCATATGCCAAAACATCTGCCGGACCGCGCTGGTGTCTTCGCCATCACTACTGTCCGCAGCGCCACAGATCTTGAAGCGGCAATCTTTTTAACGCTGGCGAATCGCATCGGCGGCATCGACTGACTCTTTAGTTGACTTTTGTCAAGACTCGAGTGTGTCACCGCGTCACCCGCGCGCTGGGTTGATTCCACACGTGTTTCCGCGCTTCTGATTTTGAGTGTTGTGGTGTTGACGTACGTTTGATAATGGCAACTCGTGGCCCTTACCGAACGCTAGACCTAGCGACGAAAGTCGAAGTCTTGAAGGAAGTTGACCAGGGAGGCACCGCCAAACAAGACATTGCAAGAAAGTACGGCATTAAGCCTAACACGCTGTCGACTTTCATAAAGAATAAGCGCTCAATATTGGATGAGTTTGAAAGTGAAAAATTCAAGACATCGCGGAAGCGGATGCGCACCGGCGCCTACCCCGAGTTGGAGGAAGCACTGCTGATTTGGATCAGAGAGGCACGAAACAACAAACTTCCTCTCAGTGGTGAAGTCACGGCAAAAGCGTCATCGCTTGCTGAAATGTTGGGCATCAACGACTTTGCTGCTTCGGATGGGTGGCTTACGGGTTTCAAACATCGCCACGACTTGATTGTTAAAAGCGTGTGTGGGGAGAAGGCGTCAGTCGATAAGGAAACGTGCCTGACATGGAAAGCGGGCAAGCTTCGCGAGTACCTCGAAGAATACCAGCCGGCAGACATTTTTAATGCAGACGAGACTGCGCTTTTATATCGGCTGCTACCGGACAAGACCCTGACATTTAAAGACGACGACTGTTCTGGAGGCAAAAGAAGCAAAGAGAGAGTGTCAGTGCTAGTCGCGGCGAACATGACTGGCACAGAACGGTGTCGCCTGCTTGTGATCGGGAAGGCTGCCAAGCCTAGGTGCTTTAAAGGCGTGAAGACGCTTCCTGTGGATTATGCCTCCAACAGAAAGGCGTGGATGACATCCGATATACTTAAGGACTGGATAACCAAACTCGACCGCAAGTTCACGCAATCAAGCCGTAAGGTGTTGTTCCTTGTGGACCAATGTAGTGCCCACATGAACGTACCTGCCTTGAGTGCCATCCGTCTTGTGTACCTGCCTGCAAACACGACGTCCGTGTTGCAGCCCATGGACCAGGGCATAATAAAAAATGTGAAGGTATTGTATAGGCAGCATCTCGTCGAGCGCATGCTTTTGTGCATGGACAACTCGTCGCAATACGAGGTGAGTTTGCTTAGTGCCATCAACATGCTAGCGCGAGCTTGGACCCGCGTGAAAGAAGAAACCATCGCCAATTGTTTCCGGGCCTGTGGTTTCATGGAAAACTCGGGGGACGCTTCTCCTTGTGCGCCAGTGGAAGTGCAAACAAATGAGCTCGACGACAGTAGCTTTCGCGCCGCTCTCGGTGACGTCCGTTTTGACGAGTATGTCGCTGTGGACAGCAACGTCGAAACATGCGGTCCACTAACGGACAGCGAAATCGTGCAGGTGGTTCGGCCCCATGACTGCATTCCTGAAAATGACGATAATGACGACGACATCGGAAATGAGCCACCACCGAGGGCTGCCGATGTAGCTGCGGGTCTTGCTCTTGCGCAGCGGTTTTTTGTTGGAGAACACAACGCCGAAGAAGCACTTCGATACGTGTATTCCTTACAAAACTTGCTAGCCGCAGCCAGATTCGGCAAGCAGAAGAAGATGACAGACTATTTTTCCTCAAAACTGTCGCACTTTTAAACTAATAAAAGTGCCGTTTTTAGTGCTTTTTGCTTAATGCGAAGTTCGTTTAATTCGAAGTTTTTTGCGGTTCCCGTGAACTTCGTATTAATGGGAGTCGGCTGTATATTGTCACGGGATTGCGATATCGATTAAGGAAGAAGTCAGTCCAAGATGAGACTCTCTGTTCGGCTGAGCATTTTGCCAGGGAATGGAAAGTCAAACTACAGCCAATACACACTGTGCACCGATATCGGCGAATAGAATGTCGGCCGTCCATAATCTGCCTAGCAGTGAAATGCATTGGCATTTGTACATATGCCATAGAAGATTCCAGCGTTATCACTAGCGGCCCCGTAAGTTCAGGAAAAATAATGTTTGTGTTGTGCGCGTGATCACACCGGGCGCAGTTTGCGAAAGGCAGCAGTTACATGTGTAATGGGGCAGTAACATAAAAACAGAAAGGAGCACGTGCGGCAATATACACAGAGGTGGCGCCACGTTGGAGAATGGCACACCTGTGAGGCCATGTCGATGAGCGTGGGCAGCTTGAGTGCGCGACCGTGAGGGCCACGCAGGTGTTCGAGCAGCGAGCCATGGGCCATATATTCGGTGATGATGTAGATGGGCTCCTCCTTGGAGCAGACGGCATAGAGCGAGACTAGCCTCTCGTGCCTGAACTTCTTCATGATGGCCGCCTCCTGGAGGAACGCCGCCGGGTCCATTGTGCCCGGCTTCAGCGTCTTGATGGCCACCTCCGTGCTGCCCTTCCATACGCCTGCAATCAAACGACGAGTGAAGCGACAAAGTTCACAACACTGGACCAGTTTGAAGACTGCACAAAGCCACTGCGCCACAACACATTGAACTGGATGGCAAATAAAATAATAAAAAAAAAATGCTGACGATTATGACCCTCACTAATGTGAAATGTGACAAGGTCATACGCATTTTTCGATCTGGCGATATACAACCGGCAGGAACAATTGGATCAGAAACGATAAGGGCGGTCTCGAGTTCATTTAAAACGGCAGGCTGCTCGTTCACAGAGGCGTGTGGCATAAGCTGCACGAGGCACTGGCTACAAACCTTCGTCGTTCTCGCAATCAGATTCCCCCAAATCGCTCTCACCAAGTACTTCATTCACAATGCCCCAATCCGTGCACGGTTCCGCTGTGTCGGCATCATCATCGACCGTAATTAAATCATGCAACACATGTCCCACCCGCTCTCCCAGGTCAGAGTCGACGACGCGCTGCCACAAATCGCCGCCGCAGTGGTCCTGTTAGGAAGCTTCAGGCTCGGCATCGGGCCCTACGATCGACGAAGTCGGCCTCGCGAAAGTAATTTCGCGCACATGTAGCCGTCACCGCCGCCCACGAAATATTCACCGTTTCCACAGCTGAATACCGGGACGCCTGAAGTGGCAAGTTGGCTGCCAGGTGGTCAACAGCTATGAGCAAGCGCTCCGCAACGCGGCACCTAACACGCGGATTACGCTCAAGCGAAGCGCTCACACTTTCGACATTTCGTTGAGCGGCACGAAAAAGCGTGCTAGTCCTCCCGTCGGCCATCATGACCACACACACACACACCAAGAGCGAGCAAGACGCGCACACGTGTGGAGCAGCTCTGGGCGCGTTTCCAGTCGGAAAACGAAACTAATTCGAGCCAGCGTGGCGGGCGTCGCAGAGCGGTGGAGACGGGCAAAGGGGTTGTGATCAAGAGAGGAGAGCAGACTTGCGAGAGAAGGGCAAGGAGTTGCGATAAAGCACGGGGGAATGAAAGATTCCTTCCTCCGTGCGATAAAGAGAGGGGAGGACACGGCGGGAGGGTGACCTTGAAAACCAAAACACACGGGAAGGAGGCAGGTTGGGTAGCTTGCTTGAAAGGTACGCAAAACTCGCACGTAGAAAAACTTGAAAAAAGTGCCGCGCGCGCAGAAGTCAAAGCATAGCCACCTCGTTCGGTGCATGCGGCGGCGTTAGAAGAATCGGCGGCCGTGATCAAAAAATCGTTTTGTTGCGCCGGCGGGTTTGCGTGGCCTCACGAACTTCGATATATAGCTATTCATTCCGCGCAATTTAACAGCCGTTTTCGCGCTTCCGCACATGCGCTGAAAGCATGCTGAGCCGAGTGCGAAGTGAGCGAGAACAAGTCCTAAACACAAAAGGAATCGCAAATTATCAGAGTCGATGGGGTAGCGTACGCGCGTGCACTAGACGCAGACTATCGGATACAGTCGGTGGCCGACGATGTTGGCAAATGGTCTGGTCACTCCAGGCCGGTGACGCCAACGACAGTACCAGCGATCAAAAACAGGGTACGTGGCCGACAGGTCTTCGAAAGATCGGTGGCAGTGTGAAAACACGGGCGTCTGGTGATGCGGGGTGCTCAGAGAAGACAGGGGACAAAGGACGGAGGGGTGCGTAACTAAAAGCGGTCGGGGAGAGCAGTGGAAGACGAGGCCCTAGAGGGGCGCGGAGGCAGAATCGGCATTTAACAATGAGAATGTATGGGCACCTCGCCGATACCTGATCGGTGGTTGAAATTGGTTTCCCGGGAAGTCGGCAGACCGCTGACTCCGTTCGCTGTAACCGATCAGCGGCGCTCGAAAACGTTCGTTGTAAGTGCTATTTTGTGCCATTGAACCAATGTATATTTTGACAATCACGAGGATTTTGTTAGTTTTAAGCAAAGTTCGTTTTAAGTGGGGCCGTTATATGTGGGCTCGACTGTACCACTGCTGAGCTGCCCCCTGATAATTCAGATCAGTTGTTCATTGTTTACATAAAAGATAGGCAAACAACATGAACAAAAGATAGCACGCGCGAGATCCTCATTTACTTGGTCATCAAAATTCGAGTGGCATTACACATTTACAAGAAGCTGAGGATGTTTTAGGTGGCATGCTCACCTATCTAACCTGGCAAGACCTGTAATGAATTGTCTGCCTTTTATACACTTGTCATTGTGGTAACATATCTGCTACAAACTTTTTCAAAGTTTCACCTTCATATCCGACTTCATTTCGTTAATCCAAACGCACTCAATATCACACTTGACTCTACTATGCAGCTCCCACACTTGAATTCAAACCACCCTGAGGTTCTTTGAAGGGACCCTGAAACGGCTTTTTAAAGTTTTGTCAGTGTTTATAGGCAAGAGCATCATCGAATCATCCGCACCACAAATTTAGCAGCTCGCCGGATATGAAGGCCGCTAAGGACAATTATATCTATCTGTGCTTTCCTTCTCACCCCTGTCTTGCCTCTTCAACTCATGAGACGCGCTGATCCCTGGTGATTGCAGCCTCCTCATCAGCATACTCAATGGTTTGAGCTTTGCCCAGTCTTGGCGTCCAAGATTGCACGCGATCTCAGAGACCATAGCCCAGTGCATCCGGCAGCACGCACGCCGCCTAGAAACTACAGGTGTTGCCACCCTACAAGCCGATCTTTCTTCCGTGCATTTCACAGCCAATAAGATCAGGAGCAAGGGTGACATCGTGCCACCAGAGGATGTCATACTGTGAATGGGCAGTTGAAAACGCGTTTGGCTGAGCCGCAGTGACCTGCAGTGTTTTGCAGCTTTACAGCGTTGCAATAAGCTACATAGTTTATGCAGAGAGCTTAAACCAGTCGTTAAATGACGTTGAAGACTTTGTCTACCGGCTCAATACGATTGTACAATATCGGCAAAACAGTTTCAGCGTCTTTTTAACTTCCATCTGAATTATAGAACACAAGCGTTTTTAGGATCGCTCCCAGTCGAGATGTGGCCAAGACAGCTGGGAACTGAACCCGCAGCACTGTGCTTGCCAGAGCAACGCCGCGCGAGCCCCTGAAAAACTGTGGCGGGTGACGAAAGAGTAAATAAAGGGCGTTTTACGACACTCACCGTACCAGACCTCGCCAAAGTTGCCGCTTCCCAACTTTCGGAGGAGCTGCACCGCACTGCGCGGGATCTCCCACTCGTCACGCGTCTCTGGCGACAAATCCCACACCACAGGCTTGGGCTTGGGACATGCAATCGTGAGCTTATGGCACAAGCCATTTGCACCTTCTGCAAGTGCACAAATAAGACGGGATGCAACGGATGTTGCAGGGGGGGGGCTTTACAAGAGTGTTTAAGAGATGTCTCGGATCACTAAGAAGTATAGTACTCGAGGATTGACACGTGAAAATACAGGGCTGTGTACAACGCTCAAACCTCATTATAACAAAGCTGCACCTTACACGAAATAAGTTCGTCATATCCCAAAATTCGTCATAAACTTTTGCTCCTAACAATGTATCTATTGCAAGGCTATTTTTCCCTTACTTCGTTATAACCAATATTTCGTTATATCCGGGTGTGTTATATTGAGGTTTGAGTATACAGTGATGCTACTGAGGGCTTATGATTTAAGACAACTTTTGGAGCGGCAAAGTTTTCATTTTTGGAGCACTTTGGAGCAGCAAAAAAGCTCCATTTTGGAGCATCTAATTTCACGCGCAGGAGTACACTTGAGAAGCAAGGTGCATTGACGATCAAGCACTCGAATAATCATTATGGGGCAGTTATGCAGACCTAGAAATATTTCGATGTATTGAAAACCTCATGGAGAAAATTACCTCGCAGGAATTCCATCTTTCACTCCCTAATGAAAAAATAAGGGCGTCGTGCACTTGGGTGTTCTTGAATAATGTCTTCGGAGATTTTTCTTTTCGATACTAGCAAATGAAAAATATAACACTAAATATATTTACGTGTTGATCAGCGAAATTGGTCAACCAATGACGCGACATAAAACAGCGCATCAATGCTAAAGATTCACACTGTCGCCAATGCATTCCTCTAAGAAGACTCGAAGGTTCGACTGTGTATGTACAATGCTCACAGACTGAAACGCGACAATTAGGACTAAGCAATGCACACAATTTGATTTACGCCGTCTCAGTGCAATTTCAAATCTGGACATTTACACCGGAGCCAACGTTACGTTTAACTGCCGGATTCACAGCACCATGCCGCTGCCAACTCTAGCTATTTCAAATGCAAGTCTTATAAGACAAGTTATGTCTTGTTCTCATTTGTGAGTATGTACTGTGCAGTTCATAGACTGACTACCTGGTTACTGTTCGTGTAAATGAACATGAAACTGGAACAACGCCTACCGATTTATGTTCGATGTGTTGTTTGTAATATTAGAAGTACGTGTACATATACAATAACACGTTAATAGTCCTCGGATTCACGTGCCAGACTACAGTAAACGAAAAACTCGTGCAATGTTTCTAGACTCGCATTCTAGCCATAGCAAAATCGTAAACTAGTACGTTATCCAAAGTATGGAGTAAGATGCCGTTATGTACTGTTTCCAGCAAAGCCAATACATTACCCACCCATGTAGTAGGAGATGAGCTCTTGGAGTGTGGAGAAGGTCTTCTTAGTGGTGACGAAGAAGCCACCGTTGTCCATGGTCTTCACCTTGTAATGCTTCACGTGGTCCCCCTTGGTTGGTTCGAAGTCGCGGATTGACAGTGAGAACGCCCCTGCGCGAGGAGTGAAACCAGATTCTTTAGAGGCCTGCATCACACTAGCGACTCGTATTAGCGACCTGTATCGCTCTTCAATACCATGGTTATGTAAACCTATGTCAGATCGGAGTCGCCAGATGTCGCTGAGCTAACAATCAAATTATTTTTGGTACAGCTCCTTTGTACAAAAGGAAGCAATTCAGAATATTAGCAGCGATAAGCGTGACAGTACCTGTTGTCTGCTCACTGTTTCGAATGAGGAACGTGCCCCTCGGGTTGGAGGCAAGCATGAGCATCTTCTCAGCGTCCTTCCGCGAGACCTTGCCGAAGAACCAGCTGCGAAAAGGACAAAGCGTGACACACTATACACCGATAAACACAATGTTCGCTTACCTGAATACGACCCGAGCTGAAAACCTCACATTGACAATAAAACCTTGGTGCTGGACTAGACTATCTGAGGATCAAGTGGGCCAAACAGCTTGTGCTGTCACGTTTTGGAATTTAAGCATTGCCTCAGTAACTTAAACTTTCATTTCACTGAAGTCAAGAACTGCCACGACAACATATGCATTCGAATTTTTGAGCTAAAACATTGCCATTGCTTCAGTCTTTTCAGTTGAAAATTGGCATTACGCAATCATGTCTTAGTGGTTGAGATCTGCGACAGCAAATCACATTTGCAAGTTTTAAAGTTGAGCATTGCAACTTACGATTTCACATCTTCAAAGTATTACGAGCCAAATTTGAACGCAAGGGGAAAGGTGATAAGGAAAGCGAGAGAGAAAGATACACCCAAACATCGACATAACAAAGCTAGATATGACAATATACTGATTATAACAAAGTAAATGAAGAATACTTTTGCAATAGATATAAGGCTGGGAATATAATCTTATAAGAAATTTTCGGATATAACGAAGTTACTTTCATGTAAGGTGCAACTTTGGTTATAATGAGGCTTGAGTGTACGTAAGTGGCAGAAAATGATAAACTTACTCTTCGCTCTCTACGGTCTTCTCGAAAGCCACGTAGTTCTGTGGAATGTAGCCAGTCTGCGTGCCATTCAATTGCTTGGCATGCCACCAGTCCTGGTCACTGGAATGGCAGCGTCGACAAAACACTAATCAAGCACTACAAACGCGGCGGTCCCTTGCACTGTGTGCGACGCTTTTTTTTCGAGTGTTCGAACATGCTCTATTGTTACTTCTGTGTTAGTCATCGAGAATCTCAAGAAATGCCAACGCATTTATCGTAACTAATGGCCATGAAATTCATGACTCAAACTGTGTCCACAACATTTTTTTTTTCTTCTTTTGGTTAACCCCATGAGAACTGCGGCGATCGCTCAGACGCACTTGAAACGCAGATAATCTCCCACAGAGAGAACAAAACCGCGGGAACAGCATGTCGAAGAAGCACCACGAGTGTGACATCCATGACCAACTGCGTCGCAGGGAGACCTTAATGAGCGTGACACAACGACTGCGTTTGAGTCCACTCCACTACCACTTGAATGACGTTAATTGTTTGCCAAGCACCACGGTCGCAATATTTGCGACTAGCGAATTGTGCCCAAAGCGTCTGTTTACGAGCATAAACGAATGCAACGAGTGGTAGCTTGCCACTGCATTCATCACCAAGAGGCATCAGCTATGTGAATGACATGTTTATTATGCCTCATGAATGTCATACGCAAAATAAATGTGACAATGATTCAAGATTTGCTGAAAGGTTTCGTCTGCAAGCAACATACGACTTTGCGCTGCGAGCGTTCAAATGCACTCAATCAACACTCACCAAGAAGCCCCGACACCAAGACCACATCAATGACATGTTTCTCATGACAAACGTGTCACTAGTGACAAAATTGTACTGCTGTGTCTCAAGTCAATTATAGTTCAAATCATCTCATGACTTGAGACATAATTGTATCAAAGGCATTCATTTATGAGCACTACATGATAACTGTACGTATTGTTTGAGTACGCTCGACAGCTGCTCAGCTTTCGGAAAGAATCATGCTCCACAAATGTGACACTCGCCACTAGAAAACTGTCACGCGAAGACTTTGGTTCTCGTGTGACTGCTGCTTACCTATCGTTGAGAATTTGAAGCCGGTCTCCCTTCCTAAAGCTGAGATCACCATCGTCCCTCGCATTGTAGGTGTAAAGAGCCACTACCACCTTGCCTGCAATAGCAACAAAGAAACACGATACCCATTGGTGCACCAGCAATCACAGCAACTCGAAGGCACAGGCACATAAGCTGAAAGCTCGTAATAAGAAAGCTGGCCCAAATCTTGACTGATCTAATCAGCTGATGACATTTTCTCCATTTAGGTATGCACTATAAACCACCATGGAGGCACAGCACACGAAGCGCCGGCTGCTAAGCTTGAGGGCACATGTTGAATAGCCGGCTACGACGGCTGCATTTATAGCCGAATTCCACCAGACATATGTCACGAAAATGCTGTGGCGTTGTCGTCGGGTGTTTGGTTTCACGTGGTAGGCAAAAGCCACTGCGCCTACTGCAGTTGTTTTCGCAGGTGCGTGCGCTGTTTGTGGTCATGAAAAGTAGAAAAAATGTTACACTGACGAGCTGTCACAATATTACTATTTGCGAGGGAAGGCACAAGAAAGATGGGCTAGCTTTTCTTTTTCTAGCTTTCTGTTTTTGCGGCCAACCGTCTCAGAAGATTGGCCGCAGCATTGAAACGCATGAACTCGCCTTCGACCCCGCTTCATCGGTTATGTTTTGGAGCGGCTTACCCAGCAAAAACGATTAGCCCTGTCAAGCGTTTGTCATTGTAATGTGCTGAATGAATTTTTTGGAATAAGCCTTGCGTGGGAGCACAGCTAGCAAATTTACCTCAAAGCACCTGAACGTTGGGGATAGCAATGCCATATGCGAAGAAATGCAAAATATTTTTTGAGGTTGTCGATACAACCGCGCAAGTCTTAGGCGCGTCAAAACGATTTCATTATACTCGCAAGAACTCAAGCTATCACTCATTCAAAAAGAATGCGTTTCTTTCTGCGTGGACACTGTTAATTAAAGCAGCAGCGAACGAAAGGATGAATTAGACCATGCTTTTTCTGTTCGTTTGGGGCTGCGATGACACACCATGTATCGGGCAGGGCTGTTCTGGCTGCGGTGCTCTTCACGAGCTTTTCAAGTCCGCGAGAATTCGCAGAAAGAACAGTGACAGGGAAACTTGCGGAGTCTGTTTACGGTGCATACGCATTTTGCGGACCGGACATGAGTGTACTAATTCAGCAGCGGTCTTGACAAGTACATAACCACATTTTCTCAGCATGTAGTTGAAGCATTATCGCAAGGGTATTGAGGATGTGTGCCACTGAGATCATCGCCCCTGGTCAATTGCATGAATAACTTCTTTGCCACATTTGTTATATGCAAGGATTTACCAAAATGATTTGTGGCTATGTATTCTTACACCACGCATTTGCATATTGTATCCTAAAGCTTTTTGCTGAGCTGGGTTTGTCGTTCTTGCATTAGTTAACAAATTAAAATGTATATGTGTGACGTAGACTGCTGCAACGGCGATGACGTTTGGCAACGTTAAATTAACACGTACCGTAAAAACCCGCGTATAGCCCGGGGTTTTTTTTCTAAAATTTAGGGTGCGAAATTTCAGCCCCGTACTATATGCCGATTCCAAAAAAGTTTCGGCCCGAATTCAGTTTTGGTTTCGGCATTGGTTGGTGCTATCATCATTATCAGGTGTCTGCGCACTTCTACGTTAGGTGACGTGGTAGAGTGAGCGGCGTTACCGTAAAAACCCGCATATAGCTCGGACCCGCATATAGTCCGGGGTGTAATTCGGGGATAGCAAACGTGAGAAAAAAAGTTTTCACCCGAATATAGTCCGAGGAAAATGGAAAAAATGCATTTATTGACATTTCATTCATCCTCGTCGTCGGACGCACTCTCTTCCGAAGCTCCCTTGTCGGAAATGTTCTCCCACAGCACATCATCCTCAGTGCCATCAAGCGCGTTGGAGATGGAGCACTTTTTGAAGGCGCGGCAAACGAGCGCCTCTGGAATGCAGGCCCAAGCCTCGACTATCCACGAGCAGAGCATCGCTGGCGAGGCCCGTTTCAGCCGTCCGGCAGGGGTCACTTCTGGTTCTCCGGACCTCATCCACTCCACGTACAGGCGCTTGACATGGTCCTTAAATGGCTTATTAAGGCACACATCAAGCGGCTGCAGCTGTGATGTCATCCCTCCCGGGATGACGACGAGCTCGGTGCGGGAGTCGCGCAGCAGTCGCTTTACGGAGTCGGCCAGGTGACACCGAAACGCGTCGAGCACAAGCATCGAAGGGAGCCCCAGCAGTGCTCCGGGCCGTCGACACCACACGGACTTTATCCAGTCAAGGACTAACGATTCGTCCATCCACCCCTTGTCCTGGCAGCGGACGACGACATTTTTCGGGAACTTCTCCCCCTTCGGCAGCGTCTTTCGTTTGAACACCACGTAGGGTGGCAGCTTGCGACCGTCAGCCGTGCAGGATAACATTACAGTCACCCGCGTTTTTTCGTTTCCAGTCGACCGCACGATAACTTGCCTGGAGCCTTTTTGATGCACCGTCAGCGCCGAGGGCATATCCAGGTAGACCGGCGTCTGATCCGCGTTGCCGATCTGGCCCAGCTGAAAGGGGACTGCCTTTCGCAACACAATTATGTACCTTTGAAAAGCCACGAGGTGCTCTTCGTAGCTCTCTGGTAGCTTCTGGGAGATCGACGTACGCCGACGTAGGGAGAACCCAGCGCGGCGCATGAAGCGAGACACCCAATGCTTGCTCGCTTTGAAATCCTCCGGCTGAATGCCTTTGTCTCGAGCGATCTCCCTTGCCTTCGCTTGTAGCAGCTCGATGTTGACAGCGAGATGTGCAGCTCGCTGCTCCCGCACAAAGTCTGTGAGTTCTCGTTCCACGTCAGGAAATGCTCCATTTTTTGGTCCGCGGAAACTTTTTCGCTGGCCGCTGCATGCAAAGAGGGCTTCCTTCTGCTTCCGCCAACCGCGAATGCTCCGCTCGTTGACTCCGAACTGCCGCTCCGCGGCACAGTTGCCGATGGTTTCGGCAGCAGCGATAACTTTTCTTTTAAAAGCAGCAGAGTACTGCCTGCGCGGTCCTGACATGGCGTAAAATCACAGGAGCAAAATCGAGGCCGTCATTATGGGCACCAAGTTGAAGCAAAGGCCACTGACCAACTGACCAGTTAAGACTAACGCCGCTAACACTACCTAGCGCAGAAGCGCGCAGACAGCTGATGATGATGATAGCACCGCGCTATGCCGAAACCGAAACTGAATTTGGGCCGAAAATTCTTGGGACCCGCATATAGTACGGGGCCGAAATTTCGCACCCTAAAATCTAGAAAAAAACCCCGGGCTATACGCGGGTTTTTACGGTAGTCCTAGAGACCTACAGGTACAGGCGTGCATCAGGCGAGCAACAGTGGCCATTGCAATCACTTGGCGCACATCACGACGGCCACGATTTTACGTGATTTTAAGCCATGTCGGGACCGCGCAGGCAGTACTCAGCTGCCTTTAAGAGGAAAGTTATTTCTGCTCCGCGGCAGTTCGGCATGAATGAGCGGAGCATTCGCGGTTGGCGGAAGCAGAAGGAAGCCCTTTTTGCATGCTGCGGCAAGAGAAAAAGTTTCCTGGGACCGAAAAATGGAGCATTTCCAGACGTGGAACGAGAACTGACGGACTTTGTTCGGGAGCAACGAGCTGCACAACTCGCTGTGCACATCGAGCTGCTGCAGGCAAAGGCAAGGGAGATCGCTCGAGAGAAAGGCATTCCGCCTGCGGACTTCAAGGCAAGCAAGCATTGGGCGTCTCGCTTCCTGCGCCGCGCTGGGTTCTCCCTACGTCGGCGTACGTCGGTCTCGCAGAAGCTGCCAGAAAGCTACGAAGAGCTGCTTGTCGCCTTTCAGAAGCACGTGATTTCTTTGCGAAAGGCAGTCCCCTTTCAGCTGGGCCAGATCGGCAATGCTGACCAGACGCCCGTGTACCTGGATATGCCCTCGGCTCTAACGGTGCATCAAAAAGGCTCCAGGCAAGTTACCGTGCGATCAACTGGAAACGAGAAAATGCGGGTAACTGTAATGCTGTCCTGCACGACTAATTGTGCACGGGCGTGCGTGCGCATGCAAGTGTGTAAATAAATGCATTTTTTCTGTTTTCCTCGAACAATATTCGCGTGAAAATGTTTTTTCTCGCGTTTGCTATCCCCGAGTTACACCTCGAACTATACGCGGGTCCGAACTATACGCGGGTTTTTACGGTATGTGACGCAGACTGCCGCAACAGTGATGACATTTCGCAAGTTAGCCACACATCAACAAGGCTCATGTGTTTATTTCAGAGCCCCTCTTGCAACCACTGCAACTCGTGCCTCTGTTGCGGCAGCCGCTTCTAAGCATGCGGGAGGTGCCCCAACACACCGTGCTCGGAGGCAGCTTCTGCCTCTGTTGCACCAGTTGTCACATGGTCATAGAAGGTGGTAGCGCGCTTTTAGCTGGGACGGCTGGACGAAGCCTACATGCCGCGATGTCGCCACAACAAACCTACATATATCGGCGGCGTCTAGCTCTGTTTACAAACATGGAACAGGTCTACAGGGGGAAAATGCAAAGAACACTCATGTCCTTACATTTAGGTGCATGTTAAAGAACCACAGGCCGTCAAAGTTTATTCGCAGTTTTCTACTACGGCATGCCTTATAATTAATTCTATCATGGTTTGGACACATAAAATCTCAGCACACAAACCACGATATAACGAACCCAGATATAATGAAATACTGATAACAAAGTAAATGAAAAATAGCAGAAATATACATTTATAACGAATTTTTGGACTTAGCAAACTTACTTTTGTGTATGATGCAAGTTTGTTATAATGAGGTCTGAGTGTATTATATTTACTATTAAGTATGAAGCCTGCACAAAAGGAGGTCTCTAAGTGGGGTGCTGTAGGGGCAAGACCCCTTTGCTAATGCTTAGAAATGGGAACGAGTTATTATAGCAGCGGGTTGTTGCATTCGTCATGTAAATATGTGCGTAAGTACCCCAATAGTAAAACTTGAGATGAATCGAAAATAAGCATAATGGCGTGGACCCAGTCATGATTACACATACTGTAAAAAAGAGCACAAATTAAACATGAATTCCTGCTATCGACTTTCATATTGCAGAAGTAAAGGAAAAAGTAGCACTTCTTAGTGAGAGCCACAGTATGTTTTTGTTATATGCATATGACAGCTAATAAGTAGGTGTCCTCTTTTCCAATACTACCATGTTTTCCTAATCTTTCATCATTGCCATTACCATTCCTATACTAAAAAGGGGCTGTTGACTACTCTAGAGTATTGTAGGTATTGGAATATACAAACAAACAAATAAATAAACAAACTAGTTGCAATATAATACAATAAGTGAGGTCAGGTGAGAGAGTGCTCGTTTTGTTCTTTTTCTCCACCGTTCTTGCATATTTTTTTTTTTCAACGAAGTTTTCACTCAATCACTCTATATCATAAACTGGTAAAGATGTTACACGACAGTCAGCCCTTTTATTGGCAAGATAATTTTGCTCGAAAGTTGCCCGCGGTGCGGCAATTTTATTTTTTTTACTCACCCTGGGCGGAGCCGGCGATGTTGGGCGCTCTCTGAGGTGGGCCCTCGCGGTGATCGCGAAGGGGCCCATTCAGCGGCAACACCGCCACGCCTCCGGGCGGTCGCTTGGAGTAGCGATCGTCGTGGGGCCGCAAGCCGCCGTTGTGATCCCCGCCACCGCCCGAAACCTGCAGTGCCATGCCGTCCGCACCGGTCTTGTTGTCCGGGTCGCCATCATTGTGCCGCAAGGCACTGTCAAGTGACGACCGAGTGTCGGGCGACTGTGCGAGGCAGTTGAGGTTGCCCATGCTGATGGTGATGCACTGCGGGCCACACCGTCACTCAGCTGGCGTGTCTAAAACAAAATAAGAACTACAATTTATTCATCTGTAGCCATATCCCAGCTGTATGCATGAATGAATTGGGTGTCCAACTTCCCCCTTCCCAGTGAAGTCTCTTACAAGTACAGACGAATATCGAGTGCTTGGGTGTGTCATGAGCAAAGTGCATATCCAGACTTGGTAAACATAGATAAATACTGATACTGAACATTTCACAAAGCGTGAAAGAAGAGAAAGACGTGAGATTCGCTTGTAGGCTTGAGTATTCAGCTACCCTTCATCACCTTGCCTTGTAAAATAAATATTTATCACCGTAAAAATATGTAAAAAAAAACATCTCAAAGCCCGATGCTTTATCCGATACAACACACGTGCATCCAGAAAAGGCAGAGGTTCAGCACAGTGTGGAAGTTTCAAGAAATGGAAAATTCGTGAACTCGGGGCGTCGCTGGAGCTAATGTTTCGACAAGAGCGCCTGATTTCTAGCTCCAGCCTCCAATACGACAAGTTCGCACCTTGAAACTGGCTCCAGTGACAAGCTGTGTTCATGAATTTCCCATCACCACAGGTGCGTGCCTCATGAAACAAAGTATGCATGCAAGCCCCGTTTATTGAAACGCCCGGCAAGTTTTCCAGAAAGCTGACAGAGCTATATGCATAAACTGTGGCAATCATCATTAGTTAGTGACTGCTTCAATTTTTGTATAGTTCACTACCTTTTCTCTATGTTTTCTCAGCACACCAAGTTGCAATAAAAATTTTCAGGATTGCTTCCACAGGCCCATACTGCAGCCTAACTTAAAATATTATCTGAGTGAATCCGAACTTTTAGTAGTACATATAAATACTTCACTCATCAAGTTGACCAGCCCATTATTGTTAAATACTTATTACTGTGGTTTAGTGTTCTAAAACACAGCAGTGATAATATGGAATAATAATACTGGCGGGGAGTCCAACCTGAAACCTCAGGGTTAGCAGCAGGGCACCCAAGTCATTGAGCTTCCATGGCGGGAATAATTTAGTCTAGGTTGAAATGAATGTAATGCATCTGTGTAATGCAATGTGTTGGATAGCAGTACTAGTATATATTGTACTAAGGTGATAAAAACGAAAGATCTACTAATACAAGACACAACTGGAGGTTTATCTAAATAAACCTACAATTCAACCCAAACAGCAAGGAAGAAAAAATAATCATACACAAGGTCATAACACAGAAATCTCATTATATATTACGATGCTGCGAGCAATCTTTGACCAGGGAAGAAAAAAAGCAATGGGGCAAACATACCTATCATGGAAAATAAACCGAAGAGGGGGGCCAACCACTGTGGCGATGATGGCGAGTTTCACAACGCATTCTCGCAACCTCGGCTAGAAATTCTCGATGCGCAAACCTCGAGCGTCAATCACGTCTGGCACCAATGTTTTCGTCCCAAAATAAATAAATCAATGAAAAATATCGCGCAGAGTTTCCATGAGCGGGAAGAAAAGCGCATGATGCGCTCTTCCTTCTTCGACCAACGTGCTGAACCGCGAGTGACGCCCGTAACTGTCATTGCAAACAACAATAATCAATGGGAGGCTGTTGCCGCATGCCAAGAGAGATAAGCTTATCTCGCTCTCGGCATTATTGAGGTGTTCCCTGTTCAGGTTTGACCTTAATCATAAGCCCAGCGGTGCATTTCAACTGAGAAGCATTGTAACAATGGAAACAGGCACCAAACGTGAAAGCTTGCAGAATTACTGGAATCAGAAATGGGGTGTGAACGGCACTGAGGAGAGTATGGGCCTTAATTAACGAGACTTGCCAGGCAACACCCACATAACAAATAACGAGAACAGATAAGAGGGAGCCACGCTAAAATGGTACATGGCCAACCGGGATGATTACGAATTGACACGTGAAATTCAATGGTTGGACGAGTGCGTTTTCACAACCTTTGCTCCACATGCAAGAATGATAAAAACTTGCAACTTCCGCTTAAAGCAGAGGTTGCGTTCCAACAGTGGCAAGTTGTTTGTTTTGTCCACATTCGTTCCTCTCTATCTCATGACTACGACCACGCTGGGAACCAGAAATAATGCCACCTATGCTTTCCTTTACTTCAATATCTGTTAGTTGAGTGAGGTAAGCAAAAAAAGGCCTCTAGATCAATTAATTTATTATTTATTTATTTAAAATTCGTTACAGGGTTCTTGGGCATTGTGTAAGGGGGCTCTAAAATAACATCAATGAGCAAAGAAAAAATGTAAAGGAACCAAACAACACAAAAAATTAAACACTTCATGATGAGATGTATATAAGCATAATACATAGAGGATAAATACATGATGTATATATAATAGTGGTACAATACACATACATACATATTTACCTATACATACACATGTATACAAAAAATTTGCTGTTTATTAATGGACAATGAACTACTTCAGTGAAAATGAGTAATTAATTGGTGGTGGAATGTATCAAGGCTGGACAATGAAGCTATGTTGTCTGGCAGGTTATTTCATAACGTAATGTAATGGCTTGTGAAAGTGCTGATGAGTTGAATGTTAATGTACGACCATATATGCATGTAAAACTCAAACTCAAGTTATTATGTAACCTTCTGGATGTTCGGGATGGGACATCCAGATGAAGTGAACGTGACCTGTCAGAGTGGCCATATTTGTGGAATAATGTTAGTAGGGCTATACCACGGTGCATTATTAAGGACTGTAGGCCAAGATCGGTTTTAATTAGTGTGACACTGTCGTGGTAAGTATATATTCGTGATAACAAACGCGCTGCCCTACTTTCGATGGATTCTAGTGCGTTGACCATGTTATTGTAATATGGAGACCAAATGGAAGATGCGAACTCAAGTTGTGGGCGAAGAAATGTGAGGTAGGCTAGTTTACAAATATTAACGGGTGAATTTATGAGGTCGTGCCTTATGTAACCTAACGACTTTAAAGCATTAGAGCACACGGATGAAATATGAAAGGACCATGAGAGATCTGAAGAAAGGTGAACACCAAGATACTCATAACAGTAAGTCGTCTCGAATGTGGTATGTATAATTAGAATTGTAATGTTTACGGCTGAATGCGACTACTTTACATTTTGATGTGTTGAGGGTCATTAGCCATGTGTTGCACCACTCGTTAATAAGATTTAGATCACACTGGAGTGCCAAGTGGTCAGTAGCTAATGTAATGGGACGGTATATAACACAATCACGTATGTAGTTCACCTTCTCAAGAACAGCTTTTACACGTACACTTGGTGACAACTGTTCTCGAGAGCATTGTGGAGGTTACAGAACCAAACTACATGTCTGCTACCATGCCAACAAAAATTGTACTTGTGTTTATTGACAATTTCCTCATTTGCCCTGCTGAAATGAATGCTGCTTTATTTATTACGAGACTGATACAGTTGCGGGAAATTACAGTTGTTTATTACAGTTTATTTGTTATTACAGTTTGTTATTACAGTTGCCGGAAATTACAGTATTTATTACGAGACTGATACAGTTGCGGGAAATACAGTTGTTCAACTTGCAAGAACCCTTGCCTTTTCTTTTCATTTCTTATACAACACCACTTTTTCAGCCCACACGTTCTTCCAAGGGAACGTGGCGTACGTCATTGTTTAGTTCTACAAGAAAAAACATACTCGTAATAGGACACAGAACAACCAAAATGTTCCTACCATTCATAATTTTTACGCGTATGTTTTTAAAAATGCATTAACAATGGGAGCGAGCAAAACCGAAACCTGCCGCAAGCTGTCGTACTACCTGCGGAGCAACACAAATGTGCAGAAGCCCCGCCTCCGTAGTCTTCGCTTCGATGTCAAGTTGTCACCGAGTATAGTTCCCCTCTTGTTAACATGCACGACTTGATAATGAAGCCTACAGATTAGAGGGAAAATCTACTACGCGGCAGATGGTGGGCTTGTACAATAACATGATGGACAGCCAGAACCTCTTCGCTCCATGGATTTTCAGGAGATCGGTTTACCACGACTGCTCCGCATGCAGAAGATGTATGAAGCACACTGACAGATAGTTTTAGTTTAATCATCAGTATGTAATAACAAAGAACGTAAGAAGCTGTAAGAGTTTAGCAATGATACGATTGGCTCCGTTAAGTTCTAAGCAAGCACAGTGGCAGATGCAATTTTGGTTGGAGAGAACACAAGGGCCGGCTGAACGATACGGCTTGTACAATATTCACTGCAATGCTTCAGCAGACTTCAAACTCATTCAGCTCAGCCAAGGAGCAGACCGCGTGGTACAATATAGGTCAAATGCCGAAGAGCTGTTGCTTTTTGAGTACAAATACTCCTGTTTTGCTCAGTGTTGGATGATGTCAAGTTAAACGTGCAGAATGGAGCAGCACAGCAAGTAAATTTCTGACCTCGCACAACACCCAACAAAAGTGCTTACTCGAAAGAACAAAGCTCTAATCTAACCTATTTGACATGAAAGTAGATCAACTAATTTGATTACATTTGTGAATATTTATTTGGGTGTATGTGTATGCATGGATGCCCATGCGCAATGTGCACCATTTCAAACCATGAGTTTAATTTGTACGATAGCTGCACAATGCACACACACGTATTTTACGAAGACGAATTGAGTGTTCTTTTACACTAATTCATAATCAGTGCTTTGAAGGCTGTTTGATGCTACCTGCAATTATTACTATACATAAATTTTATACTGCTCGCTAGTGGCAGCATAATGTTCTACTTTGGATTGTATAACATTTTTTCTATCTTCATATTTTTGAGTCTTTCATTCTGTCTTTGAAAGCTTAGTGACCAAGTAATACACTGCATGACATAGTAACACTTTGCATTTCCCGTGGGCTCTCATATGAAACTTAGAAGTGTGGCAGCTTGGGCTAGTTGGTATGGCATGACGATAGTTATAGCGCGAGAACAAAACGACGACACAGAGACAGTGTCTTTTGTGTCCTTCTTGTCTCCGTGTCGTCGTTTTGTTCTCGCACTATAACTATCGTCAGGCCTCTCAGATGAGTGTGGCAGTATTGCAAATAAATAAATGAACAAAATAAAAACGTGTGATTTAGATGAGCACAACAAAGAAAAACAAGACTTCTTGCCTTGGTATTTTTGCCAAGAAATAGTGGTTATAAAAATTAAGACCCTGATGCATATTTGCCCATAACTGTTGGCTTGTTATTACTTGCTCATGTACTGTCCAAAAAAGGGACCTTTCAGGTGATGCACAATGGCCAAATAAAATGACAGACAGGTGAAGCTGTGAGAATAGCTGTGAGAAAGTGGCTTCACTATGGTTACATTCAGTTACTGGGACATTGTGGGATGCAGAATGAGCCTGCAGGCTTACATAATGCAGGCATCACACCGAGTGGTGTTCTGGATGGGTGATAAAGGCCGCTCTGATTTCCGACACACCGCGACCGATTTCGCAGTATAGTTGAAGACTTCGTAGAGCCTGCCAACTGTTCAAGGCATTCCGTATAAATAAGGGAGGGCCACTTGCTTTAATAGCACAATGCATGTTAATCCGAGATTTTCTTTAACAAGGCTCTTCATGAAGATTACAAAGGATAAACATCTCAAACCTCTTCTACTGCCAACATGTGCATATAGTGAAAAGCATTCACTCTTCTGATGCCTGCCTTTTGCTTAATGGCTGGCAGTGATGTTTGTATGTGTCGTCATCTTTGTGTGGTGTCAGTTTTTCATCCTGTATAAGAATTCGCCACATATTCGTGAATCATTGTCAGACGGAGCAGTCAATACAATTGACGTGGGACAAGCGGGTGGGGCAAGAGCTCTGCTGCAATTAAAAATGGAAACTCAAACGAAGCAGGCATTCCTCACCTGGCCGTCTGGAAGTGATGACAGCTGGCGTGGGAGGCAGGCCAGTCCCAGTCCATGCCCGCCCTCCACGTGACACAGGCTTTTCTGGACACCGTGCTGACGTGCGCCAGCGATGAACGCTTTCCCTGCTGACGAGTACGGGGGCAAAGAAGGCGGCGGCAAAACCCGCAGCTCAGACAAGGAAGTACAATCGCGACGAGAGGAAGTTGGCGGCTTCCTGTCAAGACCTCCCCTCAGCGCGCGGAGAATGTGAGCCGTGGGTTAAGCAAGCGCACGCGTGCGTCAAGATGTCAGCGGGTTCATGCAAGAGCCCGTTTCCTTCGGGGGTCGCTCCCAGGCTGGCCAAGACGCTGGGACGAGATTGTCGATTCCGCGTGCGTTATGAAAAGTCCAACGACATCAAATGCGGGGGCTGTGAAATCAACGGGGTCGTAAAAAGATAGCCCAAGGCGGAACTGCAGTGGGGATGTTTTTCTCCTAACTGTATCTGCGTTTTTTCGATGTCACTGGCTTGTCTTGCACCATTTCGACACCTCCGAACAAGCAATCCATAATATTGCATAGTTTCACGTGGTAGGGAACACCTGTGGCTCTAAAATAACAGTAACTAATGTAATGTCACTCAATCAGTTGTAGGTTCATATCCCACAAACAGAAACGGCGATTTTTCGTGCACTTAGGTTCCTTTCAATCTAAGCGAGAATCGTGACACTACAGTTGAGAAACTACGAATAATGCCCCCTTGGCTTAATTTTCTGTTTGTTTCATCAGTTCTTATATGCACACAAGTTCTTATATGCACGTAATCCCTCCTTCTAATGGTATGATCACCCTCAAGATATGAAAAACAGCCCCATGTGATTGGCCCTATGACAGCCGTCACGTTTCCATGCCAATCTCTATTCTCAGTGCCGCGCTATTGGCTCTCGTTGCAATAGGCACCCTGCTATGCCAATCAGTTTCTAGAGCTCACTGCATGATTGGCCCAGACTGTACTGGTCATCCTGTGATCAAACCAATAAGCATCCACTGAAATCAGACGCATCTTGACTGCCTTCTCAAGAAGGCAAATGAGTTTTACTCCACTATGCAGCAAAGCTAGCAGCTTAATCTGATGACATCTTTTAACACCCACGAAAGGGAGTTCACTCACTTCACAAGTGTCGCTGTTGAACTGTCAGCAGCAAACACAGACAAAAAAAAAAAAAAAAACGATAAGGGTAGTAAAAGCTGTAACACACAAGATTTGTTTTTCACGACAAAAACACTTCACAAGTGTCCCTATTGAACTGTCGGCCGCAAACACAGACGGAAAGAATGATCAGGGTAGTGAAAGCTGCAACACAGTAACCAAAGCTTCAACAAGTGATGACTGAAATAAATCTGTGAACAGACCTACTTGTTTGCCTACCTGAGAAAGCTCCAACTCTGTCAACCAACATGCAAGGTATACTACATTTGCCACTTTTCTTACACCCGTAAAGCATATATATATATATATATATATATATATATATATATATATATATATATATATGCTGTCCTGAGGAAATGACAAAAAAAAAGACTGCACCGAACGAACGACGCTTTACTTCCAGCCACAGCAGCCACAAACTTCTTCTTTCTCAGTCTCTAGCAACACTAGCACATGGCAATATATATATATATGTTGAACAGAACGTATCCGAAACTCCATTTGGAGTAGAACCAAAAATATTTTTTATTGGTTTTTGGGCCAAGGCAAAAGTTGGTGATCCAGAAAAACTGAGATAATGCAACGAAAGCATCAATGCTTATCTCAAGGAGCAGTATTATCGCGTATCTCTGGGAGGGACACCAAAGTAAACATTGAAACTTTGTGAGAAACGTAAAGAGTGCCACACGAATTTGTTTATATTATTGCAAGCGGACCTGGGTATGCCAGTCAAAGATCAGCGTGGAGAGAACTTCGTTGCTGCCGACATTTTTTTTTTCGCCATAACAACGGTTTTGCATACCGGGCTAATGTCATGCTCACTCCCTCGATGCAAAGCATTCAGCCTGCTGGGATATTTAGTAATTCATTTATGAGTAAAATTAGGTTACCCACTACTTTTCATCAGTACTTTAAATTTAAACATTGAGTATGCAAATATAGACCATTAGAAACCATTAAGGAATATGTATATGTTTTTGCCCTGGAATAGGAGTGTTTTTAGTGGAACGAAATGAGAACCCACATGAAACAAAAATTTCGTTCCGACTCTCTCCTTGTACACTCCACAAACGTCACACAAGATGTGGTTTATCCACGACAAAAACTACCTGCAACATTAACAAGCAATCAATAATAGGAATGTGTGAACAGACCTGCTCGATTGTCTCTATACATAGGTAAATTACTTGAATGCCATTTCATCAAGCAGCAAGGAGTGTACAATACGACACTTTTTTTTTTACACCAGTGCCTCTACACTACCAACGTTACACGCTGTCTATAAACACCGCCTAAGATAAAGGTACGGGTTAACGGGAACAAACTCTACCGCTTCCAGGACGGGGGTTTTTCCCGCGGCAGACACACCAGCAGCGACCGTTACCGCAACGTTTTAAACAATGTCCCATCCGATGGTGCGTCTGAAACACTGGCCGCTTGAAAAAAAATAGCCAGTAAAATAGCCAGTAAACTAGCCGAAACAATCGACGACTGAAAGCGAAAGTGTTAAACCGAAAGAGAAGCAGCAATAGGTTTCGCTGCACAAAAGGGACGGGTGCGAATGATTGCCCGCTCTCAGCGGAGGCCGCCGCAAAGCGAAAGAAACTTCGCGCTAAAAACCATGACCTGGCGTTTTTCCAAGAAACGGACCGCCGCTTCATCTTTCTCGCTTTGTATAGTCGTCCGGCCAGTTTACACATAGACCAGCCAGTCCCGTCAGAGCGAGTCCGCGCCCACCCCGTAACAATAGCGCTTCGCCCTTCTCACTGTACACGTTGTATAATCGTAGACGGCGCGTAACGTTTTGAACATCCCTCGTCGCGGGGTTTCGACGCGAGTTCTGGCTCGTTCGGCGGGGACCAGGCGATACGACACGAGCTCTGGGCAGTGTCAGAGTGCAACCGCAAGACGCAGAGGCGAGACGATCGGGTGCTACGATGAACGACTAACAGTTTGCCAGCAGAGTCATTTAGTTCTTTCGTTACGAGCGCGCTTTTCAGAAGCCTGCCTTCTTTTTAACGTATAAACTGGCTGCGCGCGTGACTAGTTATACACTTACACCATTAAAAACACACACACACACACACACACATAAAGGGTTTCGCTCACACGAGTCGCGCGTTTTGGCTTCATAGATTTTTTTTCTCTCTCCTAAAAATAGTCACCCGCTGAGAAAGACAGAAAGAGGAATGCACAGAACAGAAAGTCGCCGTGACGATCTCTACGAAATGTGTCGTTCCAGCGAAGAAAAGACGCCCGCTTACATCGATGAAACTGAACGGTGTCCAGCGAGTCGAGACCCGCAAAACCGATCACGTTGTAAAACGAACCAGGTAGGTACCAAGGACGGTGCCGGGCAGCGCATCATAATGGGACGTCGCTTCTTCGTGACCCAGTCGTGGCCGTAGTAGCGATGTCACTTTTAAAACGGGCTGCTCGCGTCTTTTCCCCCGTTTCACTACTACGTGGTGCACTTTGGGCGCGTGAAAGAGGCCTACACAGACAAGAGACTCCACTCACCGTGTGGATCAACTCATGACTGCCTCCGTGGAAGAACACGCTTCGGAAGTGTCGTTCTTCGGCCGAGTCCCGCTGAGATCACAGAAACGGACGGAGGGTGGCGAGGTTCTGCGGGCGATTCCGGGTTTTCGCTTTCTTTTTTTCCCGTTGTTTATAGTTTTTCCCCTCACACTTTGCCGACAGGACCTACATGCGATACGAGTACGCTACGGCGAGCGGGGAGACATCTTGACAGGGCATCGACACAGTCCAGGACCACCTCTGATGTCGGCAGGCCCCACGGAAACAAGCGGCGGGCGTTCCATCGAGCGTTTACGCTCGTAGGCATGCTAAGATAGATGACGCTGCTTAACAATAAGAAAACTCTTTTTGACAACAAAAGCACTATATAAACAATATTTTCTCAAAATTAAACAAAAAGTGATTATAATATGTTATGTGTTAACTGAAAGTAAAGTTGCTTTGTGGTACTTTAGATTGTTAAATAAACTGGCGTCATAAAGTTCACAAACTCTTAGTAGTATAGTAGCGCTACCTGTAAAAATAAAAAAAATCTAAAAGCACGTTGTGATTCAAATTATTCAGTGAGTTAACTACGTTCGGCAAACCTAATTTTGAAAATATTCAAAGAGTTTGCACTTTGGTGACTTGTTATAAGAGCGAAAATTGTTTAACAAACTAATTGACACGTGACAGGCTCTGACGCGACCCTCCAACAAACATGGCCGCTACGATGCACTCAAAAAAGCGGGTTTGTTACTACTACGATGGTAAGTTTATTTAATTTTGTCCTACAAGTATACTTCTAGTGTCGCGAGTAGCTGTAACAGCGATGTTGTACGTGCATTCAACGTAATCGATTGCGAACAATTACTGTTGTCGCGCGAGCCGGTCAGAATTTTGGTGTTCAAGCATCCGCGGCTTTTGACAAAAACATTTCGCTTTGTTCGTGACCTCGAACTTGAAAGTGTCGTGCGTGCGCTACGAGAAACATTGCACTTTAGCTTCGCAAATGGGACGTTATGTACTGCGCGTTGCTCTACTTGAAATGTTCCACGGCCGGCGGTTGCGAAAACCCCGAGCCGGTTGCAAAAAGTTCACCTTTTGCGGCGAAAGTTCGAATACCGATGTTCGCCAGGTTTCGCCATCATGAGTTCGTTCGAGTAGCTCACGTAAACATTGTTTTGTCGGTGCTAAACTTACGCGCTATTGCACGCGTTGTTATGATATAATGGCACGTTGATTGCTGCGTTTTCTAAAGCTGTAAATAATTGCGCTGGTTCGTGTTTCGCTTAGCGAGAGACTGTACGGTCTGCGCCTGTTCGAACTTTTGTTTTTCGAAACCGCTGTCAGCGTTGTTCGCGAGCCTCGGTTTACGCCGTCCTTCCCATGCATAACCTTTAAAAACGCATTCAGCTGCCCTGTTTACGACGCACAACTCGACATTAGAGCGCGTAATATTTGAAAAATTTATCCGGGAGACTTGTGCGAACAGTTCGAGTTTGTCGAAGTTTCGCCGAGCCATTTGGGGGCGAATTTTATTGACAGCGCCTTATGAAGCGTATGCGTGGTTACCGGTACGAATACAATTGCTTAAATCGCATTGTGATCTATATTGGGGCTGTCTTAGAAGAAGCCTTGAAAAAGAGATTTTTTTAGCCGAAAGTTCCCATTCCCGGTATTGCGCAATAACTCGAATCATTGCGAAACCAACCAAACGAGGAGGTACGCTACCGGGATAAATTGTGCGCTTGTGCCAGCGGTGCTCAAATGGCAGCCACCTAAGATAATTATGCAAAGGTTTGCGCAAGCCAGTTCACATCTTAGAGACTGGCAGGATTGCGCAATTGCTGCTACTATTTCGGAGATCCTTCAACACTGGACGTTTCTTGGCTTTACTCTAGCAGTGCGCGACGCAGTAAAACTTGCCATGTATTTTTTTTTCTTACTATCGAAGATTTTCTTCAGCACTCATTATTACTGATCGCGGCCATTGCGAATTGATGCAGTGATTTGACGTGGTATTCAAATAAAAAAAAAGATTGTTTTTCTGCAATTATCTTTTTGGGCAGCTCAGCGTGTGGGGTAGATTAATTCATATTTGTCATATGATTGTTAACAAATGAGTCTGGGTAATAGATACATGCGTTTCAAATGTCTACTTTAAAAAATGAATAAAAATGTTTTCTAGGCAGTAAAGAATGCTTTTACAAAATTGAACTGTCAGGTGTGGTGGACGTTCATATAAATTCTACAATCACGTTACTAGCTGATCAGGTATTACCACGTAATGGTGGTTACTAATATTTCTGAAACAATGTTTTCATGTGTCCGGGTAATTTCATCTGTTCATAATAAAATACTCTGTCTAATTTGTAACCTTCCTTGTAGACATACAAAAGATTACTTGTTTAGCAAACATGAAATCATCAATATCTACAACCTATACATTTACAACCTTTTACGCCGCTATAAGATAGAACAAAAAAAATATGTTTATCTGCTACTGCAGATATCTCTTCCATGAAACGTTGTCAACCAAAATACCCACACTGCCATCAGCCACCTTGGATGCTTCTTCATGGAAGAACTAACTATGGACAACAAAAGGTTACTTATAAGCTACAGTTACAATTAAGCAGGTTATATTCATCAGGCATTAACATATATGATATCACCCTTTTCAACTTCACCAATATCTTATTGATGTTCCTGACTTTTGAGACCTTATCTTCAAAGTTCGTACGTAACAATTAGGAAAAGCACAAGGGATGAAAATGCAATCATCGCTGCTCGTAAATCATATGTTTAGTGTATTTGTGGTATACATATTACAACTTTTGATTTACATTTCTATATATAATATTGCACTGTATGTCCAGTTTTTTTTTTTTTTTTGTCAGCACAATTGTCTGCAGCAAGTTTGACAGCTTTATAATTCCTAATTTTGTTAATGTTGTGTACTTTTGACAGCTGTAGTGTTTTGTTGCCGCCACCACCACCACTGCCTTATGTAAATACGGGGGTGAGAACTTTGTCTAGCGGATAGTCGCTTTTGTTCTCACCCACTCTAGCAACTGTGGATTAGTGGAAACAAACCATTATTATTATGACCATTTTATTATTAAGTATGTCGCTGTTTGTTTTAATTCTAGTCCGGTGGTTTGGTCAGTCGTATCTACCAAGAAAAAATTTTTGTGCTTACACAAGCTTCAAGATATTTAGTTTTAATGTGTGGGATCAAAATGCATGGACATTCCAGTTACTTACAGTTCACACCCCTACTCCCAAAGTGTGAACAAGATTTAGTCTGGCATCGCTTGTTGCTCGAAATGCAGACTGATGACGTGTTCTCTCTTGTTTTTCCTTTTTTGTGACTGCAGGGGACATCGGCAACTACTACTATGGCCAGGGCCATCCCATGAAGCCCCATCGCATGCGGATGACGCATAATCTGATCCTCAATTATGGGCTCTACCGAAAGATGGAAATTTATGTTAGTGACTAAATGTTCTAGTGACTCATTCTAAATGTTTATTTATGTATTTTGATTTACTTATTTGCAAAGTGGCACATTGTATTCGTTCCAACATCTGGCTTGTGAAGGGATGTTCAGGGATTTTCTGCATTGGCACACTCATGAGCAAACAGTCCTAACAAGATTAATGAGGAACCAGTGCGCATTACAGCATCGTGTGGCGTGCCCTTGCAGTAGTGTGGTATGCCTGTTTTAAGATTGTGGCTTCACTATTTATCTGCAACACTTTGCTTGTAGCTATTTCATGCTGATCTCTGTTTTCGATAACTGTAGAGCCAGCTATGCTCTTTCTTTAATTAAGGTTACGTTATGTTTATACCATCGTTGAAATCAAGAAGAAGAAATGGACTAGGGCCGAGCATATAGCACATAGGCAGGATAACCACTGGTCATTAAGGGTAGCTGACTGGATTCCTAGAGAAGCGAAACGCACGAAGGGGAGAGAGAAAGTTAGGTGGGCCGATGAGTTTAAAAAATATCAGGTATAACGTGGCAGCAAAAAGTACAAAACCAGATTCATTGGCAGATCATGGGAAAGGCCCTTGCTCTGCAGTGGGCGTAGTCAGGCTGATGATCACATTAAATTTCAATGGTAGATCGAAGCGTGTACCAAATTTGCGATTGGAATGCACGTGCCTCAACTGGAGCAGTTGGTGCACGAAAATTTATCGAGAGGTTGGGAAATGATTTCCCATTTGCTCGCGACTGTGAACGTCCTGCCGTGTTGGGATGAAACGCGGGTACACACAACACTGTGTTGAATGTTCGAAAGTGTATCATTGGCAGTGTTATCATTTTAGTGTTGCTTATCCCTCTATGTCGCTCGTGCAGCGACCACACAAGGCAACACAGGAAGAGATGACCAAGTACCACAGCGATGACTACATTCGCTTCCTGCGTAGCATCCGGCCGGACAACATGTCCGAGTACAACAAACAGATGCAGAGATGTAAGTGACTGCTCTGTGGTAACTTAGTGCGGAGTGCATTATTGCACTTCTGGGTTCAAGGGCACATAGTATAAGCTGTTGCTGGTTTTACATGCACCTATGACGAAGTGAACAATCTTACTAGTGGCAGAAACGAGTCACCTCCTTTTTTCTCTATGAAGTGCTTTGAGACAAGCACTTGCGCTGTACTTACACAACAGTCCAAATCATGATTTGGGGCTTGCGGATTGTGTATTATGTCACTGTACATCAGCTTTTCCCGCATATGCGCTTCGGTCCAGACGGAGCTATTCATGAGACGGTAGAAGCCCAAAACACAGTTAGGATCCTTAGGGAGCAATGCTTAAATCCCCGCTAGTAGCGCGAATTTGCCCCTGTCAAATTCCAAATTATGTCACATGCCGGGCGACTGATTTGCCTGAGATCACGTTCGTCGTGTGAGTGCAGCTTTTACTTCCACTTTTCTGAATATTCAGGAAAGGACTTGTAAAACATAAAGCTGGCTGCGCCGCTTTTTGGTCACAAAGTGGGTCGCAATTTTCTCTTGCTTTCTCTTGCAGTCAATGTTGGGGAAGACTGCCCCGTTTTCGACGGCCTGTACGAATTCTGCCAGCTGTCCACAGGCGGCTCTGTAGGTAAGTCAAGCTCATGTTTCACCAATGTTGGCATGTGTTTGTGGATACAGTTGACTCCCGTTAATACGATCTTTGCGGGAACCGCAAAAGGCTTTAAATTCAAGTTAAGCAAAATGCACGAACAAACTTCCAATAAAGCAACACACACAAGAACTACACTTTTATTGCTTCAAACCTGACCGTTCTCCAAAAAATAGGCTGTCATCATCTTCTCTTGCCGAACCTGGCTGCGGCTAGTAAGTCTTCCTAGCACTACACATGTCGAAGTGCTTCTTCACCAAAACATAAAAACTGCTGCGCAAGGGCAACGCTCCCAGCAACATCGGTAGCCCTCGCTCGTGGTTCGTTTCTGATGTCACCGTCCACTAGCCAAACCATTTGCACAATGTTGCTGTTTGTTAGTGATTAGCATGTATTGACGTCGCTGTCCACGGGGACGAATTCTTCAAAACGAACGTCGCTAAGAATGGACCCAAAGCTATTGTCATCGAGCTCACCTGTTTGCACTTGATGAAATTCAATAGTGCGTTAGGCTTAATGCCGCATTTTCGTGTGATGTCTTGCTTGGCAGTGCCTCCCTGGTCAACTTCTTTCAATACTTCCGACTTTCATTGCCAGGCCAAGCGTTTGGTAGGGACTGCGAGTTGCTATTATTAGACGTCGGCACCACGAAAATCAGAATCAGATGTGGAAACATGTGCGAAATCAACCCACAATGCGTGGGGGGGCTAGTTGGTTTATCATAAGTTTGAACAGCGCGACTGGACGTGTACGAAGCAGAACATGTACGTGCAGCACTGTGTGTGTGTTTGCGCATTCTTTTCCTCCCGCGTCCAGTTGCGCTGTCCTAACTTAACCCAGCGCACGGCTGAAGCACTCAACAAATCAGAAAGAAAGGCCTGGTTAGCTGATGCGATCAATGCGATGCCCCGGCGTTGACTAAACAAGATTACTAGTTCATAAACTGTTGCGCTGCAGGCAGTGGCGATGGCAACAACAGCATGGTCTTACAGCTATCTTGGCACATGAAAAATTCCCATTTTATTAACAAATTAAGGTTGCTTTGAAGCTCTGGACTTCAAGATAACTTCTAATTAACCAACATTACAGCCTTCTAACGTAAAATGATCGAGCATTTCTTCCTATAGGCCTGCATGCAAAACTGATTGGACCCCTTGTTAACTTCTAATTAACTGAAAATTCCAATGAAGTGACCTTAAATAAGCGGGAGTGGGCAGTACTAGGTTAACTTAATCAGGTTGTGAGATCAAATCCTCGCTGCAAAGGCTGCATTTTCAATGGAGGTGAAAATGCTGTACGCCCGTTTGCTCAGATTTGGGTGCAAGTTAAAGAACCCCAGGTGGTCGAAATTTCTGGAGCCCTCCATTACGGCATCTCTCATAATCATGTGGTGATTTTGGGATGTCAAACCCCACATAGCAATCAAATCAATTAAGTTAGCTCGATCTGTCAGATTAGATTTAGCAACCACTTGCTTTGCCCCTTGCTTTGCCTGCCGGTGTCGCCTTCCCTTTGAGGGTTTCTTGGTTGTGTTGTGTTTCATTAGTGGATTTGGAGGCATTGCTTTACACCAGAGTCAAGTGCTCGATTGTGTGGTACGTTGACGGCTCTGACTCTGCCATTGGAATTCAACATTAGAATGGGAGTTTACGCTTGCCGTGCCCTTTTCGGAGATGGGCAGGACTTCCGTAAGGAGGAAGTCACATGTGGTAGTGGGAGTTGGTACAAAAGTACTTAGTAGCTTCAGCACCTTTCACTGTGTGGAGGTTTAACTCTTTCTGTCTCTGCAGCTGGTGCAGTGAAATTGAACAAGCAGGCGACGGACATCGCGGTGAACTGGGCAGGTGGCCTTCACCACGCCAAGAAGTCTGAAGCGTCTGGCTTTTGCTACGTGAATGACATCGTCCTGGCCATTCTAGAGCTGCTCAAGTGAGTGGTTTCTTTCAACAGCCCCTCATCAAACCATGTCCTGTAGTTCGTCTGCCCATTCTGTGGCGACTGCGCTATTCTAGATGAAAAAAGCACTTAGTGTTTACATGCGAAAATGTGTCTAATGGTATATTTATCAGATTGCACCGGTTCGCACTGGTGAGCTGTTTTGTCCCGTCGTCATAGCACTTGATTGCCTCGGTGTTTGTGCGCACGGGTCCATCTTGTCAAATATTGAATTAGTGGCCCCCTGTTGTCCAATTTGTGAATGGGGACTTTGCCAGTGTCCTTGCTTACTGTATTTGCTTGCTTGCTGCAATTTCTGGTTATTAAAGGAGCAGTGACATCAACTTGATGCATTTCGCATTTTTTTTTTGTGCCAACGCGTACTTATTGATCCTCTAGTAATGATACGATACTAATAATGCAACAGAGGGACGAGTTAATGTATGTAGTATCGATTAGTATCATCGGTATCAAACCCAATTCAAAACGGATGCAAAGCCCGTCGATTTTCGGCGCTGCCAAGCGGCCACCTCTCATGGTCCCGCCCCATCTCATCATGTTGCCACATGAAATGGTGATGCTAGTTTCTGTTGACATTTTGTCTGCTCGGCACGCAAGTGTATAGGCATGTCTTCGCCTACGTCATCGTTGTGGCCACTGTCATCTGTGCCCACAGGCGACGATGGAAACACTGAGGAATGTAGAATCGCGGTGATTCGTAGCGTGGCCAATCATTTTTTCTTCAATGCTCTTCTGAGCACTGATTCTGAAATCGACGCCTGACGGAGCTGGAGATGCACGCTTACTTGGGCCACACTAGTCGGTTAGGCATATGAATGCTGCGTGCGTGCTACTTGTTGGCGATGACCGGAGCTTTGGATAATCACATTTCACACTCAGGACTTCACGACGAATCACGCGAAGCGGCTCAACAAAAACGCGGGATTGACATGAATGCACTGCACATACGCTGCATGAAGCAAGCAAAACGAAGCAAACGAAGCCGTTACTAGGCAGCCAGGTGTCGCCGCCAGAAGGTACCACATGTAGGAAGGAACCAGGATGACAACAGTAAAATTGTCATCACTGCTCGCTCATCATCACTAGGCACCTGAGGCGCAGCTTAAGAGCTTGTGAACATACTGTCGATACCTCATGGCCGGGGGCACACCGATGAGCCTCGAACGCTCTTTGCACTCGAAATAGAATGACTTCTACGTAATGGACACGATTCATATTTTGCTAAAAATACTCAAGCATACCAAGGAATCGAATGAATGCCACATCTCGAGTTTGAAATTTAGTGTGGCTGCTCCTTTAACACTGGCTCATTACCGTATTTACTTAATTCTACCGCGCCCTCGATTGTAACGCGCACACCATTTCGACGACGAAAAAAAAAAATAAAACATCGATTGCAACTTGCACCCATTTTTCTCGCTGGTCCGCACGATCACACTACTCGAAAAAAAGTCTTTTTTCGGGAGCGTCTTCCATTTAAATATGAGGTACGGGGGAAGCTTGTGCCCATCTGACGTGTAACAGAGCATTGCCGTCACTGTAGTTTTACCGTGGACCGATGTCAGCACGCGAACTTGCTTCGCCCCCTTCTTCTCGACGGTTGTGGTGCCAGGCATGTCGAAGTAAAGAGGCATCTGATCGGCATTCCCGATTTGCCCAAGCAGGTGGCCGTTGTTGTGCCGCAAGTTTAGGACGAACCTCTGAAAACTTTGAAGCTTTTCATCGTCCTCCTCCGCAAAACTTTTCGCATATGCCTGTTCACCTTCGGAGGGAAAAACCTTTCCTCTTCATAAAGTTAGTTAGCCAGCACCTGCTCACTTTAAACTGGCTCCGCATTAGCCCTTTTTCTAAGGCTAACTGCATAGCCCGCACTTGGAGCAGTTCTGTCGTCACGGACCGCTGTGCCGCTCGCAGCTCAAGCACATACTCGCCGAGCAGCTCTTCAATTTGCGGAAAACGACCCTGCTGTGGTCCACTGAAGCCTTTGCGTGAATCTTTGCTGTCGACAATCTTCTGCTTTTGTTTCCGCCATTCCTGGACGCACGTTTCGGGAACTCTGAACGACCGCGATGCGGCCCGATTTCCGTCCGTTTCGGCACACATGATGACTTTTCTTTTAAAAGCCGCATCGTGGTGCACTCGAGTTTTTGGAGTCCGCTCTTCCATGCCGCCCTTCCATGCCATGGAGACACATAGGCAGAAATGGCCGACGCGCCAAGCCGACGCACGTAGGGGGCGGCCGTTTTGGAAATGCCAATGGCAATAGAACGACCGTATTCATTTTTTTTTCGTACTCAATTCTGACGTGCATGCGATTTATGAACTCGCTTAACCGAAAAAAGGTGCGTGTTAGATTCGAGTAATTATGGTAATGTCGGCTAGTGTTGGCTGATTGTTGACAAAATTTGACTCAGCACTTTTTTTGTATCTCCAGGTACCACCAGAGGGTGCTGTATATAGATGTTGACATCCACCACGGTGATGGCGTAGAAGAGGCCTTCTACACGACAGACAGAGTCATGACTTGCTCCTTCCACAAATACGGGGAGTACTTCCCGGGCACGGGCGATCTCAGAGTAAGCTGCATTGCAACTTGGCTACTCAATTGCATGGTTTTCGAAAGACCTTAAGGGATGATTTAAAAGAGGAGGGTTTGTTTGTGCGTGAACCGTATTTACAGAACGAAGTCAATTAAAAAATTTTCATGGTTTCTTATATGCTGGCGAACCGCTTTGTCAGAGAGACTGATGTAACAGACAAACGGTTATAAGGAACACCAGAGTGCCTGCATTGAAATGGGTGTTGATGGAAAATGCACGTCGTATTTACTCGAATCTAGGCCGACCTCCAAAGTGCGAAGCCCGGGGAGAGAGGAAGAGAAAAGAAAGAAGCCACTTACCTTGAATGTAAGCCAAACGAAACAGCGAAGACAGCGTTCACAACGAGAAAACAGTTATTGAATATGAAGATGAAAAATGGAGCATTTGTTTCATGATTCAAATAGCTTGAGAAACATACAGCCGCTAGTCCTACTGGGCATGTTTCTTTGCAGTAGTTTTTTTTTTTTTTTGCAGTGGTTCTAGTTATTTGCATCATAAAGATGTTGCGCTTGCCGATGCCGTGCTCATTCCAAGTCGTCGTCGCTGCTCTCCTCGTTGCTGTCTTGTATCTGTACGCTGCCATCAAGCGCATTGGATATGCCGCGCTTCTTGAAAGAGTGCACAATCAAAGTTCCTGAGATGTCGCCCACTCTGCAGCCCCTCCACTGACGTACATTTTTTTGTCCACTCCGAAGTCTTGCCCAACTTAAACTTTGGATGACGACTCTGCAGCTAAGACAACTTTCCTTTTATAAGCAGCACTATAATGACACTGCCTTTTTGGCACCATTGAGCTACGCAACACACAGACGACTCGAAATGACAAACGGCCTGCCTCAACACTTGTGACAAAGATCAAAATGGCGCCCTCACGCGAGTACTTGAGCCAGCTGTCGGCTCGGCTGCTCATGGCTTCAATACCGTCTAGGTGGCGCTAGTCGGGCACCACTTTCGCAATGAAAAATGGCACATTTTTCAAAATTCTCGAATTTAAGCCGACCTTGGAGTTTGGTACAAAAAAAAAAAAACTAGCGGCCTAGATTTGAGTAAATATCGTATATGGCGCATCCTGCTTTTAAGAGACACCTCATATAAACGACAAGAACTGCTCCCCGGGCAATGTCTCTTATCAAAGGGTTCAACTGCACATCCATCTATTGATATCATTTGTGTTCTTTTTACTGATGTTTTGAGCTTAGTCATATTAGTGTGAATACAGTTAATTTTGTTGATCTTCTTGGATGGTCTAGGGACTGCAATATTGTAAAAATAATTATGTAGTTAAAAAAGAAAGAGAACGAATGCATGCCTTTCGTACTTCACTTGAGATGTCAAATCATCACAGCCATGCTAAATATGTATGCAAAGCTGCCTTTCAAATATTCTGCACACTTATCGGGTTTTCGGGGCTGGTACCTGTGATGATAAACTGCATATCCATAGGCTCTGCAACACTTCTTCAAGTAGTCATCGAATTCTCTCTATAAAAAAGCTTATTGCCCTGGGAATTGACTGTAAATCTCCATCTGTAACGTCACAGATTTCAAAGTGTATTTTTTGTATTTTGACGACTTCGGCTCAACAGAATTTCCTGAAACTTGGCATGTGAAGTCTCTGGCCTCACCGGAAGACACCATGCTTCACTCTTCATTTTTAGTGGTTAGGAACTACGTATGCCCCTGTAGACGCTGTCAAAATCCGTGATGCCATGGCGATTGGGGTGGGAACTTCAAGTCAGTGTTGCCGACTGCATTTTTTTTTGCCACATTTTCTAGCATTTTCTGGCGGCAAGCGTGGTGATCTCGGTGCGGTGAAAGGGTAATTCACTAACACGGGGAAAATCATTTGTCTATTAAGTGTTCCTTTAATGATTATTGCAACAACTTTGTATGCCACCTTCTTTAATTTACTACCCAGGATATTGGAGCAGGCAAGGGCAAGTACTACGCTGTCAACTTTCCTCTCAGGGATGGCATCGACGACGAGTCGTACGAGAGCATCTTCCAACCGGTGAGTTCAGGGACACCAGACTCTCGGCTCCTGTGTTCTAGAAGTTTGGACTTATTGGATTATGTTGTTATCAGTGAAAGCAAAGAAGCACTGGCCCTGTCCGCCACAGTACCTGGGCCGGACAGGGCTGCACGTGCACATTTGACCTGCATTAAAGGTTGTGTTTCCCTTGTGACGGATTCTCTAAAGCAAGCAAGCTTGATGCATTCATCACGTTTAGAGCAATGTTAGTGGGGTATTAAAGGAAAAGCCACTGTTGTTTCCCAAACATATTTGTTAATCAGTCTTTGAACAATTTTTTATCATAAGGTATCGTTGAGTATTACGTCAAGGCTAGCGAATAGAACATTGGCATGACTTGTATTGCAGTGGATACTGTAGAATCGTGGTTACACGGATCTCAAGGGCGAGCAAACATACCGTAATTACTCGAATCTAACGCGCACCTTTTTTCCGGTTAAGCGGGTTCATAAATCACATGCGCGTTAGAATCGAGTACGAACAAAAAAATTACGGTCAATCTATTGCTGTTGCATCAGCAAATCCAAAATGGCCGCCCCCTACGTGCGTCGGCATGGCACGTCGGCCATTTCTGCCTGTCTGTTTCCCATGTGCGGCACTTCGTACGTGTGCTGAGTAGTTCGTCATCTAGTAGTGCATTAGCATGGACGGCGTGGAAGGGCTGACTCCAAAAACTCGAGTGCACCACGATGCCGCTTTTAAAAGAAAAGTCATCGCGTGTGCAGAAACGGATGGAAATCAGGCCACATCGCGGTCGTTCGGAGTTCCCGAAACGTGCGTGCGGGACCGGCGGAAACAAAAGCAAAAGATTGTCGACAGCGAAGCTTCACGCAAAGGCTTCAGTGGACCACAGCAGAGTCGGTTTCCGCAAATTAAAGAGCTGCTCGGCGAGTATGTGCTTGAGCAGCGAGCGGCACAGCGGCCCGTGACGACAGAACTGCTCCAAGTGCGGGCTATGCAATTAGTCTTAGAAAAAAGTCTAATGTGGAGCCAGTTTAAAGCGAGCAGGTGCTGGCTAACTAACTTTATGAAGAGGAAAGGCTTTTTTCTCCAAAGGGGAACATGCATATGCGAAAAGTTTTGCGGAGGAATACGATGAAAAGCTTTACAGTTTTCAGAGGTTCGTCCTAAACTTGCGGCGCAACAACGGCTACCTGCTTGGGCAAATCGGGAATGCCGATCAGACACCTCTTTACTTCGACATGCCTGGCACCACAACCGTCGAGAAGAAGGGGGCGAAGCAAGTTCATGTGCTGACATCGGTCCACGGTAAAACTACAGTGACGGCAATGCTCTGTTACACGTCAGATGAACACAAGCTTCGCCCGTACCTCATATTTAAATGGAAGACGCTCACGAAAGGAGTCGTTTTTTCGAGTGGTGTGATCGTGCGGGCCAGCGAGAAAAATGGGTGCGCGTTGCAATCGATGTCTTACGTTTTTTTTTTTTCCGCAGTGGAAATAGGGTGCGCGTTACAATCGAGGGCGCGGTAGAATCGAGTAAATACGGTATTCGTATCATCCGAAATTTCACATTATAAGAAAAACTAGCTAAGTCCATTTTGTAACCATGATTTACAAAGGAAACATTTCGGCCGAAATAGCTTGCGTGTCTTTCTGGGGCACACCTGAATGGACCGACTAGGGACGGCACCTCTTGCTGCCGAGAATGTGTAGTAACCGTGGAGAACGGGGAGAGACGCTGGAAGTTGTGAAGGAATATGTCTACTATGGACACGTAGTAACCGCGGAGCCGAACCATAAGAGCGAAATCTCTAGAAGAATAAGGATGCGGTGGAACACATTCGGCAAGCATTCTCAAATCATGAATGGTAATCTGCCACTAACTCTCAGGAGGAAAGTATATAACAGCTGCATCTTGTCAGTACGGAGCAGAAACCTGGAGGCTTACGAAGAGAGTTCAGCTTATTGAGGACGACGCAGCGAGCGATGGACAGGAAAGGGATAGGTGTAACCTTTATAGAGAAGAAAACAGCGGAGTGGGTCAGGGAATAAACCAGGGTTAAGGATGTAATAGTTGAAATCAAGAAGAAGAAATGAACATGGATAAAGCACGTGGCTTGTAGGCGGGATAACCGCCTGTCATTGAGCATGACTAACTGGGTTCCCAGTAAGCTAATGCGAATATTTGAATGCTTCCAAAATTTGAAAGGATAATGCAGGATTCGAATTTGCTTCGAATCAATTTTAAGTTCTTGAAAAGTTTGAATTATTCAAAACGAACGAATAAATGCATATAGGTCCGCGTGTGACACCCTGTAAAAATGGTTTCACTGCAGTTGAATGGTGCTAAGCCGTGAAAACACTTTTGCAGGGGAAATTTGTACTGCAACGAAGCCCCGCTTGAAGGTTAAATGAGCATAGTACCTTCACATCTATGCATTTTTAAAGTTTAAAAGCTTTTTATACTGACTGATATGCTTTACGAGTAGTAAATTTTAAAAAGTAATATTTTTTATGCTGTTGTTTGCATTCTTCAGAAAGTCCACTGCTGCTATTATTCAAAGTTTTTTTTAGCTTTCTTTGATGCAAAAAAAAGGCATTTCCACTGGTTTTGTTTTAAATTTTTTCAAATATTGTGCAGGTTAATTAGGTCATGACAAATATGCCAATTGGCGTTATGCGGTATATATACGAGACGAATTCGATTCGAAATTATTCGACCAAAATCACTATTCGCTTCGAATTCACTTTGAACCTAAAAATCCACTATTCTCACAAGCCTAATTGCCAGAGAAGGCAAACGCATGAAACGGCGACAGAAAGTTAGGCGGGCCGATGAGATTAAGAAGTTCGCAGGTATAACGTGGCAGCAGAAAGCACAAGACCGGGTTGATTGGCAGATCATAGGAGAGGCCTTTGCCCTTCAGTGGGCAAAGTCAGGCCAATGATGATGATGATGATGCAAAAGATTATCTGCTCAGAAACAAGGGTGTTTCTAAAGCAGGTTTCCCCTAAACAAAGCAGTTGCACACAGTGCATCTTGAAAGATTTGCTGCAGAATGTTTAATGTGACGTTACTGTGGGATGAAAATGGGCTCAGGTCTGCAAATATTTTCTATTTTACACATTTTGTTCCTATTCCCGCAGCTGATCTCAAAGGTGATGGAGATGTACCAACCGAGCGCCGTGGTGCTTCAGTGCGGTGCTGATTCCTTGTCGGGCGATCGGCTGGGTTGCTTCAACCTGACTCTGAAGGGCCACGGCAAGTGTGCAGAGTTTGTGCGCCGCTACAACCTGCCCCTGCTTCAGTTGGGTGGAGGTGGCTACACAATCCGCAACGTGGCACGCTGCTGGACATACGAGACGGCCGTTGCTCTGGGTGTTGATATCGCCAACGGTAGGTGTCCATCACATGGGGTGCAGGGTTGAGACTAGATTTTAAAAATCCTCAGATTCCTTTAAGAGGGGACGCGGGTCTTAGAAAAGTAAAAAATGGCCAAAAAATCGATTTTGAGAAGAACGCATTTTTCGAATCTTTGAACCTATAAGCACCTCTCCTCAAATTAATAACGCTAAATTCGATAAAAAAATAGGTTAAAATCTATTTTCAAACCATCACGGGAGTCGCAAAACAACCCGCAAAACAGAAAATTTGTTCGAACTTCCCGCGCGCGCCGCCAGCGAAGCAGTTGGCGGATCGGCGCCATCTTGGGCTTGTTTTGAAGCTGGTTCCTTTGTGCGCGTTTTGCGGGCTCTCAAAATGGCGTAGCTCCAACACAATGACTGCCCTCCCCCGTTTTGCGAAGCCGTCTGCCGGACCGCTGATTGGCTAGAGCGCGAGCGCGCCGGCGAGCCCCCCCCTTGTCTCGCGCTTACCATTGGCTGGCGCGGCGGCGCGGCCACGGTTGCTCGCTCTTTTTTTTTGTTTGTTTGGTTTTGCTCCGTCGGCGCCTGCTCTCGTGCGTGTTATCTCGTCTGCTACCCGCTCGTGTACCGACGTCGCCGACGTATACGTCTTTCTGCGTTTCGCCGGCATGGCTTGGGAAGCTCGCCTGAAGAAGAACACTCGTCAAGCTTTCGGCAGAAAACGAAAGCGAGCGTGGAATGCGCGGCAGAAGGGAGCGGCCTGCGCGCCGCCGAGAACGCCGGAGATGGCCGAGGCAGCGCATTCTGACAACGGGCTGTCGGAAATGCCTGTTATTGCGGAGGCAGCACATTCAGACGACGACTCGCTGGCGCAAGTGCCTGTTATTGCCAGAATCCTAGTGAGAGCTTTTATTTATGCATTTTTATGCATTTATGCATTTATTTTTTGGATCTGGCTTGATTAAGTTGCCAAAAAGCCCCCAATGAAGTGCATAATTAATTAAATTACAGATGTTAATATCTTTTTATCCACTGAAGCTATTTCAGAAACAATTACATATTTGAAATCAGCATGAAAAACTGTCCAAGATGGTGAGGTTTGGTCAAGATTGAGCCAAAAACAGAAAAAAAATTTTAAAGACCAATGTCCCCCCTTAAGAGGCCTGGCAACACCTTTCGAGCATGGTCAGAAAAGTTGCTGATTGGGGGTGGAGGCTCCTGGAAACACAGGAGCCAAACAATAAAGCACAGCACAACGGGTGGCGTTGGAGCCATTTCAGCAGCTCGCGCACTGGAGAAACACACGAGACAGACACTGAGCAAGAGACGCTTATCGGGCTTAGCTGTAGAAGCAGTTGCTGATAATGTTTGTGCCAATAATTAGCAAAAAAGGCCTTAACGAGTCACTAGTTCGCTTCCTACTTGGCTTACCTTGGATGCAGTAGGCATTCAATGACCACGTGACTGGCTAAAGCCGAAAGGACGTGTCACCAAACATAGCCTTCGAGGTTGGCAATTCTGCGTTTATTTTGGCACTGGCTTGACGTCCATTCATAGCTATGGTAGTTCAACATTTCAGTGTTGGCAACCTAGCAAACGTATTGTAAGCATCACTGATAGCATGTCATTATGTACGTGCCACAACCGATCAGCCAGTCTTAGTCCGAAAAAATCGATCGGCACACTGTAAGTGGTTCGAATTTTCGGTCGTGAGTTTGCATTAGGTTCAATGGGGTGAGTGCCGGGCCACGATGGTGTCCGAATAAGTGGCCGGCTTTTACACTCTCGCCAATGTAAAGGTAGATTAGAAGGCGAGGCCCCTGTAGGCGTTTGTGGTTTGATTTCTTTCTCGTGTTAGTGAAAAATGAATACTTACCAACGAGCTCAGAGCTTTGTTATTCTAAGCACATGTACTTTCGTCAGGAAAGCACGTGCGCCTTCCAGGAAAAATGGTTGCACAATATTTAAAAATTGTCACAGGGAGGAATGAAAGCATTAGAGTAAAGGTTTGCGAATGTGTGTGCATAGCAGTAGAGCAAATGCAGCCTTTGTCCACACCATTTGCTCTTGGCTGCTTTCTGAAGTTCCAGCCTTGACATTAATGCCATCGCGGACTTGTTTAAAATTGTGCCTCCCAACCCCCATGTTTATTTCTTTTTTCTCTTTTCCAGAGCTGCCGTACAACGACTACTTTGAGTACTTTGGCCCGGACTTCAAGCTGCACATCAGTCCTTCCAACATGGCCAATCAAAACACACCAGAGTACCTTGAAAAGATCAGGTACATTGGACATTCCTTGTTGGAGCTTTCGAACCTGCTCTTATTGTAAATCTCTGTCGGCAATGTTGTAACGATTTCACATCAAAATGACCTAAATGAGGAGAAGCATTCTGAAAGTCCCAAACCTTGATACGAAGGTTTTTGCACTGTGAAAAAAATACAGCAAATTGGGAGTCTTTTTGTTCCACAACAATGTAATCCTCATCTATCTTATGTGCCTTTCTTTGTGCTATCGCCATGCACCCAACCGTCTTTAGTTACAGATGGCATGTTTGTTAGCATGACAATGTCCTTGATAGGACAGTGGTCAGCACGGATTTTTCAAGAGAGAAAGCTCAAGAAAGCGAGATGGCGGTTATTGTTGTGGGACAAAAAAAATATTTACCCTTTTTTTTTCTGTTTAGAGTATATTTGCTAAAAATAAATGCCCTGATGCAGTACTTACCTATCTTTTCTTTTCAACAGAAGGGAAAATTGGGCGAGTTGGAGCGCTGTAGTTTGTCTTTTCTTTCCCGCTCCTGTTTTCGTCGCGCTAATATTCGTTTAAGATGGGAGTGCACCAACTCGCCCAATTGTCCCTTCTGAGGCAACACATTTCTTCTACCGTGGGCTCTTTTATGTGTCATAATTTTTTTCCTAAGTAATCCCTCGGTGTCAGCGCTGTAGTTTGTCTTTTCTTTCCCATCCCTGTTTATGTCGCGCTAATATTCGTTTACGATCTTCTTTTCAAGTTTGCTTCATTTACACATGCCTCCTCACAGTAATATAGTTATTACATTTGCAAAATGACTGTCTTGTGTAATCTTGATGTCTATTACGTTTGTCAGCCCATTGTGCCTGTGCTGTGCAAGGTAACTCCTATTATCATTGGTAATCTGCAGCCTATCTTGTTCTTACATGTCACTATGTTGATAGAGTAGCTTGTTATTACTTGCATATAAGTCAGGCTGGAAACGAGGTTCAAAAAATTTTCTTACAAGCAAACTTTGCATATTCAAGTGCTGCGAAGTGACAAGGCTTTTTATTTACTCACGTGTCTATACATTGGTTCCACCTTATAGAAGGCCAAGAGAAGGGCCTGAGTTTTAGCAGGACAGCATAACTGTGATATAACGGTAACCTTTGAAATGGGCAGACACAGGTGCAAGCGTGCTATCTGGCCTGTTCAGTTTGTCAGTACTCTGAGTTGAGCAGTGGCGATAGGGAACTAGGCAGAAAAACACGAAACCTGATGGCTTTTGTTTATTACAATTATTTTTTCTACAAGAACCGTATTAAATAGCTGTGTTGTTATCACCTGTTTCAGGACTCGACTCTTTGAGAACCTCCGTATGCTGCCTCATGCACCTGGTGTCCAGATGCAACGTGAGTTGGTTTGTAGATAATTTTGTTAACTCTTACCCGTTCATGTTAAAATGAGAAAAAAAAAAAAGTGGCAGATCCCACATACAGAGGGAATCGTTGATATGCGAAGCACGAATGAGAATTATTGATATGTCTCTTTAAAATCAGCGCAACGATATCAGGTGGAAGTAAATGATGCCGTACATGACTTCCATGTCATGATTATCATGTTTGGATGTGTCGTTTACTTTCGTCACCTATTCAGGCGACATGATACAAAATTTAGTATATGTGGAGCTAGCGAAATGAGCACGAGCACGCTATGAGCGTGGTATGTTGTCATGTTCTTACATGACACGCGTGTCAGGATTATCATGTTTGCACCAGTCATATACTGTCGCCATAAATTGACGTCACTTCACACCAAATTTGGTATATGCGGAGCTAGCAAAACGGCCGCGAGGGCATCATGAAGTGCCCAATATACTCCAATGTAGCGTTGACGCGCGTGCACGCTGGGTACAGCGACATTACGTTGGCAAAACGCGAGCACTTAGTCTGACGCAAGGTGCGACCAGCATCCGTTGGCGCGGGCTGAAGGCGACCGGCGCGAAATGCGACATACTGCATTTCGCTCCGATGCGTTGCCCAGACAACACTGCGTCTCCCTCTTTTCGTGTAGAAGGAACGCCGTATGCGCTGAACGTGCATGCGTCAAAGCAAAGAAGCGTGGCACGCGCATGCGAGTACAGCCGAGTCCACATATAACGGCCCCACTTAAAACGAACTTTTGCTTAAAACGAACAATATCCGCGTGACCGTCAAAATACACATTGGTTCAATGGCACAAAATCGCACAACGATCGTCTCCGAGCGCCGCTGATCGGTTACAGCGAACGGAGTCACCGGTCTGCCGACTTCCCGGGAAACCGATTTCGACCACCGATCAGGCATTGGCGAGGTGCCCATACATTCTTATTGTTAAACACCGATTCTGCCTCCGCGCCCCTCTAGTTGCTGCTCTCCCCAACCGCTTTTTGTTACGCACCCCTCCGTCCTTTGTCCCCCCCGCTACTCTGAGCACCCCGCATCACCAGACGAGGAGGCCCTTGTTTTCACACTGCCACCGATCTTTAAAAGACCTGTCGGCCACGTACCCTGTTTTTTATCGCTGGTACTGTCGTTGGCGTCACCGGTCTGGAGTGACCAGACCATTTGCCAACATCGTCGGCCACCGACTATATCCAATATTCTGCGTCTAGTACACGCACGTACGCTACCCCATTGACTCTGATAATTTGCGATTCGTTTCGTGTTTAGGACTTGTTCTCGCTCACTTCGCACTCGGCTCACATTCCTTTCACGCGCGTGCGGAAGCGCGAGAACGACTGTTAATTTGCGCGGAACGAATCGCGAAATATCGAAGTTCGTGAGGCCGCGCAACAATACGATTTTTTTTATCACGGCCGCCGATTCTTCGAACGCCGCCGCGCGCACTGAGCGAGGCGGCCATGCTTTGACTTCTGCGCGCGCTGGCACACTTTTCAAGCTTTTCTACGTCGTGTTTCGCGGACATTTCAATCAAGCTACCAAACCTGCCTCCTTCCCGTGTGTTTTGGTTTTCAAGGTCGCACGCCTGCCGCATCCTCCCCTCTCTTTATCGCGCGGAGGAAGGAATCTTTCATTCCCACGTGCTTTATCGCAACTCCTTGCCCTTCTCTCGCAAGTCTGCTCTCCTCTCTTGATCACAACCCCTTTGCCCGCCTCCACCGCTGTCGACGCCCGCCACGGTGGCTCGAATTAGTTTCGTTTCCCGATTGGAAACGTGCCTAGAGCTGCTCCACGCGTGTGCGCGTCTTGCTCGCTCTTGGTGTGTGTGTGTGGTCATGATGGCCGACGGGAGGACTAGCACGCTTTTTCGTGCCGCTCAACAAAATGTCGAAAGTGTGACCGCTTCGCTTGAGCGTAATCTGCATGTTAGGTGCCGCGTTGCGGAGCGCTTGCTCATACCTGTTGACCAACACCTGGCAGCCAACTTGCCACTTCCGGCGTCCCGGTTATCAGCTGTGGAGATGGTGAATATTTCGTGGGAGGCGGTGACGGCTACATGTGCGCGAAACTGTTTTCGCAAGGCCGACTTCGTGGATTGTCGGGCCTGATGCTTCCGAACGGGACCACTGCGGCGGTGATTTGTGGCAGCGCGTCGTCGACTCCGACCTGGGAGAGCGGGTGGGACATGTGTTGCGATGATTTAATTACGGCCGATGATGATGCCGACACTGCGAAACCGTGCATGGATTGGGGCATTCTGAATGAAGTACGTGGCGAGAGCGATTTGGAGGAATCGGATTGCGAGAACGATGAAGCTTTGTAGCCAGCGCCTCATGCAGCTTATGCCACGGGCCTCGGCGAACGAGCAGCCTGCCGTTTTAAATTAACTCAAGACCGCCCTTATCGTTTCTGTTCTTCGAAACACGTGCATCACGGACTTTTTTGGGCAAAAGAAGTTTGTGTTTTCACTTGCAACTTTTTTAAAAGCTGTGTTTCATTTACTACGAACTTCGGATACAGCGAACGGATGCCGCGTCACGCTCAGGTTGGTTATAAGCGGGCTCGACGGTATATGGCAGGACTGGTGCCTGGCGTGGCAATGCCGGCGTGACCTGTCGAAATGAACGCCGGTGAGCCTGCGCACCCCGTCACGCCAAATGTATTGGCGCCTTGACTGTGGCATGCAGTCAAGTTCTCACATGACACGCATCTCATGATTATCATGTTTGCACCAGTCAAATACCTTCGTAATTAATTGTCACGTAATACCAAATTTGGCATATGTAAAGCTTGTGAAACGGCCGTGAGTGCATCATGAGTGTGGCATGTAGTAATGTTTTAACATGACACGCATGTCATGATTATCATGTTTGTATGTGTCATTTGCCTATATCATATGTTCGCGTCGCGTAATACTGAGTTTGGTACATGCGAAGCTACCGAAACGGCCGCGAGCGCATCATGAACGTGTAGTCATGTTGTTACATGACACGCATCTCATGTTTATTATGTTTGCACCAGTATCATACCTTCGTCATCCATTCATGTCCCGTTATACCAAATTCGGTATAAATGAAGCTAGCGAAACTGCTGCCAGCGCATCATGAGCCTGGCATGTAGTCATGTTGTTACATGGCACGCATGTCATTTATGTTAGGGTCTTTTGCTTGTGTTCGCCATGCAATCATGTCATACCATACGTGTTTTCTAACATGCCATGTGAACGAAACCAGCGCAGAGCTGCAGGACCATGAAATGTAAATCATCTTATTCATGACATCCATGTCATGATTTTCATGTTATGACTAGTCAAATATGTTATTCATACAGTCATGTTATGCCATACCAAGTTTGGTATCGAGCCCCGCCGTGGTGGTCTAGTGGCTAAGGTACTCGGCTGCTGACCCGCGGGTCGCGGGATCGAATCCCGGCTGCGGCGGCTGCATTTCCGATGGAGGCGGAAATGTTGTAGGCCCGTGTGCTCAGATTTGGGTGCACGTTAAAAAACCCCAGGTGGTCGAAATTTCCGGAGTCCTCCACTACGGCGTCTCTCATAATCATATGGTGGTTTTGGGACGTTAAATCCCACATATCTATCAATCAAGTTTGGTATCGATACCATTATCGAAACGGCCTGGAAAGTTAAAAGTCATAAATAGATAAATAGATACATGCAAAGTTGCTGAAGTTCGCTAAGAAATGCTTCGCATTTAAAAAGCGTTACAGTCGAGCCCACTTATAACGAACCTGAGCTTGATGCGGCATCCATTCGTTATATCCCAAGGTTCGTTGTAAGTGAAACACAGCTTTAAAAAGTTGCAAGTGAAAACCAAAAATTTTAAAAGCCCATAATGCACGTCTGTTTCGACAGCACAGATGTGATAAGTACTGTCTCGAGTTTATTTAAGGTGGCAGCGTGTTCTTCGCTAAGGCCCCAGGCATATACAAGCTGCCTGAGGCTATCTATGTAGCAAATTGCTACAGGCACACTCGTGGTCGCTGGCTCTAAAGTTTTGTCGTTGTCTCACTCCTCCGCATCACTCTTGCCACTCATTTCATTCACTATGCCCTCATCCGTGCACGGCTCTGCAGTGTCGACATCATCATCGGCCGTAATGAAGTCATCCCAGCACATGTCCCGCTCTCCCAAGTCAGAGTCGGCGACGCGCTGCCACAAATCAGCAGATCTGTCCTCTTCGGGGGCTTTGGGCTCGGCATTGGGTCCGGTGTCAACGAAGCCGGCCTTTCGAAAACAGTTTTGCACGCATGAGGCCGTCACCTCAGTCCACGAAGCCTTCAGCATCTCCAAAGCCGAGTACAAGGTCACCCGAAGAGGCAGGTTGGCTGCCGGGCGGTCAACAGCTATGAGCAAGTGCCGCCCCACAACGCGGCGCCTATAATAACTCGAACGCGTGAATGATGCCCAAGTCTAGCGGTTGCACCTTAGACGTTGTGTTGGGCGGCAGGAAAAGCAGGGTCACTGCCGTCAGCGAGGCTTGTACGTGGTGCGCGGAGCAGTTGTCGACCACGAGCAGCACGCGCCTGCCTTGTTTGTGCATGTCGTAGTCGAATTCGCGCAGCCACTCTACAAACAAATCGCGCGTCATCCACGCTTTGGCGTTATGTTTGTAACGAACAGGTGCATATCCCCGAAAGCAACGCGACTTCTTCGATTTGCCGATTACAAAGGGCACGTGCCGGTCGCTGCCATCCATATTAGTGCACAAAAGTGTTGTGACGCACACTTTGCTATGTTTGCCACCAGTGCACGTGTCGTCTTTCACGGCTTGAGTTTTTTACGGTAGCATCTGATAAAATAGCGCAGTTTCGTCTGCTTTATAAACGTCTAGCTCCACATAGCTGGAAATGGTGTCTCGATTTGCTATCTTGATTTGATTTGACGTCTTGGTCGCCTGCTGAGGCCGCCTCACCAACTATCGATTTGAACACAATGCCATGGCGCACTTTAAGCTTATGTAGCCAGCCCTCTCCGGGGCAGAAGTTGGGAAAGTTCAAAAGGAATGCAAAGTCTTTCGCTTTGGCCAGCATCATAGCACCGCTTACCAGAATGTTCCGAGCCCGTGCGTCGACGAACTATTTCAGCTGCGCGTCCTCTCTGTCTACTTAGGTAGTCCTCCGCAAGCGCTTTCTCTCCGTCGCGTTGGCATTGGCACTGATGATCTTTTTCTTGTTTCTCGGGATCGTCGATATGGTTCACTTGCTCAAGCCGTACTTCTTAACCAAGTTGCAGTTTTTCACTTCTTGAGAGAGCTCTGTTGAAATAGCTCGCTTGGTAGCAATGTCCAGCGCTTTTTGCTTCGTGCCACCGTCAGCCATCATGATCGCACGCCACCACAGAACACCTGAACACTAAACAGCTTGTGAGCAAAAAAAGCGGACGTAGCACACGTGTGATAGACAAGCAAGCACGCGTGTAACTTCTCTGGCCTCATTTCCAGACAGAAAAGAATGGATGCGGCAGCGTCGTGGAGATAGATTTTTGGAGAAAAAGAGGGTTAAGAATGGAGTTGAGTGACGCGGTGGAAACTGTCGAAGGAGCTGCGAGGGAGGGTAGTTCGGGTACAGTAAAACCCCGTTAATTTGGACTTCACGGGACCGGAGAGAATGTCCGAATTAACCGAGGGTACGAATGATCGAAAGTATGAACAAAACACTTGAAAAATGTCTCCTACACCATCAGACTTTTATTTCTTAAAAAAAGTCTGTGATCGTGGTTTGCTTCACACAATTTTGCGAAGTTCCTGCAGGTGGCTTAGTCCGTGCACATTGTCCGAGGAAAACATGCATATGTCCTTCAAAACGGCCAACGCATGCACAGCCTCTGTCGTTGTGTGGCGTGGACGCTCGTCAGCATCGCTTGCGTCCTTGTCAGCCGATTCCCCTTCGCCGTCCAAGACTTCGGCGAATCGCTGTCGGTCACTGTGCCGGCCATGGCAACATCGCTGTCGATTGCGAAGTAATCGCCAAGGGAGACATCAGCTGGCATGACGCTCACATAGTGGCCGTCTTGCTCTTCATCAGCCACCACACCTGGATCAACAGCGTCGTGCACCAAGCCGCTATGCCTAAAGCAGTTTGCGACTACTGCAGGCGGTGTGTTGTTCCACATGTATGTCAGCATGTGGATTGCGCTTAGCAGGCTTACTTCGTACTGCTTGCCTGACTCCATGCAGAGCAAGATCCGCTCGAGTACCTGCTGTCGGTAGCGGCTTTTCACGAACTGTATGATTCCCTGGTTCATCGGCTGCAGGGGAGCTGTTGTGTTCGGAGGCAGGAATAACAGTTTAATATTCTCAAGCCTGGACATTTTCGTGTGCGCACTACAGTTGTTTAGCATAAACAACACCTTCCGAGCCTTGGCCGCAAAGCGGCGGTCGAGCTGACGCAGCGAGGCTTGAAAGAGTTCCGCAGTCATCCAAGCCTTTCTGTTGAACAGGTAGTCGACAGGCAGCTGCTTAATATTCTTAAAACATCTTGGCTTCACAGCCTTCCCGATCACCAGCAGCGGCAGCCGCTCTGTGTTGGTCATGTTAGCAGCCAGAAGCACTGTCACGTGCTCTTTACATAGTTTTCGACCGACGCACGGGTCCCCCGCGATTGTCTTTTCAGGCAGAGCCTTATAGAACAGCGCTGTCTCATCAGCGTTGAAAATGTTGCACAGCTCGTACGTAGAAACGCGCACGGATAGTCCAGACCGCCAGTCCTGCACAACACTTTCGTCAACTGCACCTCTTTCACCACACACGTTGCGAAACACCAGCTCGTGTCGCTTCTTGAAGCGGTCGAACCAGCCGTCTGACGCACTGAAGAAGTCAATGTTCACCATCACCGTGAACTTCTCTGCTTGTGCACAGATAAGAAGGCCGCTGAAGGGCAAACACGCATCGCGCGGAATGGCAACCAGCGCAACAGCGCTTCTAGCTTGGGATCCGCTGCCGTTCGAAGCCTCTTCTTTTGGTCGTCAAACATGTCCTCCTCATATGCTTGCATAATCTGCTCTTCGTTCTTCACATAAGTGCTTAGTGTGCTTTTCTTCACCTTGAACTTTTCCATCACTTCTTTTCGAGATGCTCCCGCTTGCAACGCCTTCAATATTTTCACCTTTGCTTCGTACTTCGCCCTCTTCGCTGCGGGAGTTGTTGTGGTTGGAGCCGCAGGAGACACGGGAAGCCATCCCGGCGTCGCTCGCGCGGTGGTCACGCACGACGTAGACAACACAAACACACATAGACACACAAAAACGCACGGTGCTTAAAACGAAATAAAAACCAGCGAACTTATCAAAAAACGGCAAACAGTAAGACTGCAGATAGCACTCATCACGTACAGATAAATAATTGAAAGCACACTAGAGGTGAGCAATCCAACTCGCCACTCATGCAAACGTGTTCGACGTGCAAGAAAGAAGGAAAGGCAAATCCGTTGGCTGCCCGTTGCTGATGACAGTAGCGGTGCACTGTCTTCCATTTTGGTTGTTTAAACTGCCGTGTGTGTGTGTGTGTGTATGTGTGTGTGTGTGTGTGTGTGTGTGTGTGTGTGTGTGTGTGTGTGTTTTGGGTGCCTTCGAGCTGTACTACCCATGGACGAAGTTTTGAATCTCAGAGGCCATAATCCAATCCCAAAGCTGTTAGGTGCACCGTTGATTTGGCTGACAGAATCTTCTGCTGCTTCCTTGTCGTGACTCGGCTGTGGTCGGGCGTTTGAATTAACCGAAGCCTGGCTGAATTTGTCCAAATTAATGAAAGTTTTCCGTCATAAAACAATGTACATTATGGATGGGACCAGATGCTGTGGCCGAATTAATGGGGGTCAAATTAAGATTTTACTGTAGCTTGCTTGGGAGAGTAGCTTGTGCCGGCTGTACGCTCAGTCAGCATCCACGCGGAATGAATCGCTAATTGTTGAAGTCAGTGGGGATGCGGTACAAAGGACGGAGGGGTGCATCACAAAACAGCAGTCGGGGAGAGCGACAACTAGACGGCCGTGGAGTCAGGGTCGTCATTTAACAATAGGATTCTATGGTAACCTCACCGATGATGGCTTATCGATGGTCGAAAGTGGTGCCCGGGAAGTCCCCGAAGCGCCGACTCTTCGCTGTAACCGATCGGCAGGGCTCAGAGACATTCGTTGTAAGTATGATTTTGTGCCACAGAGATAATGTATATTTCCACGGTCACATGGGTATCGTTCATTTTAAGCAAAAGTTCGTTTTAAGTGGGGCCATTGTATGTGGGCTCGACCGTAGTTACTTTTTAGCTGTACTGTAATCAGCCCTGCAAGTTCATTTCTTACAGTTATGTTTATTTTTATTCGTTGGCAAAAGTGCGGGTCCCCAGACCAGCGTGCTTGCATGGATTGTTGATGCAATTGCTTCTTTTCAGGCATTCTGTGTCATTCAGGGAAAATACTTACACTTAAGTAACAAGCAGTAAACCTGCAGTAACCGGTCAGTTTTTGCTGTGGCTCTTCGAAAATAGGTAGGGAAAAAAAAAAAAATAGGCCCATCCTCCATTGTGAGAATGGCATCAAGCGAAGCTGTGTGCATGCCAGACCTAAAGATGACCATATTTGACTGAGATCTGTCTGGCTGCATTATGTGAATAAAACAATCTCTCTAGCTACGTTCAGTTCATAGTTTGTAATGTTATAATTAAAAACTAAATACTGCTCAAATGTTTCTGTACTGATTTGGTACCTTCCTCAGGTGTGACTGTCCGGGCAATTCTGAAGCTAGCAACACTGAAACAAAGTGTGTAGCTTCAATGCTGCATGAAACGCCCTTGCAGAATACAGTGAAAAGACGTACCATTGCATCAACTTTGATGACGCCCAGGTTATCGACAAATTGACAAAAAAAGGTAGCCGCACAAAAAGGCAAACAACAGCTGGAAACTTTAACCGCTTAAGTGGTACCTTGCCGTGTGTGCACGGTCTGCAGAAGCCTGGGAGAAAACACCGTAGCAACCAGAACGGTGGGAAGAGCGACGCTGGAGAGGGGTGACATCACTAAGAAAAGTTGCTGGCTCCGGAGCCAGCCAGACAGTCACCTGTGAGGAAGGGACTGAATTGATCCCGAAACATTCATCCATGCATTTGCAGTGCTTGCTTTCTACCTTTTTTTTTTGTCCTTTCTTCATGGCAGAAACTGCACTTTCACTTATGTGCTAACCAATGCAACAGTTCTGTAACTATAGGCAATGTTGGTCATGCACGAAAAGATGAAATGCCACAATTAGAAGTGAAAGTGTAAAGTGATGACTTTAAACGATGAGTGACCTCGCTAAATGTTCGCAATTTCATATCAGATGCGGCTGATCTCCAACAAGCCCACGGTCGAGAGAGCATCAGTTATTGGAAAACGACATTTGCAAATGGTACACACGAGACAGGCCCGCCTTTACGGCCGCATTGGTGTACACCCGTGCGTGTGTGCTCTTGACGGTGCCGGGTTTTGTGTCAAATACGTCACTGATGCCACTGAAATTTGTCGCTCATAGAAGCGTCTCTTAATATGCTGTGTAATGCCGTCTGTTGCGCAGCCATTCCCGAGGACGCCATGGACCAGGAGAGCGAGGACGAAGACAAGGTGAACCCGGATGAGCGAATCAGCATCCGAGCGTCGGAGAAGCGCGTCGCGTGCGACGAGGAGTTCTCCGACTCGGAAGACGAGGGCGAAGGCCGCCGGGACAACCGCTCACACCGACCCAAGAAGCACCGCAAGGGGCCTGCTCCCGGGTCTGCTGGGGCGGCGACTCCTGGTGCGAATGCAGCCGCCACACCTGGCGGTGGAGCTGCCGTCGCACCTTCGCCCACGGGCGGTGACGACGAGGCCCGGACGTCACCTGCCGTGGACGTCAAGGCGGCTGTGCCCGCCGGTGGGGATGGACCACAGGCTCTGAAGAAAGACGTTGATGGTGAGTGTGGCATGATGGTAACCTTATCCCTTCTTCAATAATCATTATGATCAACTAACTATAAGTGCCGTAAATTCATGCGATTTGATGATATGGTTTCTCGAGGCCAAATTTTTAAAAAGTTGAATTGTTAGAGTAACTTGTAGCATATGTGGGAGTAATCGATTGTAATTAGAACATTAATAATCGCCGAGTCATGGTGCAGTCGCTCATGCTACATATGGTAAGCTAAATCATGCCTTGTGCACTCCAATAATAATGTTAAAGTAACCACTGCCGTCTCTCCAGAGCTGTCACAGCCTGTTTCATCAGATGAGATTGCCCGTTATATATTTCTCGTGCTAGGAACAGCAAGTGCTTTCTCTGGGGAATGGTCTGTTGTGACGTAATCGTAGGCATTATGTCAGGCAGCTACGTATTTCAGTCTCTGCTTGGACACATGGCGCTCTGGTTTAATACTAGTGAGGAGTTTACAAGCAGATTGAACAGTGTGAATTACATTAGATTGAAGCAGTGTGAATTACAGGACTGTCAGTATCATTTGGTGGTTCTAGCTTAATGTTTTCAGTCTTGGTTTACCTTGAAGTGTCCATTCAGTATCTTAAACAGGAACAGTAGCTTGGTTGAGATTGAAAAACTTGAGAACTCTAATGCTATATGTTTCACTATTGTAGGTTCATTAAAAAAGAAAGTCAAAGTTGAAGTTTCACTTTTAAATCTAGTGCTGAAATCTCGGCACGTGATGTCGAAATTTTCAGAATGTACTTTTCGTATTTTCACGATATTGGCTCAATGAAATCTTCGGAAACTTCGCATGCTAGGTCTGTGGCATCCACAGATGACAATGCAATTTATTTTTATCAGTTAGAAGCTGCATAGGACCCAGCAGACCTCCTCAAAAATTATGACGTCTAGTGTGTGGTGGGGGAATCTCAATGTGGCGTCTCTACCTATATATTTTTTGTACATTTCCTGGCTTACCAAGCGTTGTGTCACGGTAAGAGTGGGTTTTTTGGGTTTGTGGAATCGTACATTACTAATACGCAAAAAATTATTCTGCTCTTTAGTGTCCCTTTAATGCTGGGGGAATACACTGAGCTTAGACAACTTCGTATGATGACATATCTTCCGCCATGCGTCATGTTGCAGATAAGGATGACAAAAAGATGGACACCTCGTCATCAGATAAAGATGCAAAGCCATGAAAAGTAGGTGAGTCTGCTGCAACGGAGTTGACATCATTTGTTTGGAACGAAAGCTTTATACGTCTCATGAGCTGAAAAAAAACAAAACAAATCGGCTGTCTAGAATAATCACCAAAATTTGTGATCTCTTAAGTGATGTCACCTCACGATGTCATCGGTAGAGGGTTGAGGAACAGTTTACTTGACTGGGAATGTCTAAGAAATTTAATGGCTGTCTCATGAGATCATAGGCTTTCACCTCTGTGTTTTTGTAATTACCGTAATTACTCGAATCTAATGCGCACTTTTTTTCCACTTAAGCGAGTTCATAAATCGCATGCGCGTTAGAATCGAGTACGAACAAAAAAATTACGGTCAATCTATTGCCATCGGCAAATCCAAAATGGCCGCCCCCTACGTGCGTCGGCATGGCGCGTCGGCCATTTCTGCCTATGTGTTTCCCATGTGCGGCACTTCGTACGTGTGCTGAGGAGTTCGTCGTCTAGTAGTGCATTAGCATCGACGGCATGGAAGGGCCGACTCCAAAAACTCGAGTGCACCACGATGCCGCTTTTAAAAGAAAAGTCATCGCGTGTGCAGAAACGGTCGGTAATCGGGCCGCATCGCGGTCGTTCGGAGTTCCCGAAACGTGCGTGCGGGACCGGCGGAAACAAAAGCAGAAGATTGTCGACAGCAAAGCTTCACGCAAAGGCTTCAGTTGACCACAGCAGGGTCGGTTTCCGCAAATTAAAGAGCTGCTCGGCGAGTATGTGCTTGAGCAGTGAGCGGCACAGCGGCCCGTGACGACAGAACTGCTCCAAGTGCGGGCTATGCAATTAGTCTTAGAAAAAGGTCTAATGCGGAGCCAGTTTAAAGCGAGCAGGTGCTGGCTAACTAACTTTATGAAGAGGAAAGGCTTTTCCCTCCGAAGAGGAACATGCATATGCGAAAAGTTTTGCGGAGGAGTACGATAAAAAGCTTCACAGTTTTCAGAGGTTTGTCCTAAACTTGCGGCGCAACAACGGCTACCTGCTTGGGCAAATCGGGAATGCCGATCAGACGCCTCTTTACTTCGACATGCCTGGCACCACAACCGTCGAGAAGAAGGGGGCTAAGCAAGTTCGCGTGCTGACATCGGTCCACGGTAAAACTACATTGACGGCAATGCTCTGTTACACGTCAGATGGGAACAAGCTTCGCCCGTACCTCATATTTAAATGGAAGGCGCTCCCGAAAGGAGTCGTTTTTTCGAGTGGTGTGATCGTGCGGGCCAGCGAGAAAAATGGGTGCGCGTTGCAATCGATGTCTTATGTTTTTTTTTTTGTTTTTTTTCGCGGTGGAAACGGGTGCGCGTTACAATCGAGGGCGCGGTAGAATCGAGTAAATATGGTAACTAGAGGGACTGTCAATTTTAATTTTTCTTGCATTGGTTTCTTTCCTCTAGTATTTCACTGTACTGTATGTGCAAATCTCACCCTGAAACAGCTTGTATGGGCTTACAGTATTCTAAATTATAATAATAGTGCATCTTTTACAGTAACATATGCCTATGGAGGTCATCAACACTACCAATCACAGCACTTCTGACTGGGCGAGTCGGTGCATGATAAAATGATATTGCTTTAGCGCAGCTCAGTTTCAGCGTGAAGGAAAGATACTATGCAATCAAGAATGGGAAAAGCAGTCAGTAGCGCTCACACTGTCTGTTTTTTTCCCCTTCTTGACTGCATAGTATCTTTCATTCACGCTCAAACTGAGCTGCGCTAAATCAATCATAGCAAATTGCTGCATCCAGTGTGACTGACCCAAATCCTTCATTGATGCTCCACAGTAATAAGAACATTGATCGAAGTGCATGTGGAGGGTCCTTCTTTGACATCGTTAGTCAATGCTTGAGCTGAGGTGTCTATTATGACTGCTCATCTCTGTCGCCGCCTCAAAAAAGTACTCACGCCTGCCGCAATTCAAGCTGTCCGTGTCACCGATGGTGGAACTGTGGCCGTCTTTGGAACGTATACCGCCCGTGATAGCCTTGCCGGCCGCCATGTTCCTGTTTTATTTGCAGTGCTTGAAAATTGCCCTCACGACCTCATCTTCGGGATGGACTTCTTATCGACGCAATCTGCCCTGATTGACTGTTACGCTGATACTCTCTGTTTAGAACTTCCTTTCCTACTTCCGGGTTCTCGCCCCGAACTCCCGAAACAGCCTCCGCACCACAGACTGATACCATGGGTGTCAGTCGGATACCACTTCAAGCACTCACATTCATCGAATTGGCATCATCACACGACGACGTCCTCCTGCGCCCTTGCGCAAAGTTTGGATATTACGGGCTTTGGATGATACGGACTCAATTTGCCGGATTATTATCCTAATGGCAGTACAGTAGACTCTCGGTCTACTAGAAATAGAACTGCCTCTGATATGATTGGCTCAGTATTTGTGTTCTGCCCTGCTGTTCATCACAGTAAACAGAACTCTGGTAAAATGGAACATATTTTGCTGGTCCCTCCAAGTTCCGTTTAGTGAGTCTACTTAAGAGTGCACCTTTGGTTAACGGAATTCCGATCTCGCTTACGTCAGGTGAGCAATGGAGTGCCATGACCACTAGACTAGGGCGGGTTCACAAAAACCTATGTAGACATGCACGACTATTATTTTGAACTTACCTTTTTCTGTCTTTTGCAGGGGATGTTCCTTTCACTCGTATCTCACGAAAGAAGAAGAGGGGGACAGGAACAAGCATACCTTTCTTTATTCGCCCCTCCCCTTCCTCAGCATCCGCAGCTGTCGGGAGAATCAAAAATAGACACCTCTCGGCGCGACGGTGCATGAATCCCGGCAAAGACGAAGCCGTTACAACCTGTGAGGGATTCGCAGTAGCTGTATTTATCGGACTCTTCGGAAGAAGAGACAAAAGCAGTTTTTAAAGTCGCATCACTCTTTTCCCAAACTCTGTCCCCCCCACTTATGTCTGTACTTGTTGTCCCTCTCATCGAAACGCATTTCTTCTCACGCTCGTGTTTTTCCAGTCCCACCACGGTGGTGCATTTCCATGTGTACAAAGTGTTCAACTCGTCATATAAGAAACACCCTCTGTCTATACCTTGCTTCGTTATGTTGGCATTTCCCTCCCCCCCTTTTTTTTGTCTCCCTCAAGAGCATGTTGTGAGTTTTAGAAATGGAGGTTCTTAAGAGCAAATGGAAAGAAAACACCAACGTGCGCCGGTGGCCCTCTGGAGTGGCGGGCTACAAAATTGGAGTCTCTGGTGCATTTCAGGGTTTCTTAGTCTGCTTTTGTGGAAGTGAATTTCAGTCGTGTCTGCCGTTAATTAAACAACCTTTGGGATGAATTGTGTTTGTTGCGTTTTCTTTCACGCGAGTAGTTTGCAAGTAGGTGCCCGTGGGCCGACATACAGGCGAACTTAGAATGGTGCATTATTGAGACCCCACCTCCGCGGTGGTTTAGTCGCTAAGGTTGTTGGCTGTGCTGACCCGCAGGTCGCAAGATCGAATCCCAGCTGCGGCGGCTGCATTTTCGATGGAGGCGAGACTCCTGTAGGCCTGTGTGCCCAGATTTGGGTGCACGTTAAAGAACCCCAGGTGGTCGAAATTTCCAGAGACCTCCACTACGGCATCTCCCATATCATATGGTGGTTTTGGGACGTTAAATGCCACATATCAATCAAAATCATCCACGTTAAAGAACCCCAGGTGGTCAAAATTTCCGGAGCCCTCCACTACGGCGTCTCTCATAATCATATGGTGGTTTTGGGACGTTAAACCCCACAATTCAATTCAATCAAAATCATCAATTACTCAATCAAAATCGTCAATTAACGTGATTCCGTTCTCGACATCAAGCCTGTCTAAGGCGAGCTTGGAAACAAGTTTCAAGTACTGGCGTGGATCAGTAGTGGAATACTGGGCTGGCACACAGCAGACCCAGGTTTGAATTTCATTGTGCCCTTGGTGTTTTTTTTATATACCGAAATCATTTTTTTTTAATTTCTTGCGATACTGGTTACGGACACCGGCGGCGGACAACTATCGCGCTGCACGTGACCCGTGTTCTCGTCACAACTTTCGCTGTAAAAAAAAAGAAAAGCAAAAAGTATTGTGGATCATGTGTGTTATTTGAGTACTGGTTCGAACTTGTGCTCTGCGAAAAGGGCCAGTAGCTTCCATAGCGTTGCACCGGATGTACGGAACAGAGTATAGCTCCGGTTATCGTGTTTGTGGGAACGATTATCGCGTGATTGAAAGCCGCACGCGAGAAGTGAACGATTACGGTATACACGCGACACGGTATCTACCTCGTTGCTGCGCGACAGTTGAAGTACATGGCACACCCGATGAGCGATAAGCTTGCTCGTACGAAAAGCCGGTCAGTTCCTTTGTGCGAACGAAGCATTCCCGTATAAAATCGCACCGCCATGAAGATGGGCCACGAGAAAGGATGACGTCAGCTGAGGAACCCTCCGAAATGGAGCGCCTTGCTGAGCGATGGCAAGGCGCCCTTCTCAGCAAGGCCCTCGAAGACTAGGTGTTGGCCGTTCCGGCAGGCCAGGACCATCGCCGAGAACCTCGGAAGATGTTCCTCGAACGATGTGTCCCTGGCAGCCTAGGCCCGGGAACAGCAACAACCGTTGGACAAATAAAGTTTATTCAACTCAACTCACGCCGGATCTCTTCGTTTTTTTTTTGTTTTTTTTTATCACGCCGACGCGGGCGTCAACTGGTGACCGATTCGGTTTGTCGACGAGGTGCCCAGTTCGTGCGTGTGTGGCCTCTGTCACATGATTCCCAAGAGGATACTGATGCTTCCATGATGGCACCTTTTATGCCAGTCGTGCCATGCAGCCACCTCCCAAGATACCGGTCCCTTGTATGAAGAGCCGTTCGATGAAGCTGGAAGTGTCTGCTATGATTTCCCGACCAGAAAAACGAATGCCTTGAAGGTGAGAAATCGGTTCCTGTTTTTTTTTTTTTTTTTTGGGGGGGGGGGGGGGGGGGCATTGTCCATTTACATTATTAGCGAGTTTACGAATAGCGTACCTTAAGTTAGCGTTCTTTGCTTAAAGGAAGCGCGCAAGTGGTTATTGTACGACGCATGCGTGGTGATGCGAAACACTAGGGAGGTTTAGAATAGCGTTTGCAGACGCTGCGGGCATAGCGGGCTCCATATGAGTTTTAGAATAACGTTCGCCCCTCCTAGGGAACAATCTAGGGACTTTACCTGCCCCGCGAACTCAAACGCACGGAAACTATACGCATACATAACCTCCACACTGCAGCGTTTGCGGGCCGCCGGATTTTCTGCGGGCGGGTAACGCGAACGGCGGCTCTCGTTACGACGCATGCGCAGTGGCTGCGACTGCAACGCCAGGGCATGAGGTGCGCTATTCTAAAGCTCCCCATTGAGAGTGTAAGGCTTGCCGTTTGGCGCAGGTCTACAACGCTTATACCTATTAACGATGAAGAAAACACTCAGCAGATGAGTTGGTGCACCTGATGAGGGCTACACCAGGCTGGGAACGCGAGGCTAAACCAATACATTGTTGACAATTATGATCGAACGTTGCAAGAAACCGGCACCCCGGAGTATCGCAACAGCTTTCTTTCGATGCAGGGTGAGGTTAGAATGGGTTTCAGCGAGCGTTGGGCACCGTTTGGAAAATACGCCATACAAGATAAACCGCTCACTCCGTGGATTTCGTAAAATCGGGCTGCTCAAACATTCGCGCACTATCGACACCTCCGGTAGGGATTATTCCGTCCTTTCCCGTTAGATAACCGCGTCACAGATTACAGCGATTCAATAAACTTTCACCCCAAAGCGGGATATCGAGAATTCAGATTACCCAGGTACAACAAACACAAGCAGTTAAGCCAGGCTATCTATATAGTTCTGTGGGGTTTTACTTTCCAAAAACACGATATGCTTCCCAAAACGTAAGTTCAAGACGCGACACGCACAGACGCTACGTAGAGCCTGGGTGTGTCACATCTTTAATTGTCTGTTTTTTGTCGTGCGTATAAACTCCAAAATTCATGTATCCAGATCTTGGTACGTGTTGTGTTCTGCGTTAGTCTACCTGCGTGCCGTTCAATAATATCCAGTGTTTTACGTCCCAAAAGAACTAAATGAGAGACGCCATATTGGAGGGTTCCTGAAATTTGGGTTATCTTGGTGTTCTTCAACGTGCGCTGACGTCGCACAGTATAGACAGGCCTCAATCATTTTGCCTACGGCGAAATGTGACTGCCACGACCGGCATCGAACCTGCGACCTTTGGCTCAGCAGCCAATTAGATCACCTTAGCTACTGACTCACCGTGGTGGACTTCATCTTAGGGGTAGTCCAACCCTCTGTCTTCGCATACGCATAATCCCGTCGCGAACAGTGCAAAGGATTATCGAGGCCGATTAACGCGTCAGGTGGTGTGCCAAATATGGATACTGCCGCGTTCGTCACGCGCGTTTACGTAGACACCGTACATCGTGTGATGACACACATACGAATAACACGGAAGTTACTTGGTCTATACGAATGTTTGTCTGTTGGGCGCGGGTCGATCAAATGCACCCGCTTGTGTACATTCCATTTACTCTCGGTTGTTTCCGATCACGTGACCTTTGACACACTTCCGGGCCCGAGGGTTGAGGCTTGTTTCTGCGCGCGATGTTTACTTACGGTCGCGAAATAGCCGCATTTCGTGTGCGAGGTGCAGCCGCCACGTTTCTGCGGAGGGCACAGAAAGGGAGAGCCCATTTCCGAACGTTTTGTTTGTGAGGTCGAGCGTTCGCGGGAGTGGAGTCCATTGTTTCCTATCAATCTGCACCAGTCACCGCTTCCGGCTTCTGCATACGCCCACCTACGGAACTCTTCTATTCCTTGTTCGTTTGGAGACGACGATGGCTGTTATTGCAATCGCTTACTGGCGATGCTCTGTGTTTTCACTTCCCCCCTCCTCTCCCTTCATAAAAAGAATGCCGGTAGATTGCATTAGTGGCGCAAGGCTACACTAACAGCTCAGCTTAGGCCGATCTAGGTTATAAGCAAGGTCTTAATCAGCATTGTCTTAGCATGATCTTTTATCTTATTGAAAAAAGTCTTAATTAGTATGGTATTACTTGTTTTGATCTTTATTAGCATGATCTGAAATAGAAATAGAGAGAATATCTAAGAAGAAAAGGTAGGCAGGTCAACCAGTCGAGGATGGCCGGTTTTCCACTCTACACGTCGGAACGGAAAGGAGGAGATTGAAAGAGATGAAAGAGACATAAAGACAGCGCATTACACAGCCCGTATAAAATGACTTAGTTAGTGAGGTCTTAATTTTTACGGTGTCAATTCATAAAGCCTCAATTAGCATGGCCTTGGCTGAAAATCCTTATTAAGATAGCCGCAGTTATTCTGGTGGTCTCAATTAGAAGTTTTTAATTAGTCAGGGCAATGAGTCTGCTGCAACTGCGTTATTGCGTCGAACGTGCTATAGGCGCAAATGTGCCAGATGTTAGGTGACGCGAGGTGCCATATAAGGTATGGAGGCAGTTCATATGGATGATAGTTTTGTGGTGACGCGAACCAGTGGAACGAAAAACTTGGAGAGCTTAAAAACGCAACATTGGAACTTCCGGTTGAGCGGAAAACATCACGTGTGACGTCATACCACTGCCGTTAAATTTGACCTAAAGGGAAGGCTCCACCTGTCGTAGCCCTAAACCACCCTAAACCATCTCTGTAAATACAAAGAACGTGCACGATATTCGCTGTTGGCGTTTCCTGTCTTTTCAACACAATTTGGCACGCCGAGTCTGCTCACGTGACGTCGCTAAGAAATAAGCTTTTTATTAAACCTCTACGAGGGATATCAGTTGTGAATTGTTCCTTATAGCCTGCTTTGCCATGCAGTCGCACGGCCATTCTTCCTTGTCTCGCATGATCCTCGTGCGCGATCAACTGATTTCACTTCGTTTTTGTGTTCTTTACACTGCGCAAGCGCAGACACGAGCATGTACCTTAAAAGCGCGTAATATGCTCACTGCTTAGTGTTGACGTTGTCCGCTTGTTTGATGAAATAAAGAAAGGGAAAGAGAATTTGTAGGAAGCGTAGCGAATGCCAGAAAAAAAAAAAAAACTCTCTCGTCCTTGATTACAGAGCGCACAGCATTTGGTCAGTTTGGTGAATTTTTGGTTCACTTCAGTAGGCTTTATAGTGAAATAACACTGTTCTGATGTGTATAGCGTGTGCCATCTTGATGGCACGTAGTCATAAGAAAACATTCTGATCTTTCAACGAATTTGTTCAACTAATTTAGGCGCACCGAATGAGTTGATCTCTTCCTC